CTGCGATCCTGCACCGCTGCAGCACCACCACTGCACCAGTGGCAGCAGACGGACATGTGGTACATCTCACTACCGGCGACTTTTCAATCGTGAAGAGCGAGAGCTGTCTTGAAATGGAAGTTCCTTCTGTTAGAGACCGTGCCATCCACCTCACTGAAACCTGCCTGGCATCTGGGTGTGAATTTGGTGCTCACTGGAACGAGGAAGAGCCTTGCAAACGCTTGTATCAAAAGCGTCAAGTCTCAGTGTCCTTAAACAGTAAACAACCTAAGTCACCCACAGAGCAAGGTAAGCAAGCACACGGAACCTTCACTTTGATGGAGATCAGACGACGCGGTGTTTTTTCTGTTTGAGTGATTGAGGTTGTTGTTACCTCCAGCTCTGTGGTGCAATCATCGTGAGGCTGGGTGATCACGATCCCAGTGGTGTCTATGACGGACGTGCTATTTGTTCGCCACAACTCAAGACTTCCATTCCATATCACACTCACGACACTGACGGGCGCGCACTACGCTAGAAACACTCAGACTCAAGGTACCGAGAGCCGGGACGCGCTAAAAAGGTACCAGCCTCTCACAGGTGCCCCGACCCAGGGAGACCGAACCTCCCCCTGCGACCGCGACGACGCATCGAAGTGGAAACCTTGGCTGGAGGTCCCGACTGGAGACTCGCCTCAGTTCTCACTCAGGTCCCAGGTCGCCCATACGCCCACACGCCCACACACCCACAGCACCCACACTTCCACAGCCTGGCGGTCCTGGCAACGACTGCCCAGAAAGAGTTGCAGGGTGGAGCCCCAGGATTTATCTTTAACAGCCTCCCGATTGCCCTTGCTCTCCCCGACTTCGTTCATGCTGCCATCCGCCTTCGCTTTTTTTCCCTTCACTTCTTCTCCCTCACCTTGCGCCATTCTGGCTCTCTCCACCCTCCAGGCTCTCCACATCCTCTCTTTTTTCACACACTCATTCCATTGACCGGCCATCTCGATATCTCGCGCACCCACCTTGACGAGTCCCCGAGACCCTCGCTTTCCAGCCTTGGTCACCAAGTGACTTGCACCAAGAGTCTGTCCACGGTCAAAGGTGTAGGCGGTCACCTCTTACGGCGAATTCTTTCTCTCCACGTCTTCCTTCCTAGCGACGACCGACGACCTTTTCGACTCGGTTGCTCTGCAGACATCTTGCTAGCAACCTTCGCCACTGCTTAGCGGCCGCTACGTCTCTGGTCGGCTTTTGCGCCCTTACACTTTCGCACGCAGTGCCGACACCGCAACACGCTTTAGCAACCATGTCTTCCGGCTCTGAAGACGACAAGCCGCTCGCCAAGGTCAACGGCCACCACGGTACGTCGATGCTTCTGTGATCAGTCACACCTTTCCCCATCAACTCTCGCTCATCACCCCTTCACTCTATCCTTTGCCCACCGTCACACGGTTTGCCAGCCGATTCGAGTCGACGTGTCATGCCTTCCATGGCCTCGTCTTCTAGACGTAACCTGTCATTGTACCACGCCCATGAGACTAACTCTTCATCAACTGTAGCTTCGGCGCCGACTATCTCCAAGGCCGATGATCGTGCCATGGACGCTGCTGATTCCAAGGCTCATATGGCTCCCGTTGGTGTCTCCATCCGCAACGGCCCCGTCGGCCAGGACAGGATGGACATCGACTCCCCAGTAAACGGTCAGGCTAAGCGCAAGTCGCGGGCATCCGTTGACCAGTCTGTCAACTACAAGGATGAGTCCAGTGATGACGAAGCACCCTTGGTAGGCTTCCCTGTCTTTCCAGCTTGGTATCCTTGCTTGGTCTGTGGCTAACTAGGACAGGCGAAACGTTCAAAAACACAACATAAGCAACCAGACTCCGATAGCGACGACGAGCCGATCGCGAAAAAGAATGGCGCGAGATTGCCTCCCTCCGCCAAGAACACGGATATGGACGAAGATTCCGATGATGACGAACCTCTCGGAAAGATCGCCGCGAAGAAGGCCAGCATCGAGAAGGCAGCCGCTAAGGAAGCCAAGAGTATCCGGGCTGATACCAAGGCCAAGAAGCCTGCTGCTAAGAAGGTCGTCAAGGATGAATCCTCCGATGACGAACCCCTTGCGAAACCCACCAAACGACAGGCCAACGGCACAGCTGCGAAGAAGACGAACGGTGTGAAGAAGGAGGAGTCTGACTCGGATGCGCCCATCGCCAAGCGGGCGAAGAAGGCACCTGCTGCAAAGCCTGCTGCAAAGCCTGCTGCGAAGGCTGCCGCGAAGGCCGCCCCGAAGGGCAAGGCTGCCACTGCCAAGAAGCCCGTCAAGGAGGAATCGAAGGACATCACTGATGAGGACGATGAGGAAGAGGAGTATAAATGGTGGGAGGAGTCGGCGAAGAAGGAAGATGACAGTATCAAGTGGACCACCTTGGAGCACAACGGTGTCATCTTCCCCGAGGACTACCAACGTCTGCCCAAGGACGTCAAGCTGCTCTACGATGGAACGCCGGTCGAACTCGACATTGAGGCCGAGGAAGCTGCCACCTTTTTTGGCTTCATGCTTAATTCGACGGTGAATGTTGAGAACCCAACTTTCCAGAAGAACTTCTTCAGGGACTTCAAGGAGATCCTAGATCGGACAGGTGGCGCCAAGGACAAGAACGGCAAAAAGGTCGACATCAAGGAATTCGAAAAACTCGACTTCTCCCAGTTGTGGGCTTACAAGGACGCTCAAACGAAGGCCAAGAATGCCCGGTCGTCAGCAGAGAAGAAGGCCGAGAAGGCCGAGAAAGACAAGAGGGACGCCCCCTATCTGTATTGCAAGTGGGATGGGCGAAAAGAAAAGGTCGGTAACCCCAGAGTGGAAATTCCAGGACTTTTCCGCGGTCGCGGTGACCACCCCAAGACCGGGTGTATCAAGAAGCGTGTCTTGCCAGAGCAAATCACCATCAACATTGGCAAGGAGGCCAAGGTCCCAGAGCCGCCAGCTGGCCACAAGTGGAAGGCCGTTCAACATGACAACAAGGCAACTTGGCTCGCAATGTGGCAAGAGAACATCAACGGACACTACAAGTATGTGATGTTGGCAGCAAACAGTACTGTCAAGGGCAAGGCCGATTTCAAGAAGTTCGAAAAGGCCCGTGAGCTCAAGAAACACATCGACCGCATCCGTGCCGACTACACCAAGGATCTCAAGAGCGAGGTCATGGCTGACAGGCAACGCGCAACGGCCATGTACCTCATTGACAAGTTCGCTCTCAGAGCCGGTAACGAAAAGGATACCGAAAACGAGGCCGAGACTGTCGGGTGCTGCTCTCTCAAGTACGAGCACGTCACCCTCAGGGAACCCAACACTGTCATTTTCGACTTCTTGGGTAAGGACAGTATTCGTTTCTATAACGAGTTCACGGTCGATCGCCAGGTCTTCAAGAACCTCAAGATGTTCAAGAAGCCTCCCAAGGAGGACGGAGATGACATCTTCGACAGACTGACGGTAGGTTTATTCTCCTTTACATGATTTGGAGCGTTGCTAACTCGCTATGTAGACAACCCAACTCAACAAGCACTTGTCGAGCTACATGCCTGGGCTCACGGCAAAGGTTTTCCGTACTTACAACGCATCGTACACCATGTCTAAGCTGCTGCAGGAGCTCAAGGTGACGAATGCCACGGTCCATGAAAAGGTCAAGCTCTACAATGACTGCAACCGCCAAGTTGCTATTCTCTGCAACCACAAGCGCACTGTCGGTGCTGGCCATGAGCAGCAGATGAAGAAACTCGTCGAGCAGATTAAGGGTCTGCGATACCAGAAATGGCGGACAAAGATGATGATGCTCGACCTTGACCCCAAGCTCAAGAAGAAGAAGGGTGCTGCCTTCTTTGAGCTTGATGAGGACTTGACAGAGGAGTGGGTCAAGACTCATCAGGAGTTCCTCGTTGAGGACCAGAAGACCAAGATCAACAAGAAGTTCGAAAAGGACAACGAGAAGCGGGTGGCCGAGGGCGAGAAGCCTCTGCCTGCCAGCGAGCTCAAGGAGCGACTCAAGGCGGCATCCGAACTAGAAGCCAAGTTTAAGAAGGAGAACAAGACCAAGAAGGTTGAGGCTGAAGGCAAGGGTCCTTCTGTCGAGAAGCTGGAGGCAGCTCTTGTGAAGCTTGATCAGCGTATCAAGAACCTGGAGCTGCAGTCCGCGGATCGTGAAGGAAACAAAGAGGTTGCTCTTGGCACCTCCAAAATTGTAAGTTGGATTGGTTTCCCATTAACATGCACAGCAGGATGCTAACTCTCTATCACAGAACTACATTGACCCCCGTCTTACGGTCGTCTTCTCGGCTAAGTTTAATGTGCCTATCGAGAAGTTCTTCTCCAAGACGTTGCGCGAAAAGTTCAAGTGGGCTATCGAGTCTGTCGGAAACGACTCGACGTGGGAGTTCTGAGGTTGGCCAAGCATCGTCATTCGTATTCTGATAAGTCATTCACACAAGTCGTTCCTATAGACAACAACATGAATGCCCATGTTTTTTTGCGCCTTTCACCCAAATCACACACGAAGTAGCCTTGATAGACCCTTTGGTGAATCGTTTTACTATTCTCACTTGGGACATCTTGGGTTTTGTTAGAAAGCTTGCTGGACGCCTATGCCAGAATTACAAAAAGCAAGCGACGCGAAGGTTTTATGCTGTCTAATGGTTAGGGAAACGCTGGAGGCAAATTGCTTGCTCTTTGATGGGTTATATGGGGTTTCCATTAGCATTGCGCATAGCTTGATCTCGGAGGATGGAGTTACGGAGGTTGGTGTTCACTCCCTTTTGGTGTCGAGGTTGGTCATTGAAAAGGGTCAAGAAGGATCCAGGGTTCAAGATAGATGGTTCGCTATATCCCAAAACTTAGATTGAACTATCCTTAACAGCGACTTAAGATCGACCATCGTCAGTTATCGCGAGCACGCCTATTGGTGAGGATAGAAATCCCTAGAGGTAGAGAGGCAATGGTATGTGCAGATACAAGATGAGACAAAACTACCAGAAATCGACTGCGTACGTGCCCAAACAAAGGAATCTACCGTTTGAATGTTGATCAGGTTGTCCAACTTGTGTGTATGTGGTGTCTATCGTGATGTAGGAGTACAAAAATTTCCCATACCATAGGTACATTATCTTTCCCTCCGTTTCCAATCATATACATATAACATTGCCGTCGCCGATACATATCAGATCTCTATCAAGCCAAATTCCTCAAACGCCGTATTAGGTAAATGCCCAAAACCAAATTGAATCTTACGCCTGCAAATGCATCGTGCTGCTGGCTCCTACGCCTCCGACCTCGAAGGGAGAAGAAGACCCAGCCAATGATTGAGCAACGCAAAGACTGTATGTTGTCATGCCACTCAGGATGTCCCATCAAGCCTCTCAAACCAAGCACCCAACAAAGGCAGCAAGAGCCACCGTCACAAGCGACGTAGCAACCAGCAGACCCTGCGGCGGTCTCATCATGGCGCTCGCCGCGCCAACAGGCACAATCTTCCCATTTGGTTTCATAACCCAGCCTGCAGGAATCGACCCGTGCGTGTTAGTTCCGCCGCTGCTGCCGCCGTTAGAAGAACCACCGATGCCGCCAACGGGCACCGACCCGCCCGACGACCCCGTATTCGTCGCCGCCACCGCGCTCGCCGTCACCGTGACCGTCCCGGCTTTACCCAAGTTCCCATTCACCTGCCCGCCCTCGGCAATGATGCTCTGCCACGTGCCGCTCGTGTCGCCGTACCGGTACGACTTGCCCGTCGAGTAATCGCTGACCATCACGCTCTGGACCACCATGCTGAACGGGCCCTTGGAGTAATCCGTCGGGCCCATAGCCCACTGGATGGTTCCCGGCGAGTTGGCGCTGTCACCGCCTGACCACGCGCCGAACTTGACTTGCATCGGAGTCTGCGGGTACTGGCCCCCCGCATCGTTGACGGTCAACTGGCGCACAAGAGTGCCGCCCACGTACCAATTGATTCTCTCAGAGGTCCAGTCGATCGTGTACTTGACGAACTGGCCCTGGCTGTTGGGGGCCGGGTTGAACTGCCCCCGGTCGTAGGTGGCGGTTTTCCCCTGGTAGAAGAAGTTGGTTTGCACGTACGTGTTGTCGGCGCCCAGCCACTCGAAGTCGATCTCGTCGAGGTCGTCGGATTGGAGGACCAGGGAAGAAACGATGCCGGCGCCGGGGGCCGCCTTCATGGTTAATTCGACCCGCCCAAACATGATGTAGAAGACCGAGGTTAGCTGCGGGGAGTCGCCGGATTTGGCGACGGTGAAGGAGACGCCGTCGTTTCGCGAGTAGGAGGGGGTGCCGCCGTAGGCGTTGAAGGAGTTGACGGCGCCTTGGGTGAAGTCGACGTCGATGGCCATGCCGAGGGCGGTGTTTGGGGGGCAGTCGGCTGGAAGGAGAGGAAGTGGTGTTAGGCATGTTTTTTTCTCTCTCTTTCTTACTTTTGGATGGATATGTGAGTCTGAGATGAGAAAGGTTTTTGAGGACTTACTTCGTTGTGTTGGGTTACATGCTGTCCATGTTTGCGCGGAAGCTACACTTGCGAAAGCAGCTGTCACCGCTGTTCGCCAACTTAGGGACACCATGGTTGTTGTTTTGTGCTCCCAAGGTCTTGTGGTGACACAGGGGGGCTAGGAATAATTATTTGAGAGCTTTGGACTGATGAGGCAACCAAGGCTCGGGTTTTGGGTCTTCGAAATTGAATCGGTGTTCTCGATCGCGGGGTGGGTTGGTAGGACGGACTCGTGTGAGCGGTGATGTGATGGTGGAGAGCTCGAAGCCGAAGCGGCGGTCACAGATTCGAACGGTTTTCGGGAGTGATGGGTCACGACAGCAAATCTGAGTATAAATTGACAGAGTTGTTGATGTATGACGACAGATGGGACGACAGTTCAACGAGTGACGATAATCGGTCCCAGACGTGGTAGTAGTCTTATGTATACGAACAGGAAAAGAAGGGTAGCGGGATCTTGCATGACACTTGCCCTGTTCCTGGCTTTTAATGGTACCAAGTCAGTGTATCAATGAATGCAGCGAATGCGTAAACGCGCGTGGAAAGAGAAAAAGAGGGTCCGGGAATTCAGAATCCTAGAATCACACTCTCCGATCACATCGTGGGATGAGTCCTGGTCAGACTGGCTGAGTACGAGACGGTCGGCGGTCCAGGTCTTGTCCAGTCTGTCCCAGCCTCTCACAAGTCACCAACCTGCCAGAATCGTCATCGTAGGCTCCCCACCATCAGCTCTCTCTGGGCCGCCTGGGCTTGAAGCCAAGGAGCCTGTTTTTCAAAGGACCACTGGGGCCTTGAATTGAGAGCTCCATCGAATAACATTTTGGCCATCGGACAAGTTTCGTCCTGTTTCGTTTGGCCAAAGTTTTCTTTGCTGAAACGATGTATGAATGTTTCTTTTGTTTCTTTACGGATGTCAGGACCTTGAATTTTTTTGGGATTTTCAAAGGACGGGAGGTTGGGGGTGTGTTTGAGGTTTCTTGGGGGGTACGGACAAACGCTCTTGTTTGTGTTGTTGCACTGAGATTGGAGAGGTCTTCGGCACACTGCCACCGCTGCCATCACGGACCAGTGAATCGGGTGGTTGGGAGTGGGTTTTCTTGGCGTGACGCCAACATCTCGGCCCGCCCAAATCGTGAAAAAGTTTCGGTGGTTCCGGCTCCATTGTGGCTCAGAACCCTCGGCGCCGCTTCTCCGTAAATGCTCCACTTTTCCGTTATCAGGTCTTCCGTTGGGCGGGTCGCTCCCGTTGTGTTCCACTTCGGAGTTTCACGTTGCCTCGACACCGCATTGTTGACTTTTGTTGTGATGGAGAAAAACAAGAAAGGGGTAAGTCGTCGTGAGTGTTGCGTGCCACGACTACTGTACATGATCTGGAAACATCGGATGATATCTGTCGCCATACGGCAAGAGCGCTTCCTACATACGGCACTTGCATGCATTGAGGTGGTTCCTTCCAAACAAATGATGAAATTGACCCGAGCATGGTCTTCAGTTATCTCCCGCAATTCTATTACAATACAAGGCTGAAGTCTCTCTGTGTCTCGTCTTCCATTTCCCTTCCCCGCAAATCTCCATCATTCTCTCAACTCTTCGATTTCCAGATGCTTCAATCTCGTTCTTCACTTCTTCACTTCTTCGCTCCAGCTCTTGAAATGTAGGCAAGGGGCCTTTCAAACGCTTTGTCGTCTTTACCGCGATGCCGTTCATCAACATGCGAATGGTAAATACATGGCCCCTTCTTAATCATATGGCCCACATGATCTCCCACCCATGTCTGAATATCGATGCTGACAGCGGCGTTTTCCAGAAAAAGACAGGCCTAAGTAACCGAAATGTATTCTTCTTTTGTTGCTGGCGAAAGGCGTAGCTGTTGAAGCCGCGTGGCTTGCTAAAACGACTATCGCGGCCTGCACGAGAACCGAGAACAGCAGAGCGGGCTTGATGAAATCGACTTTCGCCATGCATATGCCATGCAGTTCAACGTATGGGTTGGAGTTTCTCCTCGTCTCCTGGACTCGGTGCAACACATTTCCACCTCCTATAAAGACCGTGGCCCAAAAGGCTGGCCGCCATTGCGAGGGAAATGGCCCACGGAAGGTATCCGAGCAGCATCAGATTTGCACTCGCTCCGACGGCATATCCGGCGACTCCAGCGCCAGCGACAAAAACTAGGTAAACGAACAACTGGAACGGATCCTTCTCCTGCCGGCGATGGATGAATGACGAGACACAGCAGCCGTACACCAGACATGACCAGAGCATCAACCCGTCTGAAGGAGATAAAATGACGCCTTTTCCATTGCGTTCCCTTGGGCTTTCTGGGTGGTTCTACAAGCAGTATTGTCAACAAAACCATTAAGGTGTTCGATGAAGGAGTGCCACTCACCCCTCTCTGGCCGTACGTATGGTCGTTGTGGGAAGTATACCGCCAGATCACGGCGCTACACAGAGCCCCGAGACATATCTCAACAACATCGGATCTCCAGCTCCATGTTGCAGCTTGCTCCGGCACCTTCCCGGACCGGTGTCGAAGCGGGCATGTTCGGACATTAATTGGATTCATTGGAGCTTCGGCTAATGAGTGGTTGCAAGGAAGCTGACGACTGGGTATCGCATGAAGGTGAATTCAGATACGGCCATCGGCTCAAGCATTCGAGTACCATCATCATGGCATTCCCATGGACTAAATATTCCCGCTTTCTTTCTCTATCCCTCTTTTCAGGTTTCAGCTTGCCTGAATCGGCAGATTAGATCACCGGATGCCCGGGCGGTTGCAGATGACTTTAACACCCAACTACCCCTACCAATTCTATCAATATCATGCTCATGTTTTCGGTCAAAGATGCAGCCCTATGCTGAACGATAACTAATGTCTCACCCTTATGCGTGAAGACCCAAGGCACACCGGTTGGGTATCAGGCTGCCCCTCAGCACAATAGGCTGGCAGTGAGGCTGACAGCTTTCACCGAAAACTGGGCCAATCCGAAGACAGAACGCATATGACTCCTTCGTAAGGCAACCTGCGAACCACGGCGGAGAACCTCTGCCAGGCTATGAACGAGGCAATAACGAGAAATCAAAGACGGAAGCAACCGGCTCGAACTACGAAAGACACCATCATTGGTTTATGAGCCTTTCAGAATCATCTGGCCGGCCTCCCAATGTGTGGCAGCATTGTGTCGCCCAATGGTGGCTGTGCCGGACGACTGCCTTGGGTTTCCGGGAGGAAGATCAAGCCCTCAAATCTACCCCATAGCCTCTCGTTATCGCTCCGAGAGTCTTGTATCAACAGGTCAAACGATGGACCACATCATGTATCGGGCTATCTTCTATAAATCCTTCGCCACCATCCTGCTCCAACAGTAGATTCCGTCGCATTACGCACAACAACTCTCAACCCTAAACACCAAACAACTATTCGGCCAGAAAATAGACTTAGGGATTGGATAAGACTGGTTATGAGCCGCCCCGACACTTGAGATCCTGACACTTTGCCCAACATGGATCCCGACTTGGGTGATGCGGACTCTATGTCGTCCTTCTGTCCTCGTACCTTGATCTACAGCTTAGTTCGAGCCGCAAAAATCGTTTCTTGTGGGATCATGGTCAGCACCGCAGTCTTGTTCCCAATCGCCAACGATGGGAACTTCTCCTTCCTTCGTCTGTAAGGAGCCCTGGGCTTTCTTTTCGTTGTCCATGCCGTGTACTGACAGCCTCATAGCACCCTCGTCCTATTCATAGTCTCGGCGGCGGTGTATCTCACGATAAATGTTCAGTCGCTTATCAAGTAGGCATAGCCCTCATCCGGTTTTTTGTTTTAGTTTCAACTAATGCTCTGAAGAATCGGCCCATGTACCGCCCCGGTAGCATTGTTTGTATTGCTGCAGGCTGTCCTATCTGCTGGATCTTCGAGCAACAGCCTCATCCCTTGGCTCCCTCTTGGTTTCGCGTTTACGAGCATCAGTACCGTGATCATCGATAGCATTTGCAAGCGGTTCAAGACTCCAGCCCCAGTGCCACCAGACAAGAAATTACCACACACCTCCGTGGACCTCCAAAGCAATACCTCGTTCCGGTCTAGTCCTAGTTCATCTGACAACATGCCTCCTCCGGAATCTTACCTCCAGGAACGAGAGTTCTTCGTTAGGCATGGGCCATCGTCTCACTGTACGTGTAGCACGCACACAGGGAGTTCGGATATCTGCCTTTCCGATATTTCTGGACGGTGCCGATCGGAGTGGGATCTACCAACCCGGAGCCATTTTGTTCGCTGATTTTCATCCGAACCCTTCACAAGAAGCCGCCTATGTCGGGAGACGTCAGGATGACGAGGTTTTCGAACCCAACCCTGGTGACACCCACCATCCGTTGACGGATATTTCGTAGCAGGTTTTGCTTTCACAGGAGCCAGATAATCAACGCACCCCGACTGTTGGACAAAGTATACACTCAAAGTGGAATACGTGAAAAATGGTGTTTCTGATCAAGAAGATCAGATTATTCAGTACCAACAGAGTGTGCATGTCCGTCACGGACGGTTTAGAGCAATTGGTAGCTCGGTCAAAACGGACCACTACGCTCTATGGAACTTCTGCCTGAGTTCCAGGGAGATATCATATATCTTCCAATATTTCCAGAACTGAAGCTTCTGTTTTCTTCTCATTTCTTCAATTTTCTTTGCTGTCAACCACAAAAGATTACCGAAGCACTGGATGCTGCCCGTGGATGGCCTCCGAAGATCCAAGAAGGACTGTCCTTACATCCTGAGTCGGCCCGGAAGTTCTCTTCAAAATCACCTTCAAATCCGGACTTTGCCAAAAGGATTCCATCACTCGGCTTGTCATCGCCCAACTCCAGGTCACGTCCTGTCATCGAGTCGATTTTCCTGGTCGAAGTAACTATCGCCACTCGCATAACAGCATGTTCGAGGTTCGCAACGAGATATCCGGGTGGAGGGTGAGGTGGGCTGGTGTTGTCGCAATGGCTCCCCCACAAGCATATGGCTGCATGCATACAAGGGGAGCATCTCTCTGTTATGGCGTTTGATACAGGAGTAGAAAGATAAAAGACACGCAGAAACGGTCACCATTATCAACATTTGTGGTCACGATGGAGATATCTGGTGTCGGTGTGGTGATAGAGACTGGTGGAACGCACGGTTATCAACAGACTCGAGCTGCACTTGAGATTAGTCTATGTACGACAGTTGAGTCTGGGCGGTATTGGTAGCGGCATGTGCATACACGTGTACCTATTACGAGTTGGCCACACCGCATTTGCACACAGAGCCGAGCCGATTTTCTGTTACGTCAGCCACTGAAGTTCATTCCTCAACTTGAACGCTTCAAGGTCACTTGACGTCGGCCTTCTTTGCTTTTGTGCCGGGATCACAGCTTCAAAGACCCCTTCTCGGCCCCTCAGAGCCCCTCAAAGACACTTCAAGCCCCTGTTTGCCTTTGGGTAACAGCCGGTTAACAGCGGATGAGATGTCACTCTTCCCCGCTATCGGCTCATTGTTATCAGGGGCGCTTGTGTCTTTGCTTACATGTTAGCCATTCGTTGATGCGGCTCTTAGTACAAGATACTCGCTTATCAACATTAACCTCCTTCCTTTCAGTATCTCCAATCCACTTCAAATTCGAGTCATCTTTCCTGTGACTCCATCTATATTAGTCATATCTTTCTTTGACCGGAGTGTTTAAATATCGGCATCCTCAAGTTTTGGATTTGTAATCCTGCCCGAACATCAATCACTTATATACTTTTCCGGAGCGAGCACACGGACCCCGGCTGACGTTGCGGAGTCCAAATCATCGGTTCCCCGAATCCACCAGCACCACACCCGGCCAGAATGATCATCAACGGCTCCGGCGCCGGCCGCCAGCCCTCATCCGAATTGGTGAATGGCAACAAAACCGAACAATCGGCTCGCCATTTTCATTCCAACTCCAACGATGTCAGTGCTTTGGAGACGCTTGGTCCCGCAGCCAAGCTAACGGACGCCGACCCTTCTGAAATCCCGCCTGCATCAGCTCCCGGCCGGCAGAATGCAGTCACCATTAACGACATCCTGGAAAGACGTGCCAAAGCCGGCAGGCTCATTGCACCGACCGCTTCTTACTCCGATAGCGACATGTTTAAGGGTCCGGTATGTTTCATGTCATTGAACCCTAACCCTCTATCACTTACACGGGCCCTCGACGGAAAGGGGGGGAGGTAACTGACTTATTTTCAACTACTATAGCAAGTGGGCAAACCTAAATCCCAGTCTATGGACCGTAAGACTCTCCCTTGATCCAAGCACTTCTGCCAAATCATATAAATTAACACACACAACCAGACCACCTCTCCCCCGAATCCCTCTCCCGCCACCCCTGCGCCCTCAAACAAGCCGCCCGCCACCTCAAAACCCCCGGCCTCATCTCCCTCGGCGGCGGCCTTCCCTGCGCCGAGTACTTCCCCATCGAATCCATCACCCTCAAAGTGCCTACACCCCCTCACTTCTCCGAAGCCGCCACTGCCTCTTCGGGTGCCGAAGTCCGCATAGGCAAGTACGACGTCACCGACCCTCTCATCCAAGGCACCTACGACCTGTCCATCGCGCTCAACTACGCGCAAGCCACGGGCTCCGCGCAGCTGTCGAGGTTCGTCACCGAGCACACTGAATTAGTCCACAACCCGCCTTACAGCGACTGGCGGTCCTGCCTGACGGTAGGCAGCACGGGTGCTTTGGAGCAGACTCTTCGCATGCTCTGCGACGGGCCGGGGAGGGGTGATTGTTTGTTGACGGAGGAGTATTCCTTCTCCACGGCTTTGGAGACTGCGAACCCCTTGGGGGTGAAGGTGGTGGGTGTCAAGATGGACGAGCAAGGGTTGTTGCCGGAAGCGATGGATGAGCTTTTGTCCGGGTGGGATCCCAAGGAGAGGGAGGGCAGGAGGAAGCCGCATGTGTTGTACACGGTGCCGAGCGGACAGAATCCTACGGGCGCCACGCAGGGGTTGGAGAGGAGGAGGGAGGTGTATGAGGTGGCGAGGAAACATGATTTGTTTGTGATTGAGGATGAGCCGTATTATTATATCCAGATGCCGTTGGAGACGGGGGCGACCACGGCCGCAAAAGAAGGCGAAGAGGGCGCAGACGGTGAGGGCAAAGAAGAAGAAGAGACGGTGGAATCCTTCATCTCCTCCCTCATCCCCTCTCTCCTATCCATGGACGTCGACGGCCGCGTCCTGCGCATGGATTCCTTCTCCAAGGTGGTCGTACCCGGCTCGCGCGTCGGGTGGGTGACGGCCTCGGAGCAGATCATCGAGCGGTACATCCGTCACGCGGAGGTGTGCAACCAAGGGCCCAGCGGCATCTCGCAGGTGATCCTGTACAAGCTGCTGGACGAGCAGTGGGGACATGAGGGGTACTTCAAGTGGTTGATGAATCTGAGGGGCGAGTATACCAAGCGGAGGGATACCATGGTGGCGGCGGTTGAGAAGTTCTTGCCGAAGGAGGTGGTGAGCTGGAGTGTGCCGGTTGCTGGCATGTTTGTAAGTTTGCTTCAATCCTGTTGCAGCAATCTGCATTCGTCCTTTGACGATACTAACATAATTTTTTTTCTAGTACTGGCTCAAGGTAGATCATACCCAACACCCGGGTATTCAGGCTGGAAGAACCATTTTGGAAGTCGAAGAGGAGATATTCGACTCTTGCATAGCAAAGGGCGTTTTGGTTGCTCGAGGATCCTGGTTCCGCGCTGAACAAGATACGGAACCAAATGAGCTTTTTTTCCGTGCGACGTTTGCGGCAGCAACGGCTGAGAACATGACGGAGGCGATTAGAAGGTTTGGAGAGGCCGTTAGAGAGAGTTTCAAGTTGTGATCAAGGCCAGGCAGGGCTGGTCATCGATGGAGCTTGATTAGGTGCAGAGCGTTTCTTTTGGATACGAGCACGACATTGACATATAGCGAGCTTACAATGGCTGGTAGCAAAGTAAATTAGAGTAGTAAAATATTCCACTAAGAACTACTGAATTAGAAGCAGAGAGATAAACCGCCCAGCCGCCTAGAATGCCATATTCCCACTTGACAGGTTTATCCGATGCTAATATTTCAAATCACTCCCGCTTCGCCTCAAAGAACGCAACCTTGACTCCATCACCAGGCATCAAGACAATATCACTCTTCATCCTTGGCTTGCCTCCATCAATCTCATCCATGTAGCTCACCACCCTCTCGTACCGCTGGAATAGTCGCGTGAGCACATATCCCATTTCGGTAAGGGCGAATTGCTGGCCAATGCAGATACGCGGGCCACCGTTGAACGGGATATACTGCCATGGCTTCGGCTGCCAATGGAACCAGCGGTCTGGAGAGAAGACATCGACATCTGGGAATTTCTCGCTGATGGGAGGGTACAGATCGGATCGGCGTTGCATGACGAGAGTGCTATAACCGATGGGTGTATCCTTGAGAATGGCAATCGGCTGAGAGCCATCGGGACCACCACCACGGGGGAGAGTAGTATCCTTGAGGGCCATCCGTACACTGTACACAAGAAAAGGTTAGGAAACCATCATCTTGTTAGGAAACGTGTTTTGGAGACTTACTTGAAAGGAACTACGGGGTACAGCCGCAGAGTCTCGTTCATGACATTCTGAAGGTACTTCATGCTCTTGAGATCGTCATATGTGGGAGCGCGGTCAGGTCCGACAACGGAGAGGATCTCGGCGCGTAGCTTCGCCACAGTTTCGGGATGGCGGGCGAGCTCGTAAACTGTCCATGAGAGGGTGCAAGCGGTTGTGTCACGTCCGGCAAGGAGAACGGCCATCAGCTGGTCGTGCAACACTTGGCGGTTTTTGGTGAAACCAGCAAGGGCATGGAGGAAAGTGTAACCCTCGTCTCCCTTGGACTTGCTCGCAAGCTCCTCCTCATCAAGTCGAAGGGCGCGCTCGATGTAGAAGTTGATAGTTTCGTCGATGACTTTCAATCCTTCCCAGAAGGTCTTTCTCGGCACCAAACGGTTGAGAGGTCCGGCCCTGGCGATGACGCTCTGTACCCGTTGTACCTCCTGGAACGCATCGGCAAAAGGTTGTACAGGGGTGCTATTTTCTGTCAGCAGCCTAACATAAAACAAGAGAGGCATTGGGTAGGACAAACCTCAACGACTTGATATCTTTGCCAAGGAGGAAATCGGTGGCGGCGTCCAGAGTGTAGCGAAAGAAGAGATCGCTGATATCGACCGGCTTCCCGTTACCAGCTTCCATATCGACCATCTGATCCTCACCACTTAGGGCTCCTCCATTGGCGATTGTGCGGAATAGCATTTGCATATGATTCTCAAAACATTCCAAGTCACTGACACGGTCCTTGATGAACTGGGGACGGATCAGTTGACGGCTGGCGTGCCAGATATCGCCATCGGTCGTGAAGATGCTGTCACCCAAGAAATCCTTCCACTCCCGATGGAAGCCTTCGCCCTTGCCGTAGTCTCCAAATTGGGTGGCCAGAATGGCCTTGATGTTTTCCGGCTCCGAGGTAAAAACGATTCGACGACCAACAAGCCTGACCTCGCCAGTGTATCCACCGATGCTTCTGAACATCTGCTGCCAAAGCCGGAGGTTTCCGTGCTCAGCTGCCATCTTGATGGTGGTCCTGATGAACTTGGTGCCTTTGGGATGGTTAGTATGGTCTGATCTTTTTTTGGACGATGTAGGGGGGTAACTCGCCATAAAGTCCAGTGTCTCGGATCTTGGGAGGCCGCAAGCCCATTCTGTTGATTCTGAAGTTTTCCCATACTACCTGCAAATGTCTGAGGGCAATCAAACCGAGAAGCAGCCCTCCAAGGATGATCGGGGTATTCTTCAGGGAGAGGCTCCCAGCGAGGTCTTCGACTAAGCCCATTGTGACTGTAATAATGGTATGAGAGCAGGCTCAAAAGCCTCCCTCCGCCGCGTGGAATAACAAGAGGTTTTGAAAGTTCTGGGAAGACTTGGATCACGGCTTCAGTGAAGTGAAGTCAAAGGTATGATAGGATCATAGGAAGGTGGAGAGCATATAACCAAAGGGTGAGTAAAAAAGGACGAGATCACTAGTCTCCCCGATGTTGTTTGGAGAGTAGGACAGAGAGTATAGAAAGAGAAGAGTACAAAAAAGAGGAGGGGCATCAAATTCTCTTTAACGTAGTAGATCTCTGTCGTACCTGCTCTGCAGCCAAGCGGAAGGGTACAAAGGTGGCAGGCCGGGGTTGAACGGGGCAACAATAGTGAATAAGAGACACGAGGAAAAGCAGGTCTTGGAAACATGGGGCATGTCTAGTAACCCCAGGTTCGGATATTATCCAAAGACGCCAACGTGATGTTCCCGTTGAGTCTGAGACAATTTTCTGCGCATTATGGACGACAGCGTAATGGGACCATTCCGACGGAATGATCCCGAAGACCCCCCTCCCTTACCCTGGTAGAATCACCTCATGGCCATGCTGTTGGTCACCAAGAAGATATTGCACACCTTGACAGGCGGACCCCCATCGGCGATATAGGGTTGGACGTCATGAACCCCGTAGCATGGCACAAAGAAAGCCATTGGAGGATGGCTCGGAGCCCTGGAGCCTGGAGGGTGGTGATGTCCGTTGTGGTGGGAGTCAAGAGTTGTCGAGCAAGAAAGAATGGAGGTTGATCAGTACCTGTAGGCCAACCCGCACGGTCCAAGTGATGGACATCCGTGGCCTGTGATTCGCATTCCTGTGAAGGCAGTGCCGAGGCTCTCATGTCGAGAAAGATCTGAAAGAGGGGAAATGGTCGGGAAGCGGCGCAATGGTCAATCCGCACTTTCCAGTTCGCGTACAAGCGAGATGTGCGACGGCAGCACGGCGTAGGAAGGTACAATTTAACTGTGTAGCATCGAGGACGACTGGCCCTTTCTCTTTAGTGTAGTGTTGTTTCCTGGACACAGAGTTTGTAGATCCGGGGTCGAATGATAGCGGCCGGGCTGTGAGCGGGCTCCGCGGGTCTGTCTTCCATCCATCTGGAGGTTCAACACCATGCCCGGCATCAAACACCGATTCGCAGTTATACGTTCGGCGTGTGTTTCTATCCGTCGGACCGTTGCACGACGTCAACTAACGTGATGAGAGTTCCACCGCCAAGAAGCATGAAGGTGGGAGCCCCATTACGGCAGCGGCCGCCAGCATCGTCAACTTTCTGAGGTTAGCAAGCACCTTGAATCTTCAAAGCCTAAACCTGGCCTCTTGTACTACCTATCTGGTGGTACATCTCTGGTGCTACTATAGATACCGGTCTGCACAACATCGCACATCAGAATATTCGGCACGTACCAGAACTCCGAGTGTGCGTTTGTGGCGCTTTTGTCTTTCTTCTACGATGTAAATGGCGTCCCATCATTCTGGGAATGCCTTTCAAAAGAAAAATGGGAGATTTTAAGTGTACGGGTTGGCTTGAGCAGAAGTCTGCAATGTCAAAAAGGCCAGTGTCAGACTGCCAGGTACGATCCTCACTTCTCCACAAGAAGCCCCTTGAGGCTCCGCAAAACGTGATCTGCTGCTCCACAGCGGAAGCAGATTGGCGGGCGGCCGAATCTTCAGTGGATACCTGCACTTCTGAGACCCACTTACCCCATACTTCCTTCTGTCCTATGATTTTATGATTTGTTTGCTTCATCGATAGGACAGTTGACTTTGGAAAGCACAACAAAAGAGTCGTTGGGAAAGTGCGAAGAAACAACTCGGCGCGGTTCCAGCCATATCGATGTCTCCTTCAATATTTGGTACTCCTTCAACGAACCTTCTCGGCCGAGATGGCTCACTGCAGTGATTGCCCTACTCGTGCCTCCGGGTCCTCCGTCTGGCTTGGGTTTTTATCTTTCACCCCCGTGACACCACCATTCAACATCATCGACACATCACACAATGGGCAGGCAGGCAAGAATCCATAGACCGCTGTCACAGATGGATGACTTCTCGGATGCTGCACCCCGCAAATCTCCAGATCCAGAACTTCAGATGATCGCTTCTTTGGGGCTGGGCGCTGCAAACCCCGACTCTTTCGTCAACCATACCATCCTCGTTTTGGTCACAAAGGTTAGTCGCTTCGGGATCATCCCGACTCTGGTGGACAGCCAAAGACATCCCTTCAAAACATCGCACCGGCCTTGGACCTGCAAAAATGGCCCCTATCTCTTGTACGCGCTTAAACCCCTCAGACACATCAAGGTATACAACCTTTATCTCTGTGCCAGGAAAATCTAGTGGTTGGGCTGGAGTAGAGCCTGCTGGACAAGTGTTACAGAAAAGCCATGATATGTGTTGCAATTTTCGAAACGTTCCGACATTGACTACGACTATGTTCACAGCTAGAAGAAAAAACATAAGCAGCGCAAGGCCCGCCTCATCCCTTAATGCGCTGTGAAACCAAAGAACGCCCGTCACTCCCAATTTGATTGATTCATCCTTGTTCAGCAACGGCACGGTCGAGTCACCACGCGGCCCTCCGTTCCGTTCTCAAACCAGCGGATACTCGCACGACTTGCCCGTCGGATCCTGCGTGCACCACGTCATGTACACGGACGACGACTGCACGCCCCTAGCGACCAAGCGCTCCCTGAGCTCCGACAGCCTCGGCGCCGCATCGAGCTGCGTCCGGTTCTGGCCCGTGGCCGGGTCGATGCGTCCGGACCAGAGGACCTCGCCAGCAACGCTAGCCCGCGGCCAGATGATGGTATCGAGGGTGATGGGGTCGATGGACTCGGCCCACACGGCCACCTCGCCGCCGAGGACGAGCTTGGCCTCCTCCTCGGTCAGGTTGGCGGCCGGGTCGTGCGAGTAGACGTGGCGCCAGCTCTTGTAGGGGTTGCACCAGTCGAGGAAGGGCGAGAAGGCGGCGTAGCCGGCGTTGTCGAAGTTGAGCCATTGGCCGCGGCCGCAGTCGAGGTACTGTGTTTGGAAAGGTACTTGTTAGCTTTTTTCTTTGCTTTCTCATGCCCTCAAGTTTTCAAAGGTTTGTCTTTCAGGCTCCAGACACCAGGATGCGAATCAACTTACCCAAAAGTTATAGTTGCTGTCAATAACCTTGTGGCCTCTGCTGGTCAAGTTCTTGACCGAATCCGATCCAAGCCACGTCTGCACCACGACATCCTTGCCGATATTGACGTTCCAGTCAATCGGAATTTCCTCCCAGGTGAGGGGAGTCAAGCCCTGTTTCCGGATGCGCTCGTGCTGCTTGTCGACGAACTTCTGGAGCAGCGGGCGCAACACCTCGGTATCGTTCGACTTGATGCCCTCGTCCAGCATCGAGTCGTTCCTGTTCAGCTCGTCTCCGCCAGTGTGGAAGTAGGCCGAGTACGGCGTAACGCGGGGCAGCACGTCGTCCCACAGCTTTCCGAGGAAGTCGTCGACCTTGGTGTCGTTGAGCTTGAAGGCGCCGCAAGGAGGCTCAGCGCAGTACCACTGATACGGCCACTGGTCATATGCGACGATGATGTCCGGGTGCGAGAGCGACACGGACCCGATGTGGCCCGGCATGTCGATCTCAAAGTATACCTGCACGCCCCGAAGGGCGCCGTACTTCTGAATGGCGTCGATGTCGGCGGGCGAGTACGTCTGGCTCGGGTGGTAGGCGCCCTTCTCGGCCAACTCGGGCATGGAGATAATCTGGAGCGGCCACGACTGCGAATCGGTGACGTGCACGTGCAGCCGGTTGAGCTTGCTGGTGGCCATGCCATCAATGGTCCGCAGGATGTTCTTGACGGGCATGAATGTGCGCGCAACGTCGAGCAAGATGCCGCGGTGCGGGTACTTGGGCTTGTCCTTGATCTCGACGGGCGCGTACGGCGTGTACCACGAGGTGCCGGTCGAGTGCTGGTAGAAGAGCTGCGTGAAGGTCTCGAGGCCGTGCAGCACGCCGATATAAGAGTCGGCCGTCAGCTTGACATCGCCCTCGGCGCTGAGGGTGAGGCTGTACGCTTCGCTGACCTCGCCAGCCAGTGCGGGCTTGAAGGTGGTGTTGGCATCTTTGGTCGTCTGAACGATCTCGAGCGACTTGATCCACTTCTGACCCTTGTACACGTCGGGCTCGAACTCAGACAGCTTTCCGCGGGGCTGGAGCATCCAGGGAACGAAGTTCTTGGAGAAGATGGAGCCCAGCGCGCGCGAGACGCCATCCTGGACGATCTCTTTGCTGTTCAGGCTCGAGGCGGGGTAGTCTGCCGTGTAGACGAGCTGTTGTTGCGCTGGTGTCTTAGTAAAGAGACCCTCATAGCCCGAACCATCAGGTCCGCACACGTTGTTGGGTGGAGAGGGAGAGAAAGAAGAGGAAGAAGAGGAGGAAGTTGAGAGCCTTACAGGTTCTCCATTATAGGTTATGTTGATATTCTGATGCAGGTACAGACTCGAGTTGCCCTTGGTGAAGCTCTGCGGTGCCGGCCATATCGCGGATACCGGCTCGAGGAGGGCAACGAGTGAGACTGCAAGCAGCCTCAGCGAGGGCGTGAAGACCATCTCTTGACGATCAGTTCGGGGTGTTGTGAACTCTCGTTGAAATTGTCGATCTCGGTTATTTGACGGGGGCAGTCACGATATATGGGGTGACGCAGATGTCAGGCATGAACGACCTGAACCAGAGGTACGAGGTTGTTGAAGTGGAGGACGAGGCCCCGAGAATAAGCAAAAAGGTTCCCTTTGTAAGAACGTTATACAAGGGGCCAAAACTCGGTAAACAGACTGAAGGGCAAAGAAGGAGTGGCTTGGTTTTTATATATTGGATGAGAGAGTGATCATCCGAAAAGCAGTTGAACCTTTCATCGTAAGAAGGGCCGGTGACCAATCGGACAGGGGTATCTGAATGCGCTTGAATGGATGAGTGGTACCCCGGAGGCCCGCCCCTTGTTGTTGTGTTGCAACACAGCAGGTAGGTAAAGACGGGATGGATCATGGATGGCCATCCGACCATCCTGCTGTCTTGTCTTGTCTTGTCTCTGTCGAGAAACCTGCATGCGCCCGATCCTCTATCATACAGTTTAGAAGTGTTACCTAAGCCTAACTGCCCTGTTAGGGGCTTGCTGTTGTTGTTGGTTCGTTGGCAAGACTGAATTGTTGGCAGGTAAGTAACTAGTTCTAGTAACTAGTAACCAACATGGTACACCAAAAAGAAACATGCGAGAGAGATGCGATGCAACGAACAAGCGAGCGCCAAATGGATTAGGTTGGATGACAAGACTAGACTCGGTGGTGGATCACCACATCACAGCCGCCATTAAGGTCAGGTACGTCAGATCAGGTAGACGGGGCAGTACAATGGGGAATGCTGACCCCTAACAAACCTCCATGGATCAAGTCAAGAAACAGAAACAAGAAACAATGGACAAAGAAGAAGCTGTAAAAAAAAGCCATGGGATGCCGTGATATCGATCGGACCGCCAAAAGCCACCAAAAGATGGAAGGGATGTAACCCTCCGTACGCAGTACGCAGTAAGTGGGAACGCTACAGGTCCTATCCCCTTCCAGCCCACGGCAGCCAGCCCATCTTTGCTTGTGCTGTTCTGAAACTGTTTTTGTTCAGTTGGAGCGGAAAGGAAGCTGAAAGGGATTGGAACAATCTGCGACGGCTGACCCGTGAGATTTTCTTTGTCTGTCTCTTTTGTTGTTATGATTTCTGTTGTTTCTGATTTTTTGTGCCGATTTGTGCCGTGTGTGATTAGTCGGAAGTATAGTAGATGTGATGTCCAAACATTCTCTTGTTGGATGTACATCCCGTCGCTTTGGAGGATGTGATGTGGTTCGCCTCGGTGTTTTCCACAAGAAGCAGCTGCTGTTGCAATATACCGTAGTGTACCTTGACATTGGCGCAACGTTACGTCAGAGAGATTTTAAGCTTAGTGGACATCGGTATAGGAACAAGAGCTTCATGGGACATGGAGACGCCTTTTTTCGAGGTGGTCGGTGGCTCGGTGCCGGTAGGTGGTGGCTCGGTGCCAGTAGGTGGTACCTACGTAACCGGTAAGGTATACCGGTACCCGTGGGTGTGAGGTCGGCCTTGTCTCGCTACACCCACTCTCTTGCAGAGAGTGGGTAAAAAAATCCGTAGACAGAACAAAACCCGTAGACAGCCAAAACTTGCCAATATAACCCTAACCCCAAAAGAGCATCTCCATCATGAGGGATGTGATGGCAGATGGGATCTGTCATCGCAACTATATAAGACCACTTAAGCGACCGAAGTGTCAACTTCGATTATTTGTATCCTTTTGCGCGGGAATATAGTCTGGTTGGTGTAGTGGTCTGCCGGCGCAAAAAAGCGGTAGTATGGGATTTAGACATTGGCTGTCTACGGGTTTTGTGCTGTCTACGGATTTTTTTACCCACTCTAAGAGAGTGGGTGTAGCGAGACAAGGCCGACCTCACACCCACGGGTAAAGTCGTGGTGCGGAGAATTATAGGTTGAGGTCCGCGGACGATGGGCCCCAAGTACGGTTAGTTACACCACAGGGCAGCTTTTGCTGGGCGGTAAGCCATGCGTTATGCTCTCTCTCCCTGGGCTCTTGGCTTGGCTGTGAGCTGAATGGAAATCTTGTGATTCCATGCCACAATGAATTGCGCCCCGTTCGCAGAGGAAAGAGAGCGAAAGATCGTGAGTCGCCATTTTCTGTTGGTCGTTGATGAAAAGCCTTTGGGCGGCAGTGTTTTGAGAACTAACACTCTTGTGGTTTGATGTCTGGGCGTCTTGGCGACCTGCGACCTACCAACAGCTAGACTGACTAGAATCCCCAAAGTCTTTCAGGCTTCAGGCGTCACCGTAGGCCAGAGGAGAGTCTTACTGACAGGAGGAGATTCGCGATGCAGAGAAAATGCCCTACGAGGCCGAGTGCGAGAGGGAGATCGGCATAGGCTGGCCGCTAAACGAAAGGATTGGCGGTGATACATATCTCCAGTGAATCTTTGGGTCGGAGGCGGGGCAATTAACCACGAATGACCGCGGATGCTGACCCGAGGCGGCACTCGACATGTTATGGTCGTATGAACGCCATGAGGTGCGTTCGGATGGGAGCCCACAACTGCGGTTGGGTTCGGGGTTGGAGAAGCCGAGAAGGAGACCACGATACTTTGATGGCCGTACCTATCACACACATTCACGATACCTCCTCCGTGCTTCTGGTACCTCTAGCTCGAGCCTCAACGTAGGCCTAAGGCGGTGTTCTGCCATACCGGCATACTCTGCCTCGTAGTGACAGATCTCGAGGCCGGCCCGGGTCGTTGGTTGGCTACTGTCCTCTCTCCTGTTTACTTATTAGCAAAGCCGCAAGGGGCAGCGTCTGGAACGAGGTTGTCTTGTCCAACGAGCACTGGTGCTTTCTAAATAATCTTTGGTGGTTGCACCGCAGTTAGGAGGATCCTGTTGTTCGGCGCCACTCAGCTGCCATACTTGATCTGTAACACGCTCGTCCGTAATAAGCCACGATGCATTTCTCTTTTCCTCTCTTCTCTTCCTGCTGATCTGAGACCTGGATGGAGGATGAACATGCTTGCTGTATCCGTAGAGGTAAGAGAGGAAGTAAAGGCATCGGTTGCTGCTCTGCTGCCCGAAGTTTTCCAAGCTGTTTCCACCATGGTTCGGCGCAAATTATGGCCAAGCATCTTGACCTAGCAGAATACCACAACATCGATATCCCGTCAAAAGTCCACCGAGAGAGGGAATCACGCGGGGCTATCAGTGTTGTGAGCTGGGTAGAACTTGTCTGATATAGCGGTAGACGGTGTCGAAAGTTGGAAGTATGAGGGGGATCGGAGTCAAGGTAGCTCGAGGCTCGAAGCTGCATCGTCCATCTTACTAGTCCAGTCAAATGGTGAGTATTTCCCCAGGCATATGATATTTGGTTCCTGTAGAGATTTACAGATGTCGTCCCTCGGGCGAACATGCTGCGGAAGTGGAAGACGGGAATACTCCGAGCAAGCACCGTTGTACGTTGCACCCATGGAAGACGTGCTTCCCCGCTGCAAGGTTTTGAAAGCTAGCACGGCTAGGTTGTAGGTGGACCGTGCGATAGTACTAACCGGCTAACGTCGAATGTGCGCGTACGGGCATGCAAGGTGAAGTCGATCAGATTGTCCGAAAATGATCAATGACTTCATAACAAAGGCGGGTAGGGTGCGTTCGCAGTATGTATGCGAAATCCCACGCACGTACAAAAAAAAAAAAAAACCCTTGGGATCAAGTGATGATGGTAAGTGACTGGGTACCGCATCAACTCTCGAAATCGAGGTTCGGGTAAACACTTTTCACGCAGGCACAAGCAGGATTAAAGGTGTCGGTCACCTATGTACATGCTTCTTCACTACTTCTTTACACCTTTAACCCTGCTTATGCCTGCGTGAAAAGTGTTTACCCGAACCTCGATTTCGAGAGTTGATGCGGTAATTGCTAGCAAACAGGCTTTTCTTGTTCAAGACGGGAACATCACCAAGCGTATCGGTATTGTAAATCGATAGCATTCAGTGCTAAAGTACCTGCGCTGGAACTTGTACTGGTAGCCGCACGCCGCAATACCCTTGAATCCGAACACGGCAGGTATGTATCATGTATAATGTATGTAATAGCAATAGCCGGTTTAGACATTTTCCGGAGTTGAAGAAAAGAAAACACCGTCCAACCGGCTGATACCAATTGCTACTTTGCTGATTAAAAGCGAGTCAAAAGTGACGGAACGAAGCGGACCGGACTGGAGTTGCCCAGTTCCTTCCATTCTCCTTGACAAAGCGGTTCCTTCAATGGAAGTGAAGGAACTGAACCAATCACGTATTACCATTACACTCATCCTAGCCACCGACAAGCCACAGGCGGCACCTTACTGATCAGACACCAGCCACAGTTGTCAAAGCAAGTCTCAAGCACGTTCAGTTCTGCTCGGCTTGGAACCAGGCATCAAGCTCCAATCTTAAAATCTTCATCTTCAAATCAACCTACACGATCTCTCAACCTAACATCTTACGACCCGACAGCGTTTGTATCGTTAGTATCTGAGCGCAACTCACGACCTTTTCGATAACGACCTGGCTTCCTCTGCACAGAACCGCTGCACGAGCCCCGACCGACTGTCGCTTTCAACTTTCGCGTTCTTGACAGAGCAAGACAGGTCTGCACCGCCTGCGGCCTTCCGCTGACCGATTTCGCCGCCGCCATCTCGACACGAACTCGCCAGCTTTCTATAGTCGTCAGCTCCCCGTCGTGAACGTTCAAACCCCAAAACGACCCTTCTATTCCCGACCTTGCGCCTTCGTTCGTCATCGTCCCAATACGCCACCCCACCGATCGTGAACCATGGCCACCGAACTCACCACTGGCACCCCTCTGGCGGATGCCCTCAACAATGCCATCCAGGAGAAAATAGTTGAGGTGGGCTGGGCGGGCAATACCACCGAAGCCGCCCCTATGGCCGAGTACCTCGTCCTCATGCTGGCCAACGGCAAAACACAGGATGAAGTCGCCGCGGAGATTTCTGGCGACCTTCTCAGTCTGGGACCTGACGACCCGACCGCATTGCACTTCGCTCAGTGGCTCTTTGAGCAACAAAATGCCCTCATTCCACAGTACAGCTCCGCGCCTGAACCCGTAGCCGACGAGCAGGGTGCGATGGATACGGCACAAGACAATTCAATGGGCGACTTCAACATGGACGTCACAACAGACGGCTCTGGCAATGAGCTTAACGCGTATGTCACATCTTCATCAACCCTCTCCGGACCTGGTACCCTGCTAACATCGCAAAGTCCTACTGGACCCAAGGCTATGCGGAACGGAAGCGGCAACGGCATGCGTGGTGGACGGGAAAAGCGTATTATGGGCCAGATCAACCGTGCTATGGACAGGACTCACGATCCCAACGCCGCTCTGCATCGCGTTCGCGGCCAGTCTGGAAACGAGAGGATAGCGCGAGGCCCTCCTACAGGCCCGAGAATGGGCGTTGGAAGACAGCCACGCACGACGAACACACGTGTCGCCAGCATCGCGCAAGGATTGGCGAACATGGGCGGCCCTGCCGGCCCTGGTGGTATGGGCCCGATGAACCCGATGAACGGCATGAATGGTATGGGTGGATTTGGCCAGCCGGACATCATGGCGATTATGGAGCAGCAAAGGCACATGTTGCAACAGATGCAGATGATGATGCAACAAAGTGGTGTTGCTCCCAACGGTCACGGCCCCCATGGACATGGTCGGGGTCACGGACGGCCGCTATATGAGCGCACTAGCCGGCCAAACTTCCGCCGTGGTGGAGGATTTCAACCTGGCGGTCACCAACACTCGCAGGGCTCGGATGCCGGTCAAGGCGACGCTGCTCAACAAGGCCAGCAGGCCGGTGAAGATGTCGATATGATGCAACCGAAGCGCGAGCCCCCCAATCCCGAAGAGACGGTCTGCAAATTCAACCTTCGCTGTTCCAACCGGGATTGCAAGTTCGCCCACCAGTCTCCGGCGGCGCCGCCCAACATCCCAATCGACGTGAAGGACGTCTGCAGCTTCGGAGCGGCTTGCAAGAACCGGAAGTGTGTCGGCCGTCACCCATCGCCGGCGATCAAGGCGGCGCATCAGAGTGAAATGGACTGCAAGTTCTTCCCCAACTGCACCAACCCTCACTGCCCATTCAAGCACCCTAGCATGCCCCCCTGCCGAAACGGCGGCGAATGCAAGGTGCCCGGATGCAAGTTCACCCACGTCAAGACGCCTTGCAAATTTCACCCGTGCACCAATCGATTCTGCCCTTTCTCGCATGAGGAGGGTCAACGCGGTACATTCCAGGATAAGGTCTGGGTAGCCGGCGAAGGAGGCGAGCAACAGCACGTCAGCGAAAGGAAGTTTGTGGATGAGAACGCCCCAGAAGACGTAGTCTTGCCTGGATCCGAGGACCAGCAAGCGGACGCCAACATGCCTGAGGTTGTCGTGTGAGTAATGGGGCGAAGCAAGGAAAAAGATGGGAATGTTCAAGGCAGATGCCATTTACGAGAGATGTGGCAGTTGTGCAGGAAGGGAACTGGACCAGAAGAAGTTGGTTGGTACTCAGGAGGGTGTTTTGGTTCTGTATTATATCACTGGGATGTCTGGGTCAAAGACTGGATGCTTAGATTTATTCATGATTGCTGTCCATGCGGCGTTCCGGCAGGAAGGGGTTAGCATACAATTGGAATCCAAGGAAGGCGTCGACTTTGTCTACATGTTTACTATACTGACTAGGGTGTTCTATATTGGAGGAGGGCATACCTATGGCACTGGAAGGGAACAAAGGAATTGGTCCCCGTAGCGTAGCAGCATTTGCAAAGTTTTCAGCGAATAGCTACAAACATTATACCTTATTTATTACAGCACTTCCTGCATGGGTGAGTGTGTCTCGATTCTACGTGTGATATCCTGTGATGACCCGGCCACGACCGGCTTGCCCGGCAGTTGGAACGGTGGTGGTGGCATCACCATGACCGGCGGAACGGCTCAACCCCGGCCTGGTCTGCCGTGGCTCGACCTGTCAGGCCACTCAGAGCGGGTTAGCGTGCCGAGGAGGGGTGGCCTTGCCGGAAGCCAATTCTTTAGATTCTTGTAACTGGACCTGTCCACCCCGCACCTTCGTTTCAATTTCTTTAACATCATTTTCTTTCTGTAAAATCTGTTTGCCAAAATCTCTTAAAGGCTCGGGATTCAGTTGTGCGTTCCAAGAACTTGGGCGGACAGACACCCACGCAGATCAGTCCACCAAGATCGGATAGCAGTACAAGGTCCCTTGCATGCTGTGCTTCACATGCATGGTGGCCCCTTGTTCTTCCCGTCAACAAAAACCTAATTTCAACTCTTCGGCCCGGCGACATCATCGAACGCTTGTCGACGATAACAAGCTCCTGCATATCTAACCCAAGGCCAACACGGCGCGCCATTGAACGGCGCGGGATGAGGACCACGAAGGCCTTAAGTTTCTCATGATGTACAGTACCAGTCAGCGCAGTCTGGCGCGCAACACGCGACGTTGCGTCAGCAGCAAGTGGGCGCAACCAGCAACCCTATCGCCTTCACGGCTCGCGAGCACTTGTGCTTTTGGCTCCGCCGTAACCACCAGCAAGAGGCACAATGCAACCTCCTCCGCCCTCGCCGCCACCGGCAAGACCCGATCCTACTCGACGTCGGTAACGACGCCAACAACAGAGGTCCCGAGGGATATCGCGATCCTGGGAGGTGGTCTGACCGGCTTGGCCACGGCCTTCTTCACTCACATCTACAACCCCGATGCACGCATCACGGTCTATGAGGCGTCTAACAGGCTCGGCGGATGGATTGACACAGAGGAGGTCACGGTCAAAACCCCGTCAGGCGAAACCGGCAAGGTCCTGTTCCAGCGCGGTGGCCGCATGCTCAAGACCATGAACGACAAGGCCAGGTACGATGATTTGGTCTTCTGGAAGTTAGTATGTACAGCCTCTGCGGGACGCCGGTAGGTACTCGGTAGCTCCCTGGGTTGGACTGTCCTGGCTAACCTGCTTTGATTTTGTCTGCCATTAGGTGAGCGCACTCGAGCTGGAAAACGAACTTCAAGTTAGGAGCAAAGACGAGCCTTTGGGCAACTACATCTATTACCCCGATCATCTTGTCGCCATGCCGCAGCCCATCTTTGACCAGAATCGACCCCTCGATTCTGCAGATTCAATCCTTAAAACGGTGGAAACACTCTTAAAAGAGCCCATTTTTAAGGGTGCAGTTCCGGCCGCTATGAAATACTTTTTCAGGGGCGGGCGCAAATTGACGCTCAAAGACGGAGAAGATCTATCGGTCGGCGAGTTCTTCGGGCGCGCTACGGGAAATCGTGAGCTGATCGACAACACCCTCGGCGCTTTGATGCACGGCGTATGGGGCGGCGATATATGGAATCTCAGTATGCAGAGCGGCCTGTTCTCCAAGACGACATTACCGAGCCCCGAAAAGGGTAAAATCTGGTATCCAAGGGAGGATATAGAGTTGATGGAAAGGATGTTAAGGTACCATACCAACGTCAGCCATATGCTCCGCATTTTCATGGCCAAGGGAGAGAGCTCTGAATATATCTGGTTCAAGAAGGGCTTTAGCACCCTGACGGACGCGCTCATACGGTTCTTGAAGCATACAGGGGTCACTTTCAAGCTCAACGATCCTGTGCAATCTATCTCTCTTCACCCGTCAGAAAGGATAGCGGTAGGTTTTTTTTTTTTTTTTTTTTTTTTTTTTTTTTTTTTTTTTTTTTGGGACAAAAGCTTCTGCTGCTTCGCCAGCATCGACCAGGCTGATTATCAGCCGGTAATTTTGCGATATCATTTACTAACTCTTCACGCCAGATCAAATCCACCAAAACTGTTCAAAACGTCCTATACGACAAAGTCGTGTCAACAATCTACGCAAAGACACTAGCCGGGCTCACCGTCAACAAGCTCCCCTCCCTAGCCCGCTCGACCGCCGTCACGATCCGAGTCGTCAACATCTGGTACCCAACCCCCAACCTCAACGCACCATTCAATGGTATCGGCTATCTTATCCCCTCGACCACGCCCCACAACGAGGAGGGTGTCCTCGGCGTGCTCTTCGACTCGGACCGTGAGCACCGCGGCCGCAACTACGGCGGCGACACCGTCCCCGGCACCAAGTTCACCGTCATGATGGGCGGCCACTACTGGGACGCCGAGCCCTCCTACATGTACGACGAGAACAAGTGCATCGCCATGGCCAAGGCCGCGGTGGAGCGCCACCTGCAGATCCCCGAGGACGACGCGGCCGGCGCCGTGGCCACCACCAAGCTCTGCCACAACTGCATCCCGCAGCACACGGTCGGCCACCGCGAGCGCATGGTGAACGCGCACCACGAGCTGCTGCGGGCCTTCAAGGGCAACCTGGCCGTGGTGGGCGGCTCGTACCAGACGCCCGGCATCAACAGCGCGCTGCGCGGCGCTGCGGACATTGCGTTCGAGATAACGGGCGGGTTCTGGGGCAAATATACCGGAGAGACGGTTGGGAAGACGGGCCTGCAGCGATTTACCAGACCGATGTCGGAGTCTTGGAAGCAGGCGGAGAAGGGGGACAAGGAAGTGTTCCCGTTGAGGTTTGGGAACACTCCCCTTTCGGAATACTATGAAGAGGAAAGGGATCGTTAGGTCTGCCGCTGTAGGAAGGAGGACATGACCGGACCGGCAACGCGATGGAAAATGGATAGAAAATCTGACAAATGAATAGAATAGTCAGTGTGTACATTACAGATAAATAGAGATATAGGGAATAAGCTACCCTACCCTACCCTACTTACCCGTGGAGGGATGAGTATTCAACCGAAACTGGGGCCAGAAACGGTGTATGTACTATGGAAAGGGTCAGTATGGAGGTCCCATGTTCTCGACTCTAATATTTTGAATTGCTACCTAGTCAAATGTTCTGCGTTATTGCCTAAAGACCCGGTGGATGTTAGTTCTCGTATTCGCGCGTTAAGTAACCTCAACTCTACGACCAGTCCTCACTCACACCCACGATTATAGTGATCCATCCTCGAGTCTATTTTGAACTCGTGATCACTCGGAGGGAATGGAATGACTTTGACACAGCAAAACCCGTGTACACATACATTCCTGCCTATGGACCAGTCCTAGCAAGTCATGCAAAAGCTCAGGAAATTCAAAGTGGGAGTGGACTCGCTAGTCAACTTATCTATTGTCTTTCAAAGTAGACTTCTTCCTATTGTGTTTTGTTTTTCTGTTGGTGTCAACTATCCAGCAGCGTATTCCACACCCCACGCCATTCACTTTTCTACCAGTCAGTTAACTCCCAGCATCAAACCCGTTAACGCCGTCGGTATGCCTCTATTTCTGTGATCGTATTACAGACCGTCAGGTCTAACGCACTTGCGTATGTATGATAGAGGTGTAACCACCAACGGTTTGATAAGGATATTTAGGATTTTCATATTGGCTGGCCACTAATCTCTTCCCCCCAAGCTCGCCATGTTTTTTATTTTATTCCTTTTGAACCTCTCTCTCTCTTCAGCTAACATCACCTCCTCCCCTCTCCTAGAGCAAGTATGTAATAGAAGGGAAATCTTCCTAATAAGCTCCCAACTCCTTCCTTCCTCCCTTTTTCCTTTCCCCTTTTCCGGATGTGTAGTTAAAAATAAAGGATCAGTCAATACCAGTTAGAACTTAGAATCCGCTTTCTTTTTTTTTTTGTGGCCTCGCTCCATAAATGCCCGATAACAACACTACTACACTACGACTTATGTACATCCCATCCACCTCACCATCCGGATTTCCTTCTTATTCTTTGCTTGAAACGCCGAGTAGTTATACGTCTTTTCCTTAGTCGATAACTACCACAGGGGCATTCTTCCCACCCATACCACCACCAGCACCACCTTGACCCGGCTGTCCCTGCGGCACGCCCTGAGGACCTCCTTGGCCGTGAACGGGTCTTTGGCCTTGTTGGGCCTGGCCTTGCTGTTGGGCATGTTGTTGGGCGGCCTGCTGTTGTTGCTGTTGCTGCATTCGCTGCATCGCTTGTGCTTGTTGCTGGATCTGGTACCGCTGTTGCTGCTGTTGCTGCTGTTGTGCCTGGGTTTGAGGGCCAGGCTGCCGCTGTTGTGGTGGCTGGCCGGGATGCGCGCGGTTGACGAATCTGTTGTTGTTGGCGCGGGCTTGTGCCTGGCGCTGAGCTTGGAGCTGAGCAACCTGAGCCTGCTGGAGTTGGACCTGAGTATGGGGCTGGGCCTGAGGCTGAGGCTGGGCTTGCGGTTGGTTAACGGGCCGGTGCTGCTGTTGTGGTTGGGATGGTGGAGGTGGTTGCTGCTTCGGTCGTTGCGGGGGCATTCCCTGTGCAGCTTGTGCAGCTACTAGCTCCTGGGGTGTTTGCTGGTGTCCTTGTTTAAGATCCTGTACTGCGCCTCCTTGATGGGGAGCGGTGATGGGCGGTGGGGGAAGTGTACCGACCAGCGATTTCACTGACTCGCTGATAGACCATAACAGCGTTTCAATGCCGATCTTTGGGTCAGCAGCGGCGCTGGTACCGAAGCTTTTCCTTCCATCGCCATGAGCGTGCCATACCGACCGCTGGAGGGAGGTATCAAACTCATCCTGCGGGGCGTTAAGAGGTCGTTCGTGCCCCTTTTCATCAGTACGCTTGACGTGCCACAACAGTCTACCTTTGCGGCCCATGGTCCTGATATCAAGGCACAACAGTCGCCGAGTAGTCGGAGCAGAGAGCGAGAACCTAATCGTTACCCACTCTGCCGCTTTTACCACGATCGCCACATTGCCTGCGTTCTTCGCCGCAATGCTTTCCCACTCATCCTCGATTCTGTCCAACACCCTATACAGCGGCAGAGAGAATGGAAGGTAAGACGGTAGAAGCTCGGTCTTGGTAGACTGGGCCATTTCTTGCAACATATCTAGCGCGCGCATATGAGGGTTCCCTTTTTCGAGAGTAAGGATAACCTTGGCATCTTTGGGGAGGTCTAGGTGTACGCTCCATGCACGAGGACCCTGTGATGGACCGGAAACAGGTTCTGCTGGGTCGTTGCTGTAGGTGAAAACAACCTCGCGGAGCGCAACACTTTGAGGAATGGCGTTGCTACCAGCCAGTCTTATGGCCTCAACAAACTCCATCAAGCGTTCCAGGGCCTGTACGCGATCGGCGAGCAAATCGACTACGGGAGTACCCATATCCGCTCGCAGCTTAAGCGAGAACTGGCCGGTACGATGGTTGTACACCACATCGTGGTCTACATTTCCGCGCAGAGATTTGAACTTGTTCCTGTCGATCACGGTTAATCTAGCCTCCGCTCGGATCTTAGCTGGCGTATCGCGCCGGACCTGAGCGGCTGTGGCATCTGCTGGGCCCTCTTGGTCACCTGTGTGAGTCCGGACTCCCTTGAAGATGATGGGTACGAAGCCCTTTGCCCACGTCAAGGTACGACTGCTGGATCCAGGACGTTGTTGAAGCATTTCCGATAGCCGCACATAAATCGTAGGCAGCCTAACCTGGGGCGGTAGGCTGTGGTTTGGCAACTCGAGTGCCGTGTGTGATTTTTTGAGGGTATGTAGCTTGCGAAGATCGGTGATATGTGAAATCATGCCAGCGGCGTAGACAGACAAATTTCGGAAGAAGGTGTCCGACAACGTTAGTTGGTTGGACGTCATGGGCATTTTGGTGAACAGCCTCAGGCGGCCGGCGGGGAAGTTAGGCTTTGGTGGTGAGCTATTCAGAGTTAGCACATCATCAATCTCCAAGCTTATCTGATCAGGATTATACTCACAGGTCAACTAGCCACCATTGGTCACCACCAAGACTCATGCTCATCATGACGAACCATTGTCGTGTCATCCAATTTGCCTTTCTGAGCCAAACTGCCTTGAAAGCTTCCCGAGATCCTGAAGCATCCGAGTAGACGATAGCCTTGGTCTCTTCCTGGGTAATTGGCGGACGGCAAACAAACCAGCCTATACTCCTTACACGGCTGTTGAGATCCTTGACTGTATGGTCAAATCTTAGTTGCTCCATAAGGTTTGCGCCTTCTTCCGCCGCATTGGAACTGGTATTCAGCTTCATTTGTCCCTTCAAGAAGACCGGGGACCGCGGGAACAGTGTAAAAAAGCCCGTCAGTGGTTCGATCTTGATGACAGCCTTGTCATTGTCGAATAGTTGTACGGCCAAAGAAGAATTCTGCGGCTCCTCCTTTGAAATCTCCAAGTCAAGTCTTGCATGCTTCTGTGCAAACCGAGGTTTGCTGAGAAGCTTGCTAGATATCGATGTGAGTATGTATTCAACGTGACTTGCAATAACCGCCGTCAGGAGCTTTTCCGCAGAAATAGTCTCAACATTTAGCGGTATGTCGAAATCCTTGACCTCCTTGTTGTCGCGGAACCAACGTAGGCTGATGTAACTTGAAGGCTTCGAATCAAGGTCTCCTTCGACGCCCTTTCCGCTCCATACCCCTAGCAAAACCCAGCTCTTGGCAGTTTGTGAAGAAGGGCCCTCCAGACCGTGCGGAGGCTTGAGCCAGTACTGGATAGACATGGCACGGTTGAGTTTCTCGACCTTCAGGGTATCAACCCACCTGCCCATTGCCAGTTCCGTTGCCTGACGACGGAACTCAACAATCTTCTGAGTTAAAACGAACTCATGAAGATAGTTATAGCACCCAGCCAAGCCCTGATCGCCCAGGATTGTGTTGACTTTGTTCTCGAGGAAAGTGCGCACACCATGCGACAGCTCTGCTGGAGCAGGGGTGAAAAGAAAGCGGAAGTCGATGAACCAGAATTGCTGCTCAAAGTCCTCATCACCAATCGTCAGGTCGACTTCAAACTCTCCCTTCACTTTGAACGTGACCCTTCCGTTCGAGATGTTATAGTCACGGAAAGCAGCCGGGATCTTTTCGTGTTCGTCGAAGGTGAGTCGTACGCTTAGCATGGTATTGATGTTGTCGATAAACGCTTCTTTCTCCTCCCACGTTATAGGAGGGGGCTCGATATATCCCAACTAACGTTGTCAGAACACCAAGCCACAGAGCATAATCTGGACCATCGACTTACCTCGGGCATCCAGGACGCTTGACCAGTTGTCAGAACTTCCAGAGCCGTCTTCAGATCTGGGCCCGGCACTTTCGCCCAGTGAAGATCCTGCTTCATCCTGATCAACTCCCAGAAGAGTTCTTGGTAGTGAGCCTGTTTGGTCAACATATGTACCCTGATGTCAATCAGGGCTCCAACCTGAGCTGCCTTTTTGCTCCATTCGGTGATGACAAGGGTCTTGACCCATTTTGAATGCATATCCTGCAGGAAGTTGAGGAGATGAACCTTCTTTTCAAGACTCTCCTGCGAGGTGTCGTGATTATCCGCGGATTGGTGGTTGGTGTTGCCATTCAGGACGGCTTGTGGTAAGGGTTTGGAGGCAAGGTATGCGATCTCGTCTTGCAACTTCGTGTGAGTCCATTGTGACAATCTAGTCAGGAGTAGGCTTAGAGGCATAATATCCGCGGTGATGTGTTGGATCTCGTCTGGCAGATCGGTGAATTTAGAGCCGCCAGGCGGCTGGCTGTCCACATCCATGAAGGAGGCACCTCCGCCGTTCGTCATGGCTGAGGAGCCCGACATGTTTGCGAGAGCTTTACCCTTATCTGGCGAGCCCTCCCGCTTGGCCACGCCTCCATTGACGCCGTTCGTCCACGAATTCCTGTCGTGATGGGTGCGCACTCCGTTCATATGTCCGTTTTCCATCCTGCGCGTGCCTTACTGCCGCGCGAACAACGCTCGCCCAAAGAGCGTCCCCAGTGTCGTGTGTTGCTGAAATAATCTCTAGAAATGCAGTCGTGAAGACGGGAATCGGTCGTCAAAGTGTAACAGCTTCGGCAAATACCACGCAAGATCGGAAGCGTGTCGCGAGATATCGGGATATCGTCGGTCGTGTGACGGTCGTTACCAGGGACGTGTTGTTGATGTCCAAGTTGTAGCGAAGGCGAGAGAAGGCGAACGGTAAGAACATCCGCTGGGGAATTTCTTCGTCAAGGAGGCCCCGGGGAGCGCGCATCAAACCACGGCTCAGACGTTGAGATTGGCGCAGACAGCACGATTTCCCATCACTTCGGGTGGCGAGTTGATTGAAAAAGTTGCGTTGGTGGGCGAAAGTAGGGCGCCGTGTCGGATCGTAGTTGATGTCAAAGTGAAAGTCGCCAGCGGGTTTCAGATTTGCCCGGCAGTGGAGGTGCGCAAAAGTGGAAGGCGATCGAAAATACAACACGCGCTGGTTCGTAGAGCGAGGAAGGCGGTAGGTGAGAGCCTGGAATGGGACGCCTGCCCGAGTCGGTCACAAAATCGAATTTTACGCTAGAAACGGAGGTCAAGGGAAAAGCGACAGGTGATCAAGTGGAAGTCGAAATGCGCGTGCGCGTGGATCACTTGTCTGGTGCCTTTGAAAGGTTCGTCGCACCAGTGACAAATGCCCTCCCTGTCGGGCAGTCTGCGACGGGTGGGCGCCCAGGGAGGAAGAAGACCCATCCACGGTATGCCCTTCTCCAGTGAGGCTGGGGTCACTTCTCGCCCGGTGCAGTACCCATTGCGCAGCCAGCCAAGGAAGTACCTACCAGTACCTAGAGGTAGGTGCCACTGTGGATCTTTCAACCAACACAAGAGAGACGGCCGCAAGGCTGACCACGCCTATTGAAAGTTTGAAAATTTGGTGAATCCAACGTCGCATTAAGATACTCAGCTGTTAATGGAAAATACTCGTATTTTGCTATCTTATCCAGTTATCGATTACACATGACGTAAAATCGATATTTCAACTCACAGTTAAAGGTACGACCTAAAAAGCCCTGTTGTGTCTCTGCCCAGAAACATGGTTACTACCTTACGATATATGTTACGATACGCTCTGTGTATTGCATGGTAAATACTGCAGTACGTAATCAAACTTCGGACTGGTACCGTACCTATCCACCCGTGACGTTACAGGCCTGTGCTTTGGTTCGGCTGGCAATTTGATACAGCAACTTTAGGGTATCATACCTATACGTAGGACTGATCAATGGTTACCGTAAAGTGCACAATGCGGCAACGCTCAATATGAATGTACTGGCCATTAAGGTAAGAAGCTTTCTCTAACTACTTGGCTACTCAAATTCGGCCTCAGTATGAGATAAGACATCCCTTCACGTCTTCAACCATCCCCAGGCACAAGAGCGAGTCACTACCTGTATCCCCAACACCTATAGTAAGAAAGGAACCTCATCATAAATTGTTCTCTCCGGATCGTGAAGGACATAACAACAGCCATGCCCGCTGTTACCTATAAACCCATACATGCCTCTTTTGACTCTCATGAAATTGCTTTAATGCTTTTCCCAGCATCACATAAAAAGAAAACGCAGAAAACCCCCAGGGGAAATGGAAGCAAGATCTAGTCCCAACGTTTCTGCTCATGACGTGATACAACTGCTTCCTTTGCCAACTCATGACGCAGATTGAACCACGTGTACCAAAGCATATCCATCATCCGGAGCGAAGGGAGGATAGTGAGGACGTTGCGAATCTACAGCTTCATGCCCGACCCCATGGCGGAGGTTGTGGGCCACTGGTAGCCCGCAGCATCGCTGAATTTGTAGCCGTACGAGGCCGTAAAGTCATCCAGAACAGCCGGGCCGCGAGAACCTAGACAATGTTAGTACTGAATGTCATTCCATAGAACATCTTGGTGATCACGTACCATAAGGATACTCCATCGGGATGATTTCCTTATTATCATCGAGATAGTGAAGCAGAGGGGTAAAGATTCTCCAGCTGGCATCGAGCTCATCATCACGGACAAAGTTGGAATGGTCGCCCTTCAAGCAGTCGAGAATAAGGGACTCGTAGGCCTCGGGAATCTTGAGGTCGGAGAAGCGTCTCCTGTAGGTGAGGTCAAGCTCGGTGACAACGGTCTGCATGCTCAGGCCGGGAAGCTTAGAGTTCATCTTGATGTAGACACTTTCGTTGGGCTGAATGCGCATGACGAGTTCGTTGCGAGGAATGTCCTTGAAAATGCCCGATGTGACGTCCTTGAACTGCACGCGGATCTCGGTCTTCTGCTCGTTCAAGGCCTTGCCTGCCTTCATGATGAAGGGTACACCATCCCAACGCTCGTTCTTGATGTACGCAACTAGCGCACAGAAAGTGGGGCAACGGGAATCCTTGGGGACAGTATCGTCTTCCTTGTAAGCAGGCTTGCTTCCGTCAAGCGACCTTCCGTACTGGCCGATGATGACGTTCTTGGGCTCGATTGCCGGAATGGCGCGGAGGACCCGCACCTTCTCATCACGGATATCTTCAGCGGAGAAAGAGATGGGGCGCTCCATGGCAAGCAGCGTAAGAACCTGCAACAAATGGTTCTGCATGACATCGCGGATGATGCCGAACTCGTCGAAGTAACCACCACGACCCTCGGTGCCGAAAGGTTCCTTGAATGTAATCTGGACGTTGTCGATGTGATGCCTGTTCCAGGTAGCGCCCAGGAAGGAGTTGCCGAAACGCAGAATAAGAATGTTCTTCACCATCTCCTTGCCGAGATAATGGTCGATACGGAAGAGCTCTTCTTCCCTCCAGTCAGGCTCAAGAGACTTTTGCAGTTCTCGAGAGCTTGCCAAGTCCTTGCCAAAGGGTTTCTCGACCTATTGTTGCAGTGTCAGACAAGGGCTGAGGTACAACGAAAAGACAAGTGACTTACAATAACACGCGCAACGCCCCTGGAGGGGTAGCAGCACCTCTTGAGATGCTGTGAAACAATGGTGAAAACGCTGGGAGGCAGAGCCATGTAGAAGAGTCTGTGGTTCTCTTTCCTTCCTTGCTCGAGTTCCTCCAAATGTTTGTTGAGCTGCATAAAGGAGTCGTCGCGATCATACTGGCCGGAAACGTATGTGCAGATGGAGCAGAACTCCTCAAGCTGCTGCTCGCTTTCCTTCGTTGGGGTCTTGATATACGACTTGATGCGGCGGATGTACTCGTCGTGGTCCATTTTGGTTCTGGCATAACCCACGATCCGGATGTCCTTGGGCAAAAACTGGTTGCGGTACTACAGGAATAACGTTAGCTCCCTAATCGGAGGCGACCCAGAAGAGGGCATACACACCAGTCCGAAGAGCGCAGGATACTAGTTGCACGTCAGTCGATTGCCATATGAAGTAGCCCAATGGTAAGCAGTAACTCACGGTCTTCTTCTTAGCGAGATCGCCAGAGGCACCAAGGACAACAATGACGGTGTTGTCCTTGAGCTCTACCGCACTGCAACGCCATGTTTGTTAGCAAGCGCTTCTAAATCACCAACAATCAACCATAGACTGAAAAAGCTGTTGAGCTCCACCACGCAATGACTGATATTGGCGGGGTGAGGGGCACTCACGCTCCATGGTGATCAGATGCCATCGTAGCGGTCGGCTTGTGTGAATCGATATTCCAAGTTCGTCGCGTTGGTGGTTGAGCGAGGAAAAAAAGAGACTGTGAGGGCGACGAGAAAAGTGGAAGAAGAGGATTGCGTTGTTGCCCGATGGGGGTTGAAGAAAGTATTGGGACAGAGTGGGCAAGCTTGGTCAGGTTTCGGGGTTAAAAGTGAATGTGTATTTCTCAGCTACGGCGTATTTGGGTGAACCTCCCTCAACCTGGAACCTGGCTGGTCCAGGGCACCTGGGAGCGAATGATGCGCAGACTGCCTGCGACCCTCGAACTAGAGCTGCTGCTGCTGCAGTCAGTCTAGTTGATGGGCCACGGCCCACGAGGGGCAAGCTTACTCACGGCCCCGCACCGCGCGCTAGGTGCGTACCCTGGTACGTACCACTTACCTCATCACGCTCATGAAGGGGAACAACCGAGTGAACGGTGCCAAGCCGCCTCCAAAGCTTGGGCCCCATCTGATAACAGCTTTAACAAGAGAGCTTTTGCTTCTTTTGACCAACCCCCAAACCCCGCCGGCCTTTCCGGATGGAAATCTTGTCCCGTTCATGTTACCTAATGCATGATAGATGCCATATTCCTCCTCCGGAATGATCGCATCAAACAAAGGGCTGCTAGATTGGCTTCCCCCCCCCCCCCCCCCCCCCCCCAAATCAGATTCAGTGATACCCTGAATGCTTACATCCATTCCATGTTCCAGGACGGGAGCAGTGCAGGTTGGCTCAGACTTTGTCAGTTTGGCTGGTGTTGGTAACCTCACGAAGCTGGACGTCGGTCCCGTCCCGTACTTGCCTTATAGATGTCATGGTTCCACCGATCTCCGGCTGATAGATGTCTTAACATTATCCGGACCCCAGCGTTATGGAAGCCGTCTCTGCGTAGCCTCTGGCGATGGAACCGAGAGCCAGGGTATGGATCCGAAGCGGGTGCCGTCAAATGGTTCCTCGACTTCGACCAAATGACTCCCGCCGGTAGAAAGTCCAGACAGTGACAGCTTGCGCTCCGATCTTGCGCCGTAGTAACAGGGTTGCCCCTGGACAATTTTTGACAGTATAGAACGAGTGGATACGGTCATAATAAGCTACCTGAGCTAATCTGGTCCTCGGTCGACGATGGGTTTCAGGCCTCAAAGTCTGGATAGAGCAAGTAAACGTTTCGGGTCTCAAGAGCACAGTTACATAATTACTAGACGAGTGCCTGATAAATTTGGAGCTCGGAGAAGTTCAAATTGCATGGATGGATCCCTTTCTGCTTCTGTTGGGAATGGTGGGGGGGTGCGGAAAAGTTACTTGAATCCGTGTTCAGGACCGTAGAGGTACGGATGGCTCCATAGCTCAATTTGTCAACCGTGAGCCTGTAGACTTTGAACGACCCATGCGTTCTTCAGGGTCGGTCGGGGGTAAAGGTAAATATACCGCAAGCACCGGACTATGTTGCATGGGCTAGAGATTTCGCTTTGCTCCTCTGCAGATTATTGTTCCGATATCCGTTCACAGTCAGAAGGCGCCGTTACAGGAAGAAGTAATATGTTGCTTCCCTGCTGAAATGCCACCGGGTTAACAGTAAGACAGGTACGTCCGACAAACCATTCAAACTTCGTCGGGGAAGGGTGAAAGCAGGTAACTACGGAGAAAGCTTCCCTTCGCCGATGTGAAGAAACAAATCTGCCAGCTCCTTGCAGTTCGCCGAGACGAAATTGCCAAAGTATAGTTCAAGTCGCTTCAGCTTCCAAGACGGGATTCGAAGTCAACCGCCGGTCTTACGCCACGCGCACTCTTGAAAGGCGCCGTGTCAACCCGCATCATATGGGACAGTCTAATACCGTAGATGTACGACTCTCGAGCTCTAGCGGAAGATAACAGGATTCCCATGCGTAGGTATGGGGGGCATCTACTGCCACTCAAGAGGTCAGAGTCAACGGAAACGCATTGTGCCGAAAAGCCCTCTAGACCATGGTGTTTTGCCTGGATGACATGGTACTGTCATTGAGTCTTTGCCGGTAAAAATGAGCAGAAAGACATCTGCAGCTTCGGATATAAACAATAGCACACACCGAGTGGAGTGTGCACGCCCCGGTTTACTACCTAGGTTAGCTGCGGAAACAGGCCCGAAAGACTCTTTTGTTCTGAGCTTACTGGATATATTTCGCAGGCAGTTCGCCTGCTCTCCCCAACGTTAAGAATACCGAAAACTTTACGAGTATGGATGACAAGGACAGAGGCCATCTGAGAATCTAAGATCATTCCGGTATTCGTTGGTGTTGCAGGCTGATGCCGGGAGCATTCCTCATCTCATCTCAAGGTCGTGGAAGTTGAGGTTGAGTGTGGATGTGGGGGTCACTCAGTTCGGGAGCTTGCCCGGGCTCGGGAGCCGTCGACGATGCCAGTGAGGGGCAAAGCCGAAGGGGAACAGAAAAAACCATCGATTGCATCATGGATCGCGGAGAAGCTAAGATAACGATACAGATAAGGACCGATGGGTGTCATGCGTTATCGGAACATGCACAACTTTACAGGGGTCATGTAATGTGGCTGGGGCACGAACCTCAGCCACATCTGACCCTGCTGGCAGGACGCGCTCCTGGGCTCTCATTCGCGCGGCGCACACTTTTCGGAAGGCGAGAAACTCCGAACCGTCCCAAGCACCACAAACCCTACCAAATTCCCACCAGGCAATTTTCGAATTACCAGGAGCCGTCGAAGTGCAGAGCCACAACACGTCGCCCAACGCAGGACTCCGGATCAGCAATTGTCTTCATACAAGACTCCTTGCTGAGTTCCCTTTTATCGTGGCAGGGAAATTTTGATCAAGCGGAACATATCGCCAGTCAAGATGCCTACCGAAGCCGGCCACAGATGTGAGACTCCCAAACCACCTGCGCAAAGAACATTGCCGGTGTTGTCGTCGTCGCCTTGAAGTCATCGGCGTCGCGAAACCCGTGTATATGGTTCTTTGTGTCTGTTTTGCAAGTTTGGACATTGCTGACCCTGTTTGTTGCAGTATATGTCAAGTGAGTAGCCACCCCCGAAAGGAATCGACGATGCGAACGAGTCTGCGATTGCTGCGCCGCTACGAAACGATCCCCCGAAGACGACAGTTGCTGGGAACTTGGTTATTTCGGAAACGACGAGGCCAGAAACGACGACGTACCGAGCACGGACTGACGAGAGGAATCGCATAGGGGTCGCCACCTGAGCTATCAGCGTGGCCGTCACACCACCCACCCCAAGACCAGCTTGGTCAAGATCGAGGGTGTTGATGACACTGCTGCTGCCAAGTACGTGGTAAACTTGTTCCGAACACCACGATGATGGATATTGACAGGGGATACAGCTTCTACCTTGGCAAGCGCGTCGCCTATGTCTACCGCGGCCAGAAGGAGGTTCGCGGCACCAAGATCCGCGTGATCTGGGGCAAGGTCACCAGGCCTCACGGTAATTATCCCCATTCCCCGAGGTTCTGGGTAGAACGATGAATGTTGACTTGTGACTTCACAGGCAACTCCGGCGTTGTCCGCGCCAAGTTCGCCACTCCCCTCCCCGCCAGGTCCTTCGGTGCCTCCGTCCGCATCATGCTCTACCCCTCGTCTATCTAAAGGGAACGGGTCAGGCCGGAGTTGGGTGGTAAAGGTGGTTTATGATTTCGGTGCATCAGGGATTAGCAAGGGTCGGCAAACGGGCCTTGCTTCTAGCATACAAAATCAAAGGCATTACCAACAAGAGACATGCCAAACAATTGCGATTGAGGATCCCGCAGTTTACTGCTGGGTGCGAGACGAATGCTTCATCAACGGGAGTGGTTCATGAAACGGCGCAATGGGGAGGAGACTTGAGTCTTCTCATGTCACAAATCAATCAAAGCCAGCCTGGGCTAATATTTAACAGGCCCCCTCAATCACAACATCCACGCTTTGCTACCCAAGACCATGAACCGATCCTTGAATGCTGTAGTTTTGGTTAACACTATTCCTAGGATTCATGACAAGTGTGCGCCCCGCGACCTCAGTACCGCGTTTCGTGAGAACCTTGATGGCACTTGGTTCAACTGCTCCATGTCCGTTTGTCCGTGCCATTCGATTCCGAGATGAAGTGTCTCAGTACAGATCAGCAACCGCATGCCCATACGCCAGCAAGGCCAACACTGCCACTTCGGAGATGTGTCATAGCAATGGTCATCTCTTAGCTCTTCCCTCGAACACCCTGGACACTTGCTCCACCATCTGTCTTCGGGTATCGACTCCATCCCCTTGCTCGGCCAGACCGTTTGGACTCGAGACATCCACAGACTTCGGAATGGGTTGGGTATGGCTTTGTTAGTCTGGGTCGAGCAACAATGACATCCGTCTTCTCGCACAAGACCCGAAAATGACCGATCCGACTCTGGACGGGTAGTCAGGGTTCCAGGGGCGGAGTGCAGCGGATGTCAAATTCCTTGCGTCTTGGTCTGGATGCCTATCTCCCCGGAGGATACCATGAGTGCGACATCAGTATGGACACAGGCGATTTACTGCTGTCCACGACCCATCTCATCCAAGTCGGATTCAGCATTCGGGACCACATCATGAAATGATACAGTTTTGAACAAAGAAGTTGACAGGATACGCAGGTCACATCGGCACACAAGCGCTCTGTTTGCGAGACGCGACCACGAGATGCGAAATCGGCATGACACGTGCCTACGCCAAAGTCATGCCTTCTTCATAGGAGAAACTCACGACAAACTGTGAACAGGCCGACGGGGTCTGGCGAGCATGGGGATGCCTAGGAAGGGCGTATGCAGCACAACCTCGGCCGTTGAGACAACGAAACTGGAACCGCTCGGTCACGCGACGGGAACGGGAGCTGGCGAGTCCAACGAACAACAGCCAGACTGACGGCCATGGACCTTGGGAGATGGCTACTCGACATCGCGACGACGACGTCCGTGTCGGGGACGGGCCGGTTGTGATGACCATTTGGTTCGGCCGGCGATATTATTCCACACGATGACAAATGCGGCTCGGAAGATCCGGATGGGCATATCAGTCTGAGGTATCTGGTCTTGGGAGAGGCATTAACGACATTTGCATTACGGGGACTTTGTTGTTGAGCGGTAGGTCGTCAAATCGGAAACCGGGTTAGATTTGGATCGGGTTCAGTTCACAGTAGGGGTCATCCGTCAAGCCAATGCGATTTTGAAAGGCATTATCAAATGCGAGCCGCGCCGGGATCAGCAGATCATGTTTCGACACCCGTACTTAGGCGCTGCTCTCCTTGCCAATGGCTATCGTCTCCGTTCCGGGCGCTTGGAAGTGCAGCCTATGAGTACATGTCCCGGTGAGTGAACTTCCGCGTGGAATAATGCGAAGCAATATATGTTCAACAAGACGTGCCAGGGGGTCAAAGTAGTCGTCAAGACAAAAACAGGTGGCGATTTATGACCCCAGACTAAAAGCCACCATGCCACTTTGCAAGTGTCAGATAAATGAGCCAACTGAAGCCTTGTTGGTATATTTATTGCAGGTTTCGGGAAAGAAATGCAGGCACCCCGAATTTGGGTAAGTACGGTGTGCAACGGCGAAACTTGAAAAAGTGACTTCAAGTAGTGTAAAGCGTTACCTCAGAGACGATGTTCTCCAGATAAGAAAGTAAACAATCACCCCTTATCCAGCGAATAGGTATCCAGCCTTATCGATTATCGTGACCGCGCTAAAGTGCCAAGCCACCCAACGAGAACTGATCAATCCGGAGAAAGTGGAGAGAGCCTCAACCGGGGGCAGGAACCGGCAGGATGGGACCCAACCGCTGTCGTGGTCTTTATCGTTCGATTCGATACTTCGATGCTTGTCCTGCTGAAAGCCAAGCTTCAGCCAGCGAACTCTCTCGTTCTCGGAAGATGGACAAGAGCAGAAAATCGGATTCCATCCGCTTGGGACCAACCCGGAATTTTGACCAAACAAAGAAGTTGCTTTTCGCGATGGGGATGGGGATTTCCTGGTTCGTTTTCAGCTTTTGTCGTGGCAGATCACGATTCGCAAGTAGCTATCTGATACCCCTTGCCTTTGCATGGAGATGAGAGTAAGTGGCCAACTTCCGGGTCAACTTCCAGAGTTCTCTCGAGAGATCGTGACAGGTGGATGTGATACAAGCACGCAGGATGCTCGAGATGCACAAAAACCGGCGACAGGGACAAGGCCGAAGCCATGGTTTTGTAACACCGGGTCGAACGTTGGCGTGACGCGACGCGTCTCGATAAGCCAAAAATCATCCACACCGGGCTCTTCTTCTTAGAGGCGAGTGGTGATCGTGGCTCGCGTGGGACAAGGAAAAGCCAGTTCAAAGAAAGTTGTTTCTCAGCTTGGGGCAGTGCAATAACATTGAAAATCTTCCAATATGCAATTTAACAGGAACCAGAGTTGATCTTGTCAGACACAATCGTCACGGTGGGTTTATCAACCATCACAACGCCAATCTCTGTGTCTGACCAGGAAGACTTCTCCGAGAGTGGTGGCCGCTTTATGTAAGTGCCTAGTGCCTCACTGATACTACTCTGATCTACTACGCTGCAGGTCAATAAGCTCGTATTTTTGGGTAGCAACGTTCTATGGGTGTGCCTGGCTCCTCAATTCAGGTACAGACGCATGTACTAAATTCTCTTACTAAATCGAGATGCACAATTGCGGGCAATGCGGTGTGCGTATAACACTGGCACAACTGGGCATTTTTATGGGCAAGTTCTGGGATGATAATCATCAACAGAACAAGTGAACAAATCTTTGATGGGACACAGTTCGAGATCTGTCCTTCTCCTGCCTCGTAGAAATTGGAAGGCGTGTAACCACGTAACATGTGGAAGCGTGTGGTCGTGGGCCGTGTGCTTTGGTTGAGAAACCTGATGGGTGAGGAGATGAGCCAACAAATTTCGATGGATCATCTAGGTGACGCGGCATCTTTCGCCATCTCGTGTTCATCAGTGGGCGCAGCAAGTAGCGCAGACCATGTGCGGGCAAGCTGCCGGTTCGGGTCTCGATATTCCAGCATTACTTAAGCAACGCAGAGTCACTAAAGACTATCGAAAATCAGACAGGCCATCGTGATGGGTAGCAGCAGCGCCTGTGTCGCCCTAGGACAACGGTCGCGTGTATCAGTTCCAGAGAGATTATCGTGTGCCGGGTCGGACATCGAGACATCCCAGCTGAGATAGATGCCTTTTGCCGGCTCCCAAGATGGGACGTAGGTACCCTTCATGCTTGCCGTCGCCGCTTGTCGGGTGTCAAAGACTTGCCGGCGTGTCCCTCTAGGTAGGGAACCCTAAAAAAAGACCGTATCCCGTTGTGCTTCATTCCATTGGCGTCCAGCGGCGCGACGGGAATCCGAGAAGTTCAAGTTCCGCTTGCGAATCAATGGTGGCTCCACGAAGCACCTCGCACACCACGCGGCTTCCTTGTCGGCCCTTGTCGCTCCTTGTCCATCTCCTCACCACATCCGGGATCGAATCATTCTTAAAACCGTGAAGCCCCCCGCGACCTTTAACCCACTTTTTCTTGGCTTCTGAAACTTTTGGATGCCGCGGTTTGTATATCTGCGTTTATTGAACAAGAAATTCCGGTTCAAGCATTCCCACGTTGTCTTTCGTTTGTGGCTTGTTTGGGTTCTTTAAGCTGGCATTCCTCGTTGTCGGCTTCTGCGGATTTTCTGGCGTTCTCGCATTCCTGTTTTTGCAAGTCTCGAACTTTTTCCTGGTCCGTTTCACGAATCTTCTCCAAGCAACTTTTCTGCTGCACGGGACCGCTGACCGGGATCGCTGGAAAAGAGTAAGTCAGCCCCTCACGCCCCTGTTGTCGTATTAAGCAGCGCCCCTCCCTTGTGCAAGACCCGATTTTTTCTTCCTCATGCGTCGAGCGAGGTCAATTCGCCTTTTATTATCTGCCGCGCCCGCCCCTTCGATAACTATCGAGCTCTGGGGGAATCCTTTCGCTAACACCAACCTCGCATTCATCAATCCCGAAAGAAGAACTCTCGCACGAACATCGATATTGGTACGCCCCCAGGCACCAGATCGGATCTTCAGAACAGAACAAGACGAAACAGATTTTTGAGACGACGGCCGCAGAGTCAGCAGCTGGGGAAGATTTCTGACAATCATAGCCGCCAATCAACGCCAATCGCCTTCACTTTGTGGATCGTTCGGCCCTGACGTCAGCGCCAATCTCCACCCATCGAACGTCGCAACCCTGCCATTCCGAACATACCACACCAATAACCTGAACCCCCGGTCCTAGGCTTGTCCGTCGCTCCCCCACAACTGAACCTGTCGGTTATTCCTTTTGCGTCCCAGAGTGGAGAGACCTCCATACGGATCGTCTTCGGATCGCCGCGCCTTCAGATACTAAATCGGTCAATCAAACGAGGGAGGTGAAGCCGGAGCGCTTACCGAACATATCGATATCATTTGGACATTTGGATATTGGGAATTGCCATCGCTTTAGCACTTTGACAGGTTGAAACGCGCCATCGACGCAATTACAGCGGAGCCGACCGTCGCAGAAAACCGAAAAAAGAAACGCAGCGCCGAATATTGGTTAGCCGACTTGCTTTGCTGGTGCCTTCTGCGTTGTGGCCGACGATTTGTCCGGTTTTCCAGCGAACCAGGCGCAGCACCCAACGACATCCGCTTTTCACCCCAGCCACCCGGGGTGCCAGGATACACTTTCCCTGATTTTTAAAAGAGTCTGCGACACCAAGATCGCGGATCCCAGTCCGCCAACCCAAAACACCCAGGGCAACCACCAGGGGTATCTATCCACGCCGGTCCACTCTCCACCAGCCTCCAGTCCACATCAACCGCTCTCTGGGTGCTATCTGAACCTTTCCGTCGCTGCTTCTCCCATATCTGCTCCGTGCAAACACCACTTTGGATAGCTCTTGGCCCGGTTATTGTGCCGATAAGCATTTCAGGTTGTTTCGAAGAAACCCTTGCGATAAGCAGGCATCTGATCCATCCCGTCTGAACCTGCGCGCGATCAGAACCATCACGGTCCTGTCTCCATCTGCACCACCGACAGGGCATCGACACCGACAGGGCATCGACACCCCAGGCCCATCACGGACCCTTCCTCCACCGCTCCCGCCGCACCCCCGGGCTTTGCCTAGAAGACAGATCAAAACTCTCTCGTCTCCCCGTCAGCCAAGATGGCGACTTCCAGCAGATACCCCCCGACTTCAAATCCGCACCAGCTACAGCAGGCGCAACTGCAGGGACAACAGCAATACCAGCAGTACCAGCAATCACAAGCTCCCGTCGCTCCTACCACTCAGACAAAGGCCCGCCCAGCGAGTTCCCAACGCAGGTCGAGAGGCTTCAGCTTCAGATCCGACAAGTCTCACGACTCCAAAGAGCAAAAGCTTGACTTGCACGAGACCAGTGCCGAAAAGGACGCCAAACGGTTACATACAAAAGCCGACCCTACCTTAGCCATGAACGAAGCAGAGCCATGTAAGTTCTCCCATGTGGCATGCATTCCTATGCATTATCCACCCCCTCTATTTTTCCCCGCGTGCGGTGAACTCCATACTGACCTCTACTAGCCGAGGTGGCCGCGCATGTTAAGTCATCGCTCGCTTCTTTGCGGAATATGCAGCACAAAGATGCCTTTGGAAACCCAATCTGTAAGTTCTCTTGTGGACGCGCTAAAAAGACAAGTCTCACCGCTTAGGCTCAATACTGACCTCTCGTGTAGCCGACCCCGATCGCTCAAACCCCACCCGCAGTCGTTGGGAACGCCCCCTAGATACCATTCGGAGCTTCGAGGCCGCCATTGATGGAGCTTACAGCAATCGTAGGTCAATTTACCGCTCAGGTATGCACCGGCTTCTCTCAAGCTGATGTAATTCAATCTGAAACTAACGTTGTTTATAGACTCGGAGTCAACCTGGGGCAATAACAGCAAACGAAACAGTTATTATGGCACAAGTACGATCAACCCTAAAGCTCCCCCTACCAAGACATGAAAGACAGGAATGCTAACGGAACTAGGTGGCCCCGGTTACTACAACAGCCGACCGGCTTCGACAATGTATCCGAACCGTCAAGACGGCAGCCAGCATGACCTAAGGCAAGCACCACGAGACGTTTACTATGACCACCAGTCAGGATACAACAGCGGATATTCCTCCCCGCCTCAGAATCAAGGCAGACGTCGTGATCCCAGGATCATGCCCAACCCGCAGTTCTCTTCGCCGTATCAATCGCCGAGCGCGAACGACTACCCGATCCCAAGTAACCATTACCCGATCCCGAGTAACCATCGCTCGTACGAGACCGTTGCCTCGGCATCTGGAAGTGGCTCATCAGATCCAGTGGGGTATCAGACCGATCCGACAAGTAGTGACAACAGCTCGATTGAACGAGCTCAAGCGGGACCAGTTTCCAAGCGACCGTCGGAACCAGCAAATGATTATGGAATAGGATTCAGCCAGAATACCGAATATTCACCATCGGCCTTCACAGTAGGCTATAACGGGAAACCTGCTATGGGCATGAACGGCGGTGGAGCAAACAACTACCAAACGAACGGCACATCCGGCTTCGCCAACAACAACCTCAACAGCTTCAGTCAGGGAAACCCCAGCGTTGCACCGGCCGCAGCGCCTGCTCCGCCTCAGAAAGACACCCGGACACTACAGAAAAAGTCGACGAACGATACCATTCAACCAGAAAGGCCAGGCGCCCCAGAGAAGCGCAAGAGTTGGTTTTCGCGCAAGCTGAAGAAGTAGGCTGGCCTACCGAGAATGGATGTTCGAGTCACGATTTTCTTATTTATCCGGGTATGATATGATATTGATGAACACTCTTGCTTGTTGGACCTTGTCGCTTTTCTCCTCGCTTTCTTTCTCGATGGATACCCACGCCTTCGCCTACATGCCATCCTGGGAACGTCTGATAAGCGTCCCGAGGCAGCCGGGCGAACATTGCCAACCGTTGAGGACAGTAGTAATGGAGGTATCTTCATGACAGGATTTCCGATTATGGGACGAGGTTTTGTGGGAAGTCATCAGTGGACATCGAACTGGTCATGAAATGCCGGTTCTTCATGGAGGATCCAGATAATGTTGTGATGATGTTATGGGAACGGAAGGCAATCGAGATGGAAAGCATTTTGAAATACGCAAGGAACAAGGAATTATTAGGGATGACGGGCGCAATGTGTGTGATGAAGGATGAGTCAAGGGGTCTCTTTTGTGTTAAGGAGAAAAAGGATTTCAGCGGCTAGGAATCACGGAAGAGTGTGAATGGAAAGCGGATTAATCCGGAGAGTGAATGGTGTAGACCTCGTGGGTCAGCCCACCCCTACAGGAGATCTCCGCCTGCTCTTCATTTTTTTGCGACGATATCTTCAAGAGATGGCGTATATACGTGGGCCACATATAAGCGAATATATTAATGCTTGTTTGATTGCGCGAATGACTCTATGTGTCTTTTGCTCTTAATTGTGAAGTTGTGATAGGTGCAACCATGACCTTGGTTTTGCGTTGAAGTCATAAGCCCAACCTTAATGTTTCCCAGTGAGGTTTTGGACATCTTATACAAATACAAGAAGCTGCCATGCATTTCCACCACACGAAAGCAAATTCCACGATCATGTAAATGAAGTAACATAATTACTTGCATAACTAATCAATTTCTTTTTCAACAGTCATCCCATTCCCATTGACAATGCCACAACATCCATGACACCTTTCAACAATTTCACAGATCTTTCTTCCCTTCTGCTTTCCCACCACCCTCTTTCTTCTCATTCTCCTGATCCGACTGATCCTCCGCCATAGCTACAATGATATACCCAATCAACACCACGTTGGCCATAATAGCTGCTGTGGCGCCGGCGTATGTCGAGTTTCCTGGTGGTTTGGTCAGTGGATGTTAGTTTGCTGAGTGAGTCCGGTTGGTGCGAGGTGCATGAAGGAATGAAGGATCATATGGCATATGGGGGATAGGGAATAGGGAATGGGGAATGGGGAAGCAGGGACAAAAACAGGGGGGATAACGACGGGACGTACCTTTGAACAAACGGTCTACTGTGAGGAAGTAAGAACTGATGGGGATGACGATCATGGCGAAAGTGAAGGCTAGGAGTTTGATGATTACGGAACTGGTGGGAGGTTGGGGGGTTAGCTTGGTGATCCTCTTCTGATACATACATACATGTACGGGTGTAGGATGGGATGATCAGGGAGGATGAGGGCAGAATTGGTGTGTGTATGTATGATGATGATGTGGGTGAAGGTGAAGGGAAGAGTGACCGGTGATGTGATGGATGACAATGAAAATGAGAATGAACGGGGGACAGCGTACGCAGGGACGGCTGGCGTGATGTTAGACTTCTCGCTTGCCGATGGGCTGAAACCAATACGGTCATCCTTTTCGAGGAGAGTCTTCTCTTGGGAGATGATTCTGCGGGTGGCCATCTTGGTGGTGTCTTGTGGTAAGGTTTATCTATCGTCTTATGTTCTTCACGGGATGATGAGCTGATGAGGGGTTGGGATGAATCTGTTTGCTGTGTTGGTAAGTTTCCTGAGGTAGAGTCGTACCGGCAAACAGCGAGAAAGAGGGTGGTGTTCTGGCTTACTGAAGTGTAGATTTTTGGTAACTTGTTCAAGAAAATCGACGATGTTTCTCAATGTGAAGTCCTCGATGTTAAGTATCATGAGAACACAGCTCGGCTTGGGCAATTGCGTAGCTCGCTGGTTGGCTGGGCGGGCCTACCCTGTCCTCATCGGTGTTTAAGTGGTTCGTTGCCTGCCGGGCCAGTTGCAAGCTAGCACGTGGAGACGTGAAGGCGTCCGGTCGCGTTGTCCCACATTATTTCCTAACGAACAAATGCGCGTCGCGATGGCGGCGGTGTGGGGCTCCAGATTAGAAAGATAGGGCTGATCGTTGATTGCTGGACGGCAATCTGGGGCCGGTTGCACGACTGGATGCCGTGTGCCCAGCCATTTCTGTTCTGGGACGGACCGACAACAAACTCCAGTACAACTCCTCTCGGTTGTCATCCCGTCTTTTCACATCACAGGTTTCCCAAGGGCAAAGCGTGAAGAAAACGGGGTACTTCTTCGGACCTGGATTTTTTTTTGGGTCAACTGGAATTCTTCCTTTCAGCGAAGGTTTCTCTTGTTCGTCTTTATAAGGTTTCGCTTTGCTCTACACATGCGCCGCTAAAATTTCAGCTTTGCGCCTTTGACCGCGTCCGACAAACGACCGGGACCTTCCTACATACTTCTTTGATACCTACCTCCACAACAACTATTTCCTCCTTCACCACCTTCTTGGAAGACTACTTTGGGTTCTTTGATTCGATCGAACCTACTCCCGACGATCGACAATGACCTTCTCGTCACTGCCAGAGGACGACTCTCTGCGCTCCTCAAGCGTTGTCGTCGACAGCCCAGTCCCTCAACGGCGGACCAAGCCCGATCTTGATTTTATAGACGAAGACGACGAGGATGAACTCAGCATTGTCTCCCAATCGCCCTACTTTACTCAGCCTACCCAGATCGCCTCACAACCGACAGTGAAACCACGAGACGCCGCCATCCCGTCTTCCCCCACGGTCGTCGAAGTACCTGCATCGTCACCTTTCCGTCAACAATCGTCCAATACCGGAGGTCGACTTGCGAGCGCGATGGCCCCAAGGGGTACCACTTTCAAGCCCCCTGCCGCACGATCACCCCCAGCCAAAGCAGGGGCAAAGAGAGATTATATAATGATCGATGACGATGAATTCGACAAACCTCTCTATGCGGGCGACTCTTCAGACGATGAAGGACCCGCGCGCGGCGACATTCAGCCATCTGCTTTCAAAAAGCCCAACCCCACGTCTGCAAAGGCTGCGCCTGCAGTGTACCTCAAACCGTCAAAGGTACTTGAACCGCACACTTCTCAATAGACGTCGCATGCAGCAGCACTAACAATTGGCATATTTGACAGAAACCAAAGTTGTCCAACGATGTCGGAAGTCCCATTACGAGCCCCGCGAAACCTTACGTACTGCAAGAGGACTGGGTCACGCTCCGATCTTCTTCGCCGGAATCCCTGCAATCCATACGTCCGAAAGACTCTCCTGTAAAGCCTGCCCCGGCACCTCCAGCACCGGCTCGCCGTCGCTTAGTTCAGGGTCGTCGGCGACGCAGCCCGTCGCCAGCAAGCTCACCAGTCAAACCGACGGCAGTCAAACCGACCGAGAAGCCCGCTCCCAAACTCAAGCAGACCAAGATAATCACACTCGTTAGCGACGATGAAGATGACGACGACTATGTCCAAAAGAAGTCGGCGCGCTCGCCTGAGCCACAACCGGAACCTTCGCAGCGGAATCCGGAAGAAGATGCCTTCGAAGAGCGTGTCCTTAACTACCTCAATACCTGCGACCCTATACAATTGATGGCCATTGCCAACGTCAAAGAAGACGTTGCGAAGCACATGCTCTCTTACCAGCCTTTCGACAGTGTGGCTGATGCTGAGAGAGTGACAATGGCAGCAAAGGCTACGAAGGCCAAGCGCAAGAAGTCGACTAGGGCACCCGTTGGCGAAGATATCGTGGGCTCTATCAAGGAGTACACCAAGGCGTTGGATGGCATTGACCATGTTATTGCTGTCTGCGAGTCGCAAGCAACCGCGATCAAGGACGCCACCTCGAGGTGGAAGGTCGACCAAACCGGTCAGCCTCGAACAGTGACGAACAAGGATGGGACCATTACGCCTCTCAGCGTTGACGGTACGACTAAGCTGGTCGACCTTCCCCTAAGCCAGCCGGAGCTCATGAGCGGCTGCACGATGAAGCCTTTCCAGCTGTATGGGCTTAACTGGCTGTATCTCTTGTACGAGAACCAGTATGCGAGCATTCTAGCTGACGATATGGTATGTACTATGCTTGTCTCTCCATCCCCAAACTTTGCCTCTCCGTGGATGTTGCTGACTGTTTTACTTTTCTAGGGTTTGGGCAAGACTTGCCAGGTCATCAGTTTGATCTCTGCGATTGTCGAGGAACATGAGAAACACAGCCAGGATGATGATAGCAACCAACCATGGCCGAACATCATCTTTGTTCCTCCCTCCACACTCGCGAATTGGGCCGCCGAGTTCAAGAGGTTCGCCCCGGGCTTGAATGTGACTCTGTACCAGGGTTCACAAGCTGTTCGCGATGAGATTGCCGACAACATTTTGGACGATCCCGCTAGCCACCACGTCGTTTTGACATCGTACTCCCAGGTGTCGCGCCAGGACGACATCTCGAATTTAAGACGACTGAAGCCAATGGTCGCCGTTTTTGACGAGGGCCACAAAATGAAGAACCCCAAGACGAAACTGTACAAAGATCTGCTGAAGATTACCGCCACATGGCGACTCATCCTCTCTGGCACACCTGTCCAAAACAACCTCATGGAAATGATCTCCCTGCTTCAGTTCGTCGAGCCGGAGCTCTTCCGGGACCATTTCGATGATCTCGAAGCACTTTTCAACCAGAAGTTCTCTTTGACGGCAGTCTCACAGGGCGCACTGCTCCACAGCGAACGAGTGGCGCGGGCTAGGACGATCTTGGAGCCCTTCATCCTCCAGCGACGCAAAGAGCAGGTCCTGAAGGACATGCCTCCTAAAACAGCCAAAGTCGTTTACTGTGAGATGGACGACACACAGAGCGCCATTTACAAAGACTACGAACGTCGGTTCCGGAAGACCGACGCCACAGGCGCCAGCAATGTCGGTCGTGATAACGACAACAACAATGTCTGGATTCAGCTCCGGAAATCGGCCATCCATCCGCAGTTGTTCAGGCGCTATTTCAATGATGCGACGGTGGAAAAGATGGCCAACATCTTGATGAGGAAGGTTGACCAATCGGAGCTTCGGCAGCCAAAGATCGAACATCTTATCAATGAGCTCAAGGCTCTTTCAGACTTTGAGCTCCATCTGTGGTGCAGAGACTACAAGTGCATCAGGCAATTCGATCTTCCGGATGGGTCTTGGATGGAGAGTGCCAAGGTTCAGGCCCTGTTGAAACTGATCAAGCAGTACCAGAAGAACGGCGACCGCGCCTTGGTGTTTACACGATTCGCCAAAGTCATTGAGATTCTGGGAGAATGTCTTGCCTCGGAGAAGATTGAATATCTCTCCTTGCAAGGAAACACGGACGTCAGCGAACGTCAGGAACTCATCAACGAGTTCAACGCCGACGCGACCATCCCAGTCTTTTTGCTCACGACGGGCTCGGGAGGCACAGGCATCAACCTGACCGCGGCCAACAAAGTCATCATCTTCGACCAGTCCGATAACCCGCAAGACGATATCCAGGCCGAGAACCGTGCTCATCGTCTCGGCCAGACGCGCCCTGTGGAAATTATCCGACTCATCAGCAAGGATACCGTGGAAGAGCTGGTCTACAAGGCCTGCCAGAAGAAGCTGGAACTTGCCAACAAGGTGGTTGGCTGGTCCACCGTGGAGATGTCACAGAGTGAGATGGAGGCCCAAGTTCGTGCTGCCATTATGAATGGTGGCTCGATTGCAACCCCTCCATCTGACTAGATCTCGGGGCGTTTGAGGAGGACCACGAAGCTTTAAGTCTTGGGGAACGTGTTTTGTATAAGATACAAATGTTGAGGATATCGGGCATGGATGATACCCAGTGTTCATATGCATAACATCAGGCGCAATAGAAGTGGTGCGCGCTGCTTACTTTTTCTGGCATATCTTGGAGGATACGATGCATTATGGTGGCTTTCATGGCTTGTATAGAGGCTATATGTTTTTGCTTTGGCCTTTTGTCTGTGTTGCATACTCGAAGGAATGGTTCAGCTCCTTAGGCGCCGGGCAAGACCCCGACTTTTGGTGTTGTCATTTGGTAGAAGAATCAGAATGGTGGCTGATATTGTCTTGAGAGATAGATATGCCTTGAGCTGGCCTTCTTCAGTATTTTAGACATGGCTACAACTTCTTGATGAATATCAGTGCTGGTAACACCTCGTCATGGAAGTTCTTGGTCTCAAGCCCTCAACTATCTCGCCTTAACATGTCCGGTGAAGACAAGGTAATATTCTGACACAAGACTTTGATAGCCCCCTTGTAGTGCAAGGTTTAGGTTCGTGGATGTTGTGCGATAACGATGTCCGTCACCCGCCGTCACACGTGTCACTGCCGGCAGCCGAAGCCTTCGGCACTACATAGCGCAACGTACCCAAATATCAACACCCCATCAAGAATCAAGCCAAGTTGCGCTCTTCTCGTTCCTTGCGCGCCTCTACATCAGGTCAATGATCTTCTTCATGAACAGTGACAAATAGCTATCTCATCTTCCTCAGTATTTCAACATCAATGCCATCTCCCATTTTCACGATAATCCCCGTCGTGAACGATATCCTCAACGGCAGCCAGGGCCGTCGGGCCCCCGCCTGTCAGGCCCAAATGTGGGGGAGCGAATGGGATTTCAGCGATGCGACGGTAGGGCTTGCCCGAAAATTGAGATCCCATTTTCGCTTTCACATGCCACGGAAAGCCTGCATTAACTGTGGGGAGGTCCTGCCTGAGGATCCAGCAGCTGACGTCGGGCACCAGGCCAGTGTCCACCCAGCCCACACACACACACCCCCTTAACTTCCGGCCAGACTGCCATTTGCACCTCCTTCCACCGTTCGACGCGCCTGTGAAAGAGACCAAACCCAACCCAAAACATGGAATGACACGGGCCTGGTCCAGTATGGTTTAAGCTCTTTTTTTTTTTCGCAACACATCCCGGACATCTTCATCCGAGCCTTTCGTTTCCTTCGTTTCGTTCCATTCAATTCCGACCACAGGCGACAGGCGAGGAAACATCGAACAATCCTTTTGTCAGCTGCCCAGATTGACCTCACTCCCGAGATACACACACACCGTGACACAACACTCGCTCATTCTTATCCAACAACTACGTACCTAACCGTACCCATCTAGGCATACCCGCTTGCCGCAGCCTTCCTCTTTCTTCACGCTCGTTCAACCTCTTTCGCCGCAACTGACTCAAGTTGCGCATGTTTTCGTTCTCTCCTACCGCTTCATCTGCCACCAACAAGGAAGGGTAGATGAGCGAGATCAGGATATGTTATTGATACAACCTTTTATGCCAAACATTACACCTCATTACTTGTTCTTAACCCTACGGCGGGGTTTTCTCTTTGTTTGTTTACAATGGGGTCGGTGATACCCTCAATATTCATATCATTCTGGCGGATATTCGTGGACATTGTGCTCTTCTGGGCAGGTGTGAGTGCTTAGATTTCATTACGTCCTTCATGGCTTTCAACCCCAGTCCTCATGTCTTGACTCTCGACAATAAGTCCCTAGACTTGTTCATCCATAGGACTGATGACGTCGCCCCAAGTAGACATGACCCAGGCTAACCCCGTCCGCCTAGAAATTCCGTGAATGGTATCGCCGCCGCAGCCCCGTCGAGGTCTGGCTCGACGTCCTCCGCAATGCTTCCGAGTTCGACGAGTGGGAGGAAGCCGCCATCCGGCTCGACACTCTCCTCGGCCTCGACTTGTGGCGCAATAACCCGATTAGCCGGCATTACGATTACAAACTGATCAACGAGCGGCTGGAGAGCATCGAAGTTGCGCGCGACAATGGCGACGTCAATGCGCTCGTCAACCTTTTGCGTAGCGGCCTCGTTCGAAACCTCGGTAACATTACGGCACCTAAGCTATACAACAAGAGCTTTGCGGGAACCAAGATCCTGATTGAGGAGTACATTACTGCGGTTGCGGAAGTCATCGAGGAGATTGGGATGTTGCCGACGACTAGGAGAACCGGAGCCAACTACCCCAGCAACAGTCTTATACCTGGATTCAGAGGAGCAAGGCCTGTTAGTCCCGGGTTGGCGAGTTCTGACGACGGCAAAGACAGCGGAAACAGTACTGCGGGTGGTGGAAGCGGCGGCAACACTATGGGTTACATGTCGACACAAATGAAGCTCGATTTCATCCACGATACTAGACAGGCGTTCGGACGGAGCACCCTCGTATTTCAAGGCGGCGCTATCTTTGGTCTCTGCCACCTTGGTGTTGCCAAGGCACTGTTCCTACGAGGATTGCTCCCGCGGATCATCACGGGCACGGCGACCGGAGCTTTGATTGCCGCTCTCGTGGCCGTTCATACGGAGGAGGAGCTGCTGCATGTCTTGAGTGGCGAAGCTATTGACCTCTCTGCCTTCTCGAGCAAGCTTGGAACTCCCGGGAACGGTGAAAGGAGGGATAAGAGAGATTCCTGGTGGACCAATCCTTGGTCGACTCTGGTGCGTAGAGTGACTAGGTTCTGGAAAGAGGGCTACTTCCTGGATGTCAAGGTGTTGGAGCACTGTATCAGGTCCAACTTGGGCGACCTCACGTTCGAGGAAGCGTACAACCGTAGCAAGAGGGTACTGAACATCACGGTCGCCACGGCAGGACAAGGGGGTGTTCCAACCCTTCTGAACTACCTGACAGCGCCCAATGTGGTATGTTGATACAACCCAAAAAAATATTGCTCGATATGTTGCTAACATGACTCCTTACAGCTTATTTGGACAGCAGCGCTAGCATCCAACGCCTCATCCCCATCGCTTTACGGCGACAGAGAAACTAAAATCCTCTGCAAGGACTCCCAGGGCAACATCGTCCCCTGGAAGCCAGCCAACACAGTCGACTTCCGCCACTGGACGCACGCCTCGTACTCGGAGCGAGAATCTCCCCTCCAGCGCATCGCCGAGCTCTTCAACGTCAACCACTTCATCGTCAGCCAAGCGCGCCCCTACCTGATCCCCTTCCTGCAAAGCGACATGCACGGCCCTTCCCTCTTCGAGACCCGCAACAAAACCATGTCGGCAACCGCCTTCCTCGTCCGCATGATGGGCCTCGAGATCCGCCACCGGCTCAGCCAGCTCGACACTTTGCGTTTGCTCCCCGCCGGTATCCGCCGCTTCCTCGTGGACGAGCGCGTCCCCGGGGCGAGCGTGACGCTCGTGCCCGAGGTGACGGCCGGCGACTTTATTAGGTTGCTCGAGACGCCCACGAAAGAAACGCTCCAGTACTGGATCCTCCGCGGCGAGCGCAGCGTGTGGCCGGCCGTGGCGGCGCTCAAGATCCGCTGCGCTGTCGAGACGGAACTCGATCGCGCGTATCAGCAGGCCCGCAGGCTCAAGGCCGGCGGGTTGAGGCGCAAGGCTAGTAGCATGGGCCCGATGACGTCGGCGCAGTCGGCACCGTCGCCGAGTGGCAGCGATCGGGAGCGCTGGGAGAGGGAGAGGGAGAGGAGGTCCGGGGCGGGCAGGGCACAGACTACTGGTGTTAATTACTAGTAGAGTGCAATATGTGTCGTTGTTTTCTTTTGTGTTGGTGGGAAGGTAAAGTTGAGTCAGGACTTGTGTGTGTGGCCGTTCCAGGCCTGATACCCCGGTTTTTCAACTATGCAGCCTGGTTGTTGGCATGTATCATTCAGCTTTTTTGCTTGTTAGCATATACTACATACTACAACTACCTATGGTGCCGCTCATCTGCCCGCCCAGCTGATTCGGAAAACACAGCAAGCGTGAAGTGTAGTGTAAAAAAAAAATCCGGTCGGCTTCTTTAACTTTCTCTCTCACTTCCACCGTTCTTCTTTGGATGTCCCGGTATGCAATCCTATTCGTCATCCCCAACAACAAGCTCGGCCTTTTAGCCACTCTTCATGAATGTGCTGTTTTAAGACGAGACACCTGAGGCCGAAAAGGTCTTAGAGGACTTGGCGACATGACCGGCGAGCTGCCGAGAAAGAAAGCCTCGTTGAAAGCGTATCGTTTTCTCCTTTGCTCAGTGTACTCGTCTGGGCTAGAAACGCCTACCAGACCCAATGCTTGCACGGGGTCAGACACATTGATTCGCAAATGCAAATGGATTCGCAAATACCCAGCCTATATGCCAAATTGGGTGCAAGACCGAAGTATCGCTTGTATAGTCCAAGCTTTGCCGGGATTTGGGTACCTTGGCGCCCTCCTAAACTGGCTGCCGATGGAAGTACTAAACTTGGGGGTGGGTAACGGGGGGCATCAGAAACGACCGTGCGTACTCCACTTTTATTCATGAAAAAGTACCAGCCGTACCCTTTGTGTAATTACGGTAATTTACAGACATATGACCAATATATGACTAATATATGTTCGATTGATAAGACATTCACACGCGGGGACCTCTCACCGGCCCCCTGCACCCCCGGAGCTAACCCTAACCCTAACTAACCCTAACACTAACCTCTAAATCCGCCCGCGAAATAAAAATTTCGGTAATTTACGATCTGTCCAGAAAAGGTACTAAAAGCTACCTGTCACGTGATAAGACCCTTTTTTTGTGATGCCCCCCGTGACAGTAGCCCTAAACTTGCGAATCCATTTGCATTTGCGAATCAATGTGCTTGACCCCGTGCAAGTATTGGGTCTGGTAGGCGTTTCTAGCCCAGACGAGTAAGTTTCGATTTGGTATATGCATGGAAGGATCTGGATGGTAGCCTAATAGGGTCCTTCAGATTTTGCCTAAATGCTCTGTTGAAGTTGCACACCAGGCCGTACCTGAAGCACTGAAGGGCGCGCACCACAATGTTGGATTATGAGGATGGCAGGCTGGTCGACTGGTTGGCATATAGATATGGACACTCCTCTGCTGAATAGCTTAGATTTTTGACTTGATGTCTACCCCCCTGTTCATCTGATAAACCCAGAGCAAGGTGCTCGTCTGATGGGACTGGGATGGATGGATGGGACGGCTTGGGTGGGATGATGGATGGACGGTTGAAGGACTTGAAGGCGAAGACAAAGCCGTTGTCAGATTTCCAGGATTTCCTGATTGAGTGGTACCTGCAGGATTTCAAACCTAAGACTCTTTTGCAGAAGTGATCGGCCCATATCCGTTCGAGTGTCAGCAGGCTCGCCATGACTATCAAAGTTGTTCTCTTCTCGTCCCCGTCAATTAATTGACAAGGTCAGGGTTCACTTGACCATCTCTCAGCCAGACTCGAAGCCGGACAGGAAAAAAGACAGCGAAGACGGCGGGGATCGACTTTGTCAAACGCCTGTACCCGTCGATAGATGCAGTATTGCAATGTATCCTTACAGCTCACCGGACGCTAAAAAATCCGGCTAGGGTGTTAGTGCTTTTCGCGGGCGGTCCCCATACAAAACCCCGCACGCACTACCCAAATCATAACGCACGACCCGAAAGTGCACTTTTCACCCGCAAAAGAATTGTTAGTGCTAACTGAATTTCGCGCTTTTTCTGTTAGTGTATTCTCCGTCCCCAAACTTCTTCGCGTTCGCGTTCGCTCTGGGAAGGGCCGCGGCAGGTTTCCTGCCGCCCCGAACACTAGCCTCCATTTGCACTTCCATTTACACTTCCATTTGCATTCACACTTCCAATTCTACCTTCGGTTACACTATTTACACTTCGATTTCAAAACAAAGATTTCTCCCTAGAGGGACTTTTTAATTTTAACCACAGTACAACCCAATATCCAGCTCTACACGGGCCACAACCCTGGATCCAGCCTTACACCCTCCAGGGAAGGGGCGAGGACAGCTTGCTGGCCTCCCCGAACACTAGTACCTTCGCGAGGAAGGTAGCCTTCTCGGCATATTCAGTTCAATTTTTCTTGCCCTTACCAGCTCCCGAGCCGGATGGAACCTGGCACTTGCTCTGCCAGACTGGCTCCATTGCCGGAATGGAAGGGCATACCTGCGTAGGCAAGGTATGGTAGCTGGGTAGTTACATTGACAGTGGCCACTTCCACCTCAGCTGGCAAGAGATAGCGAGTCTCGTTTACTCGCTACAGAATTGAGGATTAGATGCATATCTACCTACAAGTAGGTAGAGGTACCCAAGGTGACTGGACACTATAGTGCGGGGATCTAAAATGATGCACGTAATCAAACTGAAGAAGAAAGAAGAATTTTCTTCGCTCATCCGGTCACGGAATCACGGTGCCTGCATGTGCATGGTTGAAGTTTGAGCCTTCCCTTCTCTGATACGTAGGTACTAAACTGAAGTGAAAGTGGAAGGATCGAGTGCGAGGCCTCACGGGACTAGCGGGCGGCAAGGATGGTGATGGGGAACGCCTGGGGTTGTGGTTCGGTAAGTACAGTCCCACTTGCCCAACTTGCTCTGATGCTGCTTCCATTTTCGTTTCTAGAGAAGCCTCTTTTGTAAAAGGCAGGGGGGAGGGATGTGTGCAAAAGAACCTGCCTTCAAAGACTTTTTCGACGAGAGGGCGAACAGACAGGCCAGAGGAAGGGCATATCATGGAGGTGGTGTGGATGGATGAACTCAGGCGAGGTTCCACCTCACTTCTTTGAATCTCGGTCGATACGTGAGAGGGTCACTATGTACCGGCGGCCCATTAGCCGAGAGATACCACTTGAATTACATACCTCCATATCCTTTTCGTTACTTTTTCGTTTCCTACGATCATATTCAGTAGAGTGAAGTCAACTGATATGACATGGAAACCGTGGCCGATCCTCCGGCAGGGTTATCCTCGTCAATAGGTGATCAAAGGTCAGTACACTACCTGGGCGCATCCACTTCGTCCCTAGCTGCCGCCTCTATCAGTAAGTTCTTCAAAACGTCTTGACATCATTTAGGCAAGGCAACCAAGGCCAAGGTTGAATTAAAAGGTCAGTCTCCTTTGCGATGCAGTTTCGGTAATCTCCAGACAAGGTCATGTTTCTATTTTTCATACGTACAAAGAACCTGCCGGGCCGGGCGCCCGAGTGGATGATGCCCACAGCGGTTGATGCACGCGCTACCGCAAGGGCAAGCGGCCTAGCAGGGCAGGGCCCTGCAAAGAGAAGCACCCTGACGGGCTAAAAATGGTGGAGCAGTGTTAATGGAGTTAGAGCGGGTTTCAAGCAGGAACGACGGATGATGATATTTCGATATCTCAAGCCTTTTCTATCATTGACCTTATCGCAACAACATATTAACCAACCACGAGAGTCCCACTCGGTCATGGGAACCCTTTTCCATCAGGCTACAAATGATACGAGCTGCTCAAGTGGAAGGGGTCGACGGTACCTTGCAGTAAGTGTTAAGCTCAAGCTCATCAAGATATCGACACACCTCGAAACATGCAAATTTTCGATCTAACCGGCTGCCCCAATTCGAAATGATGGGCATGAAGTTCAGGAACGCAATAGAAAGAGCGAATCATGAGACGTCTGGTGAAAATTTCTGCCACCCTCATGAGGATATGTAGCTTCATTGCCAGAGAGTGAAACACCATTACACCATCTTGGCGTCTCCCGCCGGTTCAACAGCCTTCTCGACCTTGTAGCTTTTCTCAAGCCTGCTGGAACGCAGCGGAGATTTTATGGGAAGGGTATTTCAACGGAATGTTTCAAAGAACCTGGAAACAAAAGCTTTGTTATCATCATGCTTAATTCCCGAAGCAACCCACTACAGGCCAAATGCGAAGATCTCGTTGCGACGCTCCCCTGTGACCGAGATCGCCCCGGTCCATCAGGCCCAGGATCAGATTGTAATTATAGCCTACCCACCTCGAGCCTACCTGACATACCAGGTAGTATGTGGTGAGTGGCTGCTGTGCCCTTGTTATCTCGGCCATGAGAAGTCCGGGTTCAATTCTGTTAATCATCGCAGAGACCGAAAGGTCTTTGTTTTTTCGATCTCTTCACTGTGGCTCGCGATGGGAAGCTTCTCTGCTCTTGGCTATGCACAATCTCGGTGTTCTCTGCTGAAAATACAGTAGCGTGAGTGGTGTCTGGCAGCTTGCTAGTGCTGACGAACACCACGTCATCTGGTGGGTGTGAAAACATCTGAGGGGAGATGCAATACCGAGTCGTGTGAATCGCTGCATGTTGAATATGAAAGACAAGGTACCAGACGCAGACGGAACATGTCAAAAGAAGGCAGCTAGATGAGAAGAACATACCTAGGATGGGAGCTACTCATGCCTTGACGGTAGACCCTGAGCAATACTCACTGCAGTGGACCACGAAAGGAAGGAGTGGAGAGGAGCAAGTAACTAGGTATATTGGTAGGACGGGCTTTAGATGGCCCCGGCCTTCCTGTGACCTATCTAGCTGTACAGGCAGATTATCATAGGACGGTGTTGTTGGGGATAAATTAATATTGATTCTATGATTCTTGCTATGTGGTTGTCAAATCGTTTACAGAAGCGTGATCGTCTTCATTGTAGCTTGACCTACCACCGTCAACTTGCAATGAGTGCGAGCTTTTGTGTTAACTTGAAAATTCGCTGAGAAGAGAAGGGGTCGAATGGCACGATGGTTACACTACTTGTAGGTGGTAAAGGTCACACAGAGAGGTACCCCTGCCTGCCTACGTAAACACGCCTACCTGCCCCTCTTCTCAACAATTTATAAAAACTCCATCCCCCCTCTGCTTTCGAAATTTCTTGTTGACATTCCCCATCCTTTCTGTCTCGATCTGACCTTGCCTCCAGCGACAGGCTCACTTCGTTGCCGACGACATCATACGTAACAAACGTTCAACACCGTACCTGTCGTCGGTGCTCTGGAGCTGTCCTCGTTTGGATAAGCCGTCGTCAACTTGTCCCAACACCATTCATCCTCTGACAACCTTGATGCTCCGCTTCCTCGATCAGTCAGTTACCCCAACCTACCTCGAGTAGGTGACTCCTATCCCAACAGCTGCCCAGTGAAGGTTCGTTGCTGACTGTTGTAGACACGAAGTTCCAAGACAGACCACTGTTCCCGTCAATTGTCCGAACACTTGAGCACTCCCACCTTGTCACCCACATCGTCGTCATCCGAACCCATCATCCCACCCATTGTCCATCCGAACCCATCCACCCGTCGTCCGATCCCATACGTCCTTCTCCGTCCGTCACACGACTGTACAATCTTCAAAGCAAAACATACTTTCCCTAACGCAATAACGCCTTGTTGGACTCGCTGCTCCATTGAGCACAAAACCCGTCAACACTTTCTCGACACAACACTGAAAGAATGCACTCTTCAATGGGGTCCAAGTCCGCTCCCAGCGATAGCTGGACGACGATCGAATTCCATACAAGTCGCCACACCAAGGACAGAACGCCTGAATACAACGATGACAACGAGTCATCAGCCCAAGTCGCCAGCATATCCTCTTCCAGTTACAACGGCGCCTTGGCATCCGAGATTGCCCAAGGTGATCTCATCACTGGCACTCATGAGATACCCTATCGCGCTAGATCTCACGGATGCTCAACGGAGACCGCAAGCTCGGACCAGACCTTCTTCGCCGACGAGGTCATGAATCGCCAGGAAACAGTAGCTACGGCTCCACCTCTGACGGCTAGCCAGTCCCTTCCCAAAGGCCCTTCTCTCACTGCATCGGTCCTAGGGCGATATAGTGAGGTAATGGCCCAACCCTACGTTGGCAACATACCCAGCTGGATTGAGGGCGCCGGCTTCGTTGGTCGGCTTGCCAGACCTGTGGTCTCCGAAAACCCTCCGACCACAAAGCCTCCCAAGTCCAAGCAAAGCATTTCGAGCAGCGTCGGATCTGACTGGGCATATGTTCCCTCGTCCCCGGAGCAGGCGAGCCTTATTGCGGGTTCCGGCGGATGGTGCGGGGAGCCAGATGGCAGACATCCCCGTCGAGTCTCGACCCTCGACCTGCTTGAGGACCCTATGCCTCTTTCTGACTGAGGAGCACATAGCTCTTTTGCTGTTGCTCCCATTGTGGCATCATGTGCCTGATGTTGATGATGATGTCTTGTCCTTTGTCTGTACTTTTCCTGGTCAGCCTTATTCCTTCCATTGTCCCAACTCTTCTCGTATGGGACAGTTCTTGCCCATCTTGTTTCATGACTATATCATTTAGCCAGCCTTGTATTACCTCCACCTTTCTGTTCTTCTTCGATGATTTCCCCTTTTCATTGGGACTTTGTTTGCTTTCATGTTTCGGTAACATAGCGGGAAAGCGTTGTCGAGTCGTGTTTTGTTGTTGTAACGAGATGGATGGGACGTTTGGATTAAAATTGGATAACAGCGGGCGCATCCTGGCAAAATAGAGTTGGAAAAACCAATGACTGGATTTTGGATAACAAAAGGAGAAGTTAGTATGTTTGGGGATATGTTCGCTTTCATTCTGTCTAAGACGTCCACGATAGCAATACATGATCATGATATTTCTTTGAACCAACTTGGAACAAGCTTGATCATTGGGACGATGGACGAACGATACCACCTGGCCGTGACGGCCAGATACATAAATGCAATGCAACTTCGCTACCCCGGAAAATGTTCATGCGGGGTTCAAGTATCGCAAGGGTGAAAGGAATAAGGGAACAGGAAAAACACCAGCCGATGTGGGGATCGAGAATGCCGGAGCGTGGTGAATGGCGCTCTCCTCGTTCCACTAGAGCGTTTGGAGAAAACCGGCCATGCTCCGAACTATTCCCATGTTTTCTCTCCAGTCAACCGAAGAACATGGCTCGCTAGCCATCGCCCAGTGATGGTAGAACTAGGAATACGCCATTTAGCCTAATATCTCACCGTGATACCTTGGGATATCTCATCCCGGGTTCCCGGAATGGATTCTCTTATCGACCGACCACGGACAGTTACACCATCGTCATGTTCCTGCATAGGTTAATATCAATATATAACCCATCCGCCCTGGATGGATGACAGCCAATATGGGAAGAGTAGGCTGATCCCTCGACGAGGTTGTGCTTTGCTGTTTCTGAACAATAGCAACGTTCAAGAGTTGTCCTCGCCGCCATGTTCGGTTCATCGTCCACAGGCTTCGGCCTGAAGAATCTCCTCACTGGAGCGTTGATCTTGTGCTCCTCTTCCTCCGTTTCTGCGAAGAGCTCGAATCAATGGCTCGATATCTGGGGCTCCATGCCACAGCTCGTTGAGCCAGGGAACCTCCCTCCCGCTCCTTATGTAAGTTGTGTCCGAACTCGACATCCTGACTTGCCAGAAACAGAAAGCCGAGAGAAACGGTACACGGACTAACATAACTGAAACCCTCAGAACGGCGGAGACGCGGTCTTCAAAAACGCCACCTTGCGCCAGACAGTCTACATCACCCAAGATGCCTCGACCATCCGGCTGAGCTTCAGCAACGCCTTCGGCGGTTCTGATCTGCCCATCACCGCAGCCACCGTCGCTCTGCCCGCATCCGGAACAGGGGCCGGCTCCAGCGCCATCAAGCCCGGGTCCGTCAAAACCGTCACCTTCTCAGGAGGCCGGCCCGACTTCCTCGTCCCCAACGGCGCCCTGGTTGTCTCGGACCCCATCAAGATCCAAGTCAAGGCCCAGTCCGTCCTGACCGTCACGCTCTACTTCGCTACCGGCCAGACCGGCCAGTCCATCACCGGACACCCGGGTAGCCGCACAACCAGCTGGCTTGCGCCGGGCAACCTCGTTTCGGCCGCCGACCTGTCGTCCTCCGCAGCCGGAGTAGCAAGCACTGACCACTGGTACTTCCTCTCCTCCATCGAGGCCTACCAGCCCGAGCGTGCCTCCGCCCTCTACATCGTCGGCGACTCCATCACCGACGGCCGCGGCTCCACCACCAACGCCAATAACCGCTGGCCCGACCAGCTTCTCGCTCGCCTGCAAAAAGCCGGTCGCTCGTTGTCTTCCATCTCAGTCATCAACCAAGCCGCCGGCGGCAACCGCGTCCTGGCCGACGGTCTCGGCCCCAACGCCCTCGGCCGCATCGAGCGCGACGTTCTCGCCCGCCCTGGCAACGGGGTGCGCTACACACTGATCTTCGAAGGCGTCAACGACATCGGCACCGCCTCGCTTGACCAGGTCTCCCAACAATCCGTCGGCGACCGACTGATCTCTGCCTACGAGCAGATGATTACGCGCTTACACTCTCGCGGAATCGCGGCGTTCGGGGCGACTATCACACCTATGAGTGGGCCCGGGCAGGCGTATGGTGAGCCGGAGAGGGAGAAGACGAGACAGAGGGTTAATGAGTGGATTCGAAGGAGTGGACGGTTTGATGCGGTGGTGGACTTTGATAGAGCTGTGAGAGACCAAAAGAATGGGACGATGCTGGATAAGAGGTGGGATAGTGGGGATTATTTGCATTTGAATCCGGAGGGGTATCGGGTGATGGCGGAGGCGGTGGATTTGAGGATTTTTGAGAGGTTTGCGGAAGGGGTGGAGGTGTATTTGTAGAGGAGTGGATGAGTAGTGGTGTTGGTAGTCGAAGAGTCCTTAAGTTGGGTAGTCGGAGAGGTTTATGAATCGGATAAGTTCGTCTTATGTCTTCGTCATCATTGCGTCGGTCGACTGGGTTGGAGAACCCCCATCGAGGCCGCCAATTAGGGTTTCTTGTGAGTGATATGGTGTCCTTGTTGTATATCAGCCTCCTTCTTGACGTGGTTCCCATTTTTATCTTCTTTTGGTCGGAGTGCGATCGTGAAGGTGAGTGTGAATGTCGTCGATGTCGTGAAACTCTTGAGTGATTTAAAGCACCACGAGGAGGGTTCCAGGCCGAAGTTCAAAGACCGAAAAAGAGCTTAAATCAAAAAGGGGCTAGAAAGAGGGAACAAGCGGGTAGATATGTCTTCGTAGGGCTGGTGACCTGTGGGGTGATTTGGGCACTCGGGCATCAACTAGGATGCACGATGAATCAGAATATGCAGGTTTGCGTGATGCAAGTTAAACGGACAAAAAGATAATTGGTACAACCAGAACAATAAGAAGCAAGGTGGGAAGAACGTGTGCCTTACATGACAACGGCAGAGACAAACAGGAAGGCGGTTCACGGCTGGGGCTTGTATCCACAAGTGCTTTCCCGGGCCTTCCCGGCTAACGACCACGGAAGCAGGATTCGGCATTTGGTGTAGCCGTTGGCTTACACCCTCATGGTTTCATAAAGGCATCATCTCGGACATGAGACCAAGTTCAATAGACAGGGGTTGTAGGGCACACGAATAATACCGCCTAACGTCCATGATGAGACCTCAGCGGCCCAGAAGAACCCCCCTGCTGCCCAATAGTAAAATAGCGTGAAGACGAAAATGTGGTATATTTCCTTAGCATTCCAAGAACTCCGCCAATCATACATGTAGTCGGCTTGTATACACTCCAAATGGCCTGTGTATCTTTCTCATCATAATAGTAGCACATCCGAGCACGCCAATCAAGACAAGCAGACTGATTAGCCTGTCTCCTCGCTTCCCTTTTCCCTCCTTTTATCCTGTTCATCTCTCGCTTGGTTCCATTACACGTTGTTCTTTTACATCCAGAGACGGATGGTACCGTCTGCACCGGCAGACACACACCACGGCTCACGCGGGTGCCAGTCCATGTCCAGGACACCGAGCTTGTTGACGACCTTGTGTCCCTTGAGCACCTTGACGGGGACAATGGTGGGGTTCTCCAGCTGGTCGTTCGGGACCTTGCCGTGGAAGATTTGAAGAGTACCGTCGTCACTGGCGTCAGCAAAGAGTGGCAGGCCGCCCTTGTGGTACTTGACCTGACGGACCGCCTCGCTGTGGAACCTCATCGTCTTGTACGGACGAATGGAAAGATCCAGATCGTGCCACAAGAGACGCTTGTCGTAACTACCAACAATCAAGTTATCACCGCCAGGGTGGATATCGAACGAAGAGATCCTACAAGTCGATAGAGTTAGCAAATCTGTTCCATGCACAATATCGGAGAGATCATGGGGATACGTACCACTTCGCGCCAGGCTGGACAACCTTGACCAGCTCGAGCTTCTGCAAGTCGTAGCAGCGAATTGTCCGTTGAGTGGCGACGAAGAAGAGAGGACGGAGGGGATGGAAAGACGCTGTCTGAGCCAAGCCAGAAAGCTTGCGGAAGGGAATCTGGGTGAGGTGCTTGGAGAGCGTATGGATCGCCACGGAGCTCCTCTGTCCGGAAGGCGATACCGTCGCGAAATGGTCTCCTTTCCTGTGCCAGTTGATGACCTTCACGGTCGACCTAACTGTGATCCTGATCAAAACACCCTCATCCTCGAGCTTAGCACCGGGGCGAGCCCACTTGGCAGGAGGCTCCTTGCCGGGAGCAGCGCCGTGTTGCTGGCCGTTTGTAGCATAACCGAAGCCAGCCGACAGGATATCTCTGCTAGCCTGGTCCAGAGCAGGAGTAACGCTGGCGTGTGTAGGAACCATGAGGTAGATATCCTCACCCACAGCAGCGGAGAGAATGAAGGAGTCCTTCGCAGGCCTCCACCTAACAGTGTTGACAGCCTCCTCGCTGCTGAGCTTGACGGACCAGACTTGGCGACCCGTCAACAGCTCCCACACACGTACCGTACCGTCATCGCCACCGCTAGCTACAGCAACGCCAGTAGGGTCGATGGCAACGCTTCTTACACGGCCGTCATGGCCGCGGAAAACTGTTTGAGCAACGGTAGGGAAAGGCTTGAGCTCAGAAGGCGAAGGCAGCTTGGGTAGGAGCGAGTTGGGGTCGATGTTGAGCCTGTTCTTGCGCACACGAGGAGCAAGGTAAAGGTCCATGCACCTCTCGAATCTCTCCTTGACAACCTCGCCATAACCGGGAACCTTTCTCAACGAGTCGTACTTCTGAGGGAGGTACTCCTTCTCGCGCTCCTCGGGGTCGAGCTTCTCCCACTCCTCTCTCTCCTCCTTGGTCGGTAGGTATTCTGCGGGCGGGTTGTAACTCATGTCGAAACCAGGAGGAGGCAACTTGGGTGCCGGGATGTGCAAGGGATTGACTTCTTGAGGCACCTCATCCTGCCAGATATCGAAGTACTGTTCCTCCTCTTCCTCCTCCTTCTCGCGCTCCTCAGGGGGCTTGTAGGGCAGAATCCTGCCTTCCCTAATGGCGCGAACAAGCTTCATAATCTTCTTGGCCTCGTTCTTGGAGGGGAGGAAGCGACGCTTGGGCTCAGGGGCAGCGCTCAGGGCTATTGGCTTGTTAGTTGCACCATTTCCACAGTGGTTCGTGTGGATAGATTAAGACTTACGCATCTTCTCCTCAATACCAGTAAAGTATTCCACGGTTTCGGGGTAGGGGTTCTCCAGCTCGTTGGGAATCATACCCATCTGCACACGGCGAACAAGCTCCAACTCATCATCACTACAGTATGACGGTCAGTAAGCGTATCCCGAAAAACCCGAACAACATAGAGGACGATGGGTTGGGTGCGTACTTGAGGTTGAGAGGGTTGCCAGTGTGAATATCCGTAAGGCCAGTCCAGCCCTTGGGCACTTCGATGCTGTCGAGGAGGGCGTCGAGAGCGTCGCCAGTGGCCGGGCGCATAATCTTCTTGCCGTTGATATCATAACCGATATGGGGATAGCTGTCGTAGAAGCTCATGGGGATGTTGCCGATGGTGTTTGGCGCTTCTTGGGCATCGGAATCGTCCGAATCGTAGACGGGGTCGATCTCACTGTCGCATTCTCGAGTTAGTTATGCTGGCATGGAAGGACCGTTGGTCCAACTTCAGAGCAACAACATACTCGTAGACGTAACGCTCGTTGCCGTTCGCATCCTTCTCGATCCGATAGTTCTTTTCTCCATCATCCTTCTCCGGCCGCTTGGGGTCAACTCCGGGTATCTCGATCTTTAGTTCCTCCTCTTCGTCCTCAAGAACAAGTTTGCCCATTGCCTTGTCGCCCTCAGCGTCGGAGGGGATGTCGTCGCTTAGTAGAGAGCCTTCCTCATCTTCGTCGTCGCTGGCCTCGCTTCCGCTTTCCTGCTCGCCGTCCTGTTCGTGCTCATTGTCGTCGAAATCGGAATCGAACTCGTCTTCGCTTTGCGACAGAGCGCCGTCAAAGTCGGGTGCAATTTCGTCGTCGGACTCAGGCTCGGGGTCCTGGACCTTTCGCTTCTTCTCAATGGCTTTTGGCCCCATTGTGAATATGTGTTGATTTTTGGCGTGTTTTCTGCTGGAAAATCACCCAGATAGCGTCGCAGCGATAGGCGTCGAAAATTCCCAGCGTACGAATTGGCCAGGGACTTTTTTTTCTGCCGGTTCTAAAGCTCATGGCGGGGACGATTTCGTCTCACCGCCCTTGGCATCCGCAGCAGCTAAAGGACCAGATTACCCTATCGGGTTAGCGTGTCGGAGAGCAGACGTGAATGGAGACAAATGGAGAGCATGCGCTCCCCTGATACTGACTTCTCCAATATTCTAGCCTTATCTGTCATGGATGAGATGAACACCGAACACCACGATGCAGCACCCTCAGGTCTGCACCCCTACACCTGGCTTCAACCACGTACGATTCCACTTCTGCAGCCCGTCCTACCCGTTCCTGTGGGCATTGGCAGCCAAAACCGCCAAAACAGCATCAATCAAAAACCCGCATGACCAGATTGAGTCTCCATGGATTGCTCGTAAAATACACATTTTTGTCGAGTTTTACCCCATTGCCCCTTACGTTTTTGCGCTTTCTAGCATGGCAGTTGGGAATAGCATGAATTCAGCCTGCTTGGGAACCTTGATGTCCTAGGGGTACTCGATACCTCTACACTACGTACTCCCATAAAACCAGGCTATAGTCATCCCATGACTAGCGAAAGCACATGCCTCCGGCCAGTGAGCCTCATAGACGTCCGAAGGCCTAGATGTTATTGTTCGGTAGATGCCTGACACCTGCCAGTACCAGTTGAGGCGAGACTATCAATCAGACTCTGAATTCTCCGTGTTAATTGCGGCTTATTAATAGTGGCATCAGGTCTGGCGCGACTAGGTGATCTTTGGTTGCTTGCGTTGGCTCGTTAGCCCTGCTGCCCTGGAGCCTCTGCGTGGCTGGCCTGTCTGAATTCTGCTCTCTTTGCCCTCATTTGAAAACGAGTCAATCTATCGTCCCAGGTCACTGGTTACAACGTACATATCCATGCTCTTTGCCCATTATCACAACACTAGCGCCTAAGCAGTGTCTTGAACCACCACCGGGGCGATTTCCGCGTCTTCTGAGCGGTGCTTGCGGAGAGCCTTAGACGTTTACCTTACCACTCAACCCCCTTTATCGCACCACACATCTACGCCTGCGGAAAAGAAAAAAATAAATAAAGGAAAGGCCGTCTGCGAAAATCAACCATGATCTCAAATAGCGAGGGCGCTAAAGAGAAAGAGCCGGTGAAACGCCGTGCCTGTGACGAGTGCCGTATGTTTCGTCCCATCTCCCCGTTCCCATCCATATATCTCCATCTACCTCCAGTCAGCACCATGACAGCCCAACCCGCACTGATGTATCTAAATTAACAAATGCAGGGGCACGGAAACTGGCTTGCTCAAAGGAACCAGATGGCTGCGCGCGGTGTAAGCGCGAAGGCGTTCACTGTAACTACTCGGCCCAGAAGCCCATGGGCCGGCCAAGGAAACGTCCTCACGTCGACGTGGCCGAGGCATCGCGAAAGGAGGCAAAGACTGATGATGTTTCTCCCAGCGAGACGGCGGCCTTGACATATCCCGTCTCTATGCCCTTTGACGGGACCCTAAACCTGGACCTAGACATGTGCTTCCTCGACGTCACCAACACAGACATAAATTTCTCTGACATATTCGACCCAAATTTCCAGTTCGGATCGTATGGCTTCCCCTTCTCCTTGGACTACGACATCCCTCTACCGGGACCGGCACCCGGGCAAATAGAGGCGATGCCCAAGGAAGACACAAGACATGCCGATCAAGCCTGGATGGATTCCACGGCTGCCGTCAACGCACAACGGCAGCCACCCCTTGGGGGATACCTCAATGTCAGCTTTGACAGCATTGACGTACAAGCGTCAACATCGGCCTCCTCGTCCTCAATACAGCAGTATTCCTCGCCGTTCCCGAAGCGAGAACAGCCTGAAGGGATATACGCCTACCCAGACTACGCCTACCACCCAGACACATCTCAGAACCATCACGGCTCCCGCCCAGCGTCACTATCAGAGGTCTCCGAATCAACCGTCCCCCATCTGACCCCCGGCGGCTCCTCCACCACCAGCCCCAGCGACAGCACCAACACCAACGACCACGCCGTCGGTGGCCAGCCCGCCGCCCAATGCGCCTGCTCAGACAACCTCCGCGAGGCCATGGAGTCCCTCCGCTTCGTGCCCACCGACGACATCACCCAAGCGCTCTACACCGTTCGGACCGTCACCAAGATAGCGCACGAGACCATCCTCTGCAGCATCTGCGGCGACCCTCCCACCACCACGTCCTCCTCCACCTCCACCTCCGCCGCCGCCACCGGCACCGACACCAAGACCGACAACAACCCCTCCGACGAAAACGAACCCCCCGTCTCCGCCATCCAAAACATGGTCCTCCTCGCCGCCATCCTCCCCTCGCTCTCCTCGTCCTACACCCTCCTCCTCGAGCTCGTCGAAAAAGAGACTCTCTCCGCCGCCTCCACGGGCCGGCACATCTTCTTCGATCTCGAAGGGTATGGCGGACTATGGGGTCCCATCGCGACCTCCTGGAAGCGGTGCGAGGACATGGTCGCCCTTCTCGCCCAACCGCTCCCCCCGACAACCTGGCGCCTGATGGCCCGCGCCATGCTCAAGCTGGATGTGTACGGGCAGGGCGGGGCGGCTGGGACGGCGAGTCAGGGGACGGTTATCAGTTTGGATGGTATTAGGGACAAAAGTTATGGTCCTGGGCCGTGCGAGGCGGTGGTGCATATTGGACTGAAGGATATCTTTGCGAGGATGGAGGAGAGGTCCAGGAGACGGCAGGAGAGGTTGGAGGCGTTGGTGGCGAGTGGGGAGTTGGAGGGGGTGATTCCGCCCATTGGAGGGAGTTTTGTTGTTGGGAGTGCTAGTGAGCGGCCGGTGTCGCCTACTATGCCGACGAGAGTGGCGACGACGCCGGCGGCGGCGGCGGGCAAGGCGGATGGAAAGGTGGACGGAATGAAGACGAGGTCACAGGGTATGAGGATTATTGCTTCTGCGAAGAGTGCGATGGATAAGTTGTTAATTCCTTGAATTTTTTTTCTTTTTTTTTCTTTTTTTTCAACATTTTGGGTGGTGGTAAGGGGTATGGGGATAAGGGGCTGAAGTTCCACACAAGCGGAAGCTCTCTATGTTCTCTGTTGCTTTGGTATGACATGACAGTTCTGTTCCGTTCCAAGCGTGGAGTTTTGAGGTTTCCGGGTTTACTACTAGGTACTACTTGGATATGGACATGGCGATGGGATGATATGCATGACCCTTTTTTGTCGTCATGGTTGGGTAGCGGTTGGGAAGAAAGGTGAATCTCAGCTGGCTTCTACCTCGAACTTCTTTGGTTCTTCACTTACTAACGCGAATGTTGTAGGTTCGATATTTTGGTATGATACAATTGGGTAACTAGTGGCACTACTAGTTGCTGCCGCCATGAGCTTTGTTTTGTTTTGGCTTTACCATGTATACTACAACATACTTGTTTTGCACTGGGGTGGGAGTTACGTCGGTGGCGCTTCACAGTGCTTCCGACCTGAAGGTGTTGGGGGGTTTTCCATTGAGACCGGCCGGATAGGCGGGCTTTGTATGAATCGAATCATGGCGTTACTAGGTACCGTCCCGAATGGATGTCAGAATAAACCGAACATAAACAGTGCAGTACCAGTCGCTTGAGTTGAAAGGCCGCAACGTAACAGTAAGATGTCTTATGGCAAGCTGGAGACATTTGTACGAAACTCTCTGGGATGCTTTGATCCATAAAATGCTTCGCAATCCCAGACAGAGGGCATATGGACGATGAGTTGATACGTGAAAGACCATACCGGAGGTGTAACGTATCCGACGTGTTCGGTATGTGTTCTATGACCACTCGCGTTACACGAACGGAACCAGCTTGTGCGAATCGTCTTCCCCTCGGAGTATCGTACATGAATCTATCGAAGAAACGGATTCCTGATTTTAGTGAGATCTGAAGCGAGATTCCGGCCCACCATCAACTCCATGGAAAATCTTAACAACTAGCAGGAATATTTCTTTTTATCTCATGACTATTTTGAGCATTGCAACTGCGCTCACATACGCCCTGTTTTCAAAATTTCCATAGTTTGAGGACCGTCACAAAGATAGACCCAGCCAAAAGGATTGTACGCCGCTAATGATCAAAATGACACCACATCACATAACCCACTCCTAACTTTCTCCTAGGTACCCGTGACGTATTTTCAACTCCCAAATGAGATTCGAATCACCCTCCACATAGCATTGACCGGCGTGGCAGGCCATACCTATCATGTCTCCATTCGCTCGTTTCGCTCCCAAACCCATGTAGGCAACACCCTTGCTTGGCTCGGATTGCCGAGCTCAAATAAGCGAGGGATTCTCATGTACCCCTACGCGGATCTTCCTCTCCTTAACCTCCTCATTCGTAGACCCCTTAGTAAACCTTCTTCTTCTCGTCAATGCTGAACTGGCCCGGGCCAGTGTTGGTGAGGAGCAAGAGACCACCGACGATGGAAAGGATCTGGAAGAAATCGTACTTGGCGAAGTCCTTGTGGGGGTGGTGCTCGTGAAGCTAGAAAGACGCACAGTTAGCAGCGGCTCAGAAAAATGATAGCAATACCGAACTGTATCCGTCGGGGACACAAAATCCACTTACAGTCCAGAAGTTGTTGACCAGAAGGTTGAAAATGCTCAGAATGACGACCAAGAGAGTAGAGCTGAACTTGGTCTTGAAGCCGACAACAACCATGACGCAGGCAACAAGGCCAATGAGCGAGACAATAATGCGCCAGATGGTCCACTCTCCGCTGAAGACGAAGCCGATGAAGAGGAAGATAAGGAGGACACGGCCAGCAAGCTGGAAGTACATCTTGCGGTCCTTCTCCTCGAGCGTGGGGAGACCGGCAAAGGCCTTGGTCTTGCGCACCCACGAATCCGAGAGCACCATAAGGAGACCGCCCATGACGGACAGGTTGCGGAGGAAGAAGTTCAGGTCGAAGATAAGGCCGTAACCGAGCGCCTGGGTGATAACGACGCCGATGAGACCGCCGACGGCATACTCAGAGTACTTGCGGATAATAACGAGGGTGGAGCAGGAGGCCATGGCGATAACGTTGACGAGGAGGAAGAGGTGGGTGACGCCATTGGGAACTGTAGGATGTCCAAGGTTAGTAAATGTTTTGCTAGCTGTGCGCAAGGCGCAGGTTAATGGATGCTCAAAGGGCACATACTATGACGGTAGTCGTGAAGATACAACAGCTGGTCGTTCCACTGGGTCATTATTCTGAGCGCATCCTCGATGAAGGTTACGACAATCAGAAAGCGGCCAATGGCAGGGAGGTACCTGTATACACCAGCATTCGGTCAGCAACCCTTTCATACGCATTCTCGACTAGGTCTGACATACGGCTTGATGGGTTCGCTAAAAGAATCCAAGACGTCCTCAATCTTGCTCGTCTGCTTCCGGATTGCGTCGAGAGGGCTGGACTCGGTCGTGTCGTCGTTGACGGGTCCTCCGAAAGGGCTCGAGGCACCAATGCCATAGCTGCCGGGTCCCCGCATTTGCGCCATTGTGTGAGATACGATCGCGTCGGGTCTGGTTGATCAACTGAGTATGGCGTCGGAAATCGAGACGTTGTCAAGCGCAGGTGTTGCTCCTGGATCGCGAAACCAGGTTGGTGTTGTTTTGTGGAGGGATGAGCGCCGAGAAGTGGAAGTGATGACGGAGGGGTTCCTGCTCAGGGCGACTCCAGAGAGCAATAATAAATGCGGGACCGAGCTTGTATTAATGGGCCCTCGTTTCGATTCAGGCGCAGCAGCTTTCGGATTGAGACCTGGTGGTGAAGGGTCAAGGTCCAACTGGCAGCTGAAGAGGTGGAAGATGGTTGCAAGGCAAGGTGAATTTGAAGATGGAAGTGCCCTGGTGGTGAGGTCAGTCAGGTACCTTATTAACATACAACTGTGTCCTTAACCAAATGTCATTCGGTGATTTCCTGCAAGTGCCGCATCGAGAAGCTGCCAAGCTGACGGGTGCTCATGTTAAGAGATACATACCTGTTAGTGGCAGCCTCACCAAAAAAGGAGTACACTCAAACGGAATTACACACTGCGGGCAACTGTGGGTCCCCCTTACTCTTGGTCGACGGCAACCTTCCGGTGTTTCGAGTTGCCGTGCTGGAGTGCCCACGCGCCCAAGGTCGCCCTGCTGAAGCGGCCTGTGTGCCTGTGAACCTGCTGGTGGGCGACTGGGTTTTTGCAAGCGCACGAGCCAACCGTTGTTTTGGCGCGGGAAGAATGGAGTCTCGGAAGCGATGGATCTCCAAAAGACCCCACGCTAGACTGGGTTCAGCTTTCTCGAATCTCGACTGTCTGGAAAGTGCGATCTGATCCGAATTTCCCCCTTTTGGAGACGAGAAATGGCTTCAAGGTTGATTGAAAAGGAGCCTCATCGTCATGTCCGACACTTCTCCTAACTCCTATTCACCTTGATTCTCACGATTCATCTTCACCTTGATCTACCCAACAGTGTCTCTAAACACGCTATCGCAACCCCGCTGTAAAAACTCTCGGAGCCTCCTCAATGCAACAGCCCGATCGGACTACAAATTAGGAAGCTCCTCAGGCGTTTTTCCACCCGAGTGCAATGCCGACAAGGTCGAGCAACAGAAGAGTGCAGGGGTCAATGTCTTCTCAGCTTCCATAGCGGGCTGGCAGCAGTGGCAGGGGATCTCCGCTTGCGTCCGCTAGGCCCGGTCCGGTGGGGAACGGGACTCGGTAGCTTGGCATGGAAGGCATGCTCGGCATGGTCCCAATGGCCCAACCTTGATTCGTCCCATTGCCGCCATCCGGCATAGCGACGACGTCGGCATCGGGGGTGGGGGGAAGGATGCCCGGTTTTCGGGATCATGAGGCCCATTCACGACGACGGCGATAGGTCCGGTTGCATTTCCCTTCACTTTCATTTACCATCTCATGAGTAACCATTTTCCCTTCACTTGGCTCGGTCTATGATACTTATCGACGAGGACATTGTGAAGAACTGGTAGACTCTAAATTAGACTTTCACTGGTGATCTTCTGTTTTCTGATGCGCTCAAGCACGAATTCATATAAAAAGTCGTCCTTACACACTGATAACCCATCAAATCGAATCTCCATCCAGTACCGAACCAGAGTACTCATTAACAACACCTTTACCAAATTCACCCTCCGGCGTGTCACACAGGTCAAGAAATGTGATTCACCAACGCCTCAATTAAGCTTAAACTCTCCTCAAACTCCTCGGCAAATAGGCTTATCAGCTGCCCAGAGTCGGCTAACCACAAGGGAGCGGGTCAAAAAAAAAAAGACGGGAAGGATGGAAGGGGAACAAAGAGATAGGACGCTCTCACATTATTCACAAGGCCACTCTACCCACTTCCTCTCCCACGCCCTCCCATCCTCCCTGGGAAAAAACCTGTTTCAAGAACTTTGACGGGAGGAAAGTTTGCCCCCTACGTATTACCATTGTCTGACTGACTGACTGGTTCCTGGGTCTCATGAAAACACGAGGGAACAAAGGGATGGGGAACAAACGGGACAAGGATGAGGACGGGACAGGGCCCGTTCCTTTGTGTGGTACCTACTTGACGGACCGATTCCATGGATTTGGTGAACCGTTTTTGAGTTTGGTGTGGTTCTAACTTTGTTGGTTTGGATGGTGGTGGCAAGGGTCGGAGGGGTACGGCACGGAACTTTTTTTTTCGAGAACAGCACTTGGAATAGCTGAGACGATGATTTAGGTTTGAGACGTGGGCAGAGTAATCATCAATATGTGCCTATGTGAAGATGTTAAGTCTAGATGAGGGGATTCAGTCGGTCGTGGCATATGCTCATGAATGCTTCAAAGTGATTGAAACGATAAGATGTAAGTGCCATTCGTTCAGCCTGGGATATCAAAAAACTAGGTAACACAAAATATCAACCAGTTCCCAGTCGACAGCAGCCAGATATGTTTTCAAAACGCTAACATAACGTAATTCGAGTTCGAGTGTCCCATATCTGCCTACTGGTCGCTCCCATAGAAAATTCCTTTTCCGTTTATATTCTTTCATTCATTAAGCAACCGTCAAGTGACGCTCCTAGACATAGATTCTTTGCTGCTCATCGCTTCTGAAAGTGATTCTCCTCCCCAGCAGTCCAACCCGCTTTGGCGCCACCATTGTTCCCACTCTCATACTGCGGAGGAGGCGATCCCGGCATCATCGACGGAGGTCTGACAGAAGGACCGTCTCCGCTTGGTAGTTCAACAGGCGCCTGATCAACGCCACGCGAGTGAGGAACCCTATTATAGCCATGTTAGTTTTCTGGCTCTGAAATTCTACTCCCAAATTAGTGAGACTCGAAACTTACGAGCTGAGTTCTCCAATCATCAAAGGCGAGTTAGGTCCAGGAATAGGCGGGCTTCCAGGCGTAGACACTGCGTGTCCATTGTAAGTGTTAAACCCATAGACAGATCCTGGCGAGACAGGGTTCTGGTGCGGTGGTGGCGGCGTCCCATATGGGTACGGAGGGTGTTGAGGGCTCGCCGTCATGCTTCGATACGGGTCATTGGGGTCCATGTGCGGATGAGTCGAGAAGGTCGCGAAGCTGGCTTGGCCGGGACTCTTCAGGCCTGCTGGTGTTGGGACAGGGCTGTGCTGGTTGTGGTACTGTGCCTCTACCATGGTCGGAGGAGCAGCAGCGGCATCGGGGGCGGGTGCCGACGGCTGAACGACGCTCTTACGGTAGGCCTTTTTGAACCCTCCCCTTCGGCCGCAGAAAAAGAGCAAGGCGGCGGCAATGGCTACCACGGCGGCCGTGCCGATGGCGATTCCCGCGATGGCTCCGGCACCAAGGCCCGCTTTTTTGCCTCCGCCTTCTTTTCCGTAGTCTGGATCTTCAGCCTTCCATGTCTCTCCCGGCTTTAGATCGTACGTCGCTTGGTCTGCGAACTTCTTTTGGGCAGCCAATGATTGCGTAGCGTTAGGGTTGATGACACCGATCATTTTTCGAGTTGAACAGGAAGTACGGGCAGAGCAGTAGAAGAACATGGGCTCCTCAGTTTCAACTCTATAAAACCAGTCAAGGGTCTATTTTGTGGCTTTGTCAACGCCATGATCAAGTAGTCCTCATACGGCTTTGGAAATTAACAACTTACTTTCTCGAAGCTCTCGGGGTTAGTATAACCCTCGCCGCTGGACCACATCCCAGGCTGGCCTGGGTGGTAGAGCTCCCAAGGGAAGCACGGAAATTCGAATTCAGCTCGTGCAACAGAGTGACCCGTGGGATAAAAAATGAAGCCTAATAAGCTTTAGCGTTACTCGGTTGTTCATATCGAACACTTCAAGTTGACCTCCACAAAGGGTAACGTACGAATGACATCGCCTTTAGTGGCATTCGTTTCGTTTGGCTCGAACGTATGGTCATGCTATTATCATGGTAAGTCATTGTTGCTCGAATCTTTGACGCTCGTTATAATAACTTACTCTTCCCACATGTATCTCGATGACTTTTGAACCGGGTGACATCGAGGGTGTTGCGGAGATGGATGGCGAAGAGCTAGTAGGCGACGCTCGGCTGCTGACCAACGTAGTCTGTGCTGCCGCGGTTATCGAGAGGGCGGCGGTGGCCGCCCCGACTAACAGACGTGATCCGTACATGTTGTTGTTGATCTCCGCCAGGCAAGTCCTTCCTGGTGATAGGGTTTCCAGTCGAGAGTGGTATCGTCTGAAGGAAGGCGGAAGAAAAAAAAACGCCCAGAAGTACGGAGGGGCGGGGCAGGCCCTCAGATAAAGAACGAGAGAGAGGGCAGCCTCTTGGTTGGGGGCGTGTCCACAGCCACGGACCCGGTAGGAACAAGCCTACGACGGATACAGTGCAACTTCTGCTGAAGACTTGGGTGGGCTGGACCGTGGGAATCGAGCGGGGAGGTGCAGCTTAGAGCGTTCTGGTATCAATAGACCGGGGGCGAGATGCTCAGTCGAGAACTGCGATGTTCCGGGGAGGGGTGGCTGAACGAGTGATTGATAGCTGAAACCGAGCAGTTACTTTACTGATCACTGTCCGGCAGCGACCAAACCATCAAGATGAGTACTAGAAGATTTGGAATAGATTCTAGAATGGGCATGCCCCAAGTCTTATGAAGCACAATCCCCGTTACAAAAACGTGATACCAGTATTGCGTGACTGTGGAGGGCAGTCCTACAAAGGAAAATGTCTGCCGTTCGTGAGACCGGTATCCGAGAATAAAGAGACAAAGGACATAGACGATTAGTCGAGCTAGACGCAAGAAATGTTTCCAGGTCAAAGGATGGAGTTCAAAATCTGGGAACGCCTCCGAGGGAAGGCCAGACAGGAACCCGTCCCATGAAGCCTCGTCGGGTCTTTTTCGGTCATGGTGACGCTCAACACGATATCTAACTGTTGCCACCAGTCTGCCCCTCCAGGCCGTCAGTGCCGTCCACGACATCCTACCCGTCTTTGGGTGCTTAACATCCAGTCACAGTGTTAACGGCGGAAGGCCGAAAGGCTCTGAGGGTAAAATGTAGAGCGATAGCAGTAAGTGAGAACTCTACGCCACGAAGCTCTCGTACGGACATGACTGCAGGATATGTTGCAAGAAGGCGAATGAAAGGGACGTTGTGACAACAAACTCGACCTAACTCTGCATAACAACACCAACGACAGACAAGTGTCGTCCAATGTGGAAGGTTGGTTTGTCCAGCACCTCACCCATGGGGTATGTCTAACCTCGTCACATCCTGTTGCTGATTGGGCGTCGACGCCTTGTCTGACTCTGGGCTGAATGCTCGACGGATGTGGAGGAATTGACCATTCCCCAGGGTTGAAAGTGAAGCTGAAACCCTGGGCTTGTGGAAATTGACGAGTCGCTAAACCTTATAAGGTCTAAACCGCTTGCTGGGTATACCTGTCAGATTTGTTTAGCATGGCCATTCCCGTGTCGCTTAAAACGAGCTTCAGCCTTGCCGCACAGCGTCTCTCATCGGAGGATACCCCTCACCGACAGGATGCCGGAATTCTTCGAAGGGGGACGAGGTGAGCACTTACAGACTGACTGCAACCAACGTCCAGCCCATGCAGTTTCCCTCTGCCCTGTTCCACGGCACGCGGCACCCTGTCAGCCCGCCTTCTTCAAAGAATCGCGAACATGCCAGGCCGGCCTGTCCGCTTCTTGATGAGAAAACATTTCTTTTCCCAGTGGCCTTTTTGATTGTTGCGTCAAGGATTCCCGCTGAGAAAATCGATTGCAAATTCCAACATTCCGAAAAAGAACACAGCCCGGTCCTGCCCGACAAGCCTCCACGGAAGCCACCCGGAGAAACGATGCTAATGTCCCTGCATCTGGCCCAACCTGGCCCCCACGACCAGTGTGAAGCAATGGACGAAGCCAGCATGGCGGCCGGCGTGCGATGATCAATGACCAGTCGTGTCGGTCTTCTGGCATGCTTGTGACACTCCCCTCTGCTGCCGTGTACTTCGTCCTTCCCGCTGCGGCACCGATCCTCAAACTCACCACAAGTGTGCGCCTGTAGGCACGTACACATGGCAGAATCTGTTGGCTTGCTTGAGTCCAAGGATCGGGCCGGGGGTATAGAATGCGCCTCCTCTCCAACATATGCACGCCTTGTACATGTAACACAGTGTGGAACGTATTCGTGCGCGCCGTGTAAATCCTTCTCGTTGCCTGAAGAGAAAGGAACTTATGGCCTCGTGTTCCAGAATTCCCAGGTTTTAGATGTTGAGAAATGAGCACATGATGAGAAGATTAAATTCGAACAATGTATCACGGTGTATTTGTAACGGCAGGTAGGCTGACCCAGAGGAACGGTTTATACAGTCCACGGCGTAGTGTGTGAGGCGGCCGAATTTCCGTGACGGATTTAACCCCCTACCCATTCTACTGAGTTTTCGTTTTCATTTTCTTGCCGGTCCAAGACGTTAGAATCTCACTCTCGATGACAAGGCTCCCGAGACACCAAAGATAGCACAACGAAAACCCAACAGCACCAACGCCGACGTTGGCAACCACCCAAAGATCTGGCTTGTCCTTCGGAGCCACGACGAACATGTCCAACACATGCCAGAACGCCATCGTCAGGTAAAAGAAGCCATGGATGAACGCGGTGGCCCATTGACTCCAGATGCTTGAGCCGTCCTGGAAGTACGCATTCAGCGACGTCGGGGGCAGACCGAGAAGGTACGCCCAAAGAAGAGTCAGGACGGTATACGGGACTCTGAGATCGACTCGTTGCAGCAATGGGTACATGGTCCAACAGCCCAAGATATTGGCAAACCCTACCCAGGCACGCTTATTGCCCAACCCTTGTTTCCCCGCAAGCAACAGGGTCATGGGCATCAAGGGGAGAAGGACACTCTTCTCATGGACTTGATAACTGAATAGGAAGAAACCCCAGGCGGTTGTAGCAAAAGCAAGGGGCAAGAGAAGTTTGTTGGGTTGAAGGTGTTTGTTGGGTCGGAGGAATAAGATGAGGTTTGGCGGAACGATTGCTGCCAGTGTCGCAACTAACGCACCCTTCTGCAGCAGCTCAGCCGGATACTCCCTCAGCTTAATCACCACGTTCATGGCGCACCAGAAGTTGGCGACCTTGTCCTCGAAGAGACCGCGGGCAAAGGGAAACACGCGGTGGATTATCTGGACGAGCTGCTCGACGACCGGATAGTAGAATGCCTCAGTGTTCAGATGTTTTGCCAAATCCGAGAACAATGGGAGAGGGGGGTAAGCCCCGTCGGGATGGGCAGTGATTCCGCGGCTGGCCTCAGACAAAGTGCCAGCAACAACCGGGAGGAGAAGGATTGCGAAAGACACCACGGTGACCAAAGCAATCCCGATGAATCTCGGGATGTTGATACGGGGGAATACGCAGACTGCCAAGAGATATGCGAACACCGAGAAGGCATAGTAGAGGGCCATCTGCTTGAAACCCAGCGCCAGAACAAAGAAGAAAGAGGCCCAAAGGTTGCGTCCGGCGAGCATGCTGGACATGCTAGCAAGCACAAAACCCAACATCACCGTGTTATACTGGAAATGGACGTGGTCGATGAGGATGGTGGCCGGTTGCATCAGGATGGCCACAAGAGCGACGGAGGAGGTCCAGGCGGGAACGTCGCTGAGCCTGCTGAAGCGGCGCACGAAGATAACAGCGGCGGGGATATAGATGAGGTATTCGGAGACCAGCACGGTCGCCCTCATGAAGATCTTGAGCGTCGGATCATGGGAGCCCCTCGAGTCGTAAAGCGCAAACCATGCCGGGTCGATGAGAGATCCTATCTTGCCACAGATCCAGCTGTGATATGCTGTAAGGGGAGGGTAGTCCAAACCCCACCATTCGAGATCGTGAAAGTACCATTGCGAAATGGGAAGATGTGTTGTGATTTCCATCCAATGGCGCTGGGCCTCGTAGTCACCGAACAGAGGTGGTTTCTTGAAGCCTTAATGTTTCGGAGCATTAGTCTCTGGTGTACATAGTCACGGGCGCAACAGAATCGTGAATGACTTACCAGAATAGCCCCATAGACCTGCAGCCCAGCGGAACAAGCCGACAACCATAAGTATTAATGGCAACAATTCCCATTGCGAGACAGAACTCCTAGCAGGCCAGAGGAAGGCCGCCAGGGGAAAGGAAGGGACGCGGACGAGAGCTTCGCGCTCCATAATGACAGGAAGGTTGCTTGGGCCATTGCCGCCAGCCCGCTTCGCCTTCCGTCTGGGCTTATGAGGAGAGGGCCCGGCCATGGTTACCGGAATCGAGACCGAACAGAACTGTGCCGAAAGGAGGGCGGCATTGAAGGTGTCCGTAAGGAGATGCTTGGGGAAATTGTGGACGATGGATTCGCAAATGTCATCCAGCGTTTCAAGCAATCTGGCGTCGCGCGGCCGACAAGGTTCTTGGGTGGGGTCGATATGGGGAAAGCTCCAAAAAAAGATGGGTCCACCAGGGCTGGAACAAATACTCGGGCCGTCAGCAGCTGGCTTACAGTCAACCGAGATGTCAGAGCCCCTCATCAATCAGCGAATTGACAGTGACGCAGCTGGCTTTCTCCAACGAGTCCCCTGCGATGTTGAGAACCTTCCTGGCCGGCCCACGAGTTTCGTCACAACAAGACAGAACTTAGACATCGAGAACTCAGCAATGGATTGAGGAGTGGATGACTATTTACTGATATAACAATCCAATCGAGAGTATAGTCACCATGCCTTACCCATTCGTGCTGCCTACGACCTCATCGTTTTCATTCTCGTCCTGTTTTAGCTGCGAATCCCATCCCTCGCTGCCCCTCAACGCCAGCACCCGCCGCGGCGTTGTTCGCGAAGACCTCAAAGCCTTCAAGCGCACCCCGCGCGAACACCAGGCCGCAAAGCTCCCGACCGTGGTCTCCAGCCTCACAGCCTACCTACCCTACCTCTTCGCCGTCGATGCAGGCCTAAGCCAACGAGCCGTCAACGGCGAGGAAATCGCCGTGATCCTCAAGACCGCGCCCGCAATCGAGTGGCGCCCCACCCTATCTGACAACGCCGCCGTCGCCGTCCCCGGCAAAGAGCCCGCCCGCGTCAAGGTGCACTCGCTCGAGTACGAAGTCTTCTTTGCGCTCTCCTGCCTCGCCAACGCGCACACCCTGCAGGCGCGCATCGCGCTGCATCCGCTCTACGTGCTCTCCACCGCGCCCGTCGGCACCCAGCAGCGCCAAGTGGCCGTCAGCGCCGCGACCAAAAGTCTGCTCGATGCGGCCTCCATCTACGACTACCTCGCGCTCCGGGCCGAAGGGCTCAGCAGCGGCTACGGGATGGCCCCGCCCTGCGCCGACATCTCGCCCGCGGCGCTGCGAGCGCAGTGCTCGCTCGCCATGGCCGAGGCGACCCTCTTGGCCGTGCTCAAGGACGATCCGTACCCGGCTGTGGTGGCGCAGGATCGGAACAAGAACGATACCGAGTGGATGTACAAGGCGCCGGATATCCCCAAGGTCAGGGCACATCTGTTTGCAAGGTTGTGTCTGGCGGCTAGCGAGCATGCCGCGCAGGCGTACTCGCTGTGTGCGGGACTGGGGCGAGCGGGCGGAGGAGGCAAGGTAAACGAGAGCTTTCTGAAGTATCTAGATAACTTGAGGCGCACAAGTAGAGCGAAGGCGTGTCGGTTCTTTGGTATTGACTCGGAGCTGGGCGGGCAGACTGGGACGGCGATTGCATGGTTGAATGCGGGACTCCAGGAGCTAGGAGTTGAGAGGAACCCCTCAGACACTGGTGGTAAGAAGAGCGGTGGCTTAGGTAGGTTGAAAGAAAAATGGACGGAGAAGAGGGAAGACAAGAAAGTAGAAAGAGGGTTGGACTGGGGAGCAGATGCGGGACGGCTTGAAGAGACAAGAGTGTATGAAATGCTATGGGAGAAGTGGTCGAAGCAAAATGACACGGTGAGATTTGATTCCAAACTATTTCCACATGTCCCACCTTTCGACTTGTATTGTGAACTAACATCGTGGCCTCTTGTCTCAGATAATGACCCAAGTCGTCCCTCCATCGGGGCCATTACTCCAACAGATGCCCATGGGTAGGGAGATTCACACTATCAAGCCCTTTCAGCCGCCACAGCTAGATCCCCCAACACTAGAGGCCATGCGCGCACCGCCAGATAGGTCGGACGATGCTGCTCTTTATCCTAGCTCGGATGAGGACGATACGACGATAGGCACCCCAATAGGGGCATTCCCAGGTACGCAGGGGGACTATAGGACAGGGACCCCCAACTACTATTGATGAAGCCTGTTCATCTTTCTACGACTTTCACGAGGATGATATCTTTTGTTGTGGTCCAGAGTAATGTAATTACAATGATACCTATTTGATCTGCAATCTGGGAGTCGCATTCGAGACATAGTCGGCAGTCTAGAAACACCACGCGAAGTTAGGATAGCAGACTCCCCGGATTTAATTATGACATGTAGTTCCTATGTCTGAATCCCCCAGCAATGCTGACACGAGGAGAATATGTACATCGGTAGCATGAAAATCGTGCGCCCCATGACATGAAACACCAGGCGGCTAATAGCTAATGCTGAGATGTAGACATACAAGTATAACCATGTTTCCTGCCCGCCTGTACACTCAGGGACCTACATATGTCCCCTGGAAATATGCCAATAAAGACGCCCGATTTTTGACTTTCCTGATGACCAAATGCGCCCATGAACCCCTTGAAAAGCATACAATAAAACATGCTTAGAACCCAAACTGAAAAGGCAAGAAGCTCTCATTATCTACTCATCGTCATCGTCAACGATGGCCCGTCTACGGCGATGCGAGGTGGTGCCGGCGCCGTCCTCATCATCTGCCTCCGCCGTCCTCTGACGCTTACGGCGGGGTGCCTCTTCCTCCTCGTCGTCGTCATCAAGGAGCTCCTCTTCCTCCTCATCATCCTCAACTTCCTCGCTTTCCTCGTCACTGTCGACAAGGAAGCCGTCATCCAGATCGTATTTGTCGGTGGGGCCCCTGCCGTTGGGAAGCTCGTCGTCTGAATCATATTCGGGCCGACGGTTCTTCTTCTTGCCGCCACCAGGCGCACCACGCTTCCGGCCGCGTCGTCCGCCTTCGAGATCACCGATAGAGAGCGCACCGCCCTTGAATCGTCCTCCAGCGCCATCCACGCGGGCGGCAGCGGTCTCGCGGCGACGCTGCGCCTTGGCACGTTCCCTCTCGGCCATCTCTGCCTGCTTCTTCTGCAGCTCTGGGTCCTCCTTGGCGAGAATGATCATGTCGGGGCCGCGTTCCTTCTTAGCGGTCGCTAGCTCCGCCTTAAGACGCTCGAGTGCGTGATCCTGAATGTTCTTGTTCGGCCTCAGCATGTACTGTTCCGTAAAATGTCCGATGATTACGAGCGAGTTCGTTGTCAAGTGGGCCGCAGCGGCATAATAGTGCGCGTCTTGGACTTCCTGGTAGGGCTTGTTGGACGGAGGGGCCAGGGGCTTGGACTGAATTTCGTAATGCTCGTCGCCAACTGCCATCGTAACGGATCCGTCACTCCAGCGGTAAATGTTGGTATTGCTCTGCATCTTTCCGGTCTTCGGGTCGCGGCGGCGCATGACAGTAGGGATTGGTGTTTCGGCCCGCGCGTTTCGAAGATCCCATTTGCTCGGCTCCCAAGTGTCGGCGTTGTACTCGATCGGGTTCAGCTTGATGAAGTCGGGTACTTTGAAGGAGTAAAGCTGCGATCCCGTTAGTAACCGTGTTGTCACACGTGTGATCTCGAAGTGACTGCACGTACACTGCCGTCTCCGGACTTGGGGATGCGATGGCGGTAAAGCGGTGTGTCGGCAACGGTCTTGCTGCGGAATTCCGGTTCCTCGTCCTCCATACCGTCAACTTCGTCATGATGTCTGTCGGCGACCTCGTCTTCTCTGTCCGACTGCAAGTCACGGTCACTGAGCTTGTCCTCGCCAATCTCCGATAGCGGCTGGTCGTCGTTAACGTCTTCGTCTCCAAACAAATCGTCGCCAGCATCGTCTGGGACGTTGTCGATATGATCCTCTGAATCGGACATTTTGAGTGACGGTCGAGTTGATGTGGCTAAGAATTGGTCGATGTTGTTGTGTGATGGGTACACTTCGGTGGTCGAGGAATATTGAGATGCGCCGGAGGTAATGCGCAGGAAAGTTGATGGTTCAGATGTAGATCGGTTTCGGTTGAAGATGAATGGTGGTGGATGGTTTTACGCGATGCGGTTTGCAAGTTGCGGGAAACCTGAAGGCCGCGTCGAGTTCACGGTCGCACGCACCCCTGCGGTGCAATGGCCGCTGCAGAGTGCCGGCAGCAGGACAGCGACAATTCATGATGTGGCTTGACCACCAGTAAAAGTGGGCCAGGCTGAAGCTGCGATAACGATACGGCGGCTTGCGGGGGGAATAAAGCCGCGCACCTTGAAGGTCCCCTGTGGCGCAAGAAATAGCGGGGATCCCCTGCTCTCTCCCAATCATGTACCATAGCATCCAATCCCGTCCTCCTTCATGAATCCAGCGGATGCCCCTAGCGAACCTGACGGGATACCCCTTCGACCCCTCTAGACCCTCACCATGGAGCCTCCTAATTTGTGGCGGCTTGCTCCTGTTGCATGTGCGAGATGGAGTTGATGATTGGCGTGTGAGAAGGGGCAAGCCAAGCAGGCATTCAGAAACAACGAGCAGCCCAACGTTACTACCACTCAGACGTCCCCAAGCACTTCAAGGTCCCGTCTCGGAGCGGCTGCCCAGTCACAGACGGTCCTATAGCACCTATCCCCGTGGATGGCGGTGGGGTGCGGCCCTCCTTAGAGGCAGTCTCCTGGCCGCCCTAGCTCTCCCTAGTCCCCTAGTAAGACTCTAGTGTAGGTGCCCTGTCACGCCTGTCTCCTGCTCGCCTCTTCCCGTCCCTTAATTCCCTTGCTGATGCCGTACATTTCCTCGTCCGCTACTTGAGACCATGTCCAACCTCTTTTCTGGAATGTGAGTGGTTTCGTTCCATATCTTGATCTTTGTTCCCAATCCCACCTGGAGCCATCATCTTCAGAGCTACCTACCACGCCGTCTCTCCATCTTCAAGCTTCTCCGTACGTATACTGCCTAGAGGTATGAACGCCTTGGGCTTCTCTACCTTATCCCCCCCCATCCACTTCCCATGTCAGGTCTCCCTGGTTAAGATTGTCTTGTTCATTGTTCTTCAACACCTGCAAGTGCTTCGGTGGGCAGTGCTTGGTCTGAAGGTCGAAATGAGCTTCTCTCCATGAGAGACAGTCACATCACTTACAAGTTATATGGGCAACGTTACCCCTTTTATGCCAAGCCCATCATGGCCTAACACAACTCCCAAAGTCCTTTGAGCAAACAACACCAACGTCTCGAGTGTGTGGCTTTGATGTTCACTATATGGTATACTTTTAGCCTTCACCATCCCTTCCACAATACCAAATCTTACCAAGTCAACCATACATGACAGCTCCACCACACATCAAGCTATCCCGCAAGTGTGAGGCTTGATACTCAACTAAGCAGATTGCTATGTCTATGGCCATGAGAATAACTCACCCTTATATCACTGACAACGGACTGTTGGCTCACTCTATGAATGATAAAGCCACTCTTCTATCAAGCATCACGACATCAGGAACTAACAGGGTTACTATAGAAACGCTCGGTTTAGAGGACACAAAAGCCCAACAAGTCCGACTCAGCAAAGCCCTCAGAACTCTTTGCCTTCCATACACTCACTCGAGACATCACCGGGATATTCATCTTCAACTCTTTCAGCGAAACTTCCACCCATCCAGAACTCGTCTTCTCTCGCTGAAAGTATCGGCATGGATCCAAACAATGGTTCAATTCCCTCTGCGGAGGAAGTCCTTGCTTCATATCATCTACCCCAAGTGAAGCCGCAATGGCTAAACTGCAATTATGGCAAACACATTGTCAAGGGAAACTTCCTTACCCTTAGTGCTAAGCCTAAGACGGTGGAAATGGGAGAGTGGATAGCACATCAAGGTACGTACTGTTGTCCAACATCATCAGGAAATATGTGGTTTTGCTAACCGTTTATGATAGTCGTGGACCACTGGCGAATGCTCATTACTTTCATCAAACTCGTTCATGACCGGGAAGAAGATGGCAGCTCGATTTGCAACTCTCGGAAATGTCCCAAGATGTCCGCGGGAGCGTAAGTTTGCTAGCTCAGCTCAGCTCAGCTCAGCTGCATCCCCAGTATCCCTATGACTCGCATGTGAACTGACCATCCAACACAGCTCCCACTCCTTCACCTGGCTAAACTCGCGGCTTCAACCCGTGGAAATCCCAGCATACGAATACCTCAGCCTCGTCCAGCGCTACATCAGCGGCAAGATCGACGACGGCAACCTGTTCCCCACCGACCCTGCGGGCGTCTCCTTCGCCGACAACCCGACCTTCTGCACTCCCTTGCCCGAGTCCGGCCCGGACTGGATCGGCAAGCGGAGCGGCTTCCCGCAGAACTTCATGGAGACGTGCCAGACCATCTTCCGGCAAATGTTCCGCGTCTACGCGCACCTGTACTGGTCGCATTTTGACGACATGTTCTGCCTCAACCTGGAGAAGTCCATGAACAGCTGCTTCAGCCACTTCATCCTGACGGCCACCACGCTCGGCCTGTTGAAGAAGACGGATCTGGAGCCGATGCAGCCGCTTATCGATCTTTGGGCCGCTTTGGGCACTTTCCCCCAGGGATGCAAGGCGTATGAGATTGCTAATATCTCGGTTGGAAACCTTCTTATCCAGAAGGCGGGTGGCCCACCCTCGAGCTAGTCGTGGCTAGTTGGTTTTCTTGGCCTGGTTGTCTGGTTGGAGATGGACTGCTACTCGGCTATCGTATGTGTCCAGGAATTTGGTATATATATAGTAGGTGTGAATAAGATGCCATATGGTGCGTATTTATGAATAGCGCTTTAGCGAAGCTGCGGCTGTTTTTCCATATAAGTCGTGACCATTGGGTTTGGTTGAGTGATGCGGAAGAGAGGAACGATATCGATGCTTTGTGTTAGACTTCAACCACGTATACCATATGGGTTTCTGTCCTTCTTTTCATATATCTATAAGAGCGCACATAACACTGCATCATAGCACGTTGTTTTAACACGGACCTGATTTCGGTCATCACTTATAATTTTTTCATCATGTACCACACTCCTTAGGACGCAGTCACCTCGCTAATCTTGTACTCGACCACAAGCGGCTTACCGGGCTCAATGATGAACCTGCCAGATCCCACAAAGACCTTGTTCTGGAGAGGGCCGAGCCTCTCATCACCGGTCTCGAAGACGTGATGGGTGACTATAAACCATATCACCACTCGTTAGCAAAGAAGCCTCCACCAATCCCTCCAAATAATAACACTACCCGTCCCCTCGAATCCTCACACCCAACCCACCCAGCATCCGCACCGTAGCAAAACCTTGAAACAGAGACACAGTAAGAAAAATGTCACACTCACAAGCATCACCAAACCCCGTCGTCGCCATATCCGGCTCGCCACGGAACACCTTGCCCGCGGCACCCGCCAGCGAGACACTGCCCGTGTAACTGAACCGGAAGAGTGCGCCCGTGGCTTTATCCTTGCCCACGCTGTGGATCTCCAGCCGCACGTTCTCGCCGTTCGGGTCCATCCGCACGTAGTCGGCGCCGTGCACGAACTCGGCGTCCAGCTGGATCGGGTACGAGGCCTCGGACTTGAGGGAGCCGCTGTTGGGCACAAAGGGCACGAAGAGGATGGTGCCGCCGCGGGCGGTGGTGCCGACGTTGGAGGGGGCTTCGACTACGAGCTGGAAGTGGGAGAGGGGGGGTGGTTAGCTATATATATGGATATCTTCGAGGCTGCGTTGGTGTGATCGGTCAGGGAGTAGGAGGGAAGGAGTATGGCCTGTGGGGAACATGGTGCTATTCGTGTTCTGAATTTGACCAGTGTTGATGGGTGTCCTTGAGGTCATGCCCCAAGGAACACCAACTGAATCATCTACATCAGAGCAACATGGAGACGGGGAGGTAACCATACCTGAGCCGTGAAGGCCGGAATAAGCTTCGGGAAGGACATTGTGGCGAATCTTGGGACTTGATCAACTTCGACTGATCACAAAAGAGGTGCCTAGGAACGTTGACTGTACTAGATATTCTTTGAAGGAGGGAAGCTGAAGATATATGATACCATTCAGGGCCATACCTACAATCGACCTCGTTGACCCAACCTACCCCACGCCACTTCCTCCTCTTCCCCGCAGGTAAGCCGCAGGTAAGGAGGGGTTATGTCCTACTAAAGGCAAGAGCAGCATACCCATATCGACGCTACTGGTGATGATCATATTCGGGTAGGCCTTGGTACGACTTGAAGAACATCACCCTATTTCCGTCTACATGTAGGTTCTGCTGAGCGTAGGTAGTCGGAATAGTCTTTCATATCACCGATATATTGTATTCTGTAGGATTATTTAGCCGGTAAGACCAAGCAAGGCGAAAGCTGCAAATCAATGTCATAGCTGGTAAGCCAAATGCTTGTCGGTGCTGGAGCCCTGATAAGTTACCGCAATTGAAGTGACTTTCGAGATCCGACCTCGCATCCGAGCAACACAATCAGGTAGGGCGGGAGGTGGCACGGCGCCGATGATTCCGCGGTGTACACTTGGTGGACTCCGAGCCTTGCGGTGTCTTCATCCAACCGCGCAACCGGAGACCAGTCGGGTCCGTAGCGAAGACATTCTGTTCGCGGGCGTATCGGTACGTAAACTACACCATATGGTGTCACTAAATATGTATGTCACCCCGAATCCGATGTTGTAGTATCGCCGGTCAACCGTAGGCCTTCCGACTCCATCAAGTCAAAACGATGGCGGCAACCGGAATGGCGCGAAATGTGTTGCTTACGACCATAATCTCAACCACTAGAATAGTTGACTGAGATCCGTGGATTCTTGGCGGAGTAATGTGTTCGTTATTTGAACTCCACGGATTGTCGGTGAGACAGCTTCTTGACGGTACAGGGCTGTACATAGGTACCTCGAGACAACACGGGCAATGGATTCTCAGGGTCGTGAATCCACATGGTTGTGGTGACATGGAGGCGCACCCGCACTCACACCCACCCAGCTTCAATTCCACTGGTAGTTACACCGAACGACCCGGTGACTTTCAGCGCGAAGAGATGGGCTCTAAGAATTAGTCTAGATAGATTCTTCCTGGTTCGTTATCGACAGACCGTTGGGCGCCCGTCCGCGAGGACCTGTTGTCGGTTGAAACTCCAACATGATCGCAAAGAACCCGATGCCATGATCAAGCTTTTGAGGGGTTCTTCACCCTCCACAGCGGAGAAGTTGTGTGTCTGTGGGTCACCCACTGCGGCCATAGCCGTTGACCTACCCGACATGACTGACAGCGAAGTACCCTGTAAACAGCTTACAGGTGCGTTTTGCTGCGTTTCTCGTTCCACAGGTACTTGATCATCGTTAGCGACGTTGGGATGGTGGCTACACAGCTGTCCAATCACCGGCTGACCGGCAGTAATACAATGGATCCCTGCTTGGGTTGACATCACCGGGAATGGAAGTTGTCAAGTCTTCTTGTCACGGTCAGTCGAAGGAAGGCGCCGGCACAGAAGCCCGTCATAGGCTCATAGCTCAATTGTCTCGGGCTGTTCCAATCCCGTCGAAGCCCGCCGTTTCAAGAACTTTCGCTCCCGTCTCGTGTCGTTTCTGTTTCCCATGCAGAGCAGCGTCCGAGTCCATACCTCCGCTGTTACTGATACAGGTACCTACGCATCATTCCGATACCTTCTGAACAGCGGCACTCGGTGGTACGTCGTCGTCTCTCGAGGGTCCCGTTGTCGACATCCACGTTCGAGTGTAGGGCTTCGATGACCACAACACCGAGTCGCACCGCCTTCGATAAGATATTGGCCTAGTACCTGATTCCAGAGGTGCCACGGCTTTTTCGTATTGACGTGGATCCGAACATTTGTTGCTCCTGCTGCCATACAATTCCCAGCTAGGCCGTTTGCCTGCTGCATCGCAACCGAGTTGCCATTGCGCCCGTGCCCGCCTACTGGCTCTACTCACGTCATCTCTTTCGTCCCAAGGTCACCACACTTTTGCGCCTGGCACAAACCGGCATGCTTTCAATCCCATACCACAACTTCATCTGGAGCTTCTTTCAGCTTCGGCAATCGGCGGAGCTAAAGTCGCCTGTTCCACTAATTGATTAGGAACGTGGTTTTCCGTCTTGTTAGCTTCCCTGGACAGAGGGGACCCATTCATTCAGGCCAACCAACAATCATCCACCAGCCACCCACCTAGTCATCTACAGATTCACCAACACCATGGATCAAAATATCCCCCCACGGCATGATGCCTCAGAGTCGAACTCGGGGCCATCCGCAGGCCAACCTCCCCAGAACCAACCATCTCGGAGAAGAAAGAACCATAGAGCGGGCAAGAAGAAGAAGAATAGAAGAAAGTCTTTCGGCGTCACCTCAGAGGATATGGCCCAGGAGAGCATGAATGACGAGGTGCTTGCGGAAGCCAGAAACGGCTTCTATTCGCGGCCCGGAAACAACTTCAGCAATACAAGCATTGATAGCGAGGCGCTTTTGGATCATAGGTGGGTTTCTGTCATCTTCGAGTATGTGTTTGGCAGATGCTTACCCATGTTATGGTTATAGAGAACAACAACCATTCATACGACCCAGACGGCCATCGATGTTAGTGACGCAAAGTTCGCATTTGACAACACCACAGGTCGCGAGCAGGCTTAAAACAGTGGTGGCCAGCAGCAACAACAGCGAAGACGAGCACGAAGGAGCACCCCTTCTCTCTAGTTCCGTATTTCAGAGAAGCGAAGGCTATACAGGTTATGGTTCTAACGACACCGCGCGAAGGGCTTCAGCCGCCAGTCGTCGTGAATCAAGCAGGGACAGCAGCAAGAAGAGGCGGGTCACATCACTTGGCGCAACCGGCACAGAAGGCTATAATGTCAACTATCCTCCATCAGTGCCTGGAAGTCCTCTCATGCGCGCGACCGATCGCGATATGAGCATGAGCTTCGGCGACATTATGCTACGGGAAGAGAGCGACTCCATGCCGCATTCCCCTGGCAGGCGAACACTAAACGAAGAGAGCAACTTGGGAGGATCCATGGAACGACGACATACAATCGCATTACAAGCTGAGGAGGACGTGTGCTTTCCCCAGGATGGCCTCTCTGAAATTGCTGACGAAGATCTTCGCACTCGGGATCCCACTGCGTATCGCATGAAGAGAAGACGGCGCAGCAAATGGCCGGATCTTGCTATCTTGGAGGAATGGAGCAGGTATGAGAAGGAAGGCAGAAGTGAGGAGGGCCGTGCAAAGAAGATCACGGAACCTCAGTTGATTAACGGACGACTAAGGCCAGTCCACCGTGGCTGGTACCGGGCTCAGGAGGATGCTCCTTATCGCTTCACATACTTCAATGAAGAGTTCCAGAGTACTATCCACAGCCAGACAATTTCAGAACTGGTCCAACCAGGACTCTCCTTCAAACAGCTGTTCATCCCCGATCCACGAGTCCTTTCAGATTCCTCTGATGACGAAGACGATGAAGAGGATCAGCGTCATGTCGCTCTAGATGAAGTCCTGGGAGGCCAGAACGGTGACCCAAGGATTCCAAGCCGGCAGCCATCGCTTGCTACCACTACCCAAGGCTTCTTCGACGCTCGGAGAGATCGTGGCTCGAACGCCGGAACAACACTCACGGAGTCGAAACGTACCTCGGGAGAGCATACGCCAACAGATGCCAAATCTCCGGAACGTTACAAGTCGCCACCGACGGAAAAGACAAGCAAGCCACCAAAATACGGAGACCGGCCAGTGTGGTGGCTGGATATCTATAGCCCGACCGAACAAGAGATGAAGGTTATCTCCAAGGCATTTGGTATCCATCCACTCACAGCTGAAGATATCATGATGCAAGAAGCCCGCGAAAAGGTTGAACTTTTCCGGCAATATTACTTCGTCAACTATCGTTCATTCGACCAGGATTCAACAAGTGACAACTTTTTGGAGCCCGTCAACATGTACGTGGTCGTGTTCCGCGAGGGCGTTCTAAGCTTCCACTTCTCCCAAACACCGCACCCGGCCAACGTACGTCGACGTATTCGTCAGCTGCGCGACTATCTCATCCTCTCATCGGACTGGATATCGTACGCCATTATCGACGACATCACCGATGTTTTTGGTCCGCTGATTCATAACATCGAGGATGAAGTCGACGATATCGACGCTGCCATTTTGCTACTGCACTCGGAAGACGATCCAAATTTTCCAACGGATAATCTCAGAGAAAAGTCCGAGGCCGGCGACGCAACATCGGCCGAAGCTGGACGCGACATGCTCAGACGCGTGGGCGACTGCCGCAAAAAGGTGATGTCGCTCTATAGGCTGCTCGGCAACAAGGCCGACGTCATCAAGAGCTTCGCAAAGCGTTGCAACGAGCATTGGGAGGTGGCGCCTCGGTCGGAGATCGGTCTATACTTGGGTGACATTCAGGATCATATTGTGACCATGACTTCGAACCTGAGTCACTATGAGAAGTAAGTATCTCCCTAGTAATCCAATTGCTCTCCACCAGTCATTACTCTCTAGCAGGTTCAAATCCAAGATACTAATATTCATTCAACTTAGAATCCTAGCACGATCACACGCCAACTACCTAGCGCAAATCAACATCCGCATGAACGAGCGACAGGAGCAAACAGCCGACGTGCTCGGCAGACTGACCGTCCTCGGTACCATTGTGTTACCGATGAACATCGTCACCGGCCTCTGGGGTATGAACGTCTGGGTTCCCGGGCAAGGGATTGAGAACGACCTCAAGTGGTTCACGGCCATCACGGCAGGACTATTGCTCTTCGGGTTCGGTTGCTATCTCATTGCGAAGCGGGTTTATAAGATTGTATAAAGGGCGCAAGCAAAGTCTGGGGAGGATGAGGAGGATTTCATGAAGTGTATGTGTTTAACGAACATTTTACGAACTATCACGCAAGTATCTTGTATGTACAGAGCAGAGAAAGCGGATGTCCTTACGGGTTTTTCTTTTTTTTGGTATCTAGTTTACATGACATGACAGCGTTTGGTTAATAAGGGAGTAGGGTAGAGCAACAGCAAGAATGACACGCGTTGTTGGGTGGGTGATGGCATTTTTGTGGTGTTGAGGTCGAATGTCTGTCTTTTCTGCGTGGTTTGGGTGAACAAATAAATTTAAGGGAATGAAAGCGAAAGTCTTTAGAGGCATGTATTCCACCACATAGGCTGTCAACTCAAAAAATTCCAGATCTATGTGTACTACATACCCCATTGGAGTTGTGGGAGTCAAGGACACTGTTTCCTATTACGGAACCCTTCATTCCTCAACATCCGAATGTGGATGTTAAATTCACTGACATTTATCCTTTTCTATTAAACCTTTGCAATGCTCCCATTTAGCGTGTGAAACCGACCGCCGCCACCATAACGCCTGACCAGCCTATACAAAAATGCATGATGAGAGAAAAACAAGAACATGAGCCCCCCCGACATTTCGTTGCCCATGTTCATGGAAAACTGACTGGTTGAATCATCCGTCTGTCATTAACGTAGGCCCTGAGCAGAAAACTGAGCGCGAAGCGCCAAAATCTGCTGCCTCTCCGCATCCGGCAGCTGGTCAATCATCTCCTGCGGAAGCTCCATAACAGCACGCATCAGCGCCTCTGGATCCTGCCCGGGGGCGGCAGCAGCCGGAGCCGGGGCAGGAGCAGCAGCGACAGGTGGTGCTGCGTAACCGCCAGCGGGGCCGGGAGCGACAGGCGGGGTGGCTGTGGCGCCGGGATAAGCTCCGTACGGAGCACCACCCATGGGGTTGGGGACGACGGAGGCACCCATAGGAGGAGCAGCAGCAGCGGCCGGGTTGTCGAGAACCGAGTTGATGGCGTCCGGCGAGACCAGGCCCATGACAAGGAGCGCTTGGAATATTGCGTAGCTCAGCTGGGGCGCTTGGTTGAGAAGTTCCGTGGCCCTAGCAGGATCGTTCGTAGCCAGTGTCTTCATCTGCTGGAGGATGTCGAGGAGCTGCGCCGGGGGAAGGGTGTTGAGGGTGCGAGAGATGGCGTCGGTGCAGGTGACGTCCGGAGGGAGATCTTTGCCTTGGGGCAAGGGGCCAAGAGCGGGAGGCGCGGCGCTGGCGGGGGGAGCGGCGTTGTAGCCTCCCCCGTTGGGAGGTTGAGCGTAGCTGCCGGAGGCGTTCTGGTTCGGCTAATCAAGACGTCCTGGTCAGTGAACTGGATATGAAAGAAAGGTGAGTGTGAGTTGTTGGTGCCATACCCCGCCATCACGATCTCTACCGCCGTCTTCGTCGCTGACGGTCTCGTTGCTGAAATCGACACGCAGCTTGCGACCCATGATCTCGTGGTCGTTCAGGTTTCGTACGGCTGATGCGGCGGAATCTAGAGATTGAGGGAAGGTGATCAGTGTATGCGCGCGGGAGAAGGAGACTTAATATAGAGAGGGATACGCACCGTAGTCGGGAAATTCTGCGAATCCAAAACCCTTTGGCCTTCCAGTCTCGCGGTCATAGACAAGGCGAAAGTTGAGGACCCGTCCGGCGCCGCTAAAGATTTCGGTTATCTGCTCTTCGGTAAGGCCTGTATGGTTCCAGTCAGTGAATGGGCTTTTATGGATGGTCGTCCTCTGATCCAGAAACAAGTGGTTGTTTGCGTACCGTAAGGAATGTTTCCCACGAAGACCACACGTGAAGGTTGGCGTGTCGACATGGCGATGCGCGCGTTCACGGTCGAGCAAAACTGTTGTACGAAGCGCAAAGTCTCTAGCAGTAGCGCTACTGAGGATGGAGAGGCACAATGCTGCGTGAGTTTGACTGCGAGCTGTGTGGGCTGATCGAATGGGAATCACCAAGCGAACCAGATGTTGGACAGGTGGGATGGACAACCAAGAATTGGGATGGATCGATGCGAACAATAGGGACCGCGCAGGAACAGCGAACTTTGGCAGATGGATGAGATGGAAGTTAACACAGTCGTAGTTAGACTACCTGAGGTGCACCGTAGCAATTGGGTCCTCTTTAGCCTTTTCTCTTCAGTTTCAAAGCCCCAAGCCCGCTGCCAAATACCGTCGATTTGTAGAATTGGTGGTTGGTGGTGGTGACAATACTCTGACAATGGAAAGACGTTCTGGGAATGAAGTCAACTCTTGGTGGTTGCAAGTGGAAGTTTGGTGTTCTGGATTTGCAGATGTCAAAAATTGGAGCCTCTGTCGCTGTCGCCTGCGAGACGTTGGAACGCAGGGGCTACGTCGCGGGGGTGGATACTTGGCCCGAGCTCCGATCCATCAAGGTCGCGACAAGTGAGCGACCCACGTGAGCGGGTGGTCTGTGCTTGACCAGGCGAGGCAGGCGGTAAAGTGATGTTGCGCCAGCGTGGGGTAGGCAAATGGCAGGTGGATTTTAGTGATGCGCCCCAGCAACTGCACACGCTTGCGGTCCTGCTTGTGAGTGGTCTTGGCTCCGAAGCTCAGTGAGGACCTACGAAAAGCTCGGGCAAGCTATCGTGACGACTTCATTCCCATCTTTCCCCACCACCTGGCACCTCTGTCAACCAACCTAGGTATCCTACTCCAAATCACCACTGGGCCGCCTATTATTTCACAACAGCCCAGCATGTCGAACAACCCATATCAGGACCTCCTGAACAAGATTCAGCAGACTGCCCGGTCTCGCGGCGGCGGCGGTTTCCCCGGTGGCAGGCCACCCATCCCTCCCCGCGGTTTGGGTCCTGCTTTGACCGGTTTCGCCCTTCTTGGTGGTGGTGCCTGGGTCCTTTCGAACTCCTTGTTCAACGTCGACGGTGGTCACAGAGCGATCAAGTACAGGAGAGTTAATGGTGTCAGCAAGGAGATCTATGGTGAAGGTTCGTCTGCTTTCTTCGCCCGGCCTCGATATCGCTAGGCTTCCCGGTTTTCTGACCAGTTGAATAGGAACCCATATTATGATCCCCTGGTTCGAGACCCCCGTCGTCTACGATGTCCGCGCGAAGCCCAGAAACGTTTCCTCCTTGACCGGTACCAAGGATTTGCAGATGGTCAACATTACCTGCCGTGTCCTCTCGAGACCCGAAATCACGGCTTTGCCCCAGATTTACCGTACCCTCGGTACCGACTACGATGAGCGCGTTCTTCCTTCGATCGTCAACGAGGTTCTCAAGAGCGTTGTCGCGCAATTCAACGCCAGTCAATTGATCACCCAAAGAGAGATGGTTGCCAAGCTTGTTCGTGAGAACCTGGCAAGGCGTGCGGCCCGGTTCAACATCCTTCTGGACGATGTCTCGCTTACAGTACGTTTCCCGCACCAATTCTTTTGCGTCGTGGATATCTTTGGCTAACCATATCGCAGCACCTCGCATTCTCCCCCGAGTTCACGGCGGCAGTCGAGGCCAAGCAGGTCGCACAGCAAGAGGCGCAGCGGGCAGCATTCATTGTCGACAAGGCGCGTCAAGAGAAGCAGGCTATGGTGGTCAAGGCCCAGGGTGAGGCCCGTTCTGCGGAGCTCATCGGTGAGGCCATCAAGAAGAGCAAGTCGTATGTGGAGTTGAAGAAGCTGGAGAATGCGCGTGCGATTGCGAACATTATCCAGGAAGCCGGCGGCAGGAACAGGCTGCTCCTTGACTCTGAGGGTCTGGGCCTCAATGTTTTCGAGGATCGGAGGGCCAAGGACAACTAAGCTGAGGCCTTCGGAAATTGGAGGAGGAGCATGAGGTGACGGATGAAATCTCCGCTGTATATGTATCTTATGGATGTCACGGAAGCCCCAGGTGTACAACAGACTTTAATGAACTATCGGAAAGGCCGGATTTAGCGATGATCTTCAGGAAAGGAGCTTTCGCGAAAGATACTCAATGAACATCTCGTCAGCAAAAGGCCGTCTTTGGGTGCGAGGCATCCTCTCTGTTGGTGATACGAAGCGGTTATTCAACCCAGCGCAGATGACGCTTCTTGGTGGATCACTTGAAGATACCGACACCCGATCATGTGTAGAAATGCAGCGCAGTAATAGTGCTTGTCTGATAGCGTCCCTTGAATTAAAAAGCAAAAGTGAAACCAACCTTAGTTGGCGAAAAGCCTCGAGTACCTGAATGTCAAATTCAACCTTTCAGATTATCAATTTATCTCCATGTCTTGAGGTAACCATGGCCGCTAGACCTCGGAGCACCTGCACTGTCGAAGCTACCGAAGCTGCCCCGGCAACCCGAAGGGGTATCAAAACAACAGAAGCCAGGGCAGCCCCGTCCAACAGCGGCTACCATCCCGACCCCAGGCAGTCTCGTCCTACCGCCAACCGCGCCGGTAGTGCCTGCCCCACCACCCCTCCCCAGCCCGTCAACAGTGACCGTGACCGTTTTCCCCGATGACAAACTCAACTCCTTGAACCGCTCCATTACCAACATCAGCCATCCCGATTCAGTGAGCTTCTTGAGTCAACAGAAGCTTCGCATCCGCGCGCATAAAGAGACGACAAGACCCCGTCCAAACTCAAGCACCAAACCCCACCCATCCATCGCCCCAGCGAAGCGAACTCTCTCCCATCAAACCAGTCGCAAACTATTTAAGATGCAGATCAAGTGAGCTTTCTCGCCTTTCCTCCTCCGACAGTCGCAGTGGCAGTATGCATATTGCGGCTTGCATAGCTACCTATGCTGCCTATGCTTCTTGATCTCAGGGCCAGTGGCCAGTCAGTACCATAGCTAACCGTTTCTTTTCCTTTGTTCGCGAAAGGGTCCGGACTCTTACAGGCAAGGAGATCGAGCTCGACATTGAGCCCGATACCAAGGTGCGTTCGGTTTTGTTTGTGTCGAGATTTGCGCTCGCGCGCGAGTAAATCGACGACCGTCCCAGCCGCGAAGCGAAAACGAAAACGGAACGATCGATTTGTCACCACCACGATATATTTTGCCCAGGGAGAGGGAGACAGATGACTACGAACTCGTTCGAACATCCGACTAATTCGGCAACTACACACAGGTCGCCCACATCAAGGAGAAGGTCGAAGAGAAGGAGGGTATCCCTCCCGTACAGCAACGTCTGATCTTTGGCGGAAAGCAGATGTAAGTTTCTGACCTTACCTACCTACCTAAATCACATCCAACATCCTGTTTTGCGTTGGTAAAGAAAGTCGTCGAAGTCAAGAAGTAGAAGTTGGTGTCTGACACGATAGCGGAAAACAGGGTCGATGACAAGACGGCAACCGATTACCAACTCGAGGGCGGCGCGACCCTCCATCTCGTTTTGGCTCTTAGAGGTGGAAGGTGGTAGTCTTTTTCGAGAAAAAAACTTTCGTTTTAGTTCCGAGAAACATACATACGCATAAATTAATGAGATAACGACATTTACCCAACACATTGATGGAGTGGATGACATACGGCGGTGCTTTGGCACACAGATACGGAAGTTCTCGTTTTTGAACGACTGGGCTACCGGTCCGCGGAAGGTTGAGGATGGGACATCGTTGGCGGAAGAACAGCAAAGAGATGTGGGAACTCCGTCCATATCTAAATGGCAAATGCTGATAACGGGGGAAATACTTGCCGTCAGGAAGCTTGTGTGACCTAGGGGAGGATTTCTTCTCTCCACAGGAACCTCAAGGCAGGTAATCAAATCACACGATATTGAACCAGATCGGGTCAGAAGATTGGAGTCCCAAAGATGTGGTTCCATTGTCGCGCGGAAAAGCATATACGTCGCTGTTCATCCATATCCCACTGTAGATTTGGCCTGAGCCGTTCCGCTGTGTAGTTCTGTTGTTCCAAAATAACGCCCATTTCCCCATGAAAGATCCCAAACCGCTCAGACGATAAACATGTTGATCCTCCCGAACCGTAAATATAGTACCTAGAACTTCCTCCAAGTCATATACGCCCATCCCTTCTCTTTCAGGGATAAGCAGGAGATTTCCAATCTCAATTCCCATAAGCATCCCAACTCCATAACTTCCCTAAATCCTTTATTCCCAGCCATAACAGTCTTGCTCGAGTATTTCCCCCAGGACCACACGAGGATCCTTGATTCCCAGCCATAACAGTCCTACTCGAGTCTTCCCCCCAAGACCACACGAGGATCCTTGATTCCTAACCACAACCCTGTTCCTTTGAAATCCTCCTCTCAAATTCGACGAACTTTCTTGGCAGGCTTCATGAAGATGTCCACCTGCTTGCGCTTAGCCCCAGGCGGGCTTCCAGGTCGGCTACCTGAAGACGATGATGCCGCAGGCTGAGGGCGTCCGGGATTAGTTGAGCTGCCAGCATGTGATGTCGAAGCTGAAGGTCGACTGGTGGTGGTGGTGGTCTGTGGCTTTGCAGAGGGCGGCGAGCCACTCGTAGAGGTCGGTCTAGCACTGGCAGCAGCGGCTCGTGGTCGGGAGTTGGCACCAGGACTAGCGGAAAGAAGGCCGCGCTTCGGTTTGGAAGGGGGTGAGGCGCTCTTGGGAGGGGGGCTGCCAGCGTCTTCGTCGTCCATATCGCCGAAAAGATCGTCTATGTCACCGCCCGAAGCACCTCTGTTGTTGCTGTGGTCGTTGTCGTAATGGTGGTCGTCCTCGTCGTCGTCAAAGCTCAGCACATTGGGAGCCATTCCGGAGCTGCCACTTTTTCCTCCTCCGTTCTTGATCAGCAGAAGGCGAGCTTCTCGGTCCTTCTGTTGTCGTGAGCTTGTTGCGGGTCTGATCCGAGGGCCCTCGATGATCGGGGCGGAATCGACGTCGAATTGGTTTTGGATACGCTTCTCTTGAATCATTCTTTCAGGAGCCCGGGTGAGTTCCGTCTTCCTGGCCATCAGCATGACGGAAGGCTTGGCGAGTTTGCGGCGGTGTGCGTCCTGCTTCGCCTCCCTGGTGGCCTTTTGCAGGAAGGTTGCTCTTTTCATGGGCGGATCTGAGGAGGTGCTGAATCCACGGAAGCCAGGTCCGAAAGAACGGGCCTTGGGGGCCGGCAGCTTGCGAGCGACTTGGGCAGAGACAATGGTGGTTGTGCGTGATGATTTTTGGCTGTTGGCCGCGGCCATCGTCGCCCTGAGAGCCTCGGTGGCTGCTTCGTCTGACTCCTTTTGAAGTTTGCCGTACTTCTCGTAGACTTTGTGCCATGATTTCGGATTGCTTGGTTCCCAGCGGTGCTTGTTGTGGAGAAGTCCGTACTTGCGTTGGATGAAGCGGCGCCAGTGTTCAGCGGTCAGCTCGCAGATCTCGTCGCCGCTATGGAGCTCAATCGTGCGGAGGTGTTCTGGTGTTCTGACGGCTTTGAGGATCTGGCTAGCGATTTTTGGTGGCACGTCGTCCAGGCAAGTGATGTCCTGGACATTATCGATGGCTAGCTTGAGAGCCATGTCGAGCAGTGAGCGTGGTCCAGACATGGTGACCGAAGTAAGGGGCTCTTTGTTGTTATGCTCAGGTAACGGGTAGGAGTCTGGGATTTGTTTATTTGGCGTCGAAAAATATCGAGGACAATTGGTAGTCGGAGATGTACGAGAGTGTAGTAATCCGCAGCGTGTCACAACCTTCCCTTTGATGGTTGACGACGTAATGAACGGGAAGTGAGACGAGGAGTAGCTGGATGACGATAGCTATAGAGCGATGGTATGTTCGTTCGTAGAATTCCGATTGTGATTGAATCAAGAATGTCCCTCAGGATGTCTTCGAAGCGACCAATGGTATATGGTAACCAGATCCGACCGTTAGGTTGTTTGGTGTAAGAAGAATCTGGAGTGAAGGTTAAGGTTGAGGTTGACCGACTGGCTGTTGGAGTTGTCCGTTTCTATTTGTAGGTCTCAGCTGGCTGATGTACTCCCAAGTACACAGACCACTGGGGCGAAGCAGAGCTGCAGCGTAAAATGTCCGAGGGGTACATGCTTGGTACACCTGGCGATCAGCTGGGAGTCGAGCCTATTCGATGCTATTGAACAGGCAAGCGGAACCTTGACGGCTACTATTATGTGACCCCCACCTGCCCTGCAGTGCGGTGCATCCACCAACGAAAATACTCCCTTCTCCGCCAAGAGGTCCATGCTTCAGGTTTCAGCAGTCCATACAATTGGTAACTAACCGTCAGTCTTCCACCCATATATCGGACTATCAGCCTCTTCAATCCTTTGACCTTAATACATTCAACAAACAAAGAAACTCACCAGATTGCACGAACTCGTCCGGCGCAGTCGAAGACTTCCACTTCACTCTTTGGTTTTCCCCGCATTATTGGACTGCTTCTCAATCATATTCACGTCCATCGAAACAATCCAGCATTGACGCCGAGCACCTCGATACCACACCACAACTACAAGATGGCTTCCTGGGGCTTGCTCGACGACAAAGAGGAGAATGAGCTCCACAAGTCACGACTTCTGAACGTGGAGGAGAAGCCCTTCAAGCGCGTGACAAAGCGTCTCAGCACTCTTCACTCCTTGACCCTCTCGAGAGCTCGTCAAGCACACACCCCACCTCCGGAGGGCAATGGCGCGACTGCTGGAACGACGGAGCAGGAAGTCCAGACGCCCACTGCGGCCGGCGACTCAGCCACATCAGACCTTGCTCAGCTCAAGGAGGACATTATCCTGGACTTTGCCGCCTTTGATAGCAGCATCGCGCGGCTTCAGTTTCTTCTGACTGCCAACGAGCGTGAGCGTGAACGATATGTCGCCGAGCGTGAGCGCATTCTTAACACGGCACAGGCGGTGCGCAACAACACGGTCCAGTTGCGTGTTCAACTAGAGCAGGCCCGCGCCACACTCGAGCAGCGCAAGAAGTTCGATGAGCTGGCTGACAAGATCACCAACAACCCTGCACTGCGTACCAGGGCAGAGCAGGCGGCGAACTTGAGGAAATTGGAGGAGGAAATTGCCGAGTTGAAGACGGAGAGCGAGACCTACGGTATCACGTGGCATGAGCGGCGCGACCAGTTTGCCAAGATTATGGATGAGAGCATGCGGTTGAGGCGGCTGATCCGTGATGAGAAGGAGGAGGTGGAGCGCCGCGAAGGCATGGGTGACGACGAAGGCGGTGCTGGCGACACCGAGGCGGACGCCGGACAGACCCCACGGCCCGGCATTTCTAGCGGCAATGCAACCCCGAGGCCGGATAGCGGACTACCAGCCAAGAGCGGAGCCGAGAGCGGTGACGCCGCTGGCACACCCCATCCCGTCTCGACACTTGGCGCGAGGACACCGGCGCGCGATACTCCTGCCCCGGGTGATGAGAACCAGTCATTCCTCAAGCCGCCCCATGACGTCTCGGGAGGTTACTCGCAAGCGACAAGCCAGGAAGCTAGCCGGGAGGGTTCTATGGATAGAGGTGATGGTAATGAGGCGGCACAGGGCACTGATGTGGAGATGACTGAGGTCAAGGATGATGAGGAGGAAGTCGAGGAGCCGGATAGTCCTCTTTCGCCTCTGCCGGACCAAACCCCGCCGCGGCCGCGGATCACGGTTGACGGTCCCAATGCTGACGAGGACACCATGGACACCACGTGAGGGTTGTAGAAGAAAGGAATGGCGGCATGAGAGAAATGGGACGCACGGTGTAGCTTTGTACGTTAGATCCGGTCGGCTCTTTTATGATAATCATCATAGGCCTAGAATCAAGTTTGATTGTACCTGGGGTTCATCGCGAATTCCTAATGATGACCTCTTTAAAGACTCCGAGGACCAAATCACTCCGTAGGTCGCATTGAATAAATTACTTGCTAGAGAAAGGGTTCCATCGTTTCCTCGTCCAAACCATTCCGTTCGACATTCACCCCTCAAGCGCTCTCCGTCAGCTTCTTACCATTCTCCAACGCCTCCTTAGCCTTCTTCAGATCCTCCTCGGAAGCAGAACCCTCACTCTCAGAAATAGCAATCTGCTCCTCAAGCTTCTGAACCGCCTCAGCAATCCTATTGGTGAGGGGGCCAAACACAGCCTTGGTCTCTTCAAGCGCCGTTTGCTATGTTCATGAACAAAGAAGGGTTAGGGTTGACTATGTCCTAGCTTCTGGGTTTGGGTTTGCATGTTTCATGCACGGTGTTTTAGGGTGGGTGGAAAAGGGGACCTAAGAAAACGTACCTCCTGCTTGAGAACGTAGGGCGCGTTACTGTCCAGCTCGGGGCTGTTGGCGGCAATTTCGTCTTGGAGCTTCTTGATGCGGGCCTCTTGGGAGGTCTGCTCCTTGTGGTAGTACGACTCCTCCTTGACGAGGCGGTTGACCGATTGGGTCGCGATGTTGAGAGCTGAGGGGGGAGCCATGGTGTTCTTGTTTGATGAAGGTGACTGGCTGTAGTGTCTTAGGAGGAAATTTGCAGGTTTATCGCTCGGATATTGTTTCTGTAAGGTCTGTAGGACGTTTGTAATGTCTTGCTGTCTGCCTGCTTGTCTCAGGTTGCTTCGCTTGTTACTGCCTGTCGTTCGCTTTGGCGGTTTATTGACTTTGGCGAGCTTCGTACGGGAGGTGGGGTTGGCGGGGTAGATTTCATGAATTTCATCGGTATCAAAACCGACTTTTACTTTTTTTTCGGAGATTATGCTCATTAACATGTTCAGGTCGTAAACCATCAGCCATAATTTGCTCCGTTTACACAGCCTTCGTAATGTCCGTTTACATGGTTCTCCAGTAATCTTGTTACGAGGTCGTTCGCCAATCGATTTGGGTATCTCATTCGCCATATCCCATCGGTCCTCAAACGGCTCAGATGCGCCGTCCCATTTCACTTGGCCGTGGAACGTCGAACAGAACCAGATCGGAAGGCAGTGCGATATGTTGACAAGCTGCAGAAGTCATCTACACAAATGTGTTTCCGATATGATGATTTTCATGTGCTTACCTTCCACTTACCACACTGTTTCTTATCAGGCAGTTCATCGCGACTCGTGGTGTTCTTGTCGAACTTAGCCATCAGAACGTCTTTCCAGATCTGGAAGGAAAGAGGCTGATAATGACAGTTTGAGCTAGAAAGTTCTAAAACCTACCCACACCGTAACGTCTCGCTCTTCTCCGCCCCATGTGTTTGCCATGCCGTGGGCGCCCTGCTTTCAGTTGCATCCCCAAAGTGCAAACGATAAACAAAAACAGCATGGCGAACAAAGAGCTGTAACCCTTGACTTGGTAGTCAATGTCATGGCTAGCGCGGAGCCTGGGCTCACCTGGACACTGTCAACACTGCCCGACGCTAATATCTCTGACATTGGCCCTCTTTAGCGATCACCGGTCGAATCTCTTGTCTTGTTCCCCTGTAATTTAAGGAAACGATCTCGAAATCCGGTGACGGCATCGAGATGCAGGGCGGTGCCACTTGCCGGGGCTGGGCCGGGAGCCAGAGGAAGGGAATGTGGGGGCACCGTGACAGTTCGGTCGCATCGCTTGCGATTTCGAGGTTCCGGTTGGAGGTTGGTCCAGGGCCCGGAGGAGGAAGGTGCTGGTTCCATTCCGCTGGGGGAGGATCGGGCCTGCCCTGTCAGTGGCCCCCGTTCCGTCACTGGTGTGGACAGCGACACCCCAGTGGAGGGGAGTGACCCCCAGCTACCTACCCGCGCCGTTGTACAGCGTCTGAGCCGCCGCATTCCAGTTGAACCATACCTACTCGAGTCAGAAATGCCGTGCGCCGAAGAGAGGCGACTTTTGTAGAACTGGACACGTCGCAGCACAGACATGTACCCTGGCCGAAGGGTAGTACATCATGGCTGAATAATTCAAGACCATTATTTTTTTCACCAAAGGCCACCTCTTCGACGAGGCTAGCTACAATCTTTTTCTCTTGCTCTGATTCCATGATACTGCTATAAGCGTGTCTTTTCACCGTTTTCTATTCAAGGCCTTGTTCTTGAAGACTGTGAACTTTAGCTCCTAGACTGCTGGGGCGTTTTCCAATCTCTCGTTGAAGCTCTTTGGAGCCTTCACTTTTCGATTTCCGCCGAACAGCGCCGTTACGCTTTGCTTTTCGCAACTTCGAACAAACCTTTGTGAACATGGAGGCCGCGTTCGCAAAGCCCGTCGATGAGGTCCTCAGCACCTTAGGCGTCGACCCTACCACCGGTCTAAGTGACGAGCAAGTAGCTCAGTCCAGGGCCAAGCACGGGAAGAATGGTATGCGCTTTCTCTACAAGATTCTTAGAATTCAGCTTAGTTGTTCTATCAATGGCCTTTGCTAACCGTTCTGCCTGCCTCAGCCATCCCCGAGGAACCTCCGACACCCATCTGGGAGCTTATCCTGGAACAATTTAAAGACCAGCTGGTTCTCATCCTTCTGGGCTCTGCCGCCATCTCGTTCGTACTCGCGCTTTTCGAGGACGAGGGCGGCTGGAGCGCCTTCGTCGACCCCGCCGTCATCTTGACAATCCTTATTCTCAACGCCGTTGTTGGAGTGTCCCAGGAAAGCAGTGCCGAGAAGGCGATTGCTGCTTTGCAAGAATATTCGGCCAACGAGGCCAACGTGGTGCGCAATGGGCAGATTACTCGTATCAAGGCCGAGGATCTTGTGCCAGGCGATATCGTTGACATTGCTGTTGGTGCTCGCATCCCTGCTGACTGCAGATTGATCTCGATCGAAAGCAACAGCTTTGCTGTGGACCAGGCCATCTTGACCGGAGAAAGTGAAAGCGTCGGGAAAGACTTCCAGGCCGTTGTTAGCGATGACAAGGCTGTCTTGCAGGATCAGGTCAATATGCTGTTTTCGGGTACAACTGTTGTCACTGGTCACGCCAAAGCCGTCGTTGTCTTGACTGGTTCCAACACAGCTATCGGCGACATTCACGAGAGCATCACCGCCCAGATCTCCGAGCCTACCCCCTTGAAGCAAAAGCTCAATGACTTCGGAGACCAGCTCGCCAAGGTCATCACTATCATCTGCGTTCTCGTCTGGCTCATCAACATCCCCAACTTCGCCGACCCTAGCCATGGAAACTGGACCAAGGGTGCCATCTACTACCTCAAGATCGCCGTTTCCCTTGGCGTTGCGGCCATCCCTGAGGGTCTTGCGGTTGTCATCACCACCTGCCTTGCCCTTGGAACTCGCAAGATGGCAGCTAAGAACGCCGTAGTGAGAAGTCTTCCGTCTGTTGAGACCCTGGGCAGTTGCAGCGTCATTTGCTCTGACAAGACCGGCACTTTGACCACCAACCAAATGAGCGTTAACAAAATCGTCTATTTCAACCAAGATGGTACTGATCTAGAGGAGCTGGATGTTGAGGGAACTACCTTTGAACCCAAGGGCGCTATCAAGTCGCAGGGCAAGGAGGTGACCGATCTTGCTCAAAACTCCGCTACCATTCTTCAGTTGACCGAAGTCGCCGCTCTCTGCAACGATGCCCGTCTTGACTACCATCCCTCTACCGGCACTTTCTCGAACGTGGGTGAAGCTACCGAAGGCGCCCTCCGTGTTTTGGCTGAGAAGATCGGCCCTTGCGCCCCCTCCGATTGCCCTCCTAAGGATCGCGTTCACTACGCTAGCTCCTGGTACGAGAAGAAGTACCAGCGTCTTGCCACCTACGAGTTTTCGCGTGACCGCAAGAGCATGTCCGTCTTGGTTGAGGGTGATGGTCAGCAGAAGCTTCTCGTTAAGGGAGCCCCTGAATCGCTCATCGAACGCTGCACTCACGCTCTTCTCGGTCCCAGTGGCAAGAAGGTACAACTGGATCGTAACATGTCCGAACTCCTCATGAAGGAGGTTGTCGAGTATGGCAACCGCGGTCTGCGTGTCATCGCTCTGGCTAGCTTGGACAACGTCGATGGTAACCCTCTTCTTCACACCGCCAAGTCTACCGCCGAATATGCCTCTCTCGAACAGAACCTTACTCTCATCGGTCTCGTCGGCATGCTTGACCCTCCTCGCCCTGAAGTTGCTGCTTCTATCAGGAAGTGCAAGGATGCTGGCATTCGCGTCGTCGTGATCACCGGTGATAACCGCAACACTGCTGAGAGCATCTGCCGTCAGATTGGTGTCTTTGGCCCTAACGAGGATTTGACTGGCAAGAGCTATACTGGTCGCGAGTTTGATAACCTTAGCCCTGGTGAGCAGCTCGAGGCCGCCAAGACTGCTTCTTTGTTCTCTCGCGTGGAGCCTACTCACAAGTCCAAGCTGGTTGACCTCCTCCAATCTCTCGGCGAGGTCGTTGCTATGACTGGTGACGGTGTCAACGATGCTCCTGCTCTGAAGAAGGCTGATATTGGTGTTGCTATGGGTTCCGGCACCGACGTGTCGAAGCTCGCTGCTGACATGGTGCTTGCTGATGATAACTTTGCCACTATCGAGGTCGCCATCGAGGAAGGCCGCGCCATCTACAACAACACCCAGCAGTTCATCCGCTATCTCATCTCTTCCAACATCGGCGAGGTCGTCTCTATCTTCTTGACGGCCGCTCTCGGCATGCCTGAGGCTCTGATCCCGGTTCAGCTTCTGTGGGTGAACTTGGTCACCGACGGTCTCCCCGCTACCGCCTTGTCGTTCAACCCCCCTGACCACGATATCATGCGTCGCAACCCCAGAAAGCGTGACGAGAAACTCATCGGCGGATGGCTCTTCTTCCGTTATCTCGTCATTGGTACCTACGTCGGTCTCGCTACCGTCGCCGGTTATGCTTGGTGGTTCATGTTCTACTCGGAGGGACCTCAGATCAGCTTCTACCAGCTGTCTCATTTCCACCGCTGCTCTACCGAGTTCCCAGAGATTGGCTGCGCCATGTTCTCGAACGACATGGCCAAGGCCGGTTCGACTGTCTCGCTCTCCATCTTGGTCGTCATTGAGATGTTCAACGCCATGAACGCTCTCTCCTCCAGCGAATCTCTCTTGACGCTCCCTGTTTGGAAGAACATGATGCTCGTCTATGCTATCGGTCTGTCCATGGCCTTGCACTTCGCCCTTCTCTACACTCCCATCCTTCAGACCCTCTTTTCGATCCTGCCCTTGAACTGGGCCGAGTGGAAGGCCGTGATCGTCATCAGCGCACCTGTTGTGTAAGTTCCTTGCCCCGTCTTCTGTGTTGTTTTCTCAACAGTACGCTAATATCTCGTCTAGGCTTCTTGACGAACTTCTTAAGGCTGTGGAGCGCAAGTTCTTCGTCCAAAGCACCCCCAGCTCGGCGCCCTTGGAAAAGAATAAGGATCTCTAGGTTCGGGGGTTAGACTTGACCTGATCTGGTAGCTTTAGATCTAGACGTAAACAACTCCTTTTGTCTATAAAAATAGATCATATATCCAGCTGATTACATCATGCGTAACTGGGAACGGAATTGACGTCTTTGAATAACCAGTCTTGACAAACACGGCTGTCTCGTCTGCTCGCTAAGTTTGTCATGTTGCAAATGTATTTGTTCTACAGAGCCCAAGGGTACCGATGATCCATTAGCGCGTATGCGACTTGATTACTCTTGGCCCAGATTCATCATCATCATTATGCCCGAACGTCCCGCTTAATCCTGTCGTCCCTTCAATAGCCTCTTGGTAACCTTGTCCTTCTCGATAATGTAAACGTGGGCGCCCCAGCCTGACAAGGCATCTCTGTCGACGGCGTTAAGGAGAGCCTGTGATATGGTCTCGAAGAGGTCCTCGGGTTCCTGTTGAGTATTATCATCGTTAGCACCACGCCTCTATGACGACAACCCAAAACAAACAGCCAAAACCAGTGCTTTCTCTCGGGGGTCCGGCTTCGGGTTCGCAATAGCAACATACCAGATTCGGCTCCCACAAGCTCTCGCACATGCCAAACAACTGCTCCGTCGCCGTCCCGCTCACGATGAAGTCCTTCGCGAAGTCGATGCACCCGATGCTGTCAAAGCCGCAGATGAACGGCTCGCCCGTCTTGGGATCCAAGCCAGCAACGACGGGGCTGACGAAATAGGGCCCAAAGCGGCGCTCGTACAGGCTGCTGGACACGAGGTTGGCGAACGTCCGGGGCGCAATGTTGCGCTCCTCCCGCAGTCGGTACATGTTCACCTTGTACCGGAACAGGTCCGACACGGTCGACACGTCCGTCGCCAGACCCGTCAAACCAAGGAAGACGTCGCCGTACTGGAAGATCTTGGGGAAGTTGTTGGACACGGTAAGCGCCTGAAGGCCTAGGCGCAGGTCGCACGCGATGGCTACGCAGTCTTTGCCGACCATGGCGACGGCAGCGCCGCCGTCTGTGGGAGGTGGGCAAGAGCGGTGGTTAGCAAGGTGATGATGTTATGGCTTTCGGCGGAGGAGGGGTCAATGTTTAGAGAATCGGGTGTTGGGATATCGTACTTATCGAGAAGGGGGACGACTGTTTGATGGAATAATCGTTAGCTTGGGATCTTGTTTGTGTTCCTTGGGAATGCGTATATCTGGAGGGTGTAGTGATCGGGCAGGCTTACCATCTTGTGCCTGGGATGTGATGCAAGTGGTGATGGTTGCTTGCTCGGAAGATGGAGGGTAGTTCGGCGATGGCGCTGGTATCGTTCACTGCGGTATGGGTCACGGAGGATGGACCGTTCGTCTTCGCCGTGCGGGGTATTCGCGATGTATCGGTGATGTTTGGTGAAAGTGCTTTGGAAAGCTTGTTGTTTCCGTCGTCAAGCTCACCTTCGAACGGGCAAGGGAAGCTCCAGTTGACGAGACGGACAGGGCAAGGCAACACGCAGCTGGCGCGGCTGGCTGGGCGGAGGACTGGATGGAGGTGTCCACTAACAAGGATGCCTGGCAGAGCAATTACTGTGTACCTTCGTAGCTGCCACTGCACGGGGCATGCGATGCTAGGATTGGTGTTTGTAGCGGTTCTGTAGGTGGCAGGAGCTGCCCACTGTTTCTCCCCTTCCCCGTTGCTGGGTGGATGTTGCCATCAAACGTACTGCGTAATTGCCCCTCCTGAGCTTACAAGATGCCAGCCGGCCGTGGAAGCTCTCAGAAAGCTCCCTATGCATTTTGTGTACTCGACGAAACGACGGTGACCTGAAGACACGACACTCACTCGCCGCCTCATCACTACCATAATTTCAGCATTCGAATTCCATCTGAAGAGGAAGATAACGGGCACCCTCATCATCCCGTCTTATCTCGACTTGAAGCCTTACAAACCCCTCTCTTACCAGGCTGGTATTTGCCGATTACGTTACGCGGGGTTGCCTGAAGAACAGCCGCCAAACATCACATCCACAAGCAACTACGTAACTGCTCCTTGGAAAGATAGTCATCTCAAGAGGACAGCTTCAACACTTATCGAAGTCTCGACCTTCTCGTACTACTTCAACCATAAAGCTTTACAACCACACCGACCTTCATCATACCAGTTTTGTTGCGCCGGCTCAACACTAGGAGCAACATCGTTCACCTCTTTTCTCACTACTCCCCATAATTATAGTCGAAACTGCCAATATGTCAGCGCACGTCGAAGTGGTCTCTACGGACCTGAGGAGGACGAAGGTCAAAGTTACGCCCGGAACCTATCTGATCGATGTTCTGGGAGAAGCCTGTCAAAAGTTCAACCTGAACAGTGACAAATACCAACTTAAGTAAGAACGAAAACCCCATGCTCCCCAGTTGCCGATCGTGTTGAACTGACACTGGCATACAGACACAAGCAAAAGCTCATTGATCTGTCTGGTCCGTTTCGGACGTCAGGTCTCGCGCCAGGCGCCAAGCTCGAACTCGTTCAAAAGTCTAAGAGCGCAGCAGTTGTATCGATAGCCCTCGATGTTAACGGTCAACGGTACACGAAGAAGCTATCCAGCGACATGACGCTGTGGCAAATCATGCGGCAGTTCGAGGTTGCGGAGCAGGGGTTAAACCTGACCGGCAGAGGCACACCTAAGAGCAGTACCGGCCCTCAGGGAACCAGCGGCCAGTTATACTTCGAGGCGCCAGTGGTGAACATCATGGGCAGGGAGTACACTTCGATGGAGGATCTACAGAAGACGCTGTCCCAATGCGGTATCAATTCTGGCAACATCGTTCTGCGGGTTTCCTTCCGCGACACCGACAAGACCCTGTATGAGGCGATGCAGGATATCGGCCAATATCTCAAGGAAGTGGAACCAGATCAACCGAAGACACAGGCAGGCGAACCTTCAGCACCAGCGACTGGGTCAGCACCGGCGATAGAGGAACCTATAGAAGATCTGACTCTAGCTGCGGGCCCGAAGCCCGTCAAGGAGAGTACGTTGGCAGAGCCAGAACTACAGGTAGGCTCTGCAGAGGCAGCCAAAGCCGCGGTCCCGGTTACCCCTGCTGCGGAACCGGTTCCGAAGACCGATCCGATGGACATCGTCGATGAGGTGGTTGCTGCTCCTCCTGTTCCTCCTACGGAGACCACTACCAGCGAACTCAGCGACCCGCTCGAACCTACGGGCGTTTTCAATGCCCCGTCCTCTACCACTCCCCTCGCCGCCCGGGTCCAGGTAGACGATTCCGTGTATGAGCCAACCATCGCCCATGCTCAGCTACGGCAACAACAGCTTCTGCAACGGGCGCAAAACCAACGGCTCAAATCCGACGCTGAGCTGGCGGCTGATGCGGCTGAGGAAGCAGCTCGGCTCGCCAAGATCACGCGGGTTGATATCAAGGTCCGTTTCCCGGACCAGACATCAGCGCAGTGGACAGTCACACCAGAGCACACTGGTGCTTTCCTATACCAGGCGGTCAAAGGAGTCATGGCCCATCCTGACCAGCCTTTCCGCCTAATCCTCCCGGGCACGCATCCGATCGTTGTGGTTCAAGATGGCAACAAGAGGCTGGTGGCGGACTATAAGCTCCGGGGAAGAGCACTGTTGAATCTTGTATGGGATGATGCGGCGTCGGAGGAGGCGCGCAAGTCGCCATTCTTAAAGGGCAGTGTGGCTAGCCGAGCGCAGGAGGTGGTTGTGCCGGACGTCGCACAGGAGGACGGCGAAGATGAGAAGGAAGTCCAAGCTGGACCGTCGTCGTCGAGCGGCCAAGAAGTGAAGCGGAAGGGTGATCATGGTCTGGATTCTGATGCTGTCAAGAAGAAGTTGGGGAAGTTGTTCAAGCTGCCTGGTAGGAAATGAGCAGCTCGCGACGACCTTGATGGACGATGCTTCCACGGTTTTGTGCTTCCGAGTTGTACAGGCTTTCTAGTAGCAGCCATCTGTATTGTTGGGCGTTCCCTGGGAGGTAGCTGTACAGGGACTGGATAGGGAGTAGATAATGTGACAGCGCTTCTATAACAACGCACAGTCTATATGGAAACGAGAAGTAGCAAAGCGTAATCGACATACAATACACAATGCTAATGGTGCAAAGCAAAGTTGAAGTTGACCACTGTGACATCACGTTCCAAGAGAGGAAGTTTGTTCGTAATTCAGCATCTTGTCATTCAAGATGGTGTCATTTCGTTTCTATTCCCAGAGGCCAGCTATTTTCTAACTAGTCCACAAGGGAAAAACGCTTAGATCCGATCCATAACAAAACGAACCAACGTCACGCCGAACAATGCCAGAGAAACGACAAGAGGCAGAATTCCTTTTTGGTATTTTTAATCACACTCTCCAAGCAGTCCATCCATTGGGATTAGCCAATTTAGTGACCGGCACGGCGAGCCTCAGCGATGACGCGCTGGAGGTCCTCAACCTTCGCCTTAGCACGGCCGAAGGTACCGAGCCTCTTCTTGGCGAGCTTGCGGGCACGCTTGTCCTTGGAGTTGCGGAGCAACTCAATGACGCGGCGCTCGTAGGGAGCAAGGCTGTAGTAGGAAAGACAAAGGTTAGCGTAAGTTCGCCCAAGCGGATATCTGCACATATGCGCCCCAACAGTCCCCCTTCCAAACCCGATCAAGCGTACGGTCCAGTACTCCCAACGGGAATTGCGATCTCTTGCAGAAACGGGCACACATCCGTGTGTCCGTGTACCACCCAAGAACCATCATCTTCCGTCGGTCGAACTGTGTGTATGTGTGTCTGATCGGGTTTGTCGAGATAACTGCTGCTTGGCGCAAATGCTTCGATGTGAAAAGATTGAAATTGGTAGAACGTACCCAGCGACCTCCTGGACGATGCTGCGAACGAAAGCAGTGCGCTTGCTCAGGTGACCCTTGGTGCGGGAAACACGGGGCTTGGAGACACGAGCAGTGGTCTTCTGTATTTGGGGCAAAAAATAAATCCCGGTCAGCGATCACAGTTCCTTCTTCGTTTCTCGAACAATCGTTCGGCGTAAGGTGGTGTTGGAGTTGTTGAAAACAAGAGGGTAAATGCAGTGTCCATCGTCTGCGATAGCCCTGATTTCCCTTTTTGTTTTCAGGAAGGCAACGCAGAGATCCTCCACGAGGTGAGACGTACGTGACCCTTCTGGAGGCCAACGGCGAGGCCGGTCTTGGATTCAGCAGCCATTTTGACGGTTGGTTGGAGAGGTGATTCCGAAAAGGGTGGTTGTCGGATGCTCGAAATCGTCGGCTAGTCGAGGGGACTTGGGAGAATAAAAGTTCGCGACTGATTTTTGAAGTACCCGCTCGAAAAGTGGAAAATGTTCTGTGGGTGTGGCTGGCATGTGGGGGGAAGTGGTCGCGTTTGTGGCTGATGGATTTGTCGCTTGTGGCTTATGTAAGTTGAACTTTATTGCCCGTGGCGCTCAGCTCTCACTTCTCTCAGTGACACCATCCGTCTCTTCCCTGGTCACAACTCAGTTCAACATCACAATGCATCGACAACTACACTCCCGCACGAAGCGGGACCTGTGTACCTCACACCCCTACAATTTTGCTTAACTCTTCAACTTCGACTGCCGCAAAGGCAACCTTTGATTACCTCCAGCTTTGAGACTCGCCCACTCCCGTCTGCACTGCCCTGAACTACTTCGAGAGGACCCTTCGACGACAACCATGTTCATACACCGAAGACGGATACAACGAAAACGGTTGCCTCGCCATCTTGTTATTTCGAGATAAACAAGACATCCTAGCTCTCTTTGTCATCTCCGAAGTATCACCCTAGGACCATTACACTCCGCAAAGGCAAACACTCGCCCTGATTTGAAACTCCTTCGCCTTTTTTATTCCGTGTCACGGTGTTGGCACGACGGGTGTATACGAGATATGTTGGACAGGGTTCCCCACCGAAAAGATCGAGAGCTCCATGCCAGATCATTATCCGGAGACTCCAGCCTCGTTTGGATAGTGCGGTCCGCATTCTTCTATCCTTAAATCCCGGAGGCTGTTCGGGTCCAGGGCTAACCGCAAAAGGCCCTTTCAAGGAGTATTACCTTGATGAGGTCTGAACACGGTTCGGGTCAGCTTCCCGAGCTCAGTTGCCTATGGCGGTCTGACCTTGCATTCACTACAGGGTATGCGCACCAAACATAGACCACAAGGACAGGTCGTATCAGAGCGGTAGCGCAGATGCTCTGTCACCCCGGACAAATTTTCGGGTCTGGAATAGTTGTTGGATAACGCACGCAAGCCTGCCAGCATTCGATCACGTTGTGATGGATGGAGCAGTCGTAGGACGGGTAGGCTATGGAGCCGCAAACGGTTTGGGAGCACCAGCAGCCGAAACTATGCTCTTCCCGCGGCACTCCTTCGTTGTCGGTATTCCTTGGACATCCGCCATGACGAATCTTCGAATGCTGAGGACCTGAGCCAAGCATGGTACTTTCAGTGCTGTCAAGAAGCGCCTTAGCCGATGAACTCCCTTTGGCAAGGTCAGTAGACAACATGCTGAACCAGCTCGAACTCCCTTGCTGTCCCGGGGATATCGTAGCACACACATCAAACACGCCAAACTGAGAATCTGCCAAAATTTTCTGAGATCGTGCAAAGGAGAGTAACGGAAGACCGATGTCAACCGAGCATAATACAGAATATCTCGGCAGTATAGCAAGTCTTGCTTGACTGAAGTTGATGTACATGTATACGTACTGGAACGTGGTCCGTCCTGTCCGGTTCATGGCAGCCAGATCTGCGCCTGACACTTCCAATCATTGCCCACCTCAGTACTTTATGCCCTGCCAGATTTGCAGATCGGATAGCCACTTCGTGGTACGTCGTAAGTGCTTGACTGCCACCGGTTTGGGTCACCTTACAGGTATTCTCATTGCCGAATGCTGTGTGGATTGGATCTTCAAGGTAGTTGTACCGGTGTGAAGACGATCTACGTCGCAGCATTCCGTTCCCTGTACCGTTGCCTGTTGCGTATGCTTGAGTAACGGGGCAGGGCAAGACAACAATGGATTTGCTCTTGCTGCCTTTATAAAGGCATGGGCTCAGTAAACATTCCTGAACTTTTTAGTCTCTGTCATTGCCCCTTCCGTGTCTGCACGACTGTCAACTCAAGCAGATATAAGCCACACCTGCATCCAAACGACCTAGACATCTCCATTACACATCAGGATCACTCGAATATTCGACTTCACACCGCCATTATGCTTATTACAAACCTGCATGCCCTCGTAGCTCTTATCCCTCTTGTGGCTTCTCTACCCTCGATGCCCTCGTTTATGAACAAACTCAAGTCCCTCTCCTCACGCGATGACCAATGCCCGTTTCCAGACTCCTACAAGATCACGTCGCTCCAGGTCTGGACACCAAAGAATGGCAACACCCATCCGATTGTCGTCGATTTTCAATACGCAGACGACCTGACAAAGATCGCAACGTCTTGTCACTACAATGGAACTCAGCCAAACGTAGGACCAGAGGGCTTAGCCCCCAGATATGCTTGCGAAAACCCAACCGTGCAGTTCCAGTGGATCCAAAAGACGAGCATGCTGTCTATCATCGAGCTGGCATGCCCCAATACACCAGAGTCGTAAGTTTCCCATCAGAGAGACTTGCAGTACCCATCATCATCAGAAGACGTCATCAGATCTCTAACAATGAAGGCAGGGGCTTCATGGCCTTGGACCAGATGACCCCCAGGCTCAGCTGCGTCGATACTAGCAACACTACCCCGTTCGGAGAAGGGTCGCAATGCTTCTCTCTAGACTTTGCCATCCTCAGAAATTTCACTGCTCTCGACCCCATCCAACCCCCAGGAGGAAACTAGATCCCGAGAAGAGAAAGGGAATCATGGAGAAGACAAGGGGAATCACGGGTGCCTATGTAGTTGATGAAGAATGGGATAAAGCATACGTGGTAATCGGTGAGGAATGGATGGGATACGGGAAACGATAGTTAATGAGGAATGAATACACAATATCAATATCACACCAGGTCCAAGGTGGTTGTCGTCAGTGAGGGAGTGGTCCAGGTTCCCCTTGCATGACATGACAGCACTTTGTGAGGAGCTGAGGTGTAAGTTGAGTTGAAGAAGTTAAAGTTCTGAGATAAGGTATTGCGGGGTGTTGCAGCGGTGGCGCTCGCTTACCCCTGCTTATGCGGCCCCTCCACAGCGGGCAGGCATGCACTCGCATGGCAACTCCCGTTCATCTGACCACTGAAACTGCAGTGTAGGGGCGTCCCTGAAGCCTGGAACAAGTGGAAGACAACGTCACCACTTCCGCTTTGTGTTCCTCTTTCGTTCCGCTTGCTCTGCCCAACATCCATCATCACCTCCATTTTTCATTTTCGAAGCTCGTACTGTAACGTATTTTCGAACCTCGCACAATCTCATCATCAGTCTGCTTCCTTTTTCGAACCCTAGCGATTGAACTCACAGATCCTAGAAGACTATTTCAAGGGTAATAACAGCTGAACTCCCGCCCTATCAATCATTTACGTACGTCCCGGTCATCCTTCTTGGTTCGCTCATCAGTCACTGGTCAAGGGTTGGTCACGCGGTACGTTCTCGCCGCCCGGGAAGATCATGTTTGACCGACATCTTGTGCAAGAGAAGTTCTTCTGAGGAAAAGCTGGCCTCCTGACTTTGCGCCTTTTGATATTTTTTCTATGCCATCTTTGCAATAATAGCGAGTGTTGGTTGGAAAGGGCTCGACAGCTTCATATCCGCCCAGAGCCTGCAACTGCTCACCATATGCAAACATGCATCTGATACACCAGCTCGGTTTCTTCCTTCTTCCGTTCACGTCTCACTTCGTTGAGAGTGTCTTCGCAAACCCATTAGCCGTCCCAGGAGACCCGAGCCACCCTCAAGGACAACACCCCCTAGCTTCACTTCATGATTACGCCGCGGATACCGATGGAGGAGCTCACACCGGCACACCACCAGCCCAGAAAGGCGGCGTCTCGCTCCAGTTCTTCGCCTCGCTTGAGCGCATGGCTCGCCTGGTAGACATCACCTACTGCGTCGGCACAACCGGCGTTTCGAAGCCCTTCTCGTGCGTCTCCCGCTGCAAAGATTTTCCCTCGCTGCGGCTGGAGCGGACCTGGAACACAGGCCTGCTGCTCAGCGACAGCTGCGGGTACATCGCGGTCGACCACGGCGAGAGGAAGAGGGACGGGCGGAACGGGGGCGGGACTGTGGTTGTCAGCGAGCCGGCTATCATTGTGGCGTTCCGAGGGACGTATAGTATCACTAACACGATAGTTGATTTGAGCACGGTGCCGCAGGAGTATGTGCCTTATCCTTCACCGGATGATGATGATGATGAGGATGATGAGGAGGATAGGAATGTTGGAAAGGGAAGCAGTAGCAATAAGAACAACGACGACGGCAAAAACAAATGCACCAACTGCACCGTCCACATGGGCTTCCTCGCCTCCTGGCGCAGCGCGCGCGACTACGTCCTACCGGCCCTCAAAGCCGCCCGCGCCAACCACCCCGATTACCCTGTCCACCTGGTCGGGCACAGCCTCGGCGGCGCCGTCGCCGCTCTCGCCGCGTTAGAAATCCGGCTCTCGCTAGGCTGGCAAGACGTCCAGGTGACAACCTTTGGCGAACCACGTATTGGGAACCAAGCCCTGGTGGACTACCTGGACAAGGCCTTTGGTCTTGACAATGAAGACAAAGAAGTCAAGGACAAGGACAGAGAATCCCTCCCCTACCGCCGCGTAACCCACATCAACGACCCCGTCCCCCTCCTCCCCCTGACGGAATGGGGATACCGCTCGCACGCAGGCGAGGTGTACATTTCCAAACCGGACTTGCCGCCTGCTCCTGAGGACTTGCGGTTGTGTCAAGGGGATAACGATCCGGAGTGCATGGCTGGGGCTGAGAAGTCGGATGGAAGGGGGTGGTTCGATGGTAGTAGTCTGCTGGAGGTGACTGACTTGCTGGCGCTGGCAGCAGCGAAGGGGATTGATCTTGATGTCTATTATCGAGATCCTGTTGCTGTTGCTGTTGTTGATGGTGATGCTGCGGAGGGTGGTGATGGTGACGACGGTAGCGATGCTGATGATGTGCATGGTGATGTGGATGGTGAGCCGACCGCAACAGCACCCACGACCAGGACAAAGAGGATGTTTCCCACCAGACTCAAGCTCTGGCAGCTCTTCTTTGCACACCGGGATTACTTCTGGAGGCTGGGTTTGTGCGTGCCTGGTGGTGACCCGGCAGATTGGGGGAGAGACAAGTATAACTTGACGCAGCCGCAGGGATCTTTGGTTGTGCTTGGTGATGGCGAGTTGTGAAAATTGTAGGGGTTACATATCATCACGACACTTTGGCTCTTGATTCAGTGGGTTTGTTTATTCATCACAGAGGGGCGGCGTCTTAAACCATGGATGGCACACTTTGTTTCCAGGGCAACGGAAAGATATGGGTGTTTGGGCGTCAGGGTTTTGGGAAACTGACTGGGAAACGATTGTGCTAGGACCCTTCAGGGCATTTAGGTTTTATTGCGAAGGCATTAATGGGTTGATGGCATATGGTAGGCGTTCGGTAGCAGAAATGGTTATGATGTTGAACGGGATGTCTCAACGTAACCGGGTAGATAATGATATGAATTTCCAGTTGAATGTTGGCATATCTACAGATTGAACATACGATCTATCTGATATGAAGTAGTTTCAGAGACACGCCGTGTATGTCTCGATATATACTGCACTCTTGTGAAAGCCTTTTTGTAGCAGCAGCCTTTTGTGTAAGCTTTCGCCGCCTTCGTCGTCGTGACACTCATGGCACACCATCTTGATCTCCCGAGGTATAAGTTTATATCGGCGCTCCAGATCTAAAGCGATGTTGGGGCCTGGGCCCCTTTTAGTCTACAAAATAGACTTTTCAGCCTGGGCAGGTAGTGTAAGGACATTTAGAAGCACCGCAAAACGATTATGGTACGTGAACGTCCTCATGAGAGGACAGGGATATATCTCTGATTTGAGTATCATTTGTTTTCCTCGCCAAGAGGGAAGTTGTAGTCCCTTTGGCTTTTTGGGGGGGTTGTTTAATAGAGACCTTCTTGTTCCTTCTCTTACCCTCTTCCCATCCGAGAAAAAGCAGGTGGAAGGGAGAGGTGTGTGGCGGCAACGACGACGGGGAAAGGATAATAATAAGAGAATAGGAAACGTGACCGTAAGAGAAACGACTATCATGCCCTGCATTTCAGTGGCCCCCGGCATCAACCAACTCCCTTTAGCGAAGCCCCCCGCCCAGCCAATGACCAATGTGCCGCATATTTCACGCTCCATCCGCCAGCCGGTCAAGTCCAGAGAGAACAAAGCCCAGCTCCGAGTTTACAAAAATCCTAGCTATCAAAGTCAAGAAGCAACACAAGACCAGTTGCGCAAAAGACGGGCGCTCCCGTGCCACTCCGGTTCACCTCAGGCAACCAGCGAGGGCATGCACCCGTCATGGCGAAAGAAACCACGGTCTGGAAAAGTGCGCTTACTGCTCCTCGGGAGCCTTCTCCTCAGCAGCCTCAGCCTTCTCCTCGGCCTTCTCCTCGGCCTTGGGGGCCTCAGCAGCGGCCTCAGGCTCGCCGTTATCGGACGAGGTCCAGAGAGTGAGGTTATCCCTGAGGAGCTGCATGATAAGGGTGCTGTCGCGGTAGGACTCCTCGGAGAGCGAGTCGAGCTCGGCAATCGCATCATCGAAAGCCTGCTTGGCGAGGTGGCAGGCACGATCAGGAGAGTTAAGGATCTCGTAGTAGAAAACGGAGAAGTTGAGGGCAAGACCCAGGCGGATAGGGTGGGTGGGAGTGAGCTCGGTCTGAGCAACATCGGTAGCGCTCTACATGACAGTGAAGACACCGGTTAGCAACAGCGCATTGGTAGCAAATCGCGCGAATTTTCAAGAGCTCGTACCTTGTAAGCCTCGTGAGCAGCGGTAGCAGCGCCCTTGCGCTTCTCGCCGGAAGCAAACTCGGCAAGATAACGGTGGTAATCACCCTTCCTGTAAAGAAATACTGATCAGCGACCGCCAAGGCCAGGGGTTTTGGCCTGGAACACATACATCTTGTGGTAGAAGACCTTAGACTCGCCAGTGGCGGCGTTGGGAATAAGGGACTCGTCGAGGACCTCGAGGACATCCTTGCAGACGGTCTCGAGCTCGGTCTCAATCTTTTGCCTGTACTCCTTGATAATGGCGACGTGCTTATCGGAGCCCTTGGACTCCTCCTTCTGCTCAATGGAGGAGATGATGCGCCAGCTGGCGCGGCGGGTGCCGACGACGTTCTTGTAGGCAACGGAAAGGAGGTTGCGCTCGTCAACGGTGAGCTCACCACCGAGCTTGGCGACCTCCTTCATGAAGGTAACCATCTCATCGTAACGCTCAGCCTGCTCGCAGAGGCGGGCGAGGAAAGTCTTGCTGTTGATTTCACCGTCTCGTCAGTACGCAGGCTGCCAGTGGGGTCAGATACACCGATGCCGAAGCCCGCGCGAACAGCGGGCAGCAGGCAGCAGGCAGCGGAATCACACACACCTCTCGCGCTACACCAAAGAAGAGGGCAAACGTTAGCACATGTGTTGCAACTTGACGGACGGAGGTAGGCGACGAGCGTAGCGATCCTGCTGGCCATGACCGGCGCCGAGGAGGAGAAGGCGGTGTCGAGGAATGGGGGAATGGGCCGTCTGCGCCCGGAGGCCGGCGTTGACGGCGGGCTGGAGCTGACTTACTTCGTTGGCCATTTTGTTTATTGGGTTGGGTATAGGGTGCGGCAAAAGATCGCTACTGTTGCAGATTGAGATTGGAGGAGGAGAAAGCGGAAAGAGAGGGAGAAAAAAATTGGTTGACCGGAAGACTGCGGTGGTTTTGCTTTGCTGGCTTGTGACGTGATAAGATTGGGAAGCGGGCAGGTTCGAAGGAGTGTCGCTGGGTTGAAGGCAAAGGGACTTAACTTTAGGGAGAGGGCCTGAGATTCCCCCGATCCCCGCCCAGTCTAGTGCAAGCCAGCCGTGCTGGGGGGGCCTGCTTTTTTTCGGGGCCAAGGTCGAAGTAAACGACGATTGGCTGCTAGCGAGAGACCTAGCCGCCCAAGCCTCCCCGGCGGTGACCAGGCCAACAGGCAAGGGGTTGGGAGTCTCTCGCTAACAGGTGGATGGGCAATTGGGACGAGAATCAGAGTGGCCTCCACGCGATTGCTTGACATTTGCGTGTGCCCACCCTGCCGCACAGGGCATCTTGGGATCACTCTCCCAACATCCACAGGTCCGCCTTGTTCTCTCGTCTTCCCCGAGTCCAGCCATGCTTTTCGGAGGGGGGGGAGTTGGAGTTGGGCCCAAACCAAAAGCTCCCGTGGCTCCCAAATCTGGCAACAAAACCAGGGAACAAGGCGGCATCGTCTCATCAGGCTCGCACTTGCCCTCTTTCCAGCGCGGTGGTGTTGCGAGTGGTGGTGGCCGACGATGAGGTGCTGGATCGTGAGGTGATCCTTCAACTGCCCCGCCACTTTCTCTCAGTCCCGTCCGCACGGCATGGCATCCATGATCCTGATCCATGGCGTGGCATGCTTCTACTATCTCATGTTTGCAGACGGGCCTCAGCTTGTACCTAGGTAAGCTCGCGAGCTGTTTGCATTTGCAACCTTTTCGCCATGGTCATCACATACTACGACGCCAGGATATCACGCTCTGGAACGTCACCCCCACCACGAGGTGAAGTTTTTTGAAGCCTCATTTTTCCTTCTTGACCATTGGTGTGTTGTCCATTTGACGCCAAGCGGCGGCTCAAAAAGTTACATTTCCAATCTCACCTATACATTGCCGGGATTGTCGCAGAGTCCACTTGCCATCCACTGCGGCGGATTCCTGTCACCTTTATCCCAATTCCCCATGTTGGCCAGGCTGGCAAGACCAGAGAAATGCGGTCGACGGCATCGTCAACGTCTTGGCTTGTCGAGCCCGGCGTTTCCATGTGCAGCAGTCGCATCTTCCCATCTCTTACACACGCATCCGCATAGCGGCCCAGCAGGAGATCGGGATATGGACGGCGTGCTCTGTTTGGAGTCTCTGGAACCTTGACTCAGAGCTGAGCCCCGCCATCGGCAGCCCCTCTCATCTTCCTGGAACTAGCACCACCAGGGAGTTCCCAATTCGCTGCCTCTTTGTCACCGCATGGCACACGTTGTCTCGTGCCAATGCCAGACTGCCCGCCAATTTGCCAATTTACCTCAACTAATAAGTACCCCCTATCAAGTACCTCTTGGTCTGTGCGCTTGCTCTCATGCGCCTGTCTCATCGGCGCCAATCGGTCCTCTCGCTCCGGCTACTCATCCTCCTCCTTCTCAGGCTTCCATGTTATCTTCTTCATATCACCTGGCAGGGAAAGGAGTGAATAGTATGTGTCTACATATGTTGCCAAAATACGCTTTACCGTCACCTAGTGGACATGTCACAGCAATGGGCCAACTCTGGCTCTGAGGCTATCTACAACTCCCATTCGTTCCATTATGTCCCATTGTTCGGAAGCGAGCGATAGAGTGGGGTCTTCGCGGCACCTAGCCAGTGTCCTCCTATGGGCGTTTCCAACTTTGTTAGGCCAGCGATCATTTGCTGGGCAGAGACTGGCGAGACTGGGTGCAAAAGGAGGGGACATGGAAACGGCTAGAAGACTGCGAGCCTTCTCCGGGCGGGTTGACTACCAAACGCTATCCTCCCGCTCCCGTTGCGCCCCGTCGAATATTCCTCGAGGTTGGTAGTGTGTCTACCCTTCACTACCGGATGTCTCGATCACAAGGCTTGTTTCCTGCCCGCCCCCTCCATTTGCTGTCTTTTCCCCCACGGTTATCGAGATATGTGAGGCGATCCTCACCTACACAGCCCTGTGTTGCAACCCCCTTCACGTCGAACATCCTTCGATGTTGTGTTTGGCGAGATCGAATGGCTGTTGGTAACTCACGCGTTATCTTCGAGCCAGAGACTAGCCTATCAGTCCAGATTTACATGTCCTGTGGTCGAGCAATTGTTGGTTCCCGGTTCGGATCTCCCTCGCCCATCACCCTGGCCTTGTCCCTCACAAGATCATCAGGGACCCCTAAAACGACCCCTAATGACCCCTACAATACCATTTGGGAACGTACACTCCCCTAAAAGACCGTCTTCTTGCTGCTGATTGACTGACTTCTTACCCCTCCACGGCTCTACGCCAACTGCCACGGCTTGGCTGCCAATCCATAGACAACTTGGACAGACTGGGAACCCTATCTACCCCCTCCCCTGTTTTAGGTCATTTGTCACGCGACTCCAGCAATGAGATTGCGAGCGACAATCAACGCTTCAAGGCAACTGAATCTAGCGAGAGGTTGTGGTGATGATGACACAGGACACAGGACCACGATGTCACGATAGGTTCCCAACCTACTGGCGAACCACTTGTGTCTAAAGAAGAGATTCGAGGTAACTCGTTCTCCTGTTCTATTTGGGCTTTGTTTCTTTCTCTCCATTGCGACACAAGATTATGGGTGCCTTTGAATCCCATTTGTGACTATGCCGCCATTGTGTCATCATTGTTCAGCAAGGCTGAGAAACCCTTTAGGTGAAGGTCTTCAATACAATAATCCACGCCGTGGCCGCCTCTGGTTTAACTGGTAAGGCTCTCTTGAACACAACCGCGCCCACTTACTTTTCGGCAGTGCCAGCTTATCGATTGCATTTGTTCTATGCCATTGCTCAAGCGCCGCAGGCATGACATCGATCTAAACCCCGGACACTGTCCGAACGAAGAGAAAGGAGAGAGAGGGCGCTCGATATCAAAGTTTATAACCAGTTTAGCCATCTCAAAAGCGGATGGGCAGAGTGCAAAGTCTACGCGGACATCACTCCACGCAAAGAGATATAAAGTGCACTCCATTCCGTCACATCTACCAAGTGGCAGCATCTTCATAGTTCTAGCCAGTGTTGTATAGCCCCTCATCACATCCAAAAGAAGACACAGCATGCACGAGGTGAGTCTCTGCATTTCTACCAAAATACATGAACTAGTGTTGCAAGATGGAAGCCGAGATACTCATCAGGGCTTAGGAAAAGAAGAAAACGCCGAGACTAGTGGCTAGAAGTCTAAGTCTTTTTTGTGACATGAATTAGTGATATTGACCTGTCAAGTAGAGACACTATTCTAAAGCGCAGTGTACTCCTTGCCCATCATCCTTCCTTCTGACATTTATTATATTGGAGTGTCGACTGGGGATTGGAAAGCGAAATAGTCGACTAGTCTTCCTCTGGTCTATGTACCGGTTTGAATTCATATAATCGTTAATGGCATCCTTTGCTTACATGACTTTCATTCCACCTCCAAAAGAACTCGTCAACTACTGCGTTCTTGGTACCGGTAGACGTTAGATAGCGAATGTGTAATGCTTTTCGCATACTTTTATGCCTTATCTCATCATGTCTCCTTGCAAGTTGAACATCATGAAGGAAGGAAGGAAGGAAGGAAGGAAGGAAGGAAGGAAGGAAGGAAGGAAGGAACAGCACAGAACAGGAAAAAGAAAGGCAAGACCAAACCCGACCAAGACATGAAAAGGCAAGAGCCATCGTTGGTTAGCACAACATTATGAACGCTTTGTCAACACACTCGCATTGGCTTCTACCATTCTGAAGACTTAGTGAAAAGGAGACAGTGAGTCTACAAGCGATTAAGCCAACGTCTATCAGGTCGTGTCTAGAGTGGACGGTAGCTTGAGTCTGCATCTTATTCTATAGAGGTATGGTATACACATAAGCCACAGAGCCCTTTAAGCTTAGCTCAGACATCTACACACTTTTCCTCTACTTCAACAGTATACATAGTTTGTCTAACGTCGAGCTGATACCGGCAATCACAACTGAAGGAGACATATACACAAGGAGTCTCACAGAAGAGACAGAGCGTTCTCGGCAACGTTGAAACGTCCTGCTCTTTCATAATTTTGAAGTTATATCTATCCATCTCTTTCACCTTAATCAAAACTGCTTAGCAGATGGCACATGCTTAGTTTGGCAAGATTCATGTTGGACATCATTCTTTATTATTAGTAGTGCTACTATCATGAACATCTCATCTCATTGCTCACCGTCGATGCCCTCCTCCTGGTCCCTTTTCTGAGCCCTCTCTTTTCTTACCCCATCAGATTACTTACCTATAGATAAATCCCAAGTATTCATGCAATGGTAGCTGTCACTCTCTCGCAGATCTCCACGACCCACCCACCCATCCTAGAACCAGTCCCAGACCACCACGCCCTTACACATATTTATAGGTCCTCCAGCATCAGCCAAAACCTCGTCAGCGAAGAAAAATTAAAGGCGTAAACATAAATATAACTATATAACCGTGATGTCAATACAGGGTATGGTGCAGTGTCGTGCGATTTAATACAGTGCATTATCCTTTCCCATATATGCCATGTACATGCATTGAATGAACCTGGGTATCAAAACCAGCCAACCAACTTCTTTCCTAAACCAACTCTCGGAGAGAGATTAGGGTAAGGACGACACTCGTGGATCACGCAGTATAAGCCTTACGCCCCCACTGCCTGCCCGCCACCCTTTGTTGTATCCTAAGCTCCCGTCCTCAACATGCCTGTCGCCCATCCATCCATCCATCCATCCATCCATTCGTTTGACTCCTTCTTCAGAAGGCCAACCTCCTATGCTTCTTTCCTCTTCAAAGAACATCACATCCATCCAAGCCTGGATTAGGCTAGGTCCTCCTGGCTCGGTCGGTGACCATCAACACCCCAGAAAAGAGCAAAACCCCATTTTGCGCCGTATTAACCCCATATATGCTGTGCTGTGCTGTCTATATCCCCATGCTTCTAGTCCCATCCCGTCTCGCCTGGTATAGGTTTGCATGACGCTATGATGCATCTCGCCTCGATCGACATCTTTCGATTCAAATAAACGCCGCCATCGTGTTCTCTTCAACGCCGAAAAACGCAGTCCATCCATTGAATAGGCTCCGTCATGACTTGTTGCGCTCCAAAAGTTTCGCCGCCCGCTGAAGACGAGCATAGCTAACCTTCAATCCGATCTTGGCGCGGGGGTCATCGGAATCGCTCGAGTCGTCGTCCGATTCCGACTGCAATTGGTTAAGGCCGGCGCGAGCCCCATTCAACACGGCTGGCTGCCTCGGAGTCGTTGGCCATGAATTCGTCGTAATCTTCGGTTGATTATTGTGAGGGGCCTCCTTCGACATTATAGCACTGAAACCGGACAGACGCGACGGTTTGACCGGAGATGCCGTGGGCTTCTGCTGTCTGCTAGCGTAAGCGCCGCTCACGGGCGTCGATCTGGCGTTGGAATTTCTGTCGGAATGCTTCTGTGATGCCTGGCGGTCGCTGTCACTTCGACTGGGTATGACCCGGCGAAGAAGGCCACTGAGTCTTCGGGTGAACTCTGCTCGCGTGCTCCGTCCGACCTTCTCTTCTGGCTCGTCGACATTAAGCGGGCCGAAATCTCCTGTGGCGGGGGTCGGCGAAGCTGGGCGGTGACAATTGCGACACATGTTCACTGCGGTGTCAAGGCCGCCAGAGAAGGATCTGGTAACAGGCAGAATGGCTCGCACCCCGCTCGTGAGATCACCCCCTTTGCCCTTCCATCCGCGGCCCCTGACCGCGAAGGTTTCTGAGCAGCAACAATATGTCGTATTCCCAAGGTTAACGACAGACTCGCTCCATCCCCGGATCCAGTCGGCCTTTTTGACATTGCGCCCGGGTATAATTTGTTGACGTGTCGCCAACCAGTTCTGAGCCGTTACGGGCGGTGGAGACTCCAAGGGCGTCGCTGTTGACAGAGATTCCAGTGTTCCTTCTTCCTTCCGTGCAGCTTCCTGACTTGGACTTGGGGCACCAATCGAGACGGTTGAAAGTCCCGGATACTTGGCCGGACTATCACCTCCTAGCTTGGCCATCGGTACTGTTGCTGCTGATCTCGTTCTGCTTGTTTCGCCTAGTAGCTGTGGTTGTGACGATTGGTGTTCGCCCTCGGCCAAGGTAGCGTCTGGGCTTGCAGCCGCTTGTCCGTCATAGGCAAAGGAATATGGCGAGAGTGGTCTTTGGAGAATGAAATCTGAAAGGGCGAGGGGAGCAGCGGGGCTGGGCATCGAAAGCCTTCCCGGAGAGGACACGGCTCTGTGGGAGTGGTTCATGGTCGCTTTTCGTCGTTCGTCGATCTGCGATGGTCGGTCACCGATAGGGAGAAAGGCGGTTCAAGACCAGGGATGTGTGATCTGCCAACCGGGAAGAGGATGGGTTAGGGTTGGTCCGATATAGATCTCCCAAATAAACTTCAATGTCGTTCTTAGGACAATTGTATGGTGCTTGGTCGTATGATAGCTGAGTTCGCGGGTGAGCTCGACAGGATCGACGAATAAGTACGTGTCAGGTTCGGTATAGGCGGGCTTCAGAGATCGAGATGGCGCAACGAAGAGTAGATGTACAGGTGGATGTCACTGTCGGCAGGGAAAGTCGTCCAGGTCGATATGATGATGGAAGGTTATGCTGGTGATGAGAGCAAACGAACCCGACCAATCTCTCTGCCCCTCGATGTCGTTGATCTGCACTAATGTCGTGATATGCAGTGTGTAAACATGTGCAGCCGAGTGCTTGCGTTTGCGATGTCGTCGATGTCGAACGATGATGGTGAGGAAGTTGCGACTGCTTGTGACGCAAGCAACCTGAATCGCCAGTACAAAGCTCACAGATTGTATTGTCAATTAGACAACGGCTCAAGTGAACATTCGTTGTTGAAGTGCTGCGTGGATGGTCAAACAGGCCAAAAGCAAATAGTGAGTGAAGAAGCAGTTGTTTTCCTCCTTCGGCTTGATCCAGATGCTCGGATTCCAGGTTGGCCGGACGAAAGACAGAGAGGCAGACGGCTTTACTTCCTGGTAGCTGCCATCTTGCGCGCAATAAAAGGATTCGAGGTCTTCAAAGTTTAAACGTGGGCGTATCCCCGACTTTTGGGACTTCGGAGTCGGCAAAAGGAAGGGATGAAGAACGGGGCTCTAGGGCGTTGAAGACTTGAAGGAGAGCGAAAGCGGACAGGGCGACCTAGGCGATCAGCTGAAAGTTGCCATCATCATGGTAAATCGCTAGAGGGAGTCGCCAGTCAGTCTTCAAGTTGGGATTGGTTTTGCGGAGCTAGAGGAGCCCAGAGGAGCCCGCTTTCCCGTCCTTGGTCGTCCTTGGTCAACCGTGGCCCGTGACGGCGGTGTGGAATGCCCCCCTTTGATGAGAGATGGGGTCTGTTGGGTCACGATCTGATGGATGGAGAGCAGCTGAGAGGGTGCCTGAGCCTGGCTAGCAACCTGGAGCCCGCCTGCTGGGGGGGAAACTGATATGACTGGGACTGGGAAGATGCAAAGATGGGGTTGAGATTGCACACGGCCCTGCAACCGCTGGCGCTGCGTTATGCTGCGGTGCACTGCACTGCACCTCCAGAAATCGGAATGATGGGTGAAGTCGACTCGATGTTCCCGTCGTTCGACACAAGTAAGTATAGAATGGCGGGATGCGGGTGTGAGTGGAAAGCGGAACCGCGTCTCGGTGCGACCCGGTTGGAGTTGCAAAAGATCGAGCCTCGTTGAGTTGAAAAGTGCCAGAAGGCGGGAGGCCGTATACAAAGTTGGAATGACTTGTACCTGATAACCTGACTCGGATGAGCCCTCCCAGACCCCCTGTTCTGGACCTGAAAATGTCCGGGGTTTGAATGAGGAGTTTAATCTACCGTCCAAGAGGTTGGATCGTTAGTTCTTAGTCTCGGTTTGGCATTTCTTGACAGGCTCTGCCACTCCGGCTCTCAGACGCTTTTTCGGGCTTGGGTGGATGCCAAGGTTGGACTGTCGCTTCATTCGTATCCTTCTTCCACAGCGGCCGTCTTTTCCCTCTTTTTTTCCACTTGGGGGCTTGGGATCATCCGGGAAAGGGGGAAAGGCACCAAGAGGGTCATCTCTCCATGTCCTCGTGTGAGACACGGTGTGTGTGGTCGACACCAAAGAGTCCAAGACACTAACAAAAAAGCAGTCGCTCCGGTGGTCACTCACTCTGGCCGGTCACTCGTCGACTCCGCCCATCGAATTGCAAAAGCCCTGGAAGAGCGATGCAAGACACAGGAACACGGCATGTGCTATGACGTACATGTGTACCCTTCGCCCAACGTTCACTCGTGCCTCCTTGCAGTGTTGGCACAGATACAGTGTCCACCCGGACATCAATACACTGTCGATCTAGCGACTCAGTCTGCCTGGATCACACAGTGTTTTCGTCGTGAGTACCGCGGCATATTGTTGCCGATACTGTGTGGCTCTGTCTTGGCACCCCTTTGTTTGAAGCAGAGCAAATCTTCGACCCCAGTCAATCATCACCCATCACGCCCACTAACACGGAGTCACCCGCATAGGTATCCTCCGTAGCATTTTATACTGCAGTGTACATCCACTCCATCGGCTCCATCGATTCTCCAGATGCCCTCGCCAGCTCATGTATCGACAACTGATATCAGCATCATCGTACGTGCATTGAGGACGCCAGCGGAAGAGAGGATATGTCCATCTACGCTCTTGAGAGGAACTCGGATTACATGCCCTGATCGACCCGATCCCGCTGCACAAGTTCCCTTACCGTGCTGTCATGTCCCTCTAGGCGCATTCAGGAGGCTGTCATGATACCATTTCAGCATTCGTTTCATGTCCGAATTTTCCCGCCTCATTCGAAGAGACAGAACCCAGTATTAAAAGTGTTTGGTGTATATAATGTATGCGCGCCTCATGCATCTTTGTCTATAGCCAAAAGCTGACCGGAACCCCTAACATCATCCTGAACCAAAAACCTACCACCTCGGTTCACGTGCAGTCCTTCCTTCATGAAGGCTTCAGTGCCTGCCATACTCCCATCTGCATGCCACTACTATCATCATCATCGAGAAGATTCACAGTCTGTGATCTCCTAGGCGGAGGCGGCTGCGGAGCCTCAGGCTTCGTCGCCTTCTGAATAAGCGCTGGCCCTGGCGCAAGCGCAGATACAGGCACAGGCTTCCGTCCTGGAATCTGTGTCTTTTGCTGAAGATCGGCCAACCCAACAAGACCTACACCTCCAGGTGGCGTGTACCGTGCCTGAGGCGCAAATCCCGTGCTTGTATTGACGCGCCGAGGCGGCTGTAGAGGCACGCTGCTATCTCCAGTTCTATCATTGAGTGAAGAGAGAGATGTGAAGCTCGATGAGCTTCCGTTGGCCTTGGCTAAATATCCTCGCAGTCCTGAAAGAGACGGGTTCGGAGAACGCTCTGGCTGGAGAGGCTTCCAGTTACTGGGTGTCACTGTGTCCTCCATAGGCGCAGGTACCGAAGTGCTGGACCCCGGTGATGATGGTGCTGCTAAGTGGGCAGGTTTCTTTGCTACCGGTGGCGCAGCTTTCTGCTTAATGGTGTGTTGAGACGATACAGACATCGAGCGAACCGGGAGTGGCGGTGTGGCTGTTACTGGCGTTGGCCCTGCTGCTGCTGTCGCTGCCGTGTTCACAAGCTTCCTAGTCACTGGTGAAGTGGTCATGGCAGGTCCCGATGTAGACCCTAGAGCACCCATACCGGTCTGCCTTCGTGGAGGAGGGGGCGGTGGAGGAGTATCGGACTTGCTGTTCTTCCCATCTTCGGTGAGTTGCAACCGTCCAACCTTCGCGGGAAGGTTCGACGGATCAAATGGAGGAGGGAGGGGTCTTCTGGGTGCCGAATTTGACGCCGAAGTAGAGAGCAGCATCGAATGATTGACATGTTCAAACGGCGATGACGAGAGGCTCGAGAAGGAGGAAAGTCTTGACTCAGACCTTGGGATGTTAACCCAGTCAGGTTCGTCAGTGGGCATGTAAGGGTTAGCTGGCCTTTTGGGATTGAGAATGGTTTGGAAGGCAGGACTTTCGGGTTTTGGTGGTTGGATGGATGATCGAGGCATCTTGCCATTGTCCAGCCACCATTTCTGTCGATCGGAGCTGGCTGGGGGAAGGCCAGGCTCGATGGCATCGTATCCGATTAAATCCTCGTCGTCGGACTCATCTCCAGCTAGGTTGGCCGTGTCGCCGCCAATATCCGCTTTCCTGCGTTCGTATATCTCACGACTGATCTTGTTGCGAATTCTCTCGTTCACAATGTTGACGGTGCATTCGAAGACGGCATATACTGGCCGGTGGTCTGAGAATCGCAATGGTGCCGAGTTGTAACACAACTGGCGGAGGTTGTGTCCTTTTCTCAGAATGCGGTCCGTCCACGCCGGTATACGTGCTTTCTCCCTGTGCAGAGCGTTAGAATCCATGGTCATTGCGAACCTCGAGCAGTCGGACTTACGATGTATCAAAGGTGTCGGTACCAATATCATATTTATACGTAGGGTTAAACGTGATACGTGCCTCAGAATAGTAATGGAACGCAAGGCCGGCCACCATTTGTAGGTTCAACTGCAAGCGGTCAACATAATAACCCAACATGAAACGAATGGGAGACATACCTGGTCGTTCGCATATAGTTCCTCAAGGGCTCCTTTCCTGACCAGGTCCTTGGCGGTCTCGAGGTTCAGTCCAATGCGGTAGTTGAAGTCCCCAAACCATATAACAGATTCTACAGGTGTTAGTCATGCCCGACAGTTTGTATGGTGTGGCTAGCTTACCATGGTCGTCAATCCCCCTATTTCTTTGGAATCGGAGACCGTGATTAATCGTGGCATAATCTCTATTGCGCTCCTCGTAGTTGGTAAAACCGGCAGCAAGATGCGCTGTCACGAAGCATATAGGCGTGTTTGCGTAATCGAGCCTGATCGCAACAGCTCCTTTATTTCCAGCCATTCCCGAAAGCCCTGTCTTTTTGACACTGCCTTCAACATTTTTTATGTTATGGAGAGCAGAGGCCTTAACGAAGATGCACAATGCGGCACCCACGAGCTGGCCACTTCTCAACAACACGTATTTCTCATCATCAGGCCTGTTGTAGTGTCGATCCAGAGTAGCCTTTATCGCACGTTCCCACAATTGCTTTCTGGTTGGATCACTGTTCATAATCTGCTGTGGGTTAAGTTCGACGATTTCTTGGAAGCCGACCGCAACTATTTCGGGTTGAGCTTCGCCTAGTTCGGAGGGACAAAGCCAAGACGACAAGTCTTCGTCGATACCGTCGGTCTTGCCGTTCAGGTTGAAAGTTCCGATTAAACTGTCTACATCAGCACCATGCATCACCGAACCGACACGGGTCAAACTTACATCCGAATCTTTTCGTTTGTAGAGAACTCGTTGCTTCGCCGTTGTAGTTCCATAGACACGTAATCGCTGATCGGGTCGTATAGATGAACTGGCCCCTGACCAATCATCCTGCCAAGAAGGGTATCAATGGTCATCTGCCGCTGTTTGTCCGTGAAGTTATTCACATATAGTCGGGTAGCCGACTTGCGGACGTCGGCGATAGCTCCGGCGAGAGACATTTTGCCTGACCGAGTGAAGGAACTCTTCAAAGCACCGGTGCCGGCATATATACGGGACAGAGCATCGCCGTTATCAGCCCAAAGATTGGCATGTCGTGACCAAAAGTCTGACGCAGCACCCTCGCCTTGATGGCCCAAGAAAGTCTCTACCGCCATTTGTGATACTATCGTCTGAATGAGGTTCGTTCTGTCGAGACAATCCAGACAGTTTGTTCTGAAAACACCCTCTTGTTGTAGCACGACCACATAGCGGCGTTGGCTAGGCGAAGTTGTACGTTCATCAGGGCCCGCCCTCTCTTCGTCGTCATCCGCTTCGTGGGCCAGGTAATATGCGAAGCCGTCGGCAGAGCCCTCCAGGTAACGCCTGATCTCATTTGCTGCTTCATAACCTTGGGGTCCCTTCGTCTCAGCATGGAAGTCGTACTCGGTAGCTCTAAGGAGAGCATGATCGCGTGATTGTCCCTCCTCTGGCCGGCTAAGGGGGCAGTTCCGAATACCGGTACGGTACAGCGACGTCAGCTCGTACTCTCCTGGCTTCGACACGCTGAGTAGGTTTATTACATGGACAGCACCATATGCCTGCTCCAGATCAGAAAAGTGTTTGTTGAATGCCGGCTGCGTTCCGTCCGGTGATCGTGTGATGGTAATCTTCTGCTGGTTTGGCAGCAGCCCGGCTTGCTGTTCCCAAAAGACAGGAACCGAGCCGCGTACTTGAGCATATGAGAACACAACGCCTGAAGGGCTCCAGTACGTCGTCTCAGTTTCCACAAAATTCGCAACATTTCCATCGTCATCAATGCCCCGTGAATTGAATCTGGTGCCTGCCCTTCTACAGGACAGACGCGAGATGATGGTCAAGTATGAAGGGAGGCCTGTCTTGGCAGCCCTCAAAGGGGCCGAGGTCTGAGGGATGGCCCATGTCCTACAAAAGCCTCGAATCGCGGAGGTTAGGATCCGCGAGGCATCCAACGCATCTCGTTCCTGTTCCTGCAGCTTGGAGCGGAATTCCACAAGCGGGCGGATTATGTATGAGTTCCAGAGAAACGACTCGTCGAAATTGTCGATATCGAACGTTACGGCATCAGCTGGTCTGTCCTGCATGCGGTTGGTAATGTCGAAGTCTGTACTGTAGTAGAATGTCCCGTTACTGAGAAGCTTCTGCAACTCGACACATGGATGCTCCATTGGGTCCCTCCGGCCCAGTGATGGGCCGTATACTGACGCAGCCTCCATTTCGTCGTGAACATCAAGCATGAAAACATCATCGTAAGCTGCTGAGTTCAGACAGAAGAACTGCACACTCTCTATCTTTTCCACTGTCTCTCCTGGACGAAGAGTAGCGACCCTTGAGGCTTGGGTGATGACACAGATGAACACGTCCGGCCCAATCGAGATCATTCCCAGTGTTCCATAGATTGGCCGTGATGTCAAAGGACGGTAGTCGAGTAATAGCTTGTCTGTCCGCGGTGTGAATTCCACCATACACTTGGAAGGGATGTTGTCGAAACTGCCGGATCGTGGACGAGCGGAGGTAACGGAAGCGAGGGAGCCATTGGCAATGGCTTCGCTGGTGCTCTGACTATGTCGAAGGATGAGAGCGTGGGATTCCGAGGCGATTGCGATCGCACGGTGAGGGTATTCGCGGATAAGGATTTGGCTCGACTTGTCGAGAGACGGCGATTGGCCCGCCCAAAGAGCAGACGATGTAGAGCTGTTGTAGTCCATGTTCGATAGCAGTTATTTCGGATGCAGATTAATTACGGCGGAGGTTTAACGTAGGCTAGAGCTCCCATGTCGAGATCCTCCAGATAATGGGTTTCGTGGGCTCGTGGACGCTTCCGCGGTGGAGGCTACCTGGCAGCAAAGTTCCGAGTAGGTATGCTTTCCGGGGCTGCTCTCAATGAGTACGTCGACGACTGGTCAGGCTCGAGCGAGTAAGCAGCAAGCAAAACGGTAGGCCCAAGCGACCTCTTGCTATGTTGAGAGCGAGTAATAGAGCAGCATGGGATACTGGCAAGGCGTGCGGTCGTTGAGGACGGGAAGCTTGAGCAGCTTTGGCGATGGGTTGTCGCAGGACGGTAGCTCTCGTGGGTAGGATGTAGTGTAGGCGAGAGACTATCGACTCGGGACCCGTCAGTGTTACTCGATGTCGAGGCGGACAAACAGGGGCGAGATTGAATTGGGTATAGAATGTAGATCTCGACGTAAGTATGTACGGTAACAAGAGACAAGAGTGTCCTTCAAGAACGGATGTGGAAAGGTACCGCCGTCCAGATGGGACTTCCTGGATGAACTGCACGATGGAGGGGAGCCGGATGACGGCGGCAAGGTGTCGGTCTGGGGCACCCCTTGCCCCTTGAGCATCAGTTTTCAGCTGCCTCCACTTTCCGCTACTGCCCTGGCTCCAAGCCTGGGCCGCAACAAAGCTTCCCACTACCTACGCTACGCCCTGGCCCGTCAGGCTGTCAGCCCTGTCACAAGAGCCGCAGTTACCTTACCTTGACGCGGGGCCCAAGCTAAGAGGCACGGGAGGTTGCGGTGCCTTCGTTGAAATGCAATCGGACAATCAGACGCATATGTACACCGCAGGCGCAACAAGCCCAATGTTACGAGGAGCGGAGAACTCAGACCGACTGAGGGGAGCATGGGAAGACAACCTCGACGGGAATTCCACGATTGCGAACCTGAAGGCCGAGGGCAAATACAATGCGATTCATTGACATCAGGCAGACCCGGATACCATCAACGTGTTTAACTCTTGTCAAAGAGTATGCTTGCTGACATCTTTGCTGTAGCATGTTTCGCTTTGCAGCAGGTGACGACTTTTATGTGATTTCTGAAGATAGTTTGAGATTCTCTGAAGGTCTCGAACGCAAAATGCGGCTGCAAACCACTCTGAAACACACAGACAGAAGGTGATGTGATTGCCAGCTAGCAAAATGCTGGAGTTGAAAAAGCAAGAGGAGTACGAAAGATAATAAAAGATAGCAGCATATATGCCACAACAAAGCTTGCGAAGTTGATGGCTTCAGATTAACGTATGGTGAGATCATGCTCTCCTCTTTGGGAGAATTCATCCTCTTCCTATCATAATTTTATGTTTTGTCATCATCACTAGCCATGTGGAAAAAAAGGAAAAGAAGAAATTCAGAAGTTTGCAAAACTTTGTCCGTTTTATTCTTGGGCGGTCTCACTGCAGGATCTTATCTTATCGCTCCCAATTCCCCATCCGTTCCGCATCATGTGATTGGCTAAATAGAGGCTACGGTGGAGGCTCGCTGCGTTTCGAGTGGGTACGTACCGACAGGGTTGCGGGCGGTGTGGACGGGCAGCTTTACCGGCCTGCCAGCCTCCACTGCCAGCGAGCCCAGCTCGCCCAGCCCAGCTCGCCCAGCCCAGCTTGCCGTCAGTTGCATGCCGCCGCTGGAGGTTTGCCAGTTTGACGTGCCTTCCTTCTCTGGAGCTCCATTCACTTTCGAATTCCCATTTCCCGTAGTCCTCCATGGGTCCGACCCGCGCGCCGCTGCCTTCCACGTCCACTTCCTTGTCTCTCGTCTCCACGCTTTTTTGCTCACTGTCGGTCAACTTCATTCTCGCAACGAATTTTTGGATGCGCAGGACTGTATCTATCACAAAACCCGACCATTCATCATCTCCATCATCGCAAAATCATACGTTATTGCGATTGCACTATCTGCCACGCGACCGGTCTCTAGGATAATCGTGAATCCTCAACCAACAATAACCTTTGCATCTGGGAACACACGAAACAGCCTCGCCCGTCAGCCGCGCGTTATCGACCACAATGGGCGACTTCAGTAACTATGGCGGCTCCGATGAGGAGAACGCCGAAATCAAAAGGCTTAATGCCGAGGTGGTAAGTCAATGCAGATATCCACTGCTGTGTGCATCATGTCCAGTCGCTAACCAGAGCTCATCGCCATCGCATCCAGGATGCCGATACCGACAACTTCGAGAACTGGGAGAAACTGGTACGCGCCTGCGAAGGACTCGAAGGCGGTCTCAACAGAAACTCGAGCCCGCAGGCTCTGGCTACCCTCCGCGCCACATACGATCGATTCCTCCTCAAGTTCCCCTTGCTGTTCGGTTACTGGAAGAAGTATGCTGATCTCGAATTCAACATCTCGGGTCCCGAGTCGGCCGAAATGGTACGGACATAAGCCGCCTCTCTTTTCGCTGATGGGTCTGGTTCTAATGGGCATGTCTAGGTGTACGAGCGAGGATGCGCCAGCATCACCAATTCGGTCGATCTGTGGACAGAGTATTGCTCCTTTAAGATGGAAACTACTCATACACCCCATCTCGTGAGAGAGTAAGTTCCTAAATCCATTCCGTCCCCACCCCCCCTCAAGACCACCTTACCCGCAGCAAACTGCAAAGCCGTGCGCGGCTCTTTGTCGACTCGAGAGGGACAAGTACGAATTCGCGACCGTACGAACACGGTGAGAGCAACCACAAGGCAGCCATCCTATGCTGGAACAGTTCTCTCACAATTCATACCAGGCTCTGCTCTTCATAGCAGATATTCTTCGTTCACGTCTTACCTCTTTGCCCGTTCCCCGCTCGCGTATGCCACTGAGAAACAGTTTGGTCACTTTGGATGGATGCTTCGTTTACACCGAGTTTCCCCTCTTGTACTTTACTTCCCTTCCCGCCCCTCACTCCCATCCTCAGTCATGCAGCACTTATTGACACTTCCTTAGGCTTTTCGAGCGCGGCGCTACCCATGTCGGCCTAGACTTCCTCGCCCACCCCTTCTGGGACAAGTACCTCGAGTACGAAGAGAGACAGGAGGCGCAAGACAAGATCGTTGCGATCCTGAACCGGGTCATTCGGATTCCGATGCACCAGTATGCGCGCTACTTCGAACGGCTCAGGACCCTCGCTCAGACACGTCCACTTCTGGAGTTAGTTTCTGCCGATGCGTTGGCCCGCTACCGGGCGGAAGTCGAAGCCGAGAGCGCCCCATACGGCATTCAGAAGAGCGAACCCGAGATTGAGCGTGACATCCGGGCCAAGATCGATGCGCAGTTGTACACCGTTTTCCAGCAGACACAGGCCGAGACTACGAAGCGCTGGACCTTCGAGTCGGAGATCAAACGGCCTTATTTCCACGTTACAGAGCTTGAGCATGCGCAGCTGGCCAACTGGCGCAAGTATCTCGATTTCGAGGAATCTGAGGGCAACTTCAGCAGGATCGTTTTCTTGTACGAAAGATGTTTGGTCACCTGTGCTCTTTACGACGAGTTTTGGTTCCGCTACGCTCGATGGATGTCGGCACAAGAAGGCAAGGAGGAGGAAGTCCGCAACATCTACCTCCGCGCAACGACTCTGTATGTCCCGGTCAGTAGGCCTGGAATTCGGCTTCAGTATGCCTACTTCGAGGAGATGTCCGAACGTGTCGATGTCGCCCGCGACATCCACGCGGCCATCCTCAACAAGCTGCCCGATTGCGTTGAGGCTATTGTCTCGTGGGCTAACCTTCAGCGCCGTCAGAGTGGTCTGGACGCTGCCATTGAGGTGTACAAGGCGCAGATTGACTCTCCGACAGTGGATATCTTTACCAAGGCCGTTTTAGTCACCGAGTGGGCTTATCTTTTGTGGAAGGTCAAGGGATCGAGCGAGGAAGCCCGCACTTGTTTCTCCAAGAACGTCCAGTGGTATTCGGACAGCCGCCACTTCTGGCAAAAGTGGCTGGAGTTTGAACTGGGCCAGCCCACCAATGCTGAGCTTGAGGAACAGCATGGTGAGAGGATCAAGGACATCATCCAAACCATCCGCAGCAAGAGTCGCCTGTCCCCAGCTGTCAAGCAAGAGTTGTGCCAGGTATACCTGAACTATTTGCAGGACCGTGGCGGTAAGAAGGCCATGAAAGAATTTCTGGCCCTCGACCGGGAACTGTATGGGTACGTCTTAGTTTTCCTCCCAAGAATGAGCTCGACACCAGTGGACTGTTATGCTAACTGATTTTTAGGCCCCAATCGATCTCGGTCATTACTAAAGCCAAGCTCGGTGGTAAGGAGAACGGTGTTGCGATGGGCGAACTCGACGAACCCACTCGCCAGAAGGCCGAGACCAGATTCTACAGTTTTTACCAGCTCCATATGGACCCCGATCCGAACGCTCAAGGACCGGCTAGCTTTAATTAAGCACACGGCGCCACTCTTCGGTTCTAGGGCTAGTCCTGCCGCCCAGGGCATTTCCCGCTGATCTTCGGATATCGACAAACTGAACGAAAAGAGTAATCGGCATCCCTCCCCTCCTCCCCCCTGTATGCGTCATGTAGCCTTTGACTTTTTAGACTTGCCCAGAGACCAGTGCGAAGCAGAAGAGGCCGATCAAGGCTTCAGCAACGTTGACTAGTTTCCGAACTTTCAACCTATCCCCACGTTCCAGTGATGGCAAGCTGGCATCGTGTATTGACACGTTCCAGTCTGGCAATCTGGTATCGTGAAAGAAATTATTTCGTGGGATCTCGAGCAATTTACGGCTGGTAACAAACCTTGAACAAACAATGAGAGAATGAGGACCGCAAAACGGAGGAGGTCCTTTGTGTTTCTGTGACAATAGCGAACAAAATTGACCTTGCGTTAGATAGAGGACCTTAGTAATTCTGATCATCGTTGAACATGACAATCGGTGTCCATTTCGTGCACAGGAAAAGGCCATGTCTGCTCGGCCGTATGTCAAACAGACATGATACCTAGCGGCAAACGTCTGATGATCCATGTTTTGAAGGTACTGTACACTAGCAAGAGGCAGTTCGCGATTACAAGGCTACCTCGAACAACTTCAAGTGCTACAATTATTGCACAACGGACAAGGCTGTCCGAGGCTGTGGACAGGAGGCCAAGAAGGTTCCGCGATCGGCAGGGGAGCCCAAGGAACTCGCCGCCACCCGCCGCTCTGTGCCCGTGAACTTTTTGTTCACGGTTCGAGCCTCCAGTGACACTGCAATCCCATGGGCAAACGGGTACCGACGCAACAACAGCAGAAGAAAAAAAAGAGAAAACTGTAAGTACATATCAAAAAGGAATCGACGTTATACAAGATGTCTGTCTCTAAAAGTAAAAGAAGGCTCGTTATAAAGACCGACCATCTCGTACAAGTCAGCGCTTGACGTTAAATTTAGACAGCGTCGGATATGATTACATAAGGACCTGCCTTCTTTGCATAAGGGAGGGGTGACTTGTGATGATCGGCCCATCCACCGTGCGTTCGGCATGCCACAAGCTCAGACATGAGGACCCCGCATGCTTACTGTGCGCCTGTTAAACTTTTTGGGTTGGGAATCTTCGGACGATCTGGAGAATTGGAGATTTGACAACACAAATTGGTTTGCCACGTGTACCCGTGCGAGCCGTGTCAGAGAATGGACTCAGGAATCGCTGTCAAGACATCGAGCTACTGGTATTAGCTTGCTTTTCTAGTAGAAGCACTAATTGCGCACCCGATACCCCATTTTACAGCGGACAAAAGACTGGGAGGTTGTGGAGGAGCCAATGATGAGGCAACGTCGCGGTTGGATTTCGACATGTGCCCGTTGCAAACTGTCTGCCCTTTCTGGCTATGGTACCGACGGTATCTGGACCACAGTCTCCTGTTGATAACTCATTGCTGTCAGAGTCATCGCAACTACCGTCGTTCGTCTGAAGGCAAAAGTTCTGTCACAGGGTTGCCCATCTGTGTTACCCAGAATCATACGTAAGCTGTGATCTAGAAACCCTTCTCCGGACTCCGATATAGCTCCGCAGTATCTCTTGGCTTTTGAGCACGTTCTTTTGAGGCCATTGACAGTTGATTGGCATTGACACTGCCTTAGTCAGCGGTTGCCGCCTCTTGTCGTCTCGAGTGTGCTCAGACCTGGTGACTAATGCCGGGATATAGCCGGCTTCGTGAGTCTGCGGCGGGTTTCACTCTCGGGGTCCAATGGGGAACCACGGGAATCTCGATGGTGCTCTGACGGGTCTCAAACCGCCCCTAGAATTCTAGGAAGGGCTTAGAAATGGCCCACAGCCGCGCCTTGACGGGATGGACCGGCCTGAACGGGGTCCCTGAAAGAGACGTGGGCGGAGCTGGCCACTCAACGTGCACGCGATTGTTTTATTTTCGATATGATTCCAGAGTCGTTTTGTTTCGCTGGAATCCGTGTGGCATGTCGAGACCACAACCCCACCGGGGTGGCCCCGGGCCTCGTCTTTCCGGGGCACCGGGCAACAGCCGAGCTACGAAAGGATAAGTACAATTGCACCATCCCACCTGCCTGATCCTCCGATTTGATAGCTGTAGACTAGTGCTCTGTGAATTCGTCGTCCTCGCTTCCTTCCTTTCCCTCTTTTTCTTCCCCTCATTATTATCAGTCGCTGCTGCTCTGCTCTCATCCTTCTGCCTCTTTCCTCCTCTTCATCGTCCTCGCTGCTTTTGAAGAACCATCAAGGTACGCATCAAGTAATTTCTTATCCTCCACGAGTCGTTTGTCTCTTGGCTCCCGTTCTCAACCGTCTGCTCGTCTCTTCTCGTTCGGACTCTGTTGAGCTTCGGCGATGCCAGTGATGCGCGATCTCTTCCCCGCCTTCAACACCATCATGGGACTCACCATGATAACATTGAGAGCAATGATGATGCTAACTGGATCTCCCTCCGCATAGATGGCCGCCTCCCGCACTGCCACCCGCACTCTCCGCGCTCTGCGCACCTCGACTCGCCCTGCGCTCACTGCCGCGCCCCGCGCTGCTTTCCAGCAGGGTGGTCGCCGTCTCTACTCTTCTGAGCCCGCCAAGTCCGGTGGCTCCAACATCTGGGCTTGGGCTATCGGTGCCGGTGCTCTCGGTGCCGGCGGTCTGTGGTATCTCAACCAGGACGGCGCTTCCGCCACCCCCAAGGTTTTCACTCCCAAGTTCGAAGACTACCAGGCCGTCTACAACGAGATTGCCTCCCGCCTCGAGGAGAAGGAGGACTACGACGATGGCAGCTACGGCCCCGTCCTCGTCCGTCTCGCTTGGCACGCCAGCGGTACCTACGACAAGGAGACTAAGACTGGTGGCTCCAACGGTGCCACCATGCGCTTCGCTCCCGAGTCTGACCACGGTGCCAACGCCGGTCTGAAGGCTGCTCGTGACTTCCTCGAGCCCGTCAAGGGTAAGCTGCTACCATCCTTTCTTTGATCGTGGGATTTCAACTTACTGACATCCTGAACAGCCAAGTTCCCTTGGATCACCTACTCCGATCTCTGGATCCTTGGCGGTGTCTGCTCCATCCAGGAGATGCTTGGCCCCAACATCCCCTACCGCCCTGGTCGCCAGGACCGTGATGCCGCTGCCTGCACTCCCGATGGCCGTCTTCCTGATGCCTCCCAGGCCCAGGACCATCTCCGCAACATCTTCTACCGCATGGGCTTCAACGATCAGGAGATCGTTGCTCTTTCCGGTGCTCACGCTCTCGGCCGCTGCCACGCAGACCGCTCCGGTTTTGACGGCCCCTGGACCTTCTCCCCCACCGTCTTGACCAACGACTACTACAAGCTCCTCCTCGACGAGAAGTGGCAGTGGAAGAAGTGGAACGGCCCTAAGCAGTATGAGGATAAGAAGACCAAGTCCCTCATGATGCTCCCCGCCGATATGGCCATCATCCAGGACAAGAAGTTCAAGCAGTGGGTTGAGAAGTACGCCGCCGACAACGACCTCTTCTTCAAGGACTTCCAAAGCGTCATTGTTAAGCTCTTCGAGCTTGGTGTTCCCTTCGCCGAGAACTCCGAGCGCTGGGTCTTCAAGCCCCTCAACGCCTAAGTTAGTGCTCCCAGCACCTAGCCACAAGCATGACGGACTAGAGGAAGACGCCCAATCGAGTCATACCATGACTTGGTTCTGGGGCTCTTGGAAACAAATTCTTGGGTCAGCGATTCAACCACCATCGTGCCATGATTCGGATGGGAAAACAGTTGTGATGAGCCTGCAGCGGAAAGAGGATTCTGGAAAAAGGTATTGAGGGTTTAGATGAGGAAGGGCATAGACTTTCGAGCTACCTCCTCGTGTATATCATATCTTGGCATACCCACCTCCTTTCTCTCAGGGGTTATGGAAGTGGTTTACAGGCGCGTTTTGTGTTTTAGATGTTAGCGAGGACTAGATTTTGTGTCTTAATGTCGATACCTTTTTCTTTTGTGGTCTCATCTCGTTTGTCCGACATTCGTGAGTGAACTGTTCAATGAGGTGAAGAGTAGAATCATGTCGAGGTGCGCCGCGAACAGTGACCTAATTGTACTTAAGTCGTCGTTGGGTTCAGAGGTCAACGTGTCCTTCGATGCGGCATGAGGGGAGAGGGGGGAGGAGGGGCTGAAAGTCAAGAACGACCCGATAGGTTGGATCCTTCCGGACGGATAGATCATACCCAGCCGCCATCGCTCCGTCGATGGTTCATCGGTAGTTCATCGGTGAACCCATCCCGTTGTGGTCCCAGACTCCCAGGAAGGGCGGGGAAGGCAATCGTGGGCCATGACGAGTGGGTGACCTCCAGCTGGGAGACAACCCGACAGGTCGAACACGAGGTCCGTCCAAGTCCCAGCAACCATACTAGCTTCCCCCGCATTCTCCATCTTCCACTTGGACCCTGGGCGATCCTGACTCGCAGCCCACAGCCTCGCAGCCCTACCGGATCTCCATTATGCATGCCTTGATTTACGCGCGGGGAGAACTTTTCTTTTGTGGGGTCTGGCGGTCCAGGTCATGGTGGTGAAGCACAGAATCTGCACCGCTTCACAATACAGCGCCTCGGGATTTCTGGTGCCACGAGGTGCGTCAACTCAGCTGTTCCTAATGAATATGCGCTGCACAATGATAACCCCAGGAGGAACTGCATACGGCCTACATATGTACACTACAAGTGAGGGAATGAGGGGCTAGGTAGCTATCTGGATTTTCAACTTGAGGGAGCTATCGTATCCATCGAGATTCTTTCCAGGTAGCCATCATCTAGAATAGGTCAACATTTCCGCATCAGTAGAATACCCGAGTATGGCGTCGTGATCGAATTGACCCCGAGTGATGGCCTCATGTGGTGGGTGATTCTGCGAGCTTCACTGAAAGGTGCAGGTAAACCCCAGGGTTAGGGTCACATATCCTTGGCTTTAACTTGACGTCAACTTTTTCATACTCATCGTCCTCAGTGAACTCTTCTTTTTGCAACTTTCGGACCAAGGCTTGCCATTTGCTGCATATCTACCACCGCCATGGCCTCCCTTCGCACTGCGGGCATGCTTCGGCATCTCACACATCCATGCTCTCACGTCCGTACGCTGCGCGGCTCCATTCAAAGACGATGGGCTCAAGTTCACGACGTGCGCTTCCTCGCCACGACACAGCAACCGCGCAGTGTCATCGAGAAGTACCGCCAAAAGTTGGAGAGCAAGGCCAAGGAGGAGGGCCTTCCTGATATCGACGCCCTCAAGCAGGCATACCAAGACAAGATTGAGCGCCTGCGCAAGGAAACCGACGCTGCGACTAAACTACCGGGTGCTCCCGCTCCGGCTACGCCCACTGCTGCTGCTTCTGATGCCGCCGATTCTAACGCTACCACAACAACTACAACGGAAGCCGCCACACCTTCTCCCAAAGCCGCGCCGGAAACGCCAGCAAAATCCGGCTCAGGCTCCGGCTCCGGCATCAAACCGCTCTCCGAGATCCTCGACATGACAAAGGCCCGCGACCTGCCCATCAAGGAACTCTCCGCCATCTGGCGTCTGCGCTACGCCACCAACCCGCACTCTTTGTGCGCCGTGATCTCGTCAGAGACGTTCTCAGCCATGGACACGCTCGCGCGCTCGCGCCCCCAGTTCGTGCTTCCCGTGCCGCACCCGGAACAGGGCGCGGAGATCCATTTCCTGCAGTGGACCTGGGACGCGGCGACGGCGACGTCGACGGTACTGTTCACGCAGCTGGCCGAGTACAAGAACCGCGGCGAGTTCGCGCAGCCGCACACGACGGTCACGCACTACATGGACTTTAGCGCCGACAAGGGCGTCGTGCTGATGCAGGGCCAGGTTATGGAGGATAGAGGTGTGAAGCCGGAGAACGCGCAGTGGTTGCTCATGTGTCTCCAGAGGTTCTATGGTGGTTGGGATGGGACTGGTGGCGAGCAGGGCCAGCAGAGGGCGAATGAGCGCAGGAATCTGTTGGACTGGTTTGCGACGGGTGACCGGAGGTTCAGTGTGGAGAAGCTGATGGAGGAGGCGGAGAGGATGGGTTAGATGATGTTTGATGGTATGGTGCGGTGAAATGGGCAACAGGCCGGTCGTAGTAAGTGTAATGAGGCACCGTGTATGATATTCTTGGTGAGCGCATCCAGGAGAGTACTGCTCCTGGTATGTATAGAGCGCTTTAGATACCCGCCTTTTGTTGAGGTGGACAGTACAATATATAAAGACCTAGCTACTGACATATCTTTCACGTAGGCATCGAAATCACATCAACCCGGAGCCAGAGAAAGGCGGGTGGTATAAAACGTACAGTATCCAAAAATCGATCTTCGCAACACGAATATCTCAACTACACCCTTTTTTAAAGCTTTGATCCCGCAACACGCTCCTCCTGCTTCACCTTGTCCCTCAGCATTCTCCGGAGAATCTTTCCACTGGGCGACTTGGGCACCTCGGCAACAAATCGAACACCTCCGCGCAACTTCTTGTGAGGAGCAACTTGCTTAGCAACGTAGTCAATGATCTCCTGCGCCTTGCTGTCGCTGGCTTGCACGTCTGGCCGAAGGACGACGTACGCCCGAGGCACTTCGGTAGCTTGGCTATGGTCCTCGACACCAATAACGCACACATCCGTTACATCGCTATGGCCTAGGATAAGACCCTCGAGTTCGGCTGGTGGGACAGGGAAACCCTCTGGAAGAAATGTCAGTGATCAATCCAAGTCTTTTCCGGTTACGTGCCGGATAAGAGAAAACAAATGACTTACTGTACTTGATCAACTCCTTGAGACGATCCACGCAGTACATGTTGCCGTGCTTGTCGATGTGGAACATGTCTCCTGTCTTGAAATAGCCGTCCTCCGAAAAGGCCTCTTTTGTGCGCTCTGGATTCTTATAGTAACCCTTGAACACATTAGGTCCCTTGACCCACAGCTCGCCAACCTGTCCAGCATTGTCAGTTATACCAGGTCACTTTACGTCGTCTGATCAGTAGATGTCAGGACAAAAGTACGCACCTCACCATCGGCAACCTCCTTGCCCTCTTCATCCACCAGTTTCGCCTCCATGTTCGGCATCATCTTGCCGCAAGAACCCATAAACTTAGCCCACTCATCCACAGTCTGGCACGACACCACGGGACTGGTCTCGCTCAGGCCGTAGCCCTGCTTGACCGGAATCTTGAGGCGCTGCCAGACGGCCTCGGTGAGCTCGCTCGTCAGGGGCGCGGCGCCCGAGTGCATGACCTTGAGCGTGCTGAGATCGTACTTGTCCACCAGCGGGCTCTTGCCGAAGGCCAACACGACCGGAGGAGACACGTAGAAGCCCGTGATGCGCTGGTCTTGGATCGTCTGTAGGGCCTTCTCCAGGTCGAACCGCTCGACGACAAACATCTCCCACCCGAGGTAGAGACACATGAAGAGGGCGCAGGTGAGGCCCTGTAGTGATGCATTGGGTTAGAACATTTCGAATTCCCATGGACCAGACTTGTCGACAGACAAACTCACATAGATGTGGAAAAACGGAAGCACGCCCAAAAACTTATCGCCTTCACCGTCCAACCCACCAGTCGCAGACCAATATCTCCCATCCACATCCGCGGCCTGCAAAATGTTGGAGACAACATTCAGATGCGTCAAGCACACGCCCTTGGGCAGGCCCGTCGTGCCGGAGCTGTAGACCAGGAAGACGAGGTCCTTCTCCGGGTTGATGTTGGTCTTCCTGAAGCGGGCGGGGAAGTCGACGCACTTGATGTTGCGAAAGTGCTTGAATTTCCCCAAAGGGTCGCTGTGCTGGCCGACTAGGATGATGCGGTTGTTGGGGATGCCGGCCTTCTTGGCCGCTTCGACGGCGGTCTTGAGGAAGGGAGCTTGCGTGACGATGGCTTTGGCGCCCGAGTCTTTGAGTTGGAAGGTGAGCTCTTCGACGGTGTAGAGCGGGTTGGCGGGCGAGACGACGGCGCCGGCCCAGATGGCGCCGAGAGTGACGATTGGGGTCTTGGTGGTTAGGTTTTGGTGTTAGCAAGCTCTTTCTTGCCTTTTTTTTCTTTTTCACACAACCCAACGCCACGCTTCATGTATCGGCGGCAGGCTTACATCGATGCTATTCGGCGTATACAACGCCAAAACTTCACCCTTCCTCCAACGCCACATATCCTTCATGCCCTTGCCAAAGTCGATGGACGCAGCCCGTATTTGGTCCCAAGTATGCGAAAGCTCGGTGTTTTCGGCGCAGGTCATCACCCTCTTGGAGGTCGGGAACGGAACATTCTGCCGGTCAAAAACAAGAGACCACACATCGACATTGGTGGGAATGTCCAAATCCTTGAAGGGCGAAGTGAAAGGCATCGTGAACGGTTGGGTGAGGCTTGGTAGGTGAAGGGGAGTGACGAGCAAACACAGTTAGAGGTAACTTTCACTCTGGTATCTACTTTGTTTTCAAGAGTCTAGACGGGAGAGCCCAACCAATATTTCCCCAAGGAAGGAAGGGATGGATCTATCTTAAAAGGCCAGCCATCTCGGATCTTGCCGCCGGGTCAGGTTGGGGCCAAAGCGGACGGGTGCAACCAACAGCAAACTTCAAGCTGCAGTCGACTAACCAAACAGGTAGGATATCACGGGCTAGCTATCTGGCATGTTCCCTTTCTCTATGCTTATCCTGTCCAGTACGGCGGATTTTGTTGCTCCCAAGGGGAAACAAGATGCCGTGTTATCGAATCGGATATCAGCGGGCTTCTGGCAGAAAGAGGGGATTGGATGGATCTGGAAGCTGTGGTTGTTAATGAGGGGAAGTGCAGTCAGATTTGCCTTGTGGGGGGTGGACGCATGACCCGTCCCTGCCGTCCCGAGAAGTTGGGGTAAACTTGGGGTTAAATATGGAGTGCCGAGGCCCGTCGGACGGAAATGCATTTCCACCCCAACCTTCATTCTTTCTTTGTGAAAAATACAACGCTCCTCCGATATCAGGTGTTCGATATGTGATTCAAAATGCAATCATCGGCCTGGCAATTGATAAGGGTCTGAGTTTCGTTGGAGCGCGTTCTGTAAAGATTCTGGCTCTTGGCTCAGTCCTTCCTCCTACTCACTTTGTCATCCTCCTCGCCTTGCATCACCACTCCCCTCTTACACTTCATCTGTATGCTTCGCTATCATCACTAACCATGCGATATAAGAGATGTCTGTCTGAAATCCATCACGCTCTTGTCGGGGTGATCGCGAGTAAAACAGGTGCCGTGGACTGGAACCGGCTTCATTCATGTTTCTCGGTCAAATCGATCAATGTTTGGGCAACCGCCGTCAAATACGAGGGACCAAGGGATTACTTATAAACAATCCCATGACAATTCCAAAGACCAGGAAGCGCCATCATGGATTGAGATTGGCTTTGGTTTTGCCTTTCACTACGTCCGAGCTGGAGCAATTCAATCCTACCCTACGAGGCAATCCGGAACGCAACCGAAGGGGTCAACAAAGGTTTAAAAAGGTGCGACATTGTCGAAACATTGCTTGGCATCGTCAAGGGGAAATCGTCAACTTTTACAATTGGGCAACCATATCCAAAGTCACTTCGATGGCAACTCTAACCGCCCGGCACCGATATCACCAGGCTGGTATAGTTGGGATCATGGGAACACCGCCGACTGCGAATGAAACAAGAACCCAGTAAAAAGGCACCGGATCTTTCTTTTGCCTAGCCCCTCTCCTGTTATTCACCCTTGGGACGGCCTTTCCATGTGGTTTGGATGGCGTCTGTTACTACAAACCATGAGCGTATTCGGGAAAACATGTTTTGAAAGACATGCTTATGTTGGAAATCGAGGGAGCTTCGAGTTGAAGCTGGGTCTCAAAGGTAGATCACAGTGGTTGGGTAATGCTTCAAACGGATGAATGTGTTTCAATGAACATGTTCTATAAGATGCAAGACCATCCAGCGAGAGGGTGGCCGAATTGTTTCGTTCATTCTCATTCTCTCTCAAAGCCCTTCACTTAAACGTTCTTTTCGACTTACAGCTGTGCTGTCTTTTAGTTGTACTTTCTACATTCTCTACGTTCCATTCCACAGACACTTTCATTCTAAACCACCTCTACGGTCCCTATTTCCTCCTACAGTCAAAATGCAGTTCAAGCTCGCCTTCGTCTTCACTCTCCTTACCTCCGTCCTCGCTGCGCCCTGCGAGGTTGACACCCGCAACTTAAGCAAGCGGGCCCTTTCTGCCCAAAGCTACTCCCAGTTTCAAGTCTCCAGCGGCGTTGGCGGTAACGCCCTGGCGGAAGTTCAGGCCAAGTTCCCCGTAAGTCATTTCCACATTTCTTGCCTTCCACCAACGGCCCTTCCCTACAACACACATCTAACGAATTTCCGCAACAGATCGACGAAAACAACCTAGCCTCCGTCTCCGCCGCCGACCTGGCCATCATCAAAGCCGCGCGCCAGACGGCCGAGAACGCCGAGACCAAGGCGGGCGGCTTCAACGAGGCCATCAAGGCCGCCGGCGGCACCACGACCACGGCCGGCACGGCGCTCCAGGTCGGCAAGATCAAGAACAAGGTTCTCAAGCTCAAGCTCTTCACCCTCGCCATGCAGATCGATCAGGCCAAGGGGGGTAAGGACAACTCGGCCAAGATTGCTGAGGAGACCAAGAAGCTTAACAAGAACATTGAGCTCGACAAGGCGGCTGCCGGCCAGAAGAGCACTAGCGTTAACTTTCAGGGGACTAGCCAGCCTTAAATTGGATGGTTCATGACTACCTACGAGAGTGGGACGCAGGGAGGGGATCCTTGAGCGGAGGGAGGGCCATCTAAGAGGGATTCATTCTGGTCCCTGGACAGAGAGGTACGGCTACCCAGCGGGTAACGTAGAGTGTAAAAGTGTTCTTTCTGGGATGGAACAAATAGGTAAATAATACAGTGTTGGGCTCATTTCTTCCCAGGGCATCTCACCCGTGATCGGCAGTCAGTTTCTTGATGTTAAGGATCAGCCCTGAAAGACCAATCGGTCGTGGTAACTCTTGAGGCAGTCGTCCCCAAGGGTGTTTGAATGGCCTCCTTCCTTAGCAGAGAGGCGCCAAGTCCTGTGCTCTTACCTATCCTTCAAATCCATTTCTTTTTGTCTCCTCTCAGGGAAAGAGCGAACGCCGGGGCCCCATCCCGGCTTCCGACGCCATATCGCCTGGAAGGCGTCCCCCAGTGGGGGTTCTTGCCTACTCAAGTTCAACCGACCATCAACATCCTCGCCAATTTATCTCACAATACTCCCTCACATCTACTTGAGAACTGAAGCTGAATAGATCATCGAATCGTCGAACATTCATCTGCGTTACCGCACACGGAGGTACCCAGTCAAGCGTCCGCGTTTCCGATGCCGCGTAGAGGTGTCAAACTCGTTAGTTGTTCTCTCAGACTACAGCTACCTGATCGGGGTCTTTTGCGACAAGATTTCAGCGGCGGAAAGAACACCAAAAACGCTTGTGTCTACAGCAATTGTACGACCGACCGACCGTCATCAGAAAGACGACTGAGGGTTGGTTACCTTTGGAAAGAATGGGCTGTGGAGGTACATCGTTCGCCGCTCCAGCGTTTCGACATGTCGTTCGTGCCGGTGTGTACTCAAAATGTGACCATATCAATGTGACATTTATAGCAACCCATTGATCGAAGTTCGGTGAAAGATGGTGTATAGCTCCAAAAGCCCCGGAATACATATGGCCATGGGAGGTAGGGTAGGCAAGGTAAGGATAAACCTATTGGCCAATCCCAACCTCCAAAAGCGTCAATTGCCATATCTACAGTTCTACACCGCCTAGAGGATGTAACATCCCATCATCAGAGCACATCTATGTGCTCTGCATCCGATCCAGAAGAGAACTGAGGCATGCAATGCATACTTTTATAGTAACACTCACCTGGATGTTGACGAGGTTTTAGACTACCTACCCTACCGACGCCGACCTAGTCTAACTAGTGTAGTGAAGCACCCCCTTGACTGCATGTCAAAGTTGTTTTAACACTACCCTGGGTCACCCTGGGTCACCGAATCGGAAGTCTGGAATTGTTTACCCGTCACACCTCCCATTCCCCCTGATCATGAGACATGCGTTTCCTGCGAGCATACAACAACAGAAACAGCAACAGCAACAATAGAACGTGGTACAACAGATAGCGTATGTCAGCGAACCACAGCTTCGGTACCCTCCATTCTGTAGCCCATGCCATGTTGGACAAGGTCATACATGCTCGGATCAAGGGTCAAATGTTGATGGGAGCAACAAAGTATAAGAGTCCCGAACTCCCTCTCCCTCTTGTTCGTGCGTGTAATGTACGTAGTTGATACTGGCCCTGGCTGCTTGAAACAAGTGCGTACGACTTCATCGTCTCAACGGCATATACTACTGGTCACACCTTCGTCACTCGCTCTCTTCGTCTTCAACAAACTCTCGCAGCTTTCCTCCCCATTCTTCGGCAACCAGTGGCCGCTTTGTGCGCGAAGTCACAACAGCAAAAATCGGAACAGGTACGTTCTTCGTCAGAAGTATTGGCGATAAATGCTGATGGTGGAGAAACAAGAAAAAAGAAAAGCAAGAACCTAAAACAAGCATGGCCGACAAGCCCTGTGATCACTATGCGACACACGGGTGCAGGGCGGTCGTTCCGGGGACCCAGAGTCTATGCGCGAACTGTGTGAAGGGAAACTGTTGAGACGACATGGAGAGAGAGAGAGAGAGGGGGGGGGGGGGGGACTGCACTGTCGGGAATTTTGAGAGCGCCGAAGTCCATCACGACTTCTCAATACAGTCCTTAACCACAGCACTATACTGGCGATAGTTATGAACGATCAGACGCGAGTGATGGACGAGAATCGAAAGCTACAGAGTAGACAACGACGGAGAACGGGGAGAATATGTTAGACGCGGGGGTTCTCCTGGTCGTCCATCGGAATGATACAACGAGATGGAATTTGTGGAAAGACTTGAGTAGACGGAAAGAAGTCTTGCAGAAGAACTCGAGAGCAATCGGCGTCAGACAATGTACAGATAGCTGAGGTTGAAAGCGGCGTCGTCCGTGTATGTAATATCCACACTGAGGCTGATCGGATAGACACGAAAGAACGATCGACGACGTTAGTTTCCATCTCGTGGGCGGAGTCACCCGCGTTCCTACGTCTGTGAGATTATCACTACCCGTGACGAGCTGACTCCATGATGGGGAGGGAGGGGGGATTGCATTGAGACAAGGTTTCAAAATCCAAGCGTCCATCGGTATTTCCTCCACGATAGGGCTGGACACGATATTACCACATGAAACAAGAGGCAGAGACTAGTTACGTCAGTCGGGAAGAGTGTTTATCGCAACATCGTAACACGGGACACGGGAGGATCATTCAGTTATTGACTTATATCCCATTCCATTTCGGCGGCACATATCGCATGCGACATAAAACCTTTCTCTATATACCACCCTTTTTTCCACCCCGACGCCGTTGGCTTAGGTCCAAAACCAATGAGCCCCTGGTGCCGAGTTCCCTGTTTCTAAAACCTTTCTAAGAATATGCCGACCAGTAGCCCCAATGAACAAAGTTTGAGGATAAAGGAAAATATAAAAAGGTTTTTAGTTTGCCCGGTTGGTGGTATCAAACAAAGAAATCTTTCCCCGCCAAAGAGCCCCAAGCCATGTAACACCCCCATTGTTGTTCAAGAATCAAAGATACGGGTATCATCCGTGAGTAGTCAGAATCGAAAGTCGAAAGTAGCACCAGAAAAGAAAGAAAGTCGGATGCGGTCGTTAATATGCTCCAGTTAATGGCGGCGTAGATGATGGTGATGATGAAGTATGCAACAGATGGTCTCGTATGTACATGACCCAGTCACAAGGCTAGATCACGACATTTAAGCCAAGAGAGCGGCGCCCAAGGCCAAGACGGACATCAAAAGTCCAGACTGGGCGGCAAGGCCAGCAGCACCAGCGGTAACGGGGGAAGAAGGACCAGCGGGCTGGCTGGCAGTGACAACCGGGCTCTGGGTCTGGGTGATGAAGACCGAGGTGAGAGGCTGGCTGGCGGTAGGACCAGCGAGAGTGGTCGAGTTGACCTGGGGGAAGGACCAGGACAGAGTAGACGAAGAGCTGGTGCTGGGGATGACGACGATCGAGCTGGAAGAGGTGGTCTCAACCGGGGCGGCCGACGAGGTGGTGAGGACGACGCTGGAAATCTCGATGGAGCTGGTGCTGGTGCTGGTGCTAGTAGCAGGAGCGTTGCCGGGGCAGTTGGAGACGGTAGGGTTGCAGGAGGTGATGGTGACGGTCAAAGTCATGGTGGCAGTGGAGAGAATGGTGGAGTCGGCAGCTTCCTGGGCGGCAACCAGAGAGAGGCCAGTAGCCAGGACGGTGATGATGCTCTTGATCTGCATTTTGAAGATGTTTGTTTGTAAGGCTGTTGAGCTGTTTCGATGAGGCCGGCCTTGAAAGTGTCGAAGGACGTGGGTAAGAGTAGATCCTCGGGATTCTCACTCGTTGATAATTGTGATGTGCTGTAAATGAGCGTGGGGCTGAAGCCGGAGCGACAAGCAAAGGAGTGTGATGATTGCTGGGATAGCGGTGGTTGAAGGGGAAAGAAAGCAGGAAGATCGAGAGAGCGACATAAACTGGGGAAGGATGTGGGAACGGGCCCTTTTGAATGAACTGATGGTCCCTTCCAAGGGCAGTGGACACAGCCGATGAGCTAAATTGGCTTCCTTCCACGAGTTCGTTGACTTCATTGGCCAGTCCCTGCCGCTGGGAAAAGAGGACTTTTCGGCGCCGACTCCCAGTGCCACTTGCCATGCGGCACTCAGCTGGATGTGGTGCTCGTTGTCACTCTGTGCCTGGCACTCAGAGGCCTGTTGTCAGATTCCAGGGTAGCATTCTACCCAGATATGGGTTAGATGCCAGAGTCCCAGCCACCTGATTTACAGGTCTTGGCAAATATGGGTTACCCCCAGAACCCCCAGACCTTCTAGAGCAGAGCGCTCGAATCAAACACACAGAATCAATCAACTAGATTACACCAATAAATCTAATAATTAATAATCTAATACGCGCCCTATTAATATAATAATTAGTATTACGAATTAGTAATAAATAATATGAGAACAATACGATGTCTCTCTCAAAGCCTATTAACGATACTAAGGAGAATGTTACCTACTTGAAAGATAGTAATAATTGGATCCGCTGGGAGCCTATACTCTAATTAAAGTACAATTCAAACGTATTTAAAAATTAGTTTTAAAGTACTATCGAAAAGCCTACCGTACCGAAATAACTTTATCCTAACTATTATCCTATTACGAAGATAGTTAGAACCTACATTAAGGAGGCTAAAGCGGAATTTATCCTTTTTAATAATAGAATAACCGTTTGTACCGTCGTTAATTAAATTAAGGAATCCCGGGAGGTACCTATTAAATATTATATTAGAGACGAAATCCTATTCAATACCTTTACTAACGAAGAAGATTTAATTAATAAATAACTCCTTAAATTAGAATTTACGCTCTACCCTAATAAGAAAAAGGATTGGAAGGAATTTAAAATTAGTAATAAGGCCGTACGTATTTAAATAAAATCGTTAATTAGCTACAAACTATAAAATAACGCTATAAAGGAGGAGTAGTAAATTAATAAATAGTATTAGAATTTTAAAAATATAATTAATTATAAGGCCGTCGATAAATAGATTAAAGCTAGGAAATAATATTATAAAGCCGTTACTATCCTAACGAAGAAACTTAAAAGTTAAATTAATTGGTTTTACATTTAATTTACTATTATAAATAATAAATAAACTATAAGAGTAGGGGCAATTAAGATTACTAGCTCCTTATATATCGATTTCGTTAACGTAATTAGAATTATACGTTTTAAATAGTATAAAAGTACTTAGAAATTTAATAAAAAAATTAATTAACAGTATATTTAAATATATAAACATTTATAAAGATTTTAAAAAATATAATATCTATACTACTAAACGTAGGGTCGCTACCGGAAAGGGAGGATATTGCAACGCTTTTAATATTAGCGAAATTAATATCGAATATAATAATTGGAAATATAATAGCGAAAGCTAAAATGAAATTGCTAACAATAAGGACGCTCGTTAAAAAGGTAAGAATAATAAAAAGCCTAAGAATTTTAGAGGAAAAAGGAAATTCTAATTAAATAAGACTGAAATTCAATTATATAAGAAGTTTAATATCTTTATATATAAAGTATACAAGAGAGGATTGTATTCCTTAGAAGATTATTAATATATTAATTTAAGTGTAAAATCGAAATATATCGCGAGGCTATTCTTTTCTATTTAATATATTATTAAAGTTAACTTCGCGAAAGATCCCAAACTTATTAAAGAGATTATAAGAATCGCAGCTGAAAATAACAATGAAGAAAAGGCTCTTAAGAAGGAGGAGAATATATAATTACCTATTATAATTTATGATTTTATTTATAAAGTAACCTTTTAAATTAGCGAGGTATATTAAATTAGGGACGAGACTTACCCTCTTAAGAACTTAGTAATATTCGATTCTAATAGTTCTCTTTACGTGTAACGGGTCTGTAAGAGTAAGGTACAGCGAGCAGTCATATAAGGTTGAAATGCTATATTTGACAAGGAAAGAAAGAGAGGAAAGACTGCACCAGAAGGGTACAATCGAAAGAAGGTTTTGTGCAACCAGTGTTAAGACCGCACGGGCCAGGCAAGCATGTGGGTCTAGCTAACCAGAAGGCTCGCATCCTTATCGATAAGGTAGGGACCCTATTGATAAGGTAGGATATAGTTTAGTAATAGCCAAATTTAACCCCTAGGCTCTAGCCCTATAACATTACCCCCCTACTCCCCCTTAGGAAGCTCGGTCTACCCCTCTAAGGAATGTAGTCCACCGCACAAAGTATTGAGTAGCTAATTATATAAAAATAACGAAATCTATTAATAACCGCTCCCAACCTAATATTTAGAACGGGGAAGAAATTAATAATACTAAGAAAAGTATTTATATTAAGCCCCTAAATAAACGCTATACGACTACTTGCTTACTATCCGAATCGGCAGTACCCTACCAAATACCTACCCTTATAGAGCTACTTCCTAATATACGGGAACCAAAACTAAATCAAAGAATATATTTATACCTTGCCTATCCGGGGCCCTCTTCTACCAAGCAAATCTATACGCAAACAGTCAATATTAAAATAATCACCTAATATTTCGTATCGCTCTACTTCTCTTACTGGTAGCAACTATTATTACTACCGTAACTATATTTCCGTATAATTCCCTTGCTAGGGAACGACCTTAATAAAATCCTTATATTTACGAAATATAACGTTTCGCCTCGCCTCCTAACGGCTATATAATTAAAGTAAACACTAGCCTTCAACTAACTATATATAAAAAAGGGTAGAATTAAAACTAATTATACGTCTAGCTAGTAGATTACATGCTTAAAATAACTATTAGCGGTCCCTCCTTTACAAATATAATAAACTTCCCTCTACCGTAGTTTTATTAAGGTAGACCTTCTCGTCTTTATTCAATCTAAGAACTCCTCCTCTTGGCTACTACCGGCGTAACCGCCTAGGCCCCTAACCGGGTTATAATAAATTAATTTCATTTAGTATAATTAGCGTACTCTTGAATTAGAGCTATTACTACTATTACCCTCTCTCCTCCTCTATTTTTTTATTTGAGTAGAGCTCAGAGTTTTCCTAGCGACGCTAATTCGGTATTTCGAGCGTCTTTAACCAGGTATACTTAATAAAAATAGAAACTAAAAACAAAGTATTACTATTAAAGTATTTAATAGCGAGCGAAAGGTAAGCGATGAGCCTATATTATAGAAGGCGAATCTATCTACATAGAGGCTTAAACGCTCGAAATTTTAGAGAAAATTAGTACTATTATTAAGAGGGACGGGAGTTCGGGCAGTAGCGGTTGAGATTAGGGTAGATCGTAAACGAACGGGGCAAATCGAATGAGAAGAATATCGTTAGGGATCGTAAGAGCGGTAAAAACTCTTTAAGCATACCAGCGAAAGGGAGGCGATACGAAAGACGTAGAGGAAGGGGTACTATTGTTAAGAGATAGGAGGTAGCACGGAGAGGGAGATTCTTTGGGTGTGCCTACGAGAGAATAGTAGATACACTGGAGTATTGAAAAAGAGGGTCAAATATAATGTAATGGGTCTGTAAGAGTAAGGTATAGCGAGTAGTCATATAAGGTTGAAATGCTATATTTAATAAGGAAAGAAAAAGAGGAAAGATTATATTAGAAGGGTATAGTCAAAAGAAGGTTTTATACAACCAGTGCCAAGACTGTACAGGCTAGGCAAGTATGTGGGTTTAGCCAACTCGAAGGCTCACATCCCTATTGATAAGATAGGGACCCTATTGATAAGGCAGCATACAGCTTAGCAATAGCCAAGCTTAACCCCTAGGCTCTAGCCCCATAACATTACGTATTTAATAAAATTATTCGTTTCCTTTACTTTTATTATATTAATCCGGATAATTCTTTATAGGTTAGCGATACCTAAGTAGCAATTAAAGGGTTTAAGGAGGTTAATATTATTATTAAGGGTAAGAACGGTCCCTTAAAGCTACAGTTAAAGGAGGTCGCCTTTTACCCTAACTTCGCTATTAATTTCGTCTCCTATTTCCAATTATAAAGGTAGGGTTTCTACTAGGATTATCGACTACTAAATAATTATTTAAGGAAGTCTAATAATTGATTCTTTTATTATTTAAATACTATTTATAATTAAATAGTTATTAAAACTATCCTACTTTTACTTACCAAAGCCTCGTTCGTAACGCGCCATTATAAAATTAACTCCTATATAAAGCGCCCTTCTAAATAATTAATAAAAATATAGTATTTACAATTCGGCTACCTAGGACCCTAAGTAATCGACCACCTTCAAAACATTAATAGAATTAAACTTACTAGTTCGAAATTACATAGTATACCCTCAATTAAATACGACGCGTATGCGATAGCAAAGATTAAACAATAAATTAACCGTATAACTAAAAACCGAGGTTTTGGACCTAGAGAAAAACTTACTATTAATTTCCTCGAATTTAACGAAGGAATTAACAGGGTTAAATACTTTCTCCTTATTACCTATCGATAGTCCGAATATATTTGGGATTATTACCTATTAAATCGTTAAGCAGTTATTATAGTTACTATACTAATATTTTATATTAACATATTGTAATACCAATATAATATAAAAATTAAGATTTTCGAATATAATAACGAATTTATAAGTAATGAAGTTAAATATAGACTATTATAACGAAGAATAAATTTTAAACCCTCTACTCCTAATATATAAATATAAAACGGTAAGGTAGAGCGTTTAGGGGGTATTATTAAGGAAAGATATAATATTATATTAATAAATTCGAAATTCCTAATAGATTTGGAGCCGGAAATTACTAACATAATAATTTACTTCGTTAATTGTTCCCTTCGTTACTTATATAATTAGAAATTTCCCTTCGAATAATTTTATACCTATATTATATAATAAAATAGTTAATAGGAAGTTTATAAACTAAATTTGAATTACTTTAAAATTTATAGTTATAAGGTTTTTACTATAATAAATACCGTATAAAAGAAAAAATAGCGGCGCTAAAAACATGTACTTAAAGTATAAATAGGGGTTTTTATTGGTTATTTAGCAATTTCTATTTATCGTATATAGAATTTATATATAAATCGGATAGTCTAGACTAAGAATGTAATTTTTAACAAGGAGATTACTTATAACTTAAATTTTAAAAAGCTAAAAAAGGACTTCCAAATAAATAATAAGGAATTAGCGGATTAACTTAGTAAAATTAACGAATTGTATAATTAACCTTTGAAAGTATCCGAACTACTAGAGAGAGAAGATTATAAGCTACAGAATAATATTAATAATATAAATATTAAGCCGCTCCCTTCGAACCTCTTCGATCGAAATTATAAATAGCGTTAAAAAAATTCCTAAGAAGAAAGTAATTAATTATAAGAAATCGCTATTTAATAACCTACTATAAAAAGAATATCTATCGAATATATTATAAAATTATATCTATTACTTCTATTTACCCCGCCGGCCGTACTTTATATTAATTATTTAATTAATTAAACTATCGATAAGTACTATTATTAATAAGAATTATAAGAAGTTACTTTTAATATTAATAAATTATTATAACTAATAATTAAAATAAATAGGAAAATAATTATTAAAGTGGGAGTATAACGGCTAATTACGAAATATAGCCATCTTAATAGGGTTTACCGATAGGATTTACTAATTATACCTAAATATTATAATAATTTTAATAACTACCTACTTGGTCAACTATTTAAGTAAATAGAAGAAATTTATTTATAGAATTATAAGGATATAAAAACGTAGATTAAAATCGATAAAGACGTACCGTAGGCAAAAAGCAAATGGATCTTCGATTATATATAGGTATACGCTTATAAATTTAATAAAAATAATATATTTAATAAATATAAAATAAGATTCGTTGTAAGAAGGGATTAGCAAAATAAAATAGAAATAAATATATATATTTCTACCTTAATAGGTAAGTTATTTAGATTTATTATCACTCTAATTACTCGTCTTAATTTTAAATTTATTTAATACAATATAATTAATACTTTTATTAATACCTTCCTTAATAAAGAGATTTATATACATATACTGCCCGGGTATTAAATCCCCGGCAAAGTATTTAAATTAATTAAAGTACTATATAGTTTCCGACGAATACACTTACTATAGTAACAGGAATTTAATAGAATATTTAAATCAATAGGATTCGAAGCGATCCTTAAAGACCCCTATATTATAAAAAAGAATGGTATCTTTATACTCTATTACATCGATAATATTATTTTTACATTTAATAAAAATAAAATAGAAAGAATTAAAAGATATACCATAAAATTATAATTAAAATATTATTTAATTATAGGAAACAAACTCTAATAGTTTTTAAATATTGAAATTATATATAACCGAAACTAGGGATAAATTTAATTATTTTAAAAAATGTATATTGATAAAATTTCCAAGTTATTTAAATGTAATTATTAATTTACTTTAATACCTATAAATTACGAAGAACTAGTCCCTTACAAGGGTATTACTAATTATATAGAAATACGTACTTATTAAATTAATATAGGATTACTATTATACGTAGTAATTAATACTCGACTAAATATCACCTTCCTATTAAATAGATTGGCTCAATATAATTATAATCCTAATTTTACTTATATAGCCACTAGCAAAAAGATCATATAATATCTTCGAATAATAAAAATATAGGAACTTTATTTTAATAGTAATAATAAATTTAAAACTACGTTTAATATTTCGTTTACTAATAAAAAGAATAACTGTAAAAATTTATAAAGGTTTACTATTAAATTTTATAGTAGTCTAATTTATTAGCGAATAATTAAATAGATTATAATTACTACGTTAATAATAGAAGTAGAATTATATATAATTAAAAAGATAATAAAGGAAACCTTCTTTATAAACCAGTTAATTTTAATTCTAGGGGTAAAGCTATTAAAGGACCCTATCTCCACTCTATAATATAATAATTAGTAGACTATTAGGGTACTTATAGAGGAGACGCCTACTTTTAATATAAAGATGAGGTATGTAGATATTTATAGATATTGGTTAAGGGAAGAAATTATTGAGAAGAAGATATTTAATATCGAGTATTTGGAGACGAAATCGATACTAGTAGATAGATTGACGAAAGTATTAAGCATTTTAGAATATAAGAGATTTAGGGAATTATTGGACATAGCCGAAGTGCCGCTACGGAAGGATAGCGGAGGAGAGGATAATCCGGTACTAAAGAAGGTTAATTTCGATAATTTAGATGAGATATTGGGATCGAAAATATGAAAAGATAAGAGTAATATATAAATAGCTTCACTTTTAACCTCAAAGAAGTAATTAGAGGTCTGTAAGTGAGGGGGTGTGTCAGATTCCAGGGTAGCATTCTACCTAAATATAGGTTAGATGCTAGAGTCCTAGCCACTTAATTTATAGGTCTTAGTAAATATGGGTTACCCTTAGAACCCCCAGACCTTCTGGAGCAGAGCGCTCGAGTCAGACACACAGAATCAATCAACCAGATCACACCAGTAAATCTGACACCTGTCACTCACCGTCGGAGGGACCGCAATAAAATTGGGTTCAAAGGCAAACCATCGAATAGCAAACCGTCCGTCCTTCAAAGAAATGGCAGGGATTCTATCCTGTTGCCCCGGGCATTGCCACCACCCCTGTCCCTTGTTGGGCGTCGAAGCCAAGTGGAAACGATGGTGAAGAAGGACGATGTTGGAAGGAAGGCCGAGCGAACGCGCAACCAACGCAAAAAGGCGGGAACAACAACCCCTGTCAGGTACCCTGCAACATGCAGAGCCGGTAAGGTCTGATTGGTGTGTGCCTGAAAATCTGCAAGGAACAGACGTGAACGGGCAAACCCATCGGCCACTGAGACACCCGCACCACAGCCCACCGCATCCAGCACACCATCCACCCACCATCATGGCCCGTGTCAACCATTCAATTCAATTCCACTGCTGGCGATCCGGCCTCTTTTTCCCTGACCATCGCAAATTACCAAAATGAATGCCGGATATGGTTTTCTGCTGACTAGCCGTGCCAACCACTTGGCATGCGCCGGCCAGGCTCTCGCCAGGCTCTCTTGCATTGCATCCAGCAGCCCAGAATTCCAAGCGAGCCTACCTGTACGATCCTTGGCTAAAAAGGTTTTTATTTTGGGTCCCCGGATGCGGTGAGGTTGCAGCCGACTCAGAGGACTCAACTGGAAACTTGGAAACATGTTGGTTGCCGTTACGGTCGCCAGCCCTGCGAGAGAGTCACCGTCGAGATATGGGAGAAGGCATCTTTCACCATTGTATGCGTGCCACGTCGGATGTCACCCGCATGCTTGCTGCCGTGCTGTTGTCCTCCTGACTTCTCCTGTCTTCCACGCATTCGCAGCAGGATCAAACTCCATGCGGAGTGCATGACAAGCCGAGGAGGAAGAGAAAAGGACTCCCTTGAATGGGTTTGGTCTTGGGCGGTCTGTCTCAGGCTCTCAGCCGTTCTTATATACTGATATCGCCTAGAGATACCGGTAATGACAGGATGCTTGGTGTTCCACCTTTCTTGGAGCTAGCGATAGTCTTGCAATTCGCTTGGGTATCACAGGAAATGACGTGCGTCCATTTTCGAATTGGGGACAAGGCATTAAACTGCAAGGGAGAATGACCCTCTTTGTTAGGAGCGGGGGATACGATTTTAAGACATTCCAGAAAATTGGAAGGAGAATTCGGCGTTCCAACCCCTGATTTGCTCCTTCTCGTATCTGACGTTTTCTGTGTTACTACGTCGGACGATTGAATCAGATTGGCCGTGTGCGACGGCGCTTGTGGTACCTTTAAATCTCCGACGATACAGCCGCAAAAGTTTATGCTCATGAAGTCAACAATGAAAAGAAATGGAAAAGAACAAAGTTCAAAGAGAGAGAAAAAAAAAAAACGACAGCTTCGCTTGCATAAGAAGTAGAAGCTGTAGGCTTGTAAAACAAGATGCAAAAAGAAGAATGTGCCGACGCGAGCAGGATTTGAACCTGCGCCTCCGAAGAGATTTGATAGACCTCGAATGGTAGTTCGAGTCAAACACCTTAGGCCACTCGGTCATCGCGCCAATGAAAAGTTCGATACTAAACGGAGCAACTAGCAGTGTCTATATGGTCCAGATATGTGACATCTAGCTCGATAGCTGCCACGCCGTCACTGCAATTCAACCAAACCACTTCATGCTCTATGCATGTTTAGATCATCGAAAAGGAAAGAAAAGACTCCAAGTTAACAATGGAGAAAACCGAGAGAGCAAGCAGATTCCCGTCATCAGGGATGGTGTGATGCGCAAGCCGATCACCTGCAAAGACCAAAAGAACCAACCCAACTCTCTCTCTCCCTCTTCCAAATGTTCCGTGCATCTTGAACAACCAACCGACCAACAACCGAACTAGCAAGTGGCAAACCGGAAGCATCACATCCTAAAGCGATAAGCAACTCCCTTTCTTTCCTCAAAATTTTCACAAAACCATCGATCATCGAAGATGCAAACTCTGCAAAATGCAACCTCAAGAGGTTTACCAAAAGTGGCTGTCTTCCCCGTTGTTCCCCCCACACACTCATCATCATAATGTCTTTGCCGCGCTGCTTGCAGAATCTTCGTTGTTCACTCTTACTCAGCGTCGTACTCGCGATCGATCGGTAGTAGTGTAAGAATTCCGAAGATGTATGTACATAGTGTACATACAACTGAAAGAAGATATCTCAATGGCCCTCGGTACCGAAAACGCGGCAAAGCGGTCCGACGACGGAAAGCAACGCCGCAAGGGTTTTACAACAAAGGATACAAAAGAAGATGGCTTTGAACATTGAACAAGAAAAGGGGTGTAAGGGGACACATCCCTCCGAGTACCTGAACAAACAAGGCCTTTAAACCTTAAGGAACAAAGACGGCATACATAGCAGCTAACCGTCTTTGAGACGGCTTGCAACGGTTGGACACCTTCATTGACTTGGTAGGATTGGGACTCATCACCACCGCATCCAGCCTACCAGGTGTGTATGTAAGCGCATGGAATTACTTGAAGCCGAGGCAACTTAGTCCAACCTGTTGGTTTGACCAGTTCCGTCGATAATGCGGCGGCGAAAGCGAGCCGGAGATCGAAGGCCGAAGGTTGTCTTTCAAGTCAGGTTGGAGTTGTGGTATTACAGTTGCGTTGCCTTTGCGTGTCTACCAGTATATGGCCAGTTCTGCCAGTCCGTTTCCAAGCGGCTGGAACTCTGATATCAGCGACGAAAATCGCAGACAGTTATCCCAAGCTTACAGTTTGATGTTTTGGTGGTCGAACGAAACAAGAGACGCCCAATATATATTATGTATGATTGGTGATAACGAAAAAAACAGGCGCTGTGCAGTGGGAGGGAAGCTTTTCGAACATCACAAGAACCTACGCCACTCTAACAATCGTTCTCGCCTTCCTCCTCTCATCCTCACTAAGCACCCACAGCATACCATCCTCCCCATCCTCACCCGCCGCCCCATCCGTAACAATCAGCTCCTCCCACTCCTCATCCTCCATATTCGCCACCATCAGTATCTGCAACGTGCGTCCAAACACCTCGCGCACCGCATAGTTCCCTTTACTGATGGTGCCAATGATTCCCGAAAAGTCTCTCTCCATCCTGATGGCGCCGTACGGGCTCGCTCCTCTAGTTTGCGAGCCCGCATAGCTCCACACGCGCTTCTCCAGCCAGCGGGCCAGGTGCTGCGCCGTGTGGTCCAAGACCGTACTAAAAGTCTTGGGGGTCATGAGGCGCGCGATCGGCTTCATGAGGGCGTCCCAGCCCTCCTCGAAGCGGCGCGTCACCTGCTCGAGCACGTCGTCCTCGTTTTCGTCGTTCTGCGCGCACAGGTCGAGGAGCTCTTCCTCGGTCATGGTGTAGTCGGCGTCGCGGAATGTGTCGGAGAGGATAGGGCGCAGACGCGGCCGGACGACTTGGCTGAAGAGAACTTTAATGCCTTCGCTCAGGAGCTCCGTGGCCTTGGCTGTGAACGAGTGGTGGAGGTTGTTCAGGCGGGTTGCCACTTCTTTGAGGTCGTTCTTGAATGGGAAGGAGTTCTTGAGGGAGCTGGCCTGCGAGGGAGCTCCGGTGCCGCCGTTGACTGATTGTTCTCCCGGAGTCAAGATGCCGGTGATGATGCGGGTGAGGTATTCCTCGGCCATGTCGAGACTGTTGATGAGTACGATGAACTGAATGATTTTGTCTTCTGGTGGGAACCCGCCCTGAATCACAGGCTTGGGGTAGCACTCATCGCGCATCTTGCGCTGAATCATACCGACGAAGTCCGAGCCCAGTAAGCTCGATATTGTAGGGAGAACAGAGTCTATAACGCCTCTTTGAGACGTAGAGATGGATCTGATGATCACGGTGTTCGCGATGTACATGACATCTTCAACTGCTGAAACGATAAATGGCGGGCTGCTGTCGATGGGTTTGCTCATCCTCAAGGACAGTCCGGTTGGCCATTCGTCTAGTTGGAATGCTTTCTCAACGGATCGTCGGAAGAAGAAAGTGGTTAGAACATTATATGGCATGACAAGTTTGCCTGATACCTTTCGGCTCAAGTTGGACTTGGTGAGCACCTCGGGCATGGTTAGTGGCGCGTCTTCTGGAACACCAGGCTCCTGTGACAAACTGAAGTTAGCTACGGCTTCTCAGCAAACGGCATGTGGAAAACTTACCATGCACTTCTGGGCAAGTAGATGGGAGTAGGCAGACCACCTGCTTAGCATGATGGCAATCTCACTAAGCAGGGCATCCACCTCCCTCATGCTAACACCCTCATCCTCGCTGTTGCGACCATCGCCGCCAGGAGCAGGCGAGTTCAGGCGCGGCGGTGCTCCAAACCCACGGTTCTGCGGCAGGAAGCTCTGCACAAGGAACGAGAATGGATAACTCTTCACATCTGTCAAGGCGCGATCCACGCCATGCTCATCACTCCAAGAGTCCACGATGATGCCTCCCTGCACATCTGCCTCGCCCTGCAACCGCTCGATAACCTTGATCATCTTTCCCCCGCCATAGTGCCTTTCCACCAACCCGCCATGGCCATCCACAATCTGGGTGATATGTCCAAACAGCAGATTCAACGCATTGGCATAAAAGATGCCGTCTTTCTTCGGCCGAAGCGTCGCCGGAGCATTAGCATTAGCTGCTCCTCCCACCGCCCCAACACCATCCTTCAAGATCGCCCTCGCCCTATCCGCCACGCCCTGGCAGACATACTGCCCATACGCATCCAGTCCAACATCGCCCCGCCCAATCAACGGAAACAACTTGAAGAACCTCGTAATCTTGGCCGGATCATCCTCCTTAGCCGCCTTCCAAAACTCCCTCAAGAACAGCACGCACAGACTCTCCCTGGCATTCTCCAGCGTCACCCACGGGGCATCAGGCACCTCAACAGTCGGCACCACCGCAGCCGCGAACCCGCTCCTCACGATCTCCTCCGGCACCCTCGCGGCCCTCGCGATATACCCCGCCGCAGCCTCCCAATCCTGCGGGGCGCCCATGCTACCAACCACACCAGCCACGCACGCTTTCAGCTCAGCCACCAGCTCGACCACGCGCAGGGTATCCTCGACGCGCTGCTTCTCGAGGTCGAGCTGGCGCACGCGGCTGGACAGGTGGCTAGCCGTGTCTGCGGCGCCGGCCAGCATGTTGTTGCTGACGCTGCGGGCGGCGATCACCTGGGAGCCGAGGCCGGCGCGCAGGTTATCGAGGCGCGAGAGCGAGCGGGCCAGGTCCTGGTGCGAGGCGAGGACGGAGGATAAGCGGCTCGTCAGGGACGATTCGCGGGCGTGGAGGGCGGCGAGCGCGGCGCGGATGTCGGACGAGGACGAGGCGGTGCGTAGGGCCGCGAGGGCCGGGTCTGCTGCTGCTGCTGTGTTCGGATCGTTGCTGCCATTGCCACCATTTTGGGGGTTGGTGATGCTCCTTATTGGCAGCGAAAGCGAGAGCGGTGCTGTCTTATCGTGGGATTTGTTCGTAGTATTCGCCGAGGTGCTTAAGGAGGGATTCGACGAGGAGGGGATGGTGGTGATGTTATTGCTGACGGCGCCAGTTGGGGTACCTCTAGCTGCTGTGGCTGCTGTACTTGTTGGAGCTGTGGAGGGCATCTTCGACGACGAAGCAGTGGTATCGACGCCATTGGAGGGGGCAGACATCGGTATTGCCGTTTGGACGCTGGCAACGCATCGCTGCTTTGCACTTGATGCCCTGCGTGGTCGTGTGCGTTTGGGCTTCGGTGTTTCGAAGCTATAAAGATGGTGAAGGACGTCGAGGCTCTAGCGGGAGGGACAGATGTCACTGCAGACCGGGGGCCCGGGGCCACCAGAGACGACAGGCGGTGATTGAGCCCCACTGCAGGGGCACCTGCCGTGATCGCAGCACCGGCCACTTGACGATGCCCCTGGATTTGGGAAAGACTGCGAGACATTACCTTAGGTTCATATAAAGCAGAAAATGTATGTGAACAAACACCAAGAGGTATCCAAATCTGACCATTCAAAGGCCCATGGTATATTACTATTTATAATCCAATATTGTAGTGTATGTATGAGTTCATCATAAAATGTACCAACTCTAGTCTAAGGCATCTCGCCCTTTTTTCTTACACCGGCCTTATACAGCCTGGCTATAGTTAACGCCCATATGCCTTCTTCCCCCGTACTTCCACCACTTTCTAAGCTCATCAGCAAAGAAAACCGTACTGCACAGCAACATCAGGTACACCAAATCAAGGAGCCCGAGCGCCTCGGTCTGGAACACTTCCTGCAGCCAGGGGAAGTAAATAACGAGCAGCTGCCCTGCCAAGCTGAGCGAGACGGCCCAGTTGAAAAGCGTATTCGAGAACAACCCAATTTCGCCGCGAAGGATGGATTTAGACTCCGACCGGCAGGCCAGGGCGTTGAACATATCGTAGAGGACAAAGCAGGTGAAGGTCATGGTAGTGTCGCGACGGGTGACCTGTCCGTCCCCGAGCATTTCGTGCTTGTAGACCAGCATTGTACCAACCATAATGATGAAAGCCTGGGTAAGCACGCGGGTAATGAGAGGGTTGGTGAGAACTGCATCGCCTCTGCGGCGAGGAGGACGGTTCATGACGTCCTTATCGACAGACTCGACACCCAGAGATTGTGCAGGAGGGCCGTCCATAATGATATCTGGAAAGAGACGGTTAGCAAAGGTCGATGGAACTGAAAATAAAGGAAGAGTCTTACTAATCCAAAGAATTTGCATGGCATTGAGAGGTGACTTGTAACCCAAGCAAGTGCAGAGCAGCACAAGAGACAAACCAGCAGCGCTCGTGCTAAGTTGGAATGTCAAGAAGTTCTGGATGTTGTTGAAGATGGCCTTGCCCTCTTCGATGGCGTGAAGAATAGTAGAAAAGTCGTCGTCAGTCAGGATCATATCGGCCGCCTCCTTAGCAACATCGGTTCCGTGCTTGCCCATGGCAATACCGATATCAGCCTTCTTGAGAGCAGGAGCATCGTTGACTCCGTCACCCGTCATGGCGACAATATCGCCACGAGACTGCAGAGCCTTGACAATTTTGAGCTTGTGGTCGGGATTCGTGCGAGCGAAGATAGTGGTATGGTCCATGGCCGCAGCCAGCTCTTCCTCCGTCATGGCATCAATCTCATCGCCGCGCAGGACAGATCTGACGCCCGACGTGTTCGCTGCGCCCTCGACCGGTGTAGCGACACTCATACCAAGCTGTTTTCCAATCGCAACGGCCGTGGTCTCAGCATCACCCGTGATCATGATCACCTTAACAGAGCCACGCATCAACTTCCTGATAGACCTCGAAACACCGGGACGGGGCGGGTCGCTCATGCCAACCAAACCGGCAAAGGTAAGACCCTTGTACTGTTCTTCGACAGTGCTCGTGGCGGGCGATTTGTTCTTGGCGGATCTGGTGACAGAACCGCTGGCAAAGGCTAAAACACGGAGACCTCGCGAGGCCATCTTCTCGGCGGCGTCAATCGCTTCCTGGCGTCTGTTGGCATCCATAACAAATTCTCGGCCATCCTTGGAAAGATAGGTATCGCACGCATCGAGGACCTTGTCGATAGAACCCTTGATGTAGGCGAACTCCTTGTCCGATTTACCTCCTTCCGATCCGATAGTAACACCCATCCACTTGCGCTCGGAGCTGAAGGGAGTTTCGCTCACACGAGGTCCAATGGAATCGCGAACATCGTGTTCCTTAAAGCGATCAAGCAAATCGAGCATGGCAACGTCTGTGGGCTGGCCGACCCAGCGAGTATACGTGGATGGGGCATTCTTTCCTTGAGTAGAGGAGAGAACGGCGCGAGCCCCAGCACCGTTGTCGGTGTACTGCATAGCAAGACGGGCATTGTTGGCGATATTACCGATACGGAGGATTCTAAGCGTAGCGGGGTCAGGTTTGGTCTCGGTAGCTTCATCGTCAGAATCCACGTCCAAAGCGTCGTCGGTACCGAAAAACCACATCTTGACAGTAGTCATGTGGTTCATCGTCAAGGTTCCTAGTCACCGTTAGCTTGCTGTCGCCTCTTGTCGGGTCTCATTCGCGCATACCGGTCTTGTCTGAGCACACAACATTTACAGATCCTAGAGTCTCAACCTTGGGCATCTTGCGCACGATGGCGTTATGCTTTGCCATGCGGTGCACTCCCAAAGCAAGAGTAACAGTGACAATAATGGGCAGACCCTCGGGAATAGCCGCCACCGCCAAAGAAATGGAGATGGTGAAAATCTCGAGGATCTTCTTTCCTTGCAGCCAGCCAACGAGAGAGATTAGACCGATAATGACAAAAGATATCTTGCTGAGCTGAGAGCCGAGATCGTCCATGGACAGTTGCAGAGGCGAGCGAGGGCTTTCGGTTCCAGATACACTGGTCGCGATGGTACCAAAGTGCGTGTTTCCTCCCGTGGCAAAGACAACGCCTTGCCCATACCCGGACTTCACAAGTGTGCCCATGTATACAACGTTGGTCGAGTTATCTTTGTCGGTGGCAGGACCAGGGGCTCCGCGACGAGTCCGGGCTTCGGCAACGATTCTGACAGGCTCATTTTCTCCAGTGAGGTTGGAAGCGTCGACTGTGAGATCAGTTGCCTTGGTGACTCGGATATCGGCAGGAATGCGATCACCGGTAGTGAACAGAATCAGATCTCCAGGCACCAGTTGCGCAGCCATGACCTTGGACGATTTCGCATCCAGAACATCTTCAGGCGGTGTAACCGAGCCAGCAACATCGCCAATGTCGGACGAGTCGTCACCATCAACGGGTTTGGCCCCCGTGTGTTTCCGTACCAAGTGCGCATGGTTAGGAACCAGGTGGTTGAGTGCCTCGATGGACTTCTCGGAACGATATTCCTGAATAAAGCCCACGCTCACAACGATGGTAACAGCAACCGAGATACTGACGGCATCGTCGACATTTCCAACAAGTATAGACGCACCGGCAGAGGCGAGAAGGAGGAGGATTAGGGGCTCTTGGAACTGCTTAACGAATCGCAGCCAGAGAGGCTCGGGATCATCGTGGGGAATCTCGTTCGGACCGTAATCGTGCAGTCTCGAGAGGGCTTCGGCGGGAGTCAAGCCGTGAGTAAGAGAGGTGTCGAGGTAGGTGGCGGCTTCGGCGGGGGTCATGTAAGAGAAGTCGTCGGCCACGCCCTGTTTGCTCGTCTGTCAGCGTCCCGGACTGGCTGGGCGTGTCAGTGTCTCAATGGCATGGGGCTCGCAACCTACTCTTGATTCCGCAGAGGTAATGCGGTGTCGCGGTGTGTTACAGCCGGACCGCGACTGCTCGATTTCTTCGAGGGTCGCAAAGGTGCCCTGGCCGGGGGATTTTTGGTAGAAGGGAAGGACATCGTCATTGTCCTTCGGCCCACCGAGTCGGTCCATGATGGCGGAAACGGTTGTTGCTCGTGAGAGGTATTATGAGAAAGGCAGAGGGGAAGACGTGAAGTGCGGAACTAAAGGTAGTATGTAGTCTAACAAGGCCCGGGCGCAAAGGGGCCCGAAAGGGATGGGAAATCCAGGCCGAACGTCATGCACAGCTGCAGCGGCAGCACCTACTTGCAGACGGTGGTCAAGGTCGAGGATAAGGAGCGTCCGAAGGGGTAGGTGAAAGAGAAAGGGCGGTTTACAACTAATACAGGCGAACAGAAAAGAAGATCATGGCGTCCCCTGAGAGTTGGAGACCGAAAGATTTTGGAACGGCGTACGGGATGGATTAGCTGGTATTATATTGTATGGCTCCGGGCCTGTAATGGGTATTGTCATATGGGGTTCCCTTTTGCTGGATGGAGTTCGATCGAGGATCCAGACTCGCCAATTATCTAGACCGATCCGAGTCTCGCTGAGGTGGCGGGTACGTACTCTCTGGACGTGCACTAGGGAAACACTGCCCGGTTCAAAGTGGTCATCCAAATGTTTCGGTACCCCACGACAGCGGCGCTTTGTTTTGCCCTGGGGCTTTCCTCCTGCTTGCTAGACTGTTTGCGGAGAAGCGCGCGAGGCTGAAAAGGGGCAACATTAAACAGCAACATTGAGAAGCATTTTAATGGAGTTCTGGAGGTTGCGAGTAGCGGTGTTCACAGCCTTGTGCATATCTATACAACTTGTATACAACGGATAGTCTTTGGTTACGGTGCCTTTTTGAACAAGACATCAGCGGGACAGATTTCAAGCCTGTAGGTGCATCAAGTGTGCATGCTTGCCATAGAGATAATGTATGCACTCTCGTTGAGCCTCGTCCCTTTCCTTGCTGCATTCTACATCGGTACCTCTACATTTGTCTATAAGTCACCATAGACGACCACGGGAGATGTTTTCATGATGGAAGGCGCTTGTCGTACTCCGGTCGTCCCTCGCTGCTCCACGGTTGATCCTCAAATTTGGGCATATTCAAAAGCCGACAGATCGGCAGACAACGAACACCCCTTTCACATGGTATGATGAGCTGGTCGTTGTGAGGTGACGAATGCCTGGCCAGGGTGTACCGTACCGAAGCGGGATCCCCTATGCGGCTATGCCTTTCCCCAGTTTTTAGCCACAGCCAAAGGACCACCCCCATTCAGGTACACCGTCAACCGGCACGAACCACGTCTTTTAAAAGTGTGTCTTCAACAGGTTAGAAAGGTAGGTAAAAGTATGACCAGTGAAAGAGGTCGACTTGACGGTTGGAGAGACTTCTTGACGTCGACGGCGTACCTTGGCTCCTTGGTGGTTCCTAACCTTGTCAAGATGTCCTGTTTCGGAAGACGAACGGATTCAGGTGCTATCAAGCCACTTCAAGTCCGATTCCAGAAGTGGCTGGTGAGACGGTTTTCCTAGGACACGGCACCAGCCCAGCCTCTCAAATTTCGTAGGTTGTGCATCCACTCCCGCGCTCGCCCGCAAGCGCACTGACACTCGCCCGCTCTCAGGACCCCGGTCTCAGCCGGGTCGTCCAAACCTGAATCGTCCGTCAGAACCTGGAGCTTCGCTGCCGCTCTTGTCACAGATCCCCTCTTCTTCTCTTCCACTCTTCAGCCCAACAACAACACTAGCTTCATCGTCGCCATCCAACCCTGCTGGCTGTCGCATCACAATCGCGTCTTTTGGGTTCAGTACCTGAAACCGTTGTTGACCGATTCTTCGACAATTGACCCGAATGCGCTTTCTCCTTGCTGCCGCTGCACATGTGTACGAGTAGCGCCCACGGTCCTTGCAGTCTGTAATTTCAACGCGCCATTCCCTGCTGCTTTGCTGAGCTCCGGTTCTAAACGACGCGCTTGCCGTGTCCCTACCCACTCACCATCGCAACACCCCATCAACACCACCACACCACCACACCTACCTGGGCATCGCGAAAAACACCACGGGCAGCAACCGACCACGCACTGCTGCGCCATAGCTCGGTCGCGTATCACCCAACCTCGTCGCCAATTTGTTCCGTATACTTGCTGTTCCATTGCTACACCTAACAATAAACTCTCGTCGCCATGTTTTGGTCGGGCACCCTCCTTAGTGCCACAGGGCCGTTGGCGAAAGCCTGGCTCTCGGCCAACCAAGAGCGCAAAGTCTCCAAAGTCCAGATTTTGCAGCACAACCTCCAAGACAGTGTCGATGCCATCATTGCCCCTAACGATGCACCGCTGGCCCTTCGGCTGAGCGGTCAGCTGCTTCTCGGTGTCGTCCGCATTTACAGTCGCAAGGCGAGGTACCTCCTCGACGACTGTAATGAAGCCTTGATGAAGATCAAGATGGTATGCCTAGTTTGTCTTGCTTGGGTTCCGCTCGCCTACTAACTTGTCACAGGCCTTCCGATCTACCGGAAACCACGATATTCCCACCAACCTACATGTTCAAAACAGTGAATCTCTCATGCTTCCCGATCAGATCACGCCATACGATAACCTCGATCTACTACCACCCCCGAGCGCCGACTACCTGGCGTCACAGATCGAAGAGGTTACTGGCGCTCCTATTATGGCTCGCAAGGTGCAAGTCCGTGCCAGTCAGCGCGATATCAACCTCCAGGAAGACTTCAACAACAGCCAGTTTCTGAACAACACCATGGTCGACGAGGAAGAGCTTGCACTCGCCAACAACGACGATCTCGGTTTGGAATTGGACTTCGGTATGGATATTGACGAGAGGCCAAGCAAGTTCATGGACACGACGATTGAAATGGGCAGAGACGCGCCTGACGCTAGAGCCGTTGAGGACGACATCTTCAGCGAGTTGAGTGCTGGACCCGGCAAGCAGCGCGGGACCCGCGAGCCGTCGCTAGGACTTGATTTGGACTACGGTGATGGCATCCGGATCGCCGATGATGAGGGAGACATTCAAATGGGCGATGACGACCTCCAGTTCAACGTTGCGGACCACTCTGAGATTCCCGAAGGCCTTTCTACCCCAGGTGCTCCGGATATGGCTCGCGCTCGCATTTCCGAGTCTCCCTTGTCGGATATCGATGACGAGTTTGCCAAGGAGGTTGAGATGGAATACAGCCGCCACAACAACTCGGATATGTACGAACCTGGCGAGGACCCGACCGCAAGCACGATAATCGCTCCCCAGAGGTCGAAGAAGAGAAAGCTTCTTCAGCCTGATGAGCAGACCATGCTCTCGAACGCCCAGATCAAGGAGCAGCAATCGAAGCGCGACAACATCCTCAAGCCGCAGTCCTTCGTTACCCAGGATCCCTACCTGATGGCTTTGCTCGACCTGCAAAAAACCGGAGCCTTTGTTAGCAATGTCCTCCTCGAGAACCGGAGTGACAGCTGGGCCGACGAACTCTCGGACATGTTGTCTCTTACCACTTTCCGCCCCTTCGATCTGAAGAGGAAGCGGGATAGTGCGATTGCTGACATGGAGGACGGCACGCGCAAGTCGCCCCGCCTCGAGCTTCCCGATGACGAATCCACGGTTGTCGGCCGCGCGGAAAGTATCAACGGCAATCAGAGTGAGACTGCCGAAGGCACGGAGATTGAGCTGGCTGCAAACGACGACGGCGCTGTCTTCCACGATGACGACCAGGAGCGACCTGGCTCGAGGAATGCCAACAGCCCTGTTCCCAACTTCGACGAGACCATGGCGCCCATTGTGCACCCTGCGGACAGCGGCCCGGTTTCGATTGGCACCAAGCACGCGGTCCACATTCTCCGCGATCTCTTCGGCGCTGAGGCCGCTAACAACGCCGACAAGCGCAAGAAGACCGCTGTTGTCTTCCAGGATCTTTTGCCCGAGGGCAGAACGACCAAGGCCGATGCCACCAAGATGTTCTTTGAGTGCCTGGTGCTTGCGACCAAGGACGCCATCAAGGTTGAGCAGAAGGAGGGCGCGCTTGGCGGTCACATCCGTATCCGCGGCAAGCGCGGGCTTTGGGGTGACTGGGCTGAGCGCGAGGCTGGCGGTGAGATGGCGGCTCAACAGTCCCAGCAACAACAGCAGCCGATCAACCCCGATGAGCCCCAGCCTTCTATCGAGACCGCTGCTCAGCCAATCGAGGCCTCGGCTTAAAGTCTGAATTTCTACGGTGTTGGGGTTGTCAAAGGTTATGACGGGTTTTCACGGCTCATACCCTGTACAAAAAAACATCTGTTCTCTTGATGTAGCGGTTACGATATCACTTTGTCCAGCCTAGTCGGTCAGTCTGGGAGGAGCAGGAGGGGAAAGAGGAGGAAGGGATGATAAGAGTAAGAGAAGGAAGAGGAAGAAGCATGGCGGCTATTCTGTATTTCATCCCTTGTTGTTCCGATGATGTCTTGTTCTTTTTTGCTTTTTCTTGGTTCTGGTGTTGATTATCTCTCTTCGTTTGGCATATTATATCTCTCTTGTTTGGTCGTTGTCGTCAACAGCGACCAAGTGGCGTTTGTGGCGCTTCCGGATTTTTGTAAGACTGGAAAGATACCATGATTACTTCATCTTCTCCTGTCGGAAATGATGCTTTCTAAGTTATCTCTTGCTGGGTTCCCTTATTGTTTTTTGTTTGTGTCCGGAAAAGTCGGAGGGAGCGAGAGCGTACGGTTCAGATGGAAAAGCAGGAAGAAACGATGGTACGACGGTTTCATGCCTTGTATGGAAAGCGGAAGGGAGCTTCAAAAGAAATCATTATGACCATAAGACCTCGGGGGTAATAGGTAAAGACCCGTCTCGCGCTGCATGTGTTGTGACTGTGCGCCCAAATAGCGTCATGAAACTTTTTGGAATAGGGCGTAGCTATGAATTGAATAGCCAAACATACATCAGGGCTCGAAGAAAGACAAGCCCCTGGTGACATTGGCATCTGTCTCGTATCCCAGCATTATCAGGCCCTCATTTTTGTTCGACACTAATATCGACGACAATCATCTCCTACCTCATCACCCTGTAAATTCAGGGGGTGAGTAAAGAATCCCTCGAAATTAGGTACCTCGTTGACCACGCTGAGTACTAAGGAAAGAACAAGAATTGCCCAAGTACACTACGCTTACGCTAGAGGGGAGAGAATAGAACCTGAAAAAGAATATGCAACACCTTCCTCGAATAACGGCATCCAACCTCAAAAGTCCCAAACAAAACATTTCCGAGCTAGCTCCTGAGTGCCTATCCATCATTAGAGGTGCTCTTCCATCGTTAAGAGGTACCATTACGTCTTCCGGCCATTTCTTGCAAAGAAAGCAACCGAAACCACACACACCCACCCTCGTATACCCAGTCATGAAGTCCCGCTCACCCATACAGCAAATCAGCCTCCTCCTACATCGCCTTCTGCCTATTATCCTCCACAACAACTATCTCCTTCGCTTCCTTCGTCTCCTCCTTCTCCACACCAGAGTACTTATTAATCCATGCCAGGACTTGCTGATGCCAGACAAGACTATTCTCTGGCTTCAGAACCCACTTTTTTCAGTAGTCGTTGGTTAGCATCAAAGGTTTCGTTTGTTGCGTTTATTTGCTGTCCCGTTGAGTCGAGAAGCGGGCTGTTGGAGGTGACGGAAAAGTAGAAGCGATGGCAAAGCGCTTGCTTTGAACGGCTAGGCTCCTTGAGCGCGGGGTGAGGAGTGAGGACTGAAGGAGGGGGAGGACCGGAGGAGGATTGGTAGTCGCTGCTGAGACTTTGGAAGGCCATCTCCTGCGATTCTGGCAGTGACTGACTGCCACTACACGGGGATTCTGATTTAGTTATCTGTCATGATAGGTGTTGCTTACGTGGTTCTCATCGGGAAACATGACTAGTTTGCTGGGGATTCCCTTGGATTGGAGGATGTTGAAGGGCGAGAGGCCTTCGGTTATCGGGAGACGGTAGTCGAGTTCGCTGTGTATGATCTGTTTCGGAAGAGAGAAGGCGTGGGTGGTTAGTGGGAGTGCCAGGCAGCCAAAAATGGTGATGTTTGTAGAGGTGTTGAACTCACCAACTGCGGCGTGGCCCACTCGTTCACATGCTGAGCAGGATCCCACTTCTCGTACCCAGCACGGTTATCGTATATGGTTCCCTCGAAGTCGTGGATAGGGAAGAAGAGCTCCTCGGTGCTCCACTGGGCCAAGGTGCTGAAGACACCATCGTGGCAGACGAGCGCCTTGAACTTGCGTCCTAGAGGATGGCCTTGGATCCAATCTGTTTTGGAAGAAAAGACATCAGTAACCGTCCACGGGTCTTCGTCACATCCCAGGAGTCAACTCACTGATCATATAACCACCATAGCTAGCACCCAACGCGACCGCCCTATCCGTATCCACGTACGGCATGTTCTTCTCGATGTGCTCAAACGCATTAACCAGATCTTCATACGGCCTGCCACCCCACTGGCCTTTGATGCCATTCTGCAGGGCCATGCCGTAGCCCGTACTTCCTGTCGGGTTCGGGCTCACGACAACGTAGCCTTGCTCCGCAAAGACGGCTGGGTTCCAGCGGTTGCTCCATCCATCTTGCCAGGCACCCTGGGGCCCGCCGTGGATCAGGAAACAAAGGGGGTACTTCTTCTTTTCGTCGAAATTCGAGGGGCGGACTACGAGCGCGTGGACGTCGTAGTCGCCGGCTCCCTTGAAGGTGATGTCCCCAATACTGGACCTCGACAAACCGAACGTCTTGCCTTGCTTAGAGTTAGACGAAACAATGTCGGTGGTGTTGGCGGATGGGTCGACGATGCTGTAACAGCTGTTATCAACCAGAGAGGTACTTGAGACCAGGAGCTTCGAAGATGAATCGTCTTCGGCAAGGAGTCTGATATCGTTAACGCTGCCATCGGCAGTCTTGATGACCGTTGGAGCGTCCTTAGCATCAGCTGGGTTGGAAGGGACCTCCCAGAGGTGGACGCGGGCGTTCTTCTCAGCTGTCACATAAAGCGACTTGTCATCGGCGCCCCAGAGAATGGCTTCGGGACGATAGTCCCAGCCACCTTCGCCGTCGTCCGTTGCGAAGAATTCTTCAGTCTTGCCCAAATCGGTAATATCAGGTAAAAGCATCAAACGGGGCTTGTCAGATTCGTATTGCTTGCTCCGCATGCGGGTGAACGCCACCTTGCGGCCGCAGTGCGAAAAGACCGGACTGTTGGTGTATCCTTCCAGGCCAGGTGTCGACACAATCTGGGGTGAGGGTGGTTGCTCCTCGGTGAAGGTCTTGAGCGGAACATAGTAAAGGTCGGTCTTGGTGTAGATGGCAGGGTTGAGCTCGGGGTCCTTAGCAACAAATACCAATCCCGTGGGGCTGATATCGAAGTCACCAGTGCCTCCGAAGGGCGGTACTGGAGATTCAAGCTTCGATCCCGCCAGGGCGTTGACGAGACTGCGGCCCGCTAGCGTAAAGCGACCGTTCTTCTTCTCCAGCGCGGTATACCAAAGCGAGTTCTTGTCCTCTCCTAGCCACTCGTCCCAATGGCGGACAAAGAGACTGGTATAGACCTTGGCGCTAGAATATGGCTTCTTCGCCGTCGCGGGGTTGGAGAGCTGTCCATCGGGGGTAGCGTAAGCTGAGCAGACGAAAGCGACGGTGCCGTTCGGAAGCTCTTTGATCTTGATATTGGAAATGCGGGCCTTGACGGTAGTGACCTCATATGCTCTAGAGGTTCTGTTTAGCAAAGCTTGGACTTGTTCATTATCGATGGGTTATCTTACTGAGATCCTGGGCGCGCGATCTTGTCGACCAAGACGGTGGTGTTGCCCTTCTCATCACTCTTGAGGTAGAGGAACTCGTCGTCGCCAATCCATATCGGTTCGCTAGCGCTCAAGTCATCGACAAGAAGTGTTGACTGGCCAGATTCGATATCAAGAAGTCTGATCTGGGAAGTCTTCCTGTGTGTTTCGAACGAGTACGTGGTCACCTTTGTGTCGCCAAGGCTCTGGTCAGCGACGGGACTTACACACAACCCCCACTCATCACTTCTCAGATTCACATGTGGTCCAGATTGTTGTTACGCGTTACGCGATCCCATCTTGTACTCATCCCAACTTACTGTGAATAGTGCCTTGGTCCCCTTGGCATTGGGGATAGCTGGTGAACGGCGTGGCGCCGACAGCAGCACCTCGGGCGTGAACTTGGTTGCTGTAAGAGTCATGTTTGATACTGCTATTGATATAGCAGATGCGTCCGCGCCAGGAAAGGCTGATATGAGGAGGATGCAAGAAAACACCAAGTTCCAAAAACGTTGAAGAAGTAGTAACGACCACATCCCCTCTTTCAAGTCTAGGCATCTGCTACTTTTAGGCATGCGACGGTGTAGCTTCTACAGTGACAAGGCGCCGTGAGGGTTGCAAGCGGGCTGCTTCCGTCGTGAGGGGTAGGCAGCTGTAGGGTAGCCTCCGTCGCTGCCAAGGCATCGAGGGGAAGCTGTGACCCCACCCCATGGTGTAATCGACGGCGCTCTGTTTCCACCCCGTCATGTACCCGACACTATCTGAGATGTCGTGCATTTGGTTTATGCTGCAATGATTCTCACCGGGAACTTCACCGGCCGGAAGCTTGGTGATGTGTCTTCAAGGTCCTTCCGTGAGCCGTGGTTGGCAGAAGGAGTGTGAACTTCGGCGCGCTTGACAAACAACCATCACTTGGCGCCCGGAAAGCCCCAAGTACGAAAGTGAACGAGACCACCGAGATCAAACTCGACGCAGCACAGACCACTTCCCGTTGTTGAGCAGCAGCCAGCAGGTTCGTCGCAACTCGAGCATGAGAAGCAACCAGATGCAGGCAAGGCAGGAACGCGTTTGCAAACGAACAGACGCAAAAACAAGAGCGAACAGAATGAGCGCGCTTCGACGCAATGCTCAGATAGGGACAGTTTTCTTCTCCACGCTCAGAGCCGAAGCCCCAAGATCGCAATGAAAAAAAAAAAGTTTGATGGAAGCGCGTCAGACTTCCATCGACACCCGCCCCGCCAAAGCGCCCGAAGGCAGACCTCTGGAAATCGGGGTACAGATCATCGCCACTCTCTATACAGTCGCCGTGAAGCGACCGCCACCTTTGCAGGCAGAGCGAGAGTAAATAAAGGACCTCACTGTTGGGCGCCGAGGATGTTGATCATCAACCGCGGTGGGATCTGTGGCTCCTTTAGGGAACACAAAAGAGGACAAATACTATAGAAATGATTCTCCTGCAAAGCGCAGTGTGGTTAGCATCGTGTGTTGCGAATGTGCATCTCCCAGAGAGGAGAGAGGAGAGCGGATGCCAATAGTAGGGGGGGACTCACTGAAGTATTGTCGACATGAAGAAAAAAAGAAAAAGAAAATCGAAATGGAGGGAGGGAGGAGCATCTTTTATACCCTCCCAGAGGTGCTGCACCCGGTCTGTGCGCACCTGCAAATTTTCATGGGCTTTGCAAGTTTGTGTGGACCGCCTCGTGACCGGCCCACCCACCCAATCAGAGCAGAGAGCGGGCTCCTCCCAACCGCAAACGCCGTCCCGTCAGGACCGACAACACACATGCTGGCAGTTGGCAGGCAACACAGCTTCTGGCACTGCGCTCAGCTCTCATGGAAGACTTCACGATCTCGCCATTAACAGTGTGCAACTGATGCCATATCAAAGGTTATCATTTCAACTTGGTCAAAGGTTCTCACTAGCCTCCCTTGGAAACCTGATTCACCGGGCGTAATAGTGAGACCGCGAGAATTCCTGGACAACGGATCTAGGTTTGGGAGACAGAAACAGCAGATATGCGGTGCTCTCCCAACTCCAGCTCTTTGAGCTCGCTTCCTCAAGAAATTCACAGTTCATCCGCAGATAACAAATAAAAATAGGTTGCTGTCTCGATAGCTTGTCTCGAATGCCCAATTGAATTGATAATAATGCCCGTCCCAAACGCCGCGCTCTGCTTAATCCATTGAACCCATTTGTACCAACCCAAAAACGCCGTGTACCATCCAATACTTCCTCCTATGCAGAAACAAAAAAAAACCATGCGCAACAGGAACCCGACGGCAACCCGACCGTAACATGACGCAGATCCAACTCTGGTCTTTCTCCCTGACCACAACGGATTCACTTGCGAACAGCCCCAAAGTTTGTCCTTGCCTTCTTCGTCTCTCTCGAGTCCGTCTCGCTATCTTCAACTCCCGCACCCGACGTCGTAGCTTTCTTCTTCTTGGAATTGGCCTTGCCGGCTGTGGCCGACGTGGGCGTCGGCGCACTCGATGCGCCGTCCTTGTTATTGAACGTTGTCGAGACCGGTGTCGGCGCGTGGGAAGCGGGGGCCGAAGAGGCTGGTGTTTGCGATTCTTGTTGCTGTGGGTTTGCAAATTAGTTAGCTTGACAGAGCTCTCTCATGATGGCCAGTATCCAAGCGGCTTCGAAGTGTGAAATGAGGTGCAGTTTGGCAGATGCGAACGAGAGAAAGAGGACGGTGGATGGTGGATGGGAAAGTGTCTGGGTGGAAGGAAGGGGGGGAAGAGAATACAGAACGACGCACAGCCGCCGGATTGTATGATATCGAACTCCTCGAGAAGACACGGTTCGCGTCTGTCAACCCCGTCTTCCGGCGCTGTGCTGCGACATTGGCGGTGCCCTTGGTGTAGTTGTCGAAGCCTGTGATGATGTTGCCCGCTGGCGTGTTTTCGAGGTACTCGGTTTCCTTTTGGTAGATGGATTCTTCTTGCGCAAGCTTTATTTTGTTGTTGTATCAGCAGGCGAGTCGACGCTTGGTTCGTTGGTTGCGACGGCAATGCCTACCAGACGTTTTTCCAAAAGCTTCTTCTTGTTCAGCAGCTCTTTAAGATGCTGTCGCTGCTTTTCGTAGTATGGGATACCAGCTGCGCCGTCGGCCGTGCCCATTTTTGGACCCGAGTTATCCATCATTGCAAGTTCGCCAACTCCAATCCGGTCACGGGTCGCTTGTTGTGTGTGAGGTCTGATGATGTTTTGGGGAAATGCCGTGGTGTTGCGCCGTTCGGGTGTTGCAGCGCGTTCGAGACGCTGCGATAGTGGATAAGGTGCGGGTAGCTCTTTAGGCTCATGCAGGTGATGATGGAGCCGAGTCCCTTGGCGCAGGCGCACGGGCGCGAGCGGAACACAAGCCGAAAGGAAGTACTCTTGTACTGTTTTGTTTACATTGACCATCAGCCCCTGAACAACGACTGCTTCTAATCCAAGAACTCAGTCGTCTGTTCTTTCTGTCTTAACATTGTGGTGAAGCCTTTTATATAGGATTTGATGCAGTTGAGAGTTGGGACAAAAATGTTTTTGTTCTGAAAGATTATTTTAGTACTGATATCCAGTCATTTGCGTAATTAAAGTGTACAACCACGTAAGGTTTCAACCAGATCCGGTGCCAAAGGCTCTGATGATACAAAAAGATACGTACAAGCAGGACACCAGATATAAACTCGATTTGGAAACTTCAAGGGCAAAAATAGAAGAAGTCCGATGACTGGGAAAAAAGCGATGAAATGAACAAAATGAAAACATCAAAAAGATAAAAAAAAACATACAACACCTGGGATTCGCTGGTCGTCACCGACCCAACTACTAGTCAGGCGATTGGTAGCTTATCTATGGGAGAGCGGACGGGATCCCGAGTTTTCTACCATCTATGGTCGTATGTGCTTGTTGAGCACAATTCTGTCAGTTATATTGGAGCGGCTGCGTGCTCTTCCTCACCAAAAAAAAAAGACTTCTGCTTCTGCGAACCAACTCATCGGTTTGCATCACCTGGTTGCCTGACTTCACGACATCGTGGTGTCATAGTTTCCACCTGATAACTAGAGAAGTCACTATTAAGGAAAAGACATCAGGGTCTCTTCTATCTCTGTTTGAGAAGGGACCCTCTGGAGCAATATTACTTGACGGTGAACGTGGATCGTAACCTTTAGTACTTGGTGTTGGATACAAAAAAAACCGATTGTTGGATTCAATGTAACTGCAGATAATGGAGCAAGTGCAAACAGCCTCAATGTACATGGTTCCGATCATTGTTTTCTTCACATACCTACATTTGTTGCGTTCTACCATTTAATACGTGTGTCATCCATTTTTCCTAGCCTTGCCTGGGCTTTCCCTCACAGAAAGATTCATGTTAAGAATGAACAATGGGTTGACGTATTCAAAGACGCTCCCAAGATCCGAGTGGTCTCCCAATTCGAAGTGTGTAGCATATAGGCATGTTTGGCCTGCTGATGCCGTCTTGATGCGGACCACTCAAGAGGTAATGGTTCCGGTGCTGTAGCCCAATTGATGACCAAGTGTAAAAGCAGTACAGATATTGTCATCTTTTCACTATGAAACAAGCTGACTTGCCGTAGTCTAATCAAAACCCTGCCGGCATCTTACGGGACTCACGCATGACGTTCTCGGTCAGCCCTTTGCCTTGTGTTTTGGAACTCGGCGCTCCTCAGGACAAGTCGCAACCACTCCGCATCCTTTTGCGAGACCGCATTGGGATTCCGTTCCAATGCTCTCGAAGCTCGCACCCACCGCTGCATGGCTTCCACGCTCATGGTAACAGGCTCGCCAGGCTCGACGTAGGGATCTCTGAACGATTCTCCTGGGCCGAATCCCTCTCGGAGACGGGGGTCAAGGAGGGGATCGTTGGGTCGGAAGTCAGCCGCGGCTCGATCTTCCGGTTCGTCGTCCCATTCCGAGTCGTACTCGCGGCACAGAGCGTCCATTTCTCTATCGTATTCCATCATCTCTTCAAATTCCGAATCGACCCATTCCTCCTCTTCTGGTTCTTCAATGGACAGCTCATTCAGCATAGGTCCGAGAAATTTGTCTTCAGGGTGAGAAAGCATTTTGTCGTAGTCCTGGATGGTTTCGAGGAAGAAAGTCACGTCCTTGCGGTAAGGTGCAACCACCTCTTTGTAAACTTCGGAAGCAAGGACCAGGAACTCTGTCATCTTGCTTTCTCCTCCCAAGGGGTCGAGCGCCGTGGAGAATATGTAGCCCACCACGAAGGGAAGCTGATGCTCCCTCTCTATCCAACCTGGCCCGGCGACCCGGCTAAAGTACGGATCCACGGCGGTTTTGAGACTGCGCAAAAAGTCCCAGCATTGTCGGTGCATTGCAAGATAATCGACTGACGTTTCGGGGATTTCGGCTTCAATATCAAGGGCCAGCTGGTGGATGAGTTGCGATGGCGTGGCCTGAGGTGTTTTCTGTGGATTCGGACTTTTCTTGTTGAGAATCGCTTGCACATCGTCCACTGACAGCTTGATTCCTTCCATGCTTGGCCTATATTGGTTATGAAACATGGAAGATACCTTACCTTGAGCCACGAGAGAGCGTGGACCTGCTTTGGTGGGCACGAGCTTCCGAGTCTTGTTTCTGGTGCTTGCGATGAAGCTGGTTGCCGAAAAGCCCATCATCATGCAAAGCTGTTTGTGGTAGTTGTCCCGCTCTGTGGGTGCCGCGCCGACAAAAAACTTGTCTTTACCGCCTTGCAATCGATGTAAGAGATCCATATCGTCCCATTTCGCAGCGCCGTTGATCAGATTCTCATTATTCAAGGCGTTGTAGAGATGGCCAGTATAGAGGATGCCGCCCCAGCAGCGCTCGAACTGGGCTGCAAGGAGGTGGTAGGTTGTGCGGATGTAGTGAATCCAGAGACCGCAGAAAAGCGGATGCATCTTGAGAAAGGTGTGTTCCTTGTTGTTACGGGAGGTTAGAAGTCCTGTGGACTCGATCACTTTGTATAGCGGGTTCTCGGTGAACCAGCGCGCCTCATTTTGGAGCCTGATAAGTCGTTTGTCGCCGTCGACTTGATCCCAGCCCTCTGTTGCGCACAGTTAGCAGTGGACCTGGAAATTCTAGAGACTGACGAGGCAGGTCTTACTGATGGTCAAGTTCTCATAATACTCCAGATTTTGGGTTATACTGTCATCGATGGCCATATTGTAGCGCATCATGGCCCAAAAGGGCTTCTCAGACTGCCGTCCCAGAACGCGACGTATATCGAGGTGAATGGCTGTAGCAAACCCGAGCCAGAAAGGTAGGACCTTGTCTTTGTTGGTAAGGAGAAGACGAAGCCCTCGCAAGAGTTCGTCCTCAACGGGCATACCAGAATACAATCCTTCCGGGAGGGCATCTGGAGGAGTGGTGTTGAACCTTCCCATGAGATCGAATTGGGGCGCAACCTCCAAGAAGGCAGCTTTATCTTGCTGCCATTTGACGTCCGGAGGTGCTGCATCATAGTCGATCGTCGGTTCATACCAGCCAAACTTGCCGTTATAAGTCACCACCTCACTTGACGCCCTTGCCTGGTTGATCCATGCTTCGAGAAGGATGAAGGAAAGGGTCATGGACTCGTCGAACATGGGAAAAGCGTCGAGATTCATGTTACAGCCTGGAGTGGGTTTGGTTATATCGATGCCTTGGCTGCTGGCAGCCATTTGGTAGTAGAACAGGGCCCAGTCCTTGGCCGTCTTCTTGTCCCCGTTCAAGCGGATGCTATCGCCAGCATCTTCCTCCATGTATCGGGCAATATTGATGGCTGTGTTTGTTGCAACGGCCACGGAAGGCAAAGACAGCTCGCCCTTGGCATAAGCAGCCCATAGACTCCTGACCTGCATCCTGAGAGCGCGGACATCGCGAAAGAGGGTAGCAAAGGCGACGAGAGAGGACGCAGCGTCTTCAGCTTCATACTCAACAACGACGCCCTCGTCGACTGTTTCCTTGCCCTTGGCCGCTTGCTCTGAGCTTCCTGTGGAGTCTCCCCCAAGGTCAAAATCGGGAGCATCATAGAAGTCGAGAAGATCAAACGGGTTGGCGGTTGCTGTTGTCTCGGGTAGCTTGGGAAGGGCCCTTTTGGTCCAACAGTCTTTAAACAATGGCTCGAGGACATGGCGAACTTTCTCTAGAACCGAGACAAAGTAGGAGTGGTTCTCGTTTGACTCAAGCTTCAGGGCGCGGCCATGTTCCTGGAGGAGCTGGGCGAAACCCTTGCGCACCGTGATGGCGCGCTCAATAGCAGTTGGAACGACGGCCGGAATTTCAACGATCTTTGCTTCGTTCAACTTGGTACCGATGAACTCGGCGAGCGGCACAAAGTTTTTGAGCGCCAGCACATACTTCTGCCTCGTCTGCGACTGGTTTGAGAAGTTGTCAGCCTGCCTGTGCGCTTGGGCTTTGGCCGATTTTCGGGCTTTGCCCTTGAGGCGGGCACTTTTGAGGTTGACATTTGTGGGAGAGGCCGAGTTGGAAGCGAGGAGTTCGGTGGCGCAGCCCAGTGTCTTTCCGGTCTGGGCTAGCCACGAGGCAACGATATCAGTATCGTGCTTGTATTGGCGATATGTGCTGTAAAGATTGCTTGGCAACATCATGACCTATCGAGAAGTTGATGTGATCAAAAAGGCAGCACTGTAAAGCTTGGCGAGACGAACAGTAAATATGAGTTTTGCGCTAACAGCCACTAACAGATTCACATACAAGCTGCTTGCAGTGAAGTTAATGCCTTCTAAAGATGGTGCACAACACCACCTGCATGAGTCGCGACAAAGCTGCAGTGTTTTTATGGATCCAACTCTCCATCTTGGCACAGCAACCACTCTTGTGCAAACAAAACAACCACATCCATCCGCGTGATTCAGCACAAATTTGGCCATTTCAATCACATCCCTTTCACCTTGGACCCTTCGTGGTCCCAGTCGACAGATATGGGTTCATGATTACCCGAGAACTTCTGGCCTCCAAACCACAATTCGAACCTCAAATCAGCCGGCGCTACAATCACCCTGACATCAAACTGACAGATGTAGAAGGTGACGCCGCGGGACCAGCAAGTTCCTCTCTTGTTGACTTTGACAAGCTGATCTTGCTGGACTCCTTCCAGATTGCTTTTCACTTCACAAAGCTTATACGCTCCATCTGCAAGACATGTCAGCCAGGGATTCACTACGTGCTGGACGTGGTGGGTGTCGGGTACCAACCTTGCTTCATGCTACTGGGTAACTGTGACGGATCATGGTGGGAGACGACGATTTGAGACTTCCACGCCCTTGTCGTCTCCGTTGCGGCAAGCCGGATCTGAAAGGATTTCACTAAAAACGCGTTGGGGTTTACCAGATCGCCCTTTTTAATGAGCCACTGGACTTGGTTCACGGCCCATTTCTTGCTCGGCTCAAATGGGTCGGGGCGGACGTCTTCGTTGGAATGCATGGCGGGCACGTAAATCTCCTGGACAACGACGCCGTAACTTGCTCGAGCAATGCGGGTTGATAACACTGAGGTGGCTCCTCCCGATTCCCATCGCTGTTGCCGGTCAAGGAGAAGGCCTCTCACCACCACCAGCTGAGGGTCATTGCATGGGATGACTGCCACTTGGTCGCTCGCGTTGGGATGCTGGTAGGCAAGGAATCGCTGCTGGAGCTGGTCACGGACGTAAGCTGAGCTGCCCAGTCCGCCCGAAAGAACCATGTATTGCACCTGGTGCAAGTGTCCCATGGTTCTGAGCCATTCTAGCTCGCCCATTATCCGGTTCACAATAGCCTCAATTTGCGGATCAAACAATGATTGTATCTCTTGACTGTTGCGAGGTTAGCCAGTCATCCATGGGATCATCTGACCGCTTCGTCTGACAACAAATACTCACAGCGTGAAAACCATCCTCCCGTTCTCGATCCCCAGGCCAGCGTGGCTAAAGTTATACGACAATCCTTCGATAGGAATTCTGAACAGCGCTTGCATATACGCCCTTTCGCCAAACTTGTGCTTCATTGTGCGAAACTGGTGACTTCTCGCCAGCCGCAAGGGCAAACCGGGAGGTATATGCGCCGCAGCATCTGGACAGGCTGCTAGCCTCTGTGATACCAAGCGTATAAACAGCCGATCGATCAGTGTAGCTCCTATCCCTACACCATTGACGGCATGCAACGAAGCCATCTGCGGGACGGCCACATTCGAGGAGGTGACCTGCATCAGCGCCAAATCCGTCGTTCCGCCACCAGCATCGACAGTGAGAAAGACACTCCCCATGCCAAAGCTAACGGCACTCGTTTTGAGCGTGGCCACAGCCGCCGCCTCGGCTTCGGTCAGGTCGACCTGCGCAGAGTGCTTCGGGCCTTCAATCCCAAACCCTGCCTCTCTGATCACCTTCTTGAACGAGTTGACGATACTTTGACTCGTCCAGGTGGTGGGAACGCTAAAGAGGAACTCGACTGCCAGGTCTGTCCAGCCGTTCCCAATTCCGCGTCGTCCAATCTGCGTCTCGATCGACTCCTTGACGTGGGCGTAGACCTGCCGGAGAAAGTCGGTCACGAACTGCTGCGCTTCAAAGACGCTTTGCGGTGCGCTGGTGAGGCCGTGCTGCTGCGCGTCTGCTAGCGTATCCGCGTCCATGAAGATCTTGAAGAATTCCCGGCGTACTTTCCCGCCGCCAGGAACTCCGGCTTCAAGCTCGTCGTCGGCACACATGAAACCCCATGACGAGAGAGTGCCGTTGGCGTTGTAGACCAGCGTCGTTGGCACCTTGCGTTCACCTCGGTCACCGCTGCCGGGCCAGTCGCTGATCACTTGGATGGGGGTCTTGGGCGTCATCCATGCCACGCCCGTATATGTTGTGCCCAGGTCGACGGAGACAACAATAGCCGGGCTGTCTGCGTACATCTTGAGATCGTTGTGGGTGAGATGTTTGGTATTTTTCAAAGCAAGTTGTGCTGACAACCGATATTTGATACTAAAGGTACCTCTAGGTCCCTGAGCTCAAGTGCGTGAAGACAGCCAGAGCTGGCACGTTGCTCACTGCTGATATGGGAGAGGAGACCAAAAAGTCCGAGGTTGCCTGCATCACGGAGGCAAAGCTCCAGATGCAACGGAACAAGTAGGAGCTTAACCTTGTATGTCTCCCTGAAGGCAAAAGAAAATAAAAGGTTGGGCGGCCTAAAGTGGTCTAAGTTCGTTTCCTACATCATGACCGGCTGATGGGAGTGGTTGCCCGGGGATCCACGTATCCGACAGAGACAAGGCCACCAATCGCTGGAGGAGAAAGATGCGATTAGCCGTTCACGAAGGCCTGGGTCTACCTAACTATTGCCATGTTTCCATGGACAAGGAGAAGCTGTGGCACGATCCTATAATCAGTCATTTTTGTGGCGGCCAGCTGAAATGCATAGGACAATATGCAGGCATATCACACAGTGTGTAGAGTTTCTCTTGGGCCGACGAGGCTCTGGGCAGGTGTTCCTCCCTGATCATTTTTTATTTCATCTTGTTGAAAGGAATCCTCCGCCCGGTCCTCTTCAGTTGAAAAAAAAAATCAGTCATTCCTCAGAGTTCTTTTGGGCATTGTGCTCTTCATCTTTCACTATGGCGCAGGCTTCAGTTACCACGGGATCAACATCATCACTGACCACCCCGTCGACGTTGACACCGGTATTGACATCGACACCAGTACCAGTATCACAATCAGGATCAAGTTCCAGCTTTTTGACCACCTGCAGTTCTACCATTGTCAATGGAACCAGCACCGTTTATGATCCATCCTGCCAGCCTACAAAATCGCCAACACCGGCTAAAGGCCGGGGCGGAGTGAGCTCTGGTGCAGCGGCCGGCATAGCTGTCGGCTGTCTCATCATCGGTCTTCTCCTCGGCCTTGCCGCCGCCTTCTGCTTCTTCTCAAGGCGAAAGCAAAGACACGGAGGTCATGGCAATGTTACCGAAGTTGCCATGACACCCTCCAAAGATGTGTCCTACGCACAGGTCGGATCAGGGTTGAAGAACCAGGACGACAGCGGCATGCCCGAATTGAAGCACTTCCTTCTTGATTCCCTCTCCGATCAGGAGCTCGCCGCCGAGCTTCGCGACCGACACCATCTCCTCCAGCAACACGTCGAGAACCACTATCACTTTCACCCCTTGGATGCTACACGTATGAATCGCCAAAGCCTCCTTGCGGCCCTCTCCCAACTAGGTCTGGGCCAGGCTGGCTCTGAGGGTCCCTCAGCCGAAACGATTGTCTCACTTGCCTTGGATCCGAACACAAGGCAGATAGCTCTCCAGCACGTGCTATCCAAGGTCATCTTCACGAGCATCGATCCCAGCGCCCGGAGCCCGCTGTCCATGCTTCCCACGTCCGTTGCGGCCTTTCTGCAGTCCATTCCCCCGGATGAACAGCACGAACTCAGAAGACAGGTGGATTCTCAAGGTTCGTTTTTTCGATGTGCTCCCATCACTCACCCCCCTTCACTTCTTCGAAAGCCGTTGCTAACCAAAGTCCAAATAGCTTCCACCCTAGCCCTCCACTGGTGGCGTGTGCTCTCCGCTTTCCTGCTGCACCCCCAACGCAGCCAGCGGACGGCCTTGGCCCCATCAGACGCGGCGCTCGCGCCCCAGGCTGCTGCTCTGGCGCAAGCGCTGAATCGCTTCCTGCGGTACTTTGTCGAGGACTCGGACACGGCCCGATTCCAGCAGGAAAGTCACTTGCGGGAAGTCATTGTCGAGTGTGCCAAGTTTGGGTACGTGCTATTCTCACAGCCGAGTGACTGGTGTTTCTTGCACGTTGTTGGGCACGAGCAAGTGGCTGGCACAGTTTCTAGCTATCGGGGGAAGATAGTGTGCGCCGCTGATCTGGTCAAGCATACTGATAAAGATGGAAGGCGGTTGGGTGGAAGCCACCAAACAAGTGGGACGTTGGTTGTTCCGTCTGTGGCTGGGTGGCGGACTGAGTGAGGTTGTCACGCGTTAATCGACGGGAGGCAGTTCGGCTTAGGCTTTGGGAATTTGGGAAGGCATTGAATACACATTCGAGGATAAGGGATATCTCACTTGGTGCGTAATACGCCTGCTTGGACGGCGAGAAACGGGCAGTTTCCAAGCAGGCAAATGGGGTTCCACGTTGGCCAACCTCCCGTCTACAGCAACATGTGATGGACAACTTTCAGCCCGCGTTTATAGTCCCTGTTGTGATTGGTTTCTCCGACCATCATTGACGACAACGTTGGGCAGTATCCAAACCAACAAGCGACGATCACAAAATCCTCCTTCTTTTCCCGGCCAGAACACTGCAATCTTCCGGCGAGGTTCTCACATGTGCGAACTAACAGCCATTGACACTGTACCCCTTTGTCATGTAAACACTGTATGGCTGCAGACTTGCAGGGGGGGCTTGGGGGCCTGCATTGGTTTGAGGGTGAGACCCCCAAGTTGTGATACAAGTTGGAGGAAGGCAGCTATTAGACGCCGGCTGTGGCGTTTATAATAGCTAGTTCTAGACTTGGTTACATAGTTACATAACTTGAACATTCAGCTTCATATAGTAGGTTACCAAAAAAAACGCCCAATGATTTTTTCCCCCACTTCCCAAACTATAACCACCTTTCTTCTAATGTACTTCACAACTGTATTTCTTAATAAAAATAACCAAAATTCGTTAAGGGAGTATATTAAAGCCCGGGGATTCTAAGGATCTAATTTTAATATTTAGTATACCATCTCTTAGCATTAATAACCGCCTAAATCCTTCTTAGCATCTATTATAGGGCTAGCGCCCAGAGGTATTTGCCTAGCCTGCGCGCCAAGCCAGGCTATTTAGTTAGCTACAGTGATACAGCTTGCTGCCTTAGCTTAGCCTACATTACACGCCATTAGGTATACTCCAGCACAGACCACCTTAGCGCCTTAATATTTCTAGTACCTTTTATGCTACCACTTATATTTAACTATCTTTTTGAAACCGTACCTTTAGCACGCGCCTCTCTTCTTTTCTTTCGTCGAATATTATAATTTTTATCAAGGCCTACCTACGTATATACTTTGTAAACCCCTTAAATTATGTTCGATTACTCTTTTTAACCCTCTAACCGTCTCGAGCTCTCTCGTCGTCTCTAGAACTTAAGACCGGATACTGTTACTACCGCCGTTTCGAAACCCCGCTTCTTTTTCGAAACCGTTCGCCTCGCCGCCGTTTTTTAAACCGGCCCGATATTGTTATCTCTAGTAACGCCAATATTAAAATTAATTTCCATTGTAATCTCCATCCCCGAAAATTTCGAAACCCTTTCCGTTCATTTTAATACCCCGCTCGTTCCTCGCGTCCCTAATTACACAAAAATACAATCTACCGTTCGTAATTATTATATTCGCTTCCTTATATAATAACCTTATATTATAATAATAGACCTTCGCCGTTAAAATAACTTAGAATTCCCCGCTTCTCGCTCTAGCTTTTTACCCCGTTCGAAAATTTGAAACCCAAATCTCGCTTAAACCTTCGCCGTTTTGTTAGGAAATTAGAAATACCCGTATTTCACTCTAAATTTCCGTTTAATGCTACAGTTTACTCTTCGATACCGCTAACGACCGCAGCCGTTACCCTATAGCTCGAAAATCCCGAATTTAATTACGGTTCTTTTTATACTTAATAAGTTATATTAGTAGCTATAGGAATCAATATCCCTAATAAGGGAAAGGAGGATATAGATATCCGCTATTAAGGTAGCCCTATCCCGCCTAATATAAATATAAAAGGAAGAATCTATACCATAAAATTAAAATTATATTACGGTTTTGTTTTTTTACTAAAATTAAATCGGTTAAGGGCTTATCCAGGAATATCGAAATAGAAGAGTATAATAGGAGATTGGAAATAAACCCGGAGAAGTAGAGAGTAGCCTAGTAATACCCAAAGGGTTCAGAGAGGCTCGGGGAATTTAGTATATACCCTATTTATATATTAGCAGTAGCGAATCTTACTAATATATATTAAAGCTCTATTATAGAAAATCGTTATAGTAATAGCCGTTCTATAGGTCCTATAACGAAATTAACGGGACGAGAAGTCTTTTATGGATAGATAGAATCGGGCATTACAGAATTAAAGAAGGTCTAGTTTAGTACGGTAGCTACCGTATAGTTCGAAGGTATACCAGCACTAACGTACGCGTAAATAATAAATATTAAGGTAACGAATAGGACTTTTTTAAGTATTTTATTTCTAAAATAAGTATAATTTACGTCGTTATTTACTCTATTTACTTAATCGTTAGTAATTATATAAAAATAAGTATTAAAGAATTCAAGAAGTATTTAATAGTAGAAAGATAGCCGTTAGAAATTATAATTCCATTGTAATTAGAGATACTAGTAATCTATAACCGGGTTTTATTCCCAGGAAGGCCAGACTCTGGAGCTCCCGCTTTTAGAGGCCTATGGCTGGGATTAGAGCCCGCCTTCCAAATTTATAAGGGTGCGATTGCCATTATTTTAGCTAATTTTGGGTTTTTATTCGTATATATAAATCTTTATCTTTTAGTACTTAGTACTTCGAAAGGGGGAGAAAGGGGGTAATATTACGGGGCTAGCGCCCAAAAGTATTTGCCTGGCCTACGCGCCAGACCAAGCCATTTGGTTAGCTATAGCAATACAGCTTGCTGCCTTAACTTAGCTTACATTACACGCTATTAGGTATATTCTAGTACAGACTACATTGGCGCCTTGGCATTTCTGGTACCTTCTGTGCTACCACTTGTATTTAGCTGTCTTTTCGAGGCCGTGCCTTTAGCACGCGCCTCTCTTCTTCTCCTTCGTCGAATATTACAGCTTTCATCAAGGCCTACCTGCGTGTATACCTCGTAGATCCTTTATAGCATCGAATTAATAAAATAATTTACTATATCTATTTCAAAGTCCAACTAAACTACCACGGCGGCCTCTAATAGCTTTAAGAGCGAACTATTATTCTTTAATATTATTGAAAAATTTAGATATCCGTAGAGAATCCTTTCTTTAAGTAAATACTATAAATTTTCGATCGGGTTAAAATCGGGTAAATAAGGGGGCTATAATAATATTATAAAGCATATCTCTTAAAGCTATTCTCTTAATATCCTCAAAGTATAGATAGGAACATTATTTTATGTAAAGATAATATTAGGCTCTATAAATTTAAGAAACTCTTCTTTAAAAATATCCTTATAAATTCGAATTATAATACCTCCTTTCTTCAATAAGGGGTCTCTATAGTAAAGTACAAGGTCGCTCTTTACCCTATATCGAATTGTACCCCAAAATATTTAACTTTAACGGCCACTCTTATACCGGGCTTAGACATAAGAAGGATTAATCGCCAATGAACCTTAAAAGAATAGATTTAGTTAACTTTTAATCAAAATTTAGTAAAAAGAAAAAAGGGAGTACTATTTGGTACCGGGGTCCGCTTTTTACTTTAGGACGAAAAACCCAGCTCCGTCTTCCACTACCTCCCTTTTCAATAGTAAATTCGTCCGTAAATAAAACCGTCCTCTTAAAGGATAAATCTTTATCGTAGTATTCGAAGGCCTAAGTATATCTTAAACTCGCTGCTTTATTAGAAAGATATAGCTAAATAGCTACTAAGTAGTATCCGATACCTTATTTTTTAAAGTACCGAAACAATAAACTTCGTAAAATATAGGGACAAACGATTCTCTTCAAACTTTCGATGGTAATAAAGGGACTTTTAGTAACTTCTCGCAATATCGCCCTTTTATCGCGCTCATTTAGGACCGGTGGCCGTCCACGGCCGGGTTTAAAAATACCCCAATCTTAATCGGTAAAGCGTTTTACTACGCCTCGAACGTAAACCTCCGTTACACCTTTATATATAGCTACCGCCTTTACTATAATACCTAATACATATCTTGCTGCAATGCGGTTCCTTCATTTAGGGCATGAATACTTAAATTTATCTTTTTTAATAGGGGATAATGAAATTATCGCCATCTTTAATCGTAGTATTAAAAATGATAAAAAAAGAAAAAGTGGCCAAAGCGGGGTAAAAAAAATTATTGGGCGTTTCTTTTGACGACCCACTGTACCATGAACGCCTTGAGGATGTCCATCCCCCCCTCAAAGTGCGTTTCTGTAGGCTGCTTGCCTGTCTAGGTAGCCCTTGACCGGTCCTCATCGTAAGGCTTATCAAGGATTTTGGTAGCTACCTCTACTCACATAGAGGCTTCCAGGAATGCCTTTATTATCCCTGTGTCATCTCCATGTGTCACCTCCCTGTGTCACCACCCTTCTCAACTGCTTTCGATTAGGAATTCCTAGCCAAGTTTGATCAGGCTCTCAGGCCAACACCCTCAAAATGGGCCAGTCAGTACATTAAAGGGGCCCAGATGTAGCCATTGTCACCAGTCTGGCTGCTACCGTTCCATGTCGATAGTCAAAGACGGGCTCTGAAGCACCCAGCTTTTAGTTCCAGACTTGCAGCTGAAGTTGTCTTGGGCCAACCTGGCCGACCGTTCTTCCAGGTTTCCCCGCTTTTTCGTTTTCGTTTCTTCAAACGACAAAGTTGGTTCAAGGTCCGGGCGTGATTGATTGACTCTTTCTTTCTTTCCAAGGTCCAACCTTTACCTGTTGTGTCGAAACTCTTTCTTTGCTGCCTAGAGATAGTCGATCTCCAATCAACCCCAGCGTCACTCTCACCGCTTCCAACCAGCCTTAAGGCTCGTCTTCCACACCTAGGTAACAACATGGAAGTAACGGAAATACCCCCCGGCATTATATCCTCACACAAAGCTCTCCTCTTTGGCATCCCTCTCGACCACGCCTCCACCGCACCCGCAGTCCGCCCCTGTCTCGAGCAGGCGCGAACCTGTGTCGCCGACCTCGAGGACTTGATCAAGCTCTGCAACGAGAACTTGCCTCTGCTCAGGACCAAACCGGCCATCTTTCAGCGGACAAGCAACATCATCGAGAGGGCAAGAGGGGAAATAGCACAAGTATGCCAGTTGTTGGAAAGGATGATGGTGCGGCCTGGCTCATCTGAATCGTATAATGACCGTGACGGCGGTGGCCAGGGCGGCGCCCAGATTCAGATCTCTTTTAAAAATCGCTGGGGACGACTAAGCACCGATGCTCGGAACCTTATTAACCACGAACAACCGCTTGTAGCGAAGGAGCATGGTGCTGTGGTTGGCGAGTTGAATTTTGTGAGGCAGTTGGTGCTTATTGCTCCTACTATTGTCAAAGGACCAGGAGCAGGATTAGACCATCACGGCGGCGGCGAGCGGCGTGCTAAAACGACCGTCTGGGATAACATGGGGCTTCTTGATGAGATAATAGGGGGCGGAGGCGGAAACCGAAATCCAAGTCGAACAACAGAACAGCAACAGCGACAACAAACATATGTCAACTCCAGGTCTGGGTCCGGGGATTACCTAGTACTACCGCCGCCATACCCAGGCACGCCAGGCTCAAAACCACATCCGCTCCCGCCTCAGCTGCGCCCCTCCACTTCATCGTTGTCGTTGTTGTCAAATGTTCCTCGACCCTCGACCAACGCCTCGAGTACAACTCTGTGGAGTCCTACTACTGATCCTGCGTTTCAAGAGCTTCCTGCTCAGCCGACATCTACCTCTACCAACGCAAATGCACATATCAGGCCCAACCTATCCCAGTCATCGTCATCATCAACGACGATATTCGACCAAGCAGGAGTGGGATTACTCTACGGCGATGGCCATGGCCACACAAAATCATCGTCCCTGACATCAACGTCAACATCAAGGTCGGAGCTACCTGAACTTGGTCCTGGGCCTTTGACTGCCACTAGCAACACGCTTATCTATAACCAACATACGCACAACCATAACTACCAGTGTTATCATCATGACCACCACCATAACCACAATAATAACCATGACCATAACCGTAACCACAATCAAATGGGAGGGATGATGACGCAGCAGCGACAGCCAGAACAACACAATAGTGGCGGCCATAATGCTTGCAACTGTGCCTGGGAAAAGAGTAATAGCAATGTCCGAGTGGTAACGGCTATCAATCAGGGGCAACCGCAGGAATTGTCAAGTGTGGTGTTTGCTCCTGAACCTGTGGAACTACCTTAGACTGAAGTTTCTTTTTCTTCTGGCAGCGGGTTCTCTGAGTTCGCTTGAATTAAAGGGTGGCAGGGTCGAAGTTGGAGAGTGGTGTTTTTGATAACGTCATCGTCGGGATGAGGGCTGAGGCTGTGAGGTTATGTATATCATAGGAAGGCTTTGTAACATGCACACGGGTAAGCGCAATACAAAAAGAAATTGACCAGACAAAAGGCACTGCGGGTAGTTATCATGATAGTAGTATTCATCTATGTATGTCTGCCATACCGGTGCTTATGCCCCACAAGGCATTTATGTTTCTATATGCGGACTTGAAGACTAGAAGAGATGATTTCAGACGCCTGGAGCCATCAACGAGGGGATTTGAAAAGGGAAGGGCCTCACAACTCCTCAGCTGACCGATCCACCAAGACAAAGGCTCAAATTGGTGCGTGTGAGTTTACGCCGACAGAAAAGTAATGCTCAACAGCTGTGTTCATAGCTTCAAAACGACTGGTTAGCCTCATGATCCCCTTCTGCGCTTCTAGAGGACCTCATCTGCTTGATTTTTTCCTTCAGCTCTCTCTGACGCTGTTCGTAAGACGCTCTGACGTTCTGGAACGCCGGTCAGTGCCAGCCACCCCAAGCATAAAGCCTCATCTAGGTGGTCTGACGTACCTGGTCAGCTTCAGCAGCTGATGTGGTGTCATGGGGAGAGCGGATTCTGTCTTGAGCGCCTGAATCATCAGCCGATCTGTCATGGGCAGGAGATTTTGAAGTTGCAGAAGAGGCCCTGCGGCTTCTACTGCCAGGCCTGGACGTAGCATCTACGCTGCTGTCTCGGTCATCCCTTCTACGAGAGCGTCTGCGAGGGCTCCGCGAGCGGCGAGGGCTAATGCTGCGAGTTCCGCTTCTGCTGCGTGATCGGCGTCTAGAAGAACGGTGGTCGGGAGAAATGCTGCGGCTACTACCGCGGGTTCGCTTAACCGGGGTGCGGCTTCGCGATCGGGAAAGGCGAGAAGATCCAGTAGACGATACGGACCGACTGTAGCGCTTGCTTCGAGTCCTCGACAGGCTCCGGCTCCGACTCCGGGTCCGGCTTCGACTGCGACTCAGACTCCGAGTCAGGCTTCTACTGAGGCTTCGGGTGATGCTCCGGCTCCGACTTGGGCTGCGACTCCGGGTACGGCTACGGCTCCTACTAGGGGAAGTGGAGTAGCGGCGGCGTTTGGGGGAGCGAGAACCACGATCGGATGAAACCGAGCGAGTCCGAGATCGGGAGCGCCCCCGGTATCTGGGTCCGCGCCGTGGCGATGGTGACCTGACACGCTTATGCGGTCCCCTGTGCGGGACCGGAGAGCGAGAGCGAGTACGTGATCTTACCCGTCCCCGTCTTGGGGGAGGGCTAGGGGATCGAGAAACAGACCGCCGGCTTCCGCCAACGCTGGGTGTCCGCGAGCGAGAGCGGGACCTCGACCGCACAGACGGCGACCTAGTCCGGGATCGTCGTCTCCTGTCGTCCCGTCGTCCTCCACCACGTCTGACTGTTGGGCTTCCTCGGGGAACATATGAATCTCTGAGTCCTCCTCTTGGCGGGCCACGGTCTCTCTGATCACGGAAACGTGGTGGTGAGCGAGATCGACCACCGCCACCTCGGCCTATGTTCCCTCGGGGGTCACGGTCGTCACGGCGTCCTCCACGCCAGGAGTCGCCGCGGCCACCACCCATACCGCCTCCTCGGCCGCCGCGGCCCCTTTCAGGTCGACGTTCGAATTCTTGGCGCTTCTTTCGTGCCTCTTCTGCGGCTTTGTCCGCTTCGAGCTGTCGGAAGCACTGTCAGCCAACGCTCACCAGAGGTCGCCAGACCGAAAAGGGAATGGAGGTGCGTACCTTCTCCTGAATCAATTCCATCTTCTTGGCCTCCAGAAGCTCCTTTGGAACACCTTGAGGACTAGTCTGCGCACTGAGTAGAAGCTTCCACAGGTCCTTGCAGAATGTCGGGGTATCTTTGTCGAGAAAGCCTGTGAGTTGGATCTGCATGGACTTGATGTCGGGCTGCCATCACCGTGTCGTTAGTATCGTGTTGTCGCAAGGAACTCGGTACTTGTAAAAATGGTCGGCTACTTACATAGCGGCCACTCTCGAGTAGGTTGAAAACAAGCTCGATAACGACATCGTCCTCGTTGGCTAGAATCTCGGTGACCTTGCTGGCAATCCATCTGATCAGAGACGCGACGTGTTAGCAACTGCCCTGTAGTTATTCTTTCATGGTGTTCGAGTCACCCGCGCACCACGGTAATGGGAGCTCGTTAACTTGACAGCGACTGGGGGTACCTACTTCTTCATGACCTGGATGTTAACCTTTTGCATGTCCACCTTCTGATTGAATTCGGGAGGGAATTTGGTGCTCTTCAAGAGCTTGGCGTCCACTCCGGTCGCCATGGTGGGCTGTATATTTCGGGGATACTGCTGCGATAGGAGGTTGAGATGGTGCGTTGGTCAACGTTGAAATGGCGAAGACAGAGAGAACGTGGATGTTGAATTGGTTGCACCGGATTCGAGCGACGTCCGGGGCAAGTCAACAGAAGATGATGTCGTCGGGCGCGACGTTTTATAGTGGGTCCCCTCTAACTAATTGTGGAGCCACACGCGCGCTGTCGGAAGTCACTTGCAAGGGGCCGGTCCAGGGGTCAGGGGTTGCTACGTTGAACTCGAGCTTAAGTGGACGGTAGAAGCTGCATTCTTCTGGAAACCATAGGCCGATCACACTTAACGTCTTTCCGGAATCTGGACTATACAATATTTACGAATTGACTAGTTGTGATCAATAGTGTAGCATATGGCCGGAATTTGTCCAGAGACTTAAGTGGTTAAGATGGGCCGTATCACACTCGGTAACTGTGGACAACTATCATATTCTCAAGTCACTGTCCATGTTCATATTTCACTATGACATCAACAGCTGTTTTGTTTCAATGGCCCAAGATCGGAAGGACAACTTCGAGGTCACGGATATGGTCTTTGTTTTGAGCAAGCCGTCAACGTAATTTTTGAATTATCATACTATCTTGCAAGATATAGGAGATACTCATGGAGATGTTGAGGTGGTGGCAGCAAACCATGTATTGTAAGAATGAGTGGGGTTTCAAAGCGTAAGGAGGTTAGTTATAATACAATGCTCAGTCTATGAAATTCACGTATCCTCCATCAAAGAACCGACATCCTCCAGTGCTTTTAAAACGCCAAACGGTGTTTCCGGAACATACATAGCCGTTTCCCATCCCAGCCGTTTCCCATCCCAGCCGTAATAACAGACCATCCAGCGCAAACGCCAAACACGGATTCATGAAGAAAGACACGTCCACGGACCATAATGAGTGAATCTAGCAGCAGGCCATAAAGACGAGAAAAACGAAAGCCATACCCAAGCAAAACCATCTGAGCTTGTACTCCTGGATTGCCATCGTGACTGTATATGGGTAATGAGGAATGCAACGATCTTGAACTCGACCAAATACGTGGAAAGAAACTTTGCTGCATGATGTAGGTTCACGAAGATGCCGGTGATTGGGTCTTGGGATAGATGAAACGACTTATTTTGGCATCTGCGCCATCCTTCTTCTCCGTTTGGTAGCGGGATTGCAATGCGGCTATCTTGTCTCTGAGCTTGTCAATGCTTGTGGTGTCTTGCTGCTTCAGCTTCGTACGAATCTCGTATAATGCCATCAGGGAATGCGCTCGGTCAATGTCGTCTTCGGGCTGTAGTTTCGTGAAGCTGTTAGTACCCAGTCCTCCTATGGAACCACACATCGGACATGAAATCTGACCTCAGAGTCTCTTCGTGGAGTGCCGGGAATGGACCCATGGTTCGAGTTCGTACGGGTCATGGGGGGCGTCGCAAGGGGACGGCCGTATTTGTCATATCTGGCGGGTGAGGCCGCCCTAGAGAGTAGGGAGGTTGCGGAAGCGACACGTTGATGGTGGAGTTGATTAGGGCGGATGGGAGGTTGTTCGGTTGATGGCTTCAGAGACTGATGGGACGGTTCCGCAGCGGGCTGGCTGGCGCTCTTGTTTGCGTTGACGACCGCGAGTGCGGCCTGTGATTCTTGCTGTGGCGAGAGTGTCAGTGAATAATGATCCATCATGAGCGGATCCCAAAGCAGTGCTATGCGCGCGACGCTGACATGGGAACTTGGACGTCAGGTTGTGTGGGGAAGGGAGAGAATACATACAGCCGCATTTAGATCGCTAAGATCGGCCAGCATCTGGGCAAGTTGAATACTCTCCATTGTCTCGTCTGCAGTCCTTGAATTTGTTTAACAGATGCCGTCGTTTCGCGATCATATAATGGATGTGTTATGGGTCGTAGAAGAGGGTTTGCCTCCGAGATATCGACACCTGGGAGTTTTGGTCGCTTTCGGGACGAATGGATCACGTAGGGTCAGGAATGTATGTATGAATCTGGACAAGTTGTCGGGTGTGCAGGTGTCTTTCTTTTGTTGCAGGTAAAGGCGGCAGAAGATCGGGAAATCCAGGAAGGAGACGAAGAGGAAGCAGCCGGGTGACCTAAAGTGGTCGCAGATGAGCGGGAGTGTTTGTAATATGAAAGCCGTCTTAAAGTTCACGTCATACTGGTAACCCACCGCCCAATTGTTTGAGCTGTTTCCGCTTTGTCACCAGCCTGGTTGCAGACCGTCTGACCGAACGGATGGACGGAATCCAGTGAGCGCAGATGGTGTGTGGTGGCGGGGTGCGAGCGCGCAAATGTTCTGAAAGGTACGACCTTGGAATGAGTGGTGAGGAGAAAGCGGCGGAGGAATGGACTGCCGGTTTGCAACTTAGAGGCTCAAAGGGATGACGGGGAGGGACGTCTCTTCCTTTGCTGGAGAAATCCCATGGTGGTGCTAGGATGCGGTTGGGGTTGTCGCGTGGGACTGCCAGCAGGGCATTCGGGGCATCTCCGCTAAACCACCGATTTAACCTTCCCCACACTACAGTAGCGGTCCCCACTTCCCGCCCTTACAGTTCCACTCAGAATAATGGTTTAGGAAACCCAATGATAAACAGCTATGTTTGAACGATGCATGTCCTCCGTGTTCGGGGCCGAGATCCTTGTGCGAGCCGGCAGCCGGCGACTCCGCATTCACGATCCTCCACCTTCCGATTACTGCCAAGACGATTGCTTGGCTTCTGTTCAAAGCTACTTGGGGGGTTCTGGGCGCCAAGCTTTCTTTCCCCCCTACTCGTTAAGTAGGGGGTAGCGAAAATCCGGGACAGGTTTTTATTTTGGGACATCTGAAATGTTAGCGTACACCATCGAAAAGTGTTAGTAGGCAGGATACAACAATGACAACCACATCCACCATTTTTCTAAAATTCTAGCAAAAATCGGGAAGCAAGGAAGGGGTATAAGAAAGGCTCCCTCAAAGTTGCAAAAAATCATCTTCTAGACTAGACGAACAGTAGCTTCTGGACTTTGCATCGACACCAAACACCGTCATTTTTGGTGTCGCGAAACCGCCGAGCTAAAGCACACTTCAACGACAAAGAGGTGTACGACTTAGGGATTCCTCAACAACGACCCGACCAAAATTAATGCAACTTTAGGAACACCTCTATTAGAACCTTCTCATTCTTCCCAATTTTTTCCAGATTTTTAGAAAATGGTGGTGGTTGAAATGGTTCGCGATCGATGCTGCACTAACAAGTTTCTTGGTCTTTTGGCGCCAGTTCAGATGTCCCAAAATAAAAACCTGTCCCGGATTTTCGCTACCCCCTACTTAACGAGTAGGGGGGAAAGAAAGCTTGGCGCCCAGAACCCCCCAAGTACCGTAGCAAGAGCTGTCCAGTGCACTAACATTTCGTCTCAGCGGTTGTCGTGCTCGTCTCGATAAACCCGTCGTACGTATCCCGAACCCTCTCGGCGTTACGCAAGTTTGAAACTAAATTGACCATTAGCTGTCAGCGTCTAGAACGAAGAGGTGAGTTCCAGCCAATAGCAGGACAAGAAGCAGGTTGATCGGTTGTGTACGGGACATCTTTTCCAGAGAGTCACAGTCAAGATGGCCGCAAACTGCCTGAATTCAGGACGCAATATAAAACCCCCGAAAACCTGAATAAGCAAAGCCTAAATCTCATACAGCTCTATAAAATCAGCCAAAAACCAGTCGCAAACATGAGTCTCACATTCAGGAGAGGATTGACCACCATGGCCTCGCTCAAGAAAGCCACCAAGGTCGTCTGCATTGGCCGCAACTATGCGTATGTGTGCACAAGTACCCCATAAACGCATCTGAACATATACTGACTCGGTCAACAGGGACCACATCGCGGAGCTGAACAGCGCAAAGCCCAAGCAACCTTTCTTCTTCCTCAAGCCTCCTTCGTCCATCATCCTCCCCGGAGAGGGACCTGTCATCCGGCCTCGTGGTGTAGATATGCACTACGAGGTTGAGCTTGCTCTTATCCTCGGCAAGCGTGTCAGAGACCATGATGCCTCGGACTTGAAGGGAGCTCTGGATGCCATTGAGAGTGAGTTTCCAAACTCAAATGCTCCATAGTCACGGTACTAATTTTTGCTTCTTAGGCTATGCCCTCAGCATCGACATGACGGCACGCAACGTCCAGAACGAGGCCAAGAAGAAGGGCCTCCCCTGGGACATTGCCAAGGGATTCGACACCTTCCTGCCCATGAGCAAGCTCATTGAGAAGTCCCGTATCCAGGACCCCCACAACATCGAGCTCTACCTCAAGGTCAACGACGAGGTTCGCCAGAACGACTCCACCAACCTGATGCTCTTCCAGATTCCCCGCATCCTCAGCGACATCTCCAAGGTTATGACTCTCGAGGCCGGTGACATCGTCCTGACCGGCACTCCCAAGGGTGTTGGCCCAGTTGTTCCCGGTGATGTCATGCGCGCCGGTATCCGTGTGGATGGCAAGGAGCTTGAGGAGGCCAAGATCGAGATTGCGGTGGAGGAGTCTACCCGCTCGTATGAGTATGCCGAGACGTAAACACCGCACAAACATGAATGATAGCCTATCCTCAAATACCCTCGTGTAGTTCGATATACATACATTCTATTTTATATACGCTCGCAGCGCGGACATTTGATAAGGCCATCCGTTTCACCACGCAGAACTTCTAAGCCATTATACAGACCCTTCCATTTACTCCTCATTCGGATTCTGGATCGATCCAGGCTTGGGGCACCAATCCGCCAGCTCGCCACACTTCTTACAAGTCCTCAGCTGCTCATCACTCTTAAAAGCCTCGACAGCCGCCTTGATCTGCGTTCCCAGATCGGTGCAGTGGAAGCTCGCCTCGTGGACGATCTCCTTGCAGTTCTGGCAGTACCACCTCATGCGGTCGATGGCGTCCGCGGGACGCTTCTGTTCCAGCACGATACCGACCGTGTCGGCGAACCGCACCGGGTTGTGCGGGGTGTTGCCCGGCAGAAGGAACATCTCGCCCTCGCGGATGATGATGTCCCTGAAGTTTCCGTCGTCGACCACCTTGAGCATCATGGCGCCCTTGTACTGATAGAACCATTCGGGGGTTTGGTTGATGTGATAATCGGTGCGCGCGTTGGGGCCGCCGACGATCTGCGGGGGTTGTTAATCACGGTCATGGAATCAAACTGGTTGGAATTGAGATGATGCTACTAACCATGACGGTAAAGTCCTCATTGTAAACGCAGTAGTTGTTGATGGGGGGCTTCAAAAGGTGAGAGTTTTCTTCGAGCCTGTGTAAGCTGTGAGCGCAAGCTGATACGCTGAGGGGTTACATGTGGCTGATGGTGATACATACCATTTCGGCAGGTTTACAGGTGCGGAAAGCATGTTTATGGCTTGATAGGTGTTTGTGGTCACTGTGACCTATTCTTATTTGTGATGTTTTTCTTTTCTCTCCCAAATCAACCTCCAAGATTCTTCCAGCTATGACGCTGACGATGGGATGATTCAAGAGCGTGAACAGCTGACTGCTTTGTCAGCTTAACCAGCACTTTTGACGACCTAAGAAGATAGATACAGGGGCCGGAAAAACACATGCCTTCTAAATGTACTCGAATTTTCAACGTTGACTGGAAAAGGGGGCTTGTATAACACTGAGAAGTATAAATCCAGATGTGTATCCTACGCAGATAATGGAGTTCGATGAACATGAAGCCGCTGGAAACCACCTTCATCCCGGCCCCGGGCGTGGGTTTCCAAACAGTACCCCACCTGTCCGTTCAATACCCCGCCAGATGATGCCCGCTGTCAGACGGGATGTCGGGGCCTGCCGAACGAATTCGAGACGACTCTGTTTTCCCCGAGTGTTTTGTTCGGATGCCACACCCCTGTTTATCTTGCTCAAACTAGCTTATTGGCAGCGAGTTTGCGATATTCCTTCTGGCTGCAGGGTTGTTAAAATGGCGTTCTGACAGGCGCATTTTCAGGTGCTTCGTGTCTCGTCAGGGTACCTGAACATGGGAAACTCCCGCCAGCCTTGAGGTTCCACCAAACACTTTCATCTGACAGGACACGAAACGCTCTCACTTACAACCACCTGTCTACCTTATAAGTCGAAATCCCCGATCGACGATCTCGCCATCTCAGCTCTATCATCCCTTTCTCATCCCTCCCATAACCGAAACAACGACATCTCATCTCAACAAGCAGCAACCAACCGATCATGGATCACTCCGGCCACGACCACAGCGCCCACATGGACCACTCCGGCCACGGCGACATGAGCGCCGCCGGTGACATGCACTCGGGCCATCCTGGGATGGGCGGAGGACCGCCGAGGTGTAGCATGAACATGCTGTTTACCTGGAACACGGAGAACCTCTGCATCGTCTTTCGCCAGTGGCGCATCGACTCGACCTTCACCCTCGTGGTCTCCCTTCTCGCCATCGTCGCCCTCGCGGCTGGGTACGAGGCGCTTCGCGAGGGTATCAGGCAGTATGAGGCTTGGACTAACAAGAGGGTGGAAACTGCGCCTCGTAAGTTGTTGATTCTCACTTCCTTTCTTGATTTGCGTTCCCTTTGAACTCGGTTCGGTTCTCCTTGACCATCGCTATCTCAAACATCTGAAAGAAAGAATGAAAGAAAAAGAAGAGGAAAAATCACACCGCAATTATGTACCAAACCCAGAATGCCTATACCACATCTATTTTGTTCTCTGAGTATGTGTCGTCATACATTGCATATCGTATCGTATCGCTAAGATGACCATCTATCTGTCTTGGAGACTCTCGAGACCAGTATCGCGATGATGAGGACGTTGAACCACAACATGAAGAAGAAGAACGTCTTGCTGAGACTACCACGCCGTGGTTCTTAGGGCAACATGCGGCTGAAGTCACCAAGCGGGCCCACGCCATCAAGTCGGTTCTGTATGGAATCCAGAACTTTTATGCCTTTATGATCATGTAAGCTCTCTTCTCCCTCCATACCGGCCTCGGGACTTTCTCCCTCTGTTTCTGAATTTCACATGTAAAAGTTCTCTGTTCTGACCACCACATGCAAAAGGCTCATCTTCATGACATACAACGGCTGGGTCATGTTGGCTTGCTCTTTGGGAGCTGCGCTGGGATACTTCATCTTCGGTTCCCGTACTACTGCTACCAAGGATACTGCTTGCCATTAGGAGGTGTCACGGACGTGTTCGTGGGCGCGATATGCTCAGGCATAGTGGAAAAACCCATATGGGTCGAAGATCGTGAGGTGCTGTAGCGGTATTGCATAGCGGCCGGGGAGCAGAATGGCTAGAGGCGTTCGAGAAGTGCAACTGGAGTATTGCTGGACGTCACTAGATACAATTTTGAGTCGGACGGTTGATACGAGCTGGAACGCGCGGAATATCCAGGGGATAAAGCTTGTTGTCAGTTACACCATATCATGAGAGACGAATGGGCGTATGTGACGTTGAAACAATGTTAAAAACGATGGATTTTACCACTAAACCACTGGCGCTTAATGGTGTAATATTAGTTTTTGAGCACGATTCGTGCTTATGAATGAATAACAAACGGTCTATTCCAACTCCTTGCTTCCCCCATCAAGTCATTAGGTCCGGTCCTCTATCTACATCTTCGACGCCTCGCTAGCCTTCTTCGCCGCCTCACTCGCCCTCTTCAGATCCTCCTGCGTAAACACACTCCCCTTCTTCTTCTTCTCCCCCAACAGACCCAACTTATCCAATCCCATAATCATCCTCTCGTCTCCAAAATGGCTGTTATGCTCGAACTCGGGCTCCTCCCCATAGGCCACCGTCGCCGCATCCACCAGTATCCTCGCCGTCATACCCCACACCTTATACCGCTCGCTTTCCTCCTCATCCCCGCGCGCAAGCGCCGCTGTCGGCGGCGGCAGGTCCTCGTCGTCTTCCGGGTTGATTACGCTTTTGTTGGACGCCTTTTCTTCAGCCTTTAACTGCTTTCGCGACCCCGGTTTGGCCACCCGCTGGTTGTTGACGGGCACGTAAAAGAAGTGCATCCGCCACTGCTCCTCGTGCCAGTTCGTCCAGCTGCCCTCGTACCACTTGCCTGGCGGCGGCGTTTCTTGGGATCCGTCGTCGCTTTTGTGAACCTCATCATTGGCTCGCAAAAAATTGTGGAAGGGCGCGGAGAAGACGGCGGCGACCTCCTTGGCGTTTAGACGGGGGATCAGAGATTCGTCCGCTGTTGGCGCGTCCTTGTCGCCATCGGTTGTTGGTGATGGTGACTTTTTCCCGCGGTCGGCGTGCATAAAGGCAACGCAGGGACGGACGACTAGCTCGGTGCGCGCGAGGTTCATGGGTAGGTCGCAGAGGTGTTCGATGCGGAAGGGCGAAGGGAGCTTGTTGTCGTCCATGGGGAGGCCGATTTCTTCCCAGGCTTCGCGGCGGGCAATTTGATCTGTATGAAACAGTCTGAGGTTAGTCGTCTCTTTGTCTCGTCACTAGTTCATATGATGGACGTGGTGGCACTTCATACATGGCGTTTCCTCTACACTATCGGCCTTCCCGCCGGGTAGCGCGGCATGTCCAGAGAAGCTGCGCATGCTCGCGGCGCGCATAGTGATGACCACACGGAGATCACCGCGCTTGTCTGCGAACAAGAGCAACAGCACCGCGGCGCGGCGACTGGGTGGTAGGCGGTCCCATAGCGGGAAGGGAGGGGGCTTAAAGGCTCTTAACCGGGCAATGGCGGCCTGCAAGGTAGAATTGTGTTAGGTGACATGACTTAAACGTCGTTGTAACATAGTAATAGTTTATGTAGCCTCGCAAGTCATGCAAGGGACCGACCCGACTGTTACATCAGGGCGACATGCAGCCCGGGCCGGAGCCGGAGTGCGAAACCGGACACCCGGCGCCGGAGCCAAGCGGTCTTCCACGGGAGCACATAACCGGCACGGAGCCAAGAATAAGGTATAGGTACTAACCGCTGAGGCTGAACTAAGCGGTGCCATGGTCGAAGCATCCCAATAATAGGAAGCCTCGTCGTCGATACCCTTCTCCTCTTCGTCCTTTGCGCTCTCCCCGTCTTCTACAGTTGTAGTAGTATTCTCCCCTTGTTCGTCCGTTGGCAGTTCAGCGGATCTCGTTGACGATGGAAAGAGGATTTCGGGATCCTGTGCGCCCCCGATACTCTGAACAATGGTCTGGAACTCTTCGCTGTCTTGAGGGACGTCGCTGGTGGTGTGTGCGCCCACTTCGATCGAAGCGCTCATGGTGTCAACCGGCTGTTTGGACGGAGGTTGGGCGCAAAAGAAGGGGGTGGGAGAACTGGGACTGGGACTCCTCTCCGTCGAAGTAGCTGAACAAGTCACCATACACGGTCTACGTAGAGGTACCTCTACCTTTTGGAGATGTTATGCGGGGAAATAGCGGGGAAGGAGGAGCGGTCCCGGTGGAGGCGGGCTAGAGACAGACTACCCCCCTCCCCTATATCTAGACTACTTAACCGCTTTGGGTATAACCTTATCGTATTTTTTCGCTGCACAAAAAATAGCAATGAAGGCTGCACCTTTGTAGTGCCTCAAACGACGGGAGTGCCAATTCTATAGCGACTACAGCGCCCTCTTCCCGTGCACGGAAGAGAGCAGAACACTCTAGCTTCAAGGCCTGATACTGACCCCTGGCGAACACCTACACCTCGTGTAATGACAATACATTGAAAGATGGTTTGCCTTTCGCAATTGGAAATACACTCCCGTCCGATTGGAATAACGAGCCTCTTCCAAGTGATAGCAATGCACACTGCCAAATTCCTTCCCTGAGCCTCTGCTCGTAGTTTTGAGGGAAGGGAGTGCATTTAGTGAAGGTGCATTGCCCTGACCATGAGTGTGACCAACCATTTCTTGGAGGAATTTTCGAAAAAGACCGATTGTGCGCTAACGGCCTTTGGCCCTGTTTTGGTGTTGAGATGTTAGTGATCGATAAGATAAGACAATTTCCTGAAAGTCATGCCCAAGGCGGTTAAGTAGTCTAGATATAGGGGAGGGGGGTAGTCTGTCGCTAACCCGCCTCGTCCCGGTGGAAGCCGGAGTGATTCAGTGGTCTCTTCCGGGCGGATTTACTGACGTCAGTGTTGTTTGAAGTTATTCCCTTCAGTTGTGCAGGGGCAGTTGTATTTCTCTCCATTTGCATCAACTGTCTAAAATACAAACTATTCTTCACTTTCATGTGCAAAGTACAACTCCCAATGCGGTAGTCAGTCAGTTCCACTTCATACTCCAGCATGCTGAGATGACGGTTTCATATTGCGACAGCGGTTCATCCTTTTCCAAAGGCCTCGCCCGGGCTGTGTCATGCTTGATGCGCCAACCGATGCCAGGGCTCCCCGGTGTGTCAAACTCGCAGGCCAACATGTTTGATTACAGCATCTCTATGCAAACACCGAGTGGACAAAAACTCAAGATAACGAGCGCATACAATGTCAGGTATGAAAATAATCGAGAATGTCTGATCTTTTTGAAGTTTGAGCGTCATTGCATATTCACAACACTCCAGCTCATTTGTACAAAACATCGTCATATACCCTACAAGCAAGAGTACATGACACATTCACTCTCCATGCATCAACACCTATTTCCAACCCCCTCCGGAATCTAACTTCACAACCAACCCTGCTCCTCTTGCCGCCCCGGCCTCTCCGGCGGCGACAACAACTCCATCCCCGTGACAAACTCAACCGGCGCCTCCACCCTTCCCCCATCACCCAGCACCCTAATGCTATTCTTCAAGTTCTCCCTCTTCTTCTCCGACTTGGTTCTCCTCGCCAACCGCCCACCGACCAACAGCTCATTCGTCTTCTGCGCCAGCGCGCTCATTTTCAGAGTCTGAGGGAGCAGAAACCCGACGGCAGATGAGGAGGAGGGGGCGGTCGAAAAAGAGAAGGACGACGGCCCCGCGGCGCCGCCGCTATCGGCTGTGCGCGGCCGATGGACTAATGGTGTCGCGCCAACGGCGGCGGTGGTCTTTGAGCTCTGGTCGTGGTATCTTTCTGCGGCTGTTTGATATTGTGTGGGCGCCCGTTCGGTGGCCATGGCTATGGCTGTTGATGTGGTGGTGGGCGTGGACGTAGGTGTCGGAGTTGAGGGTGATGATCCTCCTCCTGGTGTTGATCCCGAAACACGCCTAAACACCTTGGAAACCAAAGAGCGTCGAAACAGAGAGGTGCGATTCTCGCCATCGCCGTCGCTGTGGTTGCGGGTATGATGACTGCCGTGCTTTGCGAACTCGGTGATCAAAGCCGAATTATCTTCCAGCGCAAGCGGCAGCGGGCCGCCCACCTCCAGCTGTGGCGAGCCCGAGTCCCATTGCCTGCGCAGTTCGTTGTGGTGGCCAAAGGTGCTTACGCTGATGGTCTGCGCCCTGTTTCGGGGCCGAGTCTTGAGCGCGGCGTTTTGGGAATTGATGACGGAGGGCGATGGAGAGGGAGACCCTACACGAGAGTGACGCGATGACTGCGAACTGGAATTGGATCTGGGTCTGGATTTTGATTCCCCTTCCTGCGCAGGATCTGGGTCCAGTGGTACTAATGTATCAGCCGCCGAGTCCCAACGAGGCAGGGACAACGGGAGCTCGTCCTCCCTCGGCGGTCGCACGGGTGGTGGCTGTTGCGGCACCGGGACAAAGCGCAGGGGACTGAGCAGCGGCTGCTGACTTTCCCTCTTTCTATCACCAGATGTCCGTGAAGTGCCGTCCTCGCTGAGAAAGCGGATATGACCTGGGCCTCCGGCAGGTCGAGGTGATGGGATCCCGACGCTGCTTCCTGGGTGTGGGGGGTGATTCAAGGCATTCGGATATGCCCATGATCCTCCTGTGTTACGAGCGATTTGCGCGGTTGTCTCGTGGTAGAGCTCACGGGCATCAGTGATACTGATGCCGCTGTGATCACTGTTGGTTGAGGGAACTGGGGACATGGTTCTTGTCGTCCCGTTGCCTCCACTAATCTTTCGTGGCTGTAAAGGTCGTGGGATAGGCGATGGTGCTCCTCTTGCAACTAGTCGCTTGCCGATATTTGGATTTGGTTTTCCCTTAGGTGAGTATTCTGTCGATACAGGGCTATCGTACCGAAGAGGTGCGCTGCTTCCAGCTAGGCTTGCCGAACCCGCTTCGGATACGGTACTGTCTCGATATTGGCTGTAATAGCTGCTGCGGCCACTGACGGGTGATATATAACCTGTCGTATGTTTGTCTGTGGCGTTGTTCTCGCTGTTGCTGAAACGATCCTTTTGTTCGGGAGGAGAATCCGGCCTCGAGAGCTGTCTAAACCTGATATTATGATTCTGCCCGGTAGGTGATAACGGTGGAGAGTCTGGGTGCGACTTGATGGGTCCGAAGCTATCGAGCTGGAGGATATTCGATACCGGTGATCGTGGTTGTGGTGAAATGATTTCTTGTGACAAACTCGACTCTGGAGTGCGTTCTGAGTCTGCTGGAGGAATCTGTAGAGGCTTGGGTGTTCGGGGTGCCGGAGACGCGGACGTTGATATTGGTGTTCCGCCCCTGGGGGTTAACTGCTTGGCGATAATGGAGTTGATCTCTGCCTCCTCCTTTTCCCAGTCAATGTCCCCCGAGTTTTGACGATTGTTGATCTTTTCAGGAGGACCGGCTCCTGTGATATTCGCCGACGTATGGACGCCCTTTACGTTGTTCAAGTCCTTCTGGTTCGATGTCGAGGGTGCTGGCCTCCGCTTTGGCGGAATGGGCGGTAGGGGCTTTTTCTCGTAGACTTCTACGTCTTTCGGCTTTGGAGGGTTGAAACGAGACCCCGGCGGTGATAACGATGTGAAACGAGACCCTGGCGGTGATAACGACGTAATGATGGCCTCCTCAGCAGAAGAAGGACGTGAAATGTCGGCGCGACCGGAGGGTCGTTCGGGGGTTGTCATCGTCTCGACCATCTTTTTGGTTTTCCCTGGCCTCGGCTTCTTTTCTTCTGGAATACCATACGACTCCGTCAACCTGAAACGGCAACCTTTTTCTGAAAAGTATGGTCTCCCCAGCCTGTGTTTATCATGCACGAAGAGATCGATGTTCGAGACTCGAAGAGCTGGATTATAGCCGTTTCCACAATTCCGTAACTTTGATATCCCTTCCGCCTTCTTCCGGGCTAAGGGGGTTGGGTCCCAGCAGACAAAGGATTTCGTCCCTTGTGAGTGAAGATTTTATGGGAAGTAAGCAAGTTTTCTTTCAACTTTGTACTTACCGTGCCGCCATCACGAGGCTGGCTTTCCCTTTGTTGAGATAGTATAACGGACAGGGACAAAGGCGAGAGAGCACATGGTAGCGGTTTAAAGGGAAATGTCAAAACTGAATGAAAAAAACACGCCTCAACAAAATCTAACGGCTTGAAGAAGAGGGGAGATTTTGTTTAGAGAACAACGGGGCCTTTGCTCCGCGATATCACTCCCACATTTCTAGATGCCGGATAGGAGGAGCTGAATCGTATGGGTGTAACGACCACCCGAGGACTTTTTGTTGTATACATTATCCTGTGCCTTTTGACAACTGGAATGGGTTACAAGTAATACACTGGATGACGCACCGTCCATCCTACTTGGAAACGTTTCTGCCAGATGCTGGGCTGTCAGACGGACACACTAAGTAAGCATTTCAGACAGCCTCTTGAGGTGCGGGATTGCCGTGATAGGTCCGGTACCAACGGCTGTATGTGTTGTGTAGCCTTCGGAAGCAACCCCGATGGGGACAAAGGTAGGATTGGAACATCGAAGGAAGAAGCAACATGTTCTAAAATCCGAATCGCTATTAGTCGTAGATTTATGTATGCTTCCTTTAACTCTATACCGCTGGGGTGGGTGGAACCAAAAAGACCTGAACGCCGATTTCCTAAACCAACCATGACGGCGTATGATACTCGGATTTTCTTTCCACAATTCCATTTTCCATCCAAAACAAAGTATGTATCCGCACCCGACATACGCGGATCTCCAGGTTGTGTGTGCCGCAGAGGTGCGGCAAGTGGGAATTAGTCCACGTACTCCTCGTCCTCGTCTCGAGTATTAAAGTTGCTCATCAAAATGTCATCAACGCCGAGCCCGGTCGAAGTGTTCCTAATCCACTCGGTCTCGACCCGGAAGAAGATCCATACCCATCGGCGGAATACTTCGAAGAACTCGACCAGGAAGATCGAACTCTCGAAGTCGCTGATGGTATTGAGATGCGGGTGCAGTTTGATCATCCATGTGCACCGTAACGCCAGGTCCAGCGCGATGACAAAGTAGTACACCACGGGCTTATGAATCAGCAAGCGGCGCCGCAGACCAAACGGATGATCGGGAGAGTTGCGCTCCTGTGCCCCAGCAAAGAGGGTGAGATCCCAATCCTTGGTAATGTCCCAGTAAAAGCTGTAGAGCGAGTTAAGCAAACACGCAGCGATCCACGCACGGTACAGACCCGTAGTTGGGGTGCCGTTGGTGTTCGCGTTACGCAACATGGCGTTAAGAATGATAACAGGAAACGCGGTCGAGTACTTGGCCGCGTTGGCGAGATGTTGTCCACCCCAGCCCGTGGACTCCTTGAAAGGGGAATTTCGCACGCGCAGATATTCAATAATACACTGGCGTAGCCGAATAGCGCTTGGTATCGCCAAGAGGAGTGGTACGAGGTAGGTACCGCCGCAACCGCGATCCGGTCGGTCAGTAGCAGATCCGTTCCGCGTGAAGAACATGCAGAGACATATGAACAGGTCCCCTAGGACCTTGGCGTAGCTGGTGAGAACGTCGGCCAGCAAGATATCTCCAAACTTCCCATCCTTGGCCTCAGCCAAGCCTCCCACACTGACGCGGCGTAGAGTTGCGAGTAGTCGACGGCGGCCGGAGTGCGACACAGACAATCTTCGCAGGGGTAGCACGAAGAGGGCTGCGGTCACGGCCAAGTTGGTCATGGGAATCCAGTCATAATCGATGACGCGTTTCGGATCGCGCCTGGTGAACGACCAAAATGTGAGGATCGAAAGAGCGGAGCTTAGCGAAAGAAGAGTCGCGAGACGGTATGTCGAGTGGTGGTGAGGGAGCTGGGTGGTGCTCGATCTTCCCGGGTACCGGATTAAGGAGGGAACATCGATCTTGCGAAGATGGAGGAAGTGAAGGTTGAGGCCCCAGCCCCAAACAGCTAATCAACCAGAATATGTCAGTTTACAACCGTGGCTCCAAAGACCGAAAGGACGACAGGAGAAGTGTAGCTTCATACCTAGGACCACGATGAAGGCAACCCGGTAGGGGAGGGGAAAGGTCAAGCTGAAGGAGTCGAGCTCCGACTCAACCACAGGATCACCGTCCATTGCGCCAGGCAGCGGTCGATTTGCTCTCCGTCATTGAATGGCGGGGAGGGGAAGTAAGCAAAGAAAGTGAACGCAAAGAAAGAGTTGACAAACTTGGAGTCAACTTTCCCGACAGCAACGCGTTTCGAGATTGTCAGTGTCAAGATGGAAATTTAATTTACCAGTAGCTGTCGCAAAGAGGTGCCAAGCCCCTTGTCGCGTGCACTCCTTTTGGGCTGACGCTGGGGAAAGACGTCAGCCCCTGGTCGCGGTCCCGTCCTGTGGTGACACCCGCTGCACCATCCCTGCCACTAAAGCCTGGGCTACGACCTTCTGGGCGCCCCCTGCCAATTCCTCAGCTGGAGAGGAACCACACATGGCCGGGGCGGCGCCGGGCGTGCTGCCCCCATCAACCCAAGGACCGAGGTCCATCCGTTCCCGACCACCACTTTCATCTCAGCTTCAACTGCCGCCCGTCGATCTCGACAGACATCAAAATCAAATTCGACAATCAGACCGAACTGAAGAGACCTGGTTCATCTACTCCTACAGCTTCAACGATTTGAGTACAGACATACCAGCTCTACCGGGGATCGATAGTGCCCCTGAATACGCGCCCGTGTAAACACAGCTATTGACCCCCGATTTCAAGCCCACCCGACTCAAAGACAACATCCATCCATCACCATGTCATTGACAGCGACCAAGAAGCCGCCGCCGCCGCTCACGAGCTCGCCATATCCATTTGCCGCTGCCCCCGATATCATCCGCGCGCACCAAAAGGATGCCTATTTCCAGGGCGTCCTCACCAACCAGCTGACCGACCTTCACCGGCGCGTTCGCGGTGCCCGCTCCGCCCACTCCTGGACCACCGAGACCCGCACCGCCGCCGACCTGCTCTACCTCTGCCTCACCACCCTCCTTGGCAACCGCACCCTAGGTGAAGAGTACTGCGACCTAGTCCAAGTCGAAGAGCCAAGCACAGGCGGCAACGGCAGGATACCAGACGCCCAACACCCCGTCGAACCCACCAGCGAAGCCGGCGGCCCCCGTCTGCCCTCGCTCCAGCGACGAGCCGGCTACATCGTCAGCAGCGTGCTTGTCCCCTACCTCTTCAGCCGCCTTCTCCCTTCCATCCGCGCCGCCCTCCGCAAACGCCTCCAGGATCGTCTGACCGTGCTCGCCCGCCAAGGCCGCGGCGACACCAAGGGCGCCACCCCGTCTAACTCCAACAAGGGCAGCGGCTTCTCAACGGTCTCGACGCTCGAGTACCGCGTGAAGCGCTACCTGCTTACGCACCTGACCTCCATCACGAGCGGGGCGCACCTGCACGCGCTGACGCTCGCCGTCTTCTACTTCTCGGGCGCGTACTACTCGTTCTCCAAGCGCCTCTTCGGGCTGCGCTACGTGTTCACGCGGCGCATCGAGGAAGGGCAGGGCGGCCGCGCCGGGTATGAGGTGCTCGGCGTGCTGTTGGTGGTGCAGATGCTCGTCCGGGGATACATGCACGTGACGGCGCAGCTTTCGTCGAGTTCGCCGCTTAGTGCCGAGGAGGCCAGCACCGAGGCGGGCATTCGGGAGCGCGCGTTCGGGCCGGGCGCTAACCTCAATGTGTCGCTGGATGAGAATGCGTACAGCAGCAATAACGAGCTGCTGGTGGAGACGGGCACGCCTGGTGGCGGGTCGGGTAACCAGCGCAGTTTAGCGGAGATTGGAAGGACGACGCACACGCCGGTGCCCAAGGGCGGGAGGGCGAAGTATGACCTGGCGGCGAACGAGGAGGTTATGGGCTGGATCAAGGGGAGACAGCAGAGGATGTGCACGCTCTGCTTGGAAGAGCTGAAGGACCCGGCGGCGACACAGTGCGGACATGTCTTCTGCTGGTCGTGTATTGGAGACTGGGTACGCGAGAAGCCGGAGTGTCCGCTATGCAGACGTGAGACGATGGTACAGCATATTCTGCCATTGAGGGTTGCGTAGAGCAGTCCTTTGGAGGGCAGCTAGGGGGCACGATTTTAATATGCAACGGAAGATATGCCAAAAAGCAGGAGGTTATCACGTCGTCTCAAGAACAGATTTTGGATAGTATCAGATCGTGACAACGAAGAGCAAATAGTCAGCGGTTGCGGTTTATAGATAATGTATATGTAGCAAGCATATTGCCAGGAGAGAGAGCCTGTTTTCATACATAGCCTAATGAATGAATGATCCGACATCTCCTCAAAAGGTCAAAGGGACTTTGACATGCTATTGCTCATATCTTCCAATATGGAATGGAGTTGTTCCTTGCCTGACATTACTATTCTTGTATTTATTCGAAGTAAACTCCCCATCCATAATTAAATCATCGAGCCTGGTCCCGTCTGGGCCTCAAAGACCCAAGCACCTCGACATGTGTATGTGCAGAGGGTCAAGAAATGCATACATGAGGATCGAAAGCAAATGTGACACCTCAAAGGAAGCCTTGAGTTCCGATCCATCTCCAAAAATTAAGCCACGAAGCTCGAGGCTGTCGTATCATCGCGCTTCACTGGCCCCAAACAACTCGTAATCATGCACGCTTTCGCGTCATAAAAGTCGTTAGCACATCATATGCTTCCCCTTCAAAAGGAAGACCCAATTACCGCATCGGATGCGGCGGAGTACGGCGGCGAGGGCTTCCCTGTCGAATAGAGGTCTTCCTTCTCGAGGTTTCCTGGGGAAACCCTTTGGATAAATTCCCTAATCGCCTCAAAGTAGCCCTCCTCGAGGACACTCGAGTTGTGGTCGCCGTTGGGAAGAGGCTTCCAGATCTTTACCGGGGCATTGGAGAGATCATAAAGCTGCTTCATATGAGTGGGTCTAACATGCGGGTGGTAGGTTAGCGAGCAACTCTATTGCAACCCAACCGGCCGCAACCACAGACCGTCGTTCAGAGGTACCAGAGTGAGGTATAATGGGAAAGTTTGGGACAGAAACTTACGGTACAATCTCGTCCTGGAGTCCACTCAAGAACAAAGTAGGTACTTTGATATTGCCAATCAAGGTGTCGGTAGCCCAGACCTGATGGCATAGGGCAGCAAGGTACCGAGCGGGTGGGATGATGCTGGGTATCAACTTGCGCATGCTGAGAAAGGTATTTTCCAGAATCAAGCCGACAATGTCGCCCCTGCCCTGGTTCTTGGACACAAGCTTGACACTAACTGCTCCACCAAGACTCTGGCCGTAGACAATATATTTGTGGTCTCGCGTCTCGGCGCGATCGCGGAGATAGTCGAGGGCGGTTTGGGCGTCAATGTTCAGCCCGGATTCGTCAGGGTGGCCGGTGGAGATTCCGTAGCCACGGTATTCGAGCATAAAGATGTTGCAGCCGACAGCTTGGAGCAACATGCGTGCGATGGGTAGACGATGGCCAATGTTACCAGCGTTTCCGTGGAACATGATCACGGTCACCTTGGAGTTGGGCCCGCCCTTGGGGCCCCGAATGTAGAAGGCCGACAGCTTCTCGCCATCTTTGGTCGGGATAATGAGTTCTTCGTAGTCTTTGATGCGGTAGTAGCTGGGTCGAGGTATGTCCGTTCGAGAGCCCGGGGGCATGTGAGAGGGATAGATTAGAGCTCTGCAGTTACGAATTGCATTAGTACAGGTTACGCAATTGGGATGGGAGCTGGGATATGGTGGACCACATACTTTTGCTTGAAGTAGAGCAGCCCAGTAAGGATGGCGGCGACTCCCTAGATAGGCAAAAGCCAAGGTCAGCGCATGAAAATGAGAATTGGCACGACGTCTCCCCGGTGGAGACCACTTGATAGAGACGGGGAGGGAGAAAGCATTGGACTTGCCCCTTTAGCCAGTCGGCGCGGACGGCTCAACAGCCATTGAGGCACAGGGCGGGAGAGGCAGGAATTCCGGGTCATACAGTAGAGGCTATCGCCGGCACGCGCAAGTAACTTGCAACGCTGCTCAGCAGAGACACTGTCTGCACCAGGAAAGAATTGCCATCGGGAGCCGGAGGCGTGACGGTTGGAGATGACATGTTTGCCGAGGCGAGCGAGGGTTGAGGGTCGTGGGTGGACGCCTGACGGATCGGGTGCCGGCTTCCAGTGGACTTCTTTGGCTCTGCTGGCGTCCGGGCTGCAAGTCTGCGCAGATTGATTGTCGTTAGGTACCACGTCCAACGGAGTGACGGAATGACGGCGTGACGGGGCTCCAGACAGGCGAAACAGGGCAACCTGGGAGCAAATGGCGGTAGGAAAATAAGTCCGCAGGGAAGCTCAGCTCAGGGACCTCTTTGGCTGGACGCGGTCTGCAAGGTACGGACGGCTAGAGTCCCAAGCCAAAAGAACTCGTGGAAGTGGAAGCTGGCAAACGATGCTTGTTGCAGGGGAGATTGTGGAACGCCACGACGCCAACAGGGGAAGAAAATGGAGTCGTGGATGAAAGTGATGGGGTCCAAGGTGGGACCTGCGGCGGCAGGGCGCCAAATACAGGGTATCAAAATGTACAAGAAGAGCCCAAATATCAACTTCAACTTGGATAAAGAATCTTGGTCGGTGGTGTTTGTCTTCTTGAATACTTAGATCACCAAGAAGTTTTCCGCTTGTCACCATTGAGTTGAAACTTCAAAACCTCCTGCTCAAAGGCTAGAGACTTCAAGGCGGGCTTTACTGTAATTGCGCTGCAGGGTTCAAGCTTCATGTTGACGTGCTGCTTATGAGTGCTTACAGCCTACACAACTCCACCGGTGGCGCCCCGCTGGCCGTGAGTCGTGATACCTCTTGAGCTATACTGGATTAGGTTAGTGCTTGCTCGCAACGTAACCGACTGTCGAGTTGGGATAAACTTCCGGAGTATCATCACAGCTTCCCCCGATGTCAAATCCAAGAAGGCAATGAGATGTCGTGCTTTCTCTGTGCTCTGGAAATTCAAAGGGACTGGTCTTTTTCAAACGACCCCTTTCTTTAACATCTAATGTTGAAGTGTAAGTCTTGTGTCTATTGCAGGAAGAGAAGGATCGCCGACAAGGACCTCAGATAGCGACGTGCTAAACCAGGAACCACTCGTACCTGGCGCTTATGCGGATCTGTATTGCCAAGCTCCGCCAAGTTGACCCAAGACCGCAGCGGTTGGAATGTCGTTCTCGATCACCAGTTTCCCATTTGGACTAGCTAACTACAATTGTCTCTACAAGTATGTTCCTCGTTGTTCAGTTTGACCGATCTCCGAGGGGAAATATGTTGCACAAGAAGAGAGAAGAAAAATAAGCCATCTCGTCCCTGCATGGCCGCATTTTATTCCCCTTACGTCTAAGCAGAGGCATACCCCTTGACCCCCTAGCTGAGTTTGGGTACACTCTTGAATCCAACAATGAAGCACCAGCTGCGACAGGAACCAACCGGATGGAATGTCCCAAATGGTGGCCTTGAAACAGAAGACGGCACAGTCTAAGCGGCGGGTTGCCATGCGTAACACAGATGGGACGAATGGAAGCTCATCATGGACAAAACGCATTGAAAACGAACAGACAGCGATTGATGTCTTTATGCATCAACAAGATAAGCGCCGTTCAACATCTCTGGAGCTGGGCCTAAAGCGACAATATCTTGCAAGAGACAACGCATAAGTTGGTGATGTTGGAATTTTCTCTCCTCTTCCTCTCCCATCCATCATGAAACACCATGCATAGTCTGCATCTTCAAATCGCAGACTTCTCTCTGCTCCAGATGCAGAGTTGATGACGTACGTACAACCCCGGAAAGGAACCACCCACGATCAAGGGTGGCCGGGGGCCAAGCGAATTGCGCACATATGTAGGTACATACGCATGGGACGAACGGCTGTTGAACTCTTCAATGCTTGGTGTTGGTACGGAGAACTCAAGTTGCAGCCCCTGATCATCCAGGTTCATACCCCTGAATCGACGGATTCAGCTTGGACGGGAGGACGGTTACTCCAACCTGAAGGACCAACTGTATGCAGGGCGGGCTCGCTATCACACCAAGAATACTTACCACATTCCTCCGGGACCAAGGCCGGCGTCAATTGTAGCAATGCGGGCGCAATAGGTCATGGTCCGACGTCACTAGCAGTCTTTAGCTGATGGGAGAAGGTGTGTCTGCGGTCTGCGACTGTGTCTAGGTAATCTCTCGAACTCTCCGCTAGTGTGGCAGATGATACATCCCTTTGGTGAGACAGCTGCTAACTCGTACTGTGCAGTATCTTGGCTCGTCAGGTGAGCAAGTCTTCGTAGAGTCTCGAGACCCCTCCGGTTTTGAGCCTGACCACAATGAAGAGATCACGCCTACATCGGCCAAGTCGCGTGCTTCTGGTATAGGATGGTTGGTGTATGCCTTGATATAGGTGTTTCGGTCTTCCGTCTTGGGTGGTTCCATCAGCTCAAGGTGAATCTTCAAGAGAAACCTGTTCGACGATAGCAGACAGTCCGATCACTCGTCTTGGTCGACGGGGTTACATCTTGGTACTCCTTCTACCCCAGGTGTCGTCGTAGTCAAGGATGCCGGATTTGACTTCTTTTTTTAAAATGAATTGAAACGCGCTTGGAGGGCCCCAACCAACCAGTAGCGCGCTTCATCCGTGTATTGTGTGTTGAGATGCTGGTAGGCGCCACAGCTTTTGCGCCTCCGTCCAGCGGTTGTCTGGCCCTTGGATCCCTTGGGTGCCCAATCCGGCCGGCATGGTTCGGGATGTCTTTCGATACAGCAAGCTGCCGTGCTCCACATACAACAGAGGTGAGCAGAGCTAGGTATGTTCTGGTTGAGTGAGATGGGCATCCGGGTCAGGCTTCACGTCAGGCTTCCGTCTGACAGAGGCACTGAGAGGTAAAGACCATACCCTGTTTGCAACAGGCGCGCGCAAGGCTTGACGGCGAAGTTGTGGCATGAGAGTTGAGTTGGCATTTGGCTCCTGGAATGAATCGGTAGTCCGGAGGATCAACGCCAACAAGGTGAAAGTGGCACGAGCTAAAGACGGGCCCGGGGCGGGACAGGTGGGCTGTGGATTCGCGGGCGGGGCCCAAATTCCTGCAGCAACGGGACCCGCACCGAGCTAAAATGCATCAACGCCTAAACTGACCAGCCAATCCTCACCACCATCTGGGGCATCTGGTAAACTTTTTTTTCTCCGGTTCTTATCGGCTCGCGAAAAATTCGACAAGGCACGGCTTCAGCCCAGCAAGCGCAGATTCCCAATCAAGAACTATCGGGCGCAAAGGTCACCCACCCGTTCGTGTCAGCATTCAAAGCGTTAGTTCTGCCCTAGAGGTCCGTCCCGTCTGTCAGGTTCTGTGCTTTATCTCAGCTCCGGACCTGTTCGTCTGATTCGGCGCACCGAGCCACCGTCCAGTCCACTTTTATTGACAGTTGTTTTCTCAGCCCGTTTGCCTTCTGCCAAAGACGCGCTCAGCCTCCTGCAGTCTTACAGCTCACTTGCGCCCCCATCTGAGTGCTGTTCGTTCCTGGCATATCCGAGTCCCATTCAAACTTTGCGTGAAGTCGCAACCGGCATCCCGTTGAGACTCTGCGTCCCGACATCTCATCATCGACCATCAACACCAAAGACGCCTCGATAGGTTGAGCAGGAAAAGGCCTTTTCTCAACTTCAATTCTTGCCCGACTAGTCCCAACCTTTCAAGGATTACCGACACGGCCATTTTTGTCCACTCAGACTCGGTTGTCAGATCAATTCCTGGCAGATAATCCTACTCAGCCACCCGCAAAAGAGCACTTCGACGCCGAACCGTATCGTGACTCGTTGACCAGAGCTTATCGCCCTAACTTTTGCTTACTCTTCGCCAATCGGAACCATCCTTTCTTTCACCGTTAGAGACAACACATCAAACCGCAATCATGGTGTCCTTCTCTTGTGAGGTAAGTCACAAACCATTGCAATCCTAGCGCGGCTATCATGCGTCCTCGTCTATTAGAGCAGACGAGTATGGCTTCTGTCCATGGCACGCTTCCCTCATTTACCAGCCCGAGTATCCCATATAATGGTGGTTATACCACCTATATATGGAGGTCGGTCTATCACCCCTCCATCAATCCCTGACCTGCCCCCAGGTTTGATACAAAGTACATAGCACACCACAATTCCCCCAACTCTCTCCTCCCTGTCAGACATCTCGCCCCTACTCAACCCCTTCCTGTCCGAGAAGGGCAATCTAAACTGACATCACACACATTCCTGCCCACCATCTCCCTGGGTAACCACCAACCAAAGGGTGTCCCTGTGCACCACTAACACCCACCCCTCTTCACCTTTCCGCACGCCCCTCCCCAATTAGAGCTGATCCGGCTGGTCTCCTTACCCTTCCTTGGCTCTTCTCTCACTACTTGTTTGGCCTGCCTTGCTTCCAACTTAGCTCACAGCATCTTACTTTCTCTCTCAAACCTCAATTCCCGGTTACCTATATCGTTATCTAACCACTCATCCCTTGGGTTATCACAGGTCTGCGGCGACGTCTTGACCAAAAAGAAGCTCGACCCGCATCGCCAACGCTGCTGGGGCGCAAACTTCACCTGCATTGATTGTATGACCCACTTCCCGGGTACTGAATATCGCTCCCATACGGTAGGATCCCATTTACCTCACGTCGCACGATGCCCGACGGTTGACGTGTTGGACTTAATCCCCGCTGACTGTTCTTTAGAGTTGTATGACGGAAGAGCAAAAGTATCAGGGCGCTCTGTACCGACCCAAGAAGGGAAACAACAAACAGAATCAGAACCAGAACCAGAATCAAAACCAGAACAGAAACCAGAACAACTCCCAAGCCATGGCGCAACCCGCGTATGTCGAGGAGGTTGCGGAGGACTTCGACACATGGCGCCAGTACGACAACAACGGCAACGCGCCTGCTCAGGCACCCACTCCCCCTTCAGCAACTGAGGCTCCTATCAACGTTTTCGACTACATGGTCAACCCTACCCCAACCGCCTCGCGGGTTTCCGTTGCGGAAGAGCAGCCCGAGCAAAAGTCGAGCAATGAGGTGGTTCGCTACGAGTCGAAAGCCGATGAGATCACAGAGAACGCTGTTGTTCACTACGAAACGCCGGCGCCAAAGAAGAAGTCCAAGGATGGAGAGAAGGAGGTTAAGAAGGACAAGAAAAGAAAGAGGGAACTCCACATTGAGACGGACCATCCGATGACCGACGCGCCCCCTGTTTTGCACTCCGGATTGACTGGTGGGATCAGCCGTATGATGAGCAGACCAGACGTCTTCCCTCCCTCGCCAGAGTCCGCGGAGACACCGGCCAGCCCACTCAAGAAGTCCAAGCACTCGAAGCACCATAAATCGGAGAGTCTCCATAACAGCCTGATGGCCATGATTGCCGGTTCCAAGTCCAAGAAGAGCAAGACCTCGAAGACCAAGGAATCGAAGGACAAGAAGGACACCAAGGAAAGGAAGGAGAAGAAGTCGTCGTCTGCCTCGCCGTCGTCCAAGAAGCACAAGCACAGCCACAGCAAGTCGCTCGAAACACCCAAGGAGCAAAAGATGATTGAGTACAGGCCCGGTTCCAAGGACGGCGCCGCCGAAAAGGACAAGGATAACCAAGTTGTCATCTTCCAACCCCGCGCCGAGCGCTTCCTGAGCTTCGTCAACAAGGGCCCCGAGAGCGACAAGGGTGTAAGCCTCAACAAGGCCCTGAAGCGCTATCACCGTGAGCGCAGCGCGTCGGGAACTAGTGTGAGCAAGCTGGCGGAAGAGAAGGAGCTGTGGCGGTCGTTGAGGATGAGGAGGAATGACAAGGGAGAGATTGTGTTGTTCTGTGTCTAAGTAGGTGCTGAGGGTGGGAAAACTAAGAAGCAAATTTGATAAATCAAGGAAAAAAAATGTACCAAAAAGGAAGGGACGGAGGTGATGCGACGGCGTTCGAGGGACACACCTGCCCGTTCTTATACCATACCATGTGCTACTACTACTTACTCTGTTTACATTTCGAAAAGGGCAAATAATGGAACAACGGATGCATCTCGAAGTTCATCTCATTACCCCCTCTGGTGCAGACCCCCTCGATGCGCGGCTCATAAACGACCCCAACTCACCAAGTATTCAACACTTGACAAGTTGACATCGTGGTCGAGCGGTGTGGTGCGCTGAGCTCTCATTGCACTTGCTAGAGGGTTGCGTTATCACACGCCAAGTCAGTCGCTTACTGGGGAGTCTAGGGGCCCTACGTACGGCGGCGGGAGGGTGGATCTCCCCTGGAAGTCAACTGTAAGGTGGCGTCTTCAGGCTACGCAAATAGGGCTCTTCTACTCCCTTCCACCTTTACAAGACGTCAGCCGTTCGATTCCTGCTCTTGTCTCCTTTTTTTTTTTTTTTTTTTTTTTTTGCACTTTTTGGTAATGCGATGATAATGTGTTTTTTCTCGGATGCCGTTTGGACAGGTACATAAAGCTGATGACGATGATGAAGCTATCACCGGATCTTGGCGTTGCTTAGCGTATATACTACTACCTACCCTTGTCGAACGGTGAACTGTGGTGTGTGTGGGTTCAGATGTCTACAACGACCATCCTTGCTCGACAACTTTTGGTTGGATGCAAGGAGAAGACGCAAAGAACTGAAGTACTGAAGAACCCGTCTTGATGATGATTTCACTTGGTTTCTTGGTCTCTTTCTGGCTATCTTTTTCATCCGGCATGTTATTTCGGCGCTCGTTGAGGAGAAACTGGAGGTTCTTTCTTGTACTAGTACTTGATAGGAGACGACCCTTCCTTCTGTTCTTCCTTTGTCCATGGCTTTTTGGTGTTGGACCATGGGGAGTTCTGGTCATAGTAACCAGACGGCTGCTAGGGGCAGAAGGACAAGCAAGAGCATGTATGTACAAGTAAGATCTGACTGAGAAGTTCGAAACGGAGAACAAGGCTTTTATCAATATTTGTCAAATCGCTCTTTTGAACGTGTCCTTCGCTAAACAGTCCATATCATATACGGTACAGACAGGCAGCTCTAATGTATAACTTCTAAGCATTCATCGTAGCAGCAGCCTCATTGGTCTCCGGGGCCGTCATAATCTCAGTCTCAGTCTCAGTCTCAGCCTGTTCCCCAGTCCAGAAGCTCCCTCCATCCACCGACGACGGCTCGGGTTCCTTTTCCTCATGCACAGCAGCACTGTCAACACTCTGTTCTGTATCCGATACCACCCCGTTTCCTTCCTGGACATCGCCACTGACACTGGCATTCTTAGACTGTCCTTCCGCTTCTCCTTCGAAATCAGATCCCGATGTAACGCTCTTCTCCTTCTCCTGTTCCTCTTCCTCCTCCTTCTCCACAGCAGCCAACCAATCCTCCTCCACCGGCTCCGCTTCCTTCTTCACCTCCACCACCGGCTTCTTCTCCATGATCTTCCTCAGCGTAACAAACGACCTCGTCAACGGAGCTGCCGCCTTCTCCGCCTCGGCTGTCGACGTCTTGGGGCCACCTCCAAGCCGTTTCCAGGACCCGCGACCAGCAACCGCGTTCCATCCACCCGCCCCGCCTGCACCGCTCTCGGCCTCCCGTCGGACGACATTCAACGAGTCGTCAGCGTGACATAGCACCACGCCGCCTGTTGCCAGCTTGAGACGAGTAACCGTTTTGGAGACCGCAGCCTTGAGCGTCGTGAGAGCGGACTCGACGGCCTGCGGCGTCGCGGCGATGGAGGAGTTGGCGATAGCCGCTGCCGTGGAAGCAGGCGTGGCTTTGATTAGGATTTCCTCCGAAGGGAGAAAGTTGGTGGTGAACGAGACGGCGGTCAGGCCAGATTTGGCGACGGCTCTGATATCGGCGACCAGAGTTTGGTCTAGTTCCTCGATAGTGAGCCCGAACCGGGGCTCTTTGAGCAGCAGCGCGTTATAGGGTTGCTGCTGCTTCGGGGGAGCAACGACCGGGGCAGCAGCGGGCTTAAGGCTGGCGGCGGTCTTGGCGATACGGGCGCACTGCGCAAGTGTCTTGGTAGGCGCAGCGACGAATCGTGGCGTCTTGAAGATGCAAACGTGCCGATGGGGCTCGGGATCTTGACTCTCGGAGTCGAGGCCGAAGTCCTCGGCTAGACTGTGCAGGAAGGCGCGCTGGGAGGAGGGCATGGGCTTGAATCTGAGACGCTTCTCGTCGGGCGAGGAGGCGAAGACGCGGAACTCACGCTCCTGGGTTTGGGCCCAGTTGACGTTCTCCTTAAACATCTTGAGGGTTTTGTCGGAGTAGGGGATGTGGTCGTCCGTATGGGTGTCGTCGATCTTGAGGGCATCGACTAGCTTGCGGTTCCGCTGCAGTCGGAGACATTCGTCGTCGCATTTCAGCGAAGACTCCCGTGTCGACGAGGGGTTGAGCATCGTGGCCATGCAGCGCACTTCCTGCTTGCGATTCTGGCATGGACAGGTGATGAATGTCTTGGACTGGCAAGGCTTGTCCTCCTTGCAAGGATATGGAGCGTGACACTGCTCGGCGCAAGTGTGTTCGCAAGATTTGCGTACTTTTCCGCAAGCCTGGGCGCAGTGGGAGCCAGGAATGCCGGCGTCTTCGCAGTCGCCCGGCTTGTGGCATGTCTTCTTGCACACGTGCGATCCGCACTTGAGCTTCTTTCCACAGGGGAGCCCACAGTGCACTTCGTTGTTCCAGCATGGGCGATTCTTCATGATCTCCTTTCCACAAATACAAGGCTTGTCCATCAAGGATGGACACTTTGGACAAGGAGTGTCATCCGGATGACACGGGTGAGGGACAGTAGGGTGGCCACATGGTTGGCGCCGTCTACACGGGAATCGGCACTCGGGCGGCCTCGTCCCGCAGGGCTGTGGAGGATAGAGTACGGTGCGTCCGCAATTGCAGCTGATCTCATCGAAGACAGCCTCCACACATGACGGGCATTGACCCTTGTGGCAGAGTTGCTGACATGTGTGTTGACCACACTTCAGTGTACGGCCACAAACCTGAAGACAGATATGTTCGGCTTCGTAGTTTTCGTTTGGACCACGGTTCTTCTTCTTCCTTCTCTCTGCGGCCTTCTTCTCGCCCGGACAACAACGCTCGCCGCACTCGTGCCTGCCGCAGTTAAGTTGGACTTTGCAAACCCTGAAGCACATTGGATGCTCAATCGTGCCCTGGTGGCAGGCTGACTGGGTCACTGTCCTGCCGCAACGGCAAGAGATGTCGACAACCTTCGAACACATCCCACAGGGGCCGGTGTGGCATTTCTTCTCACATAAGTGACCGCAAGGAAGGACCTTGTGGCATGGCTTATCGCAGTGAGGTATCGAGTCCTGGCATGACTGCCGCGGAGGCACTGGCAACGACGTCAATGGGGTCTTCCCGCATGGACAACGAGTAACCACATCCGGGGAGAAGGGGCAATGTGTCGATTCTTCGTTTTGTGGGTGGCAAGGCTTTTGGCACGTATGATGTCCACAATCGAAAGGTCTGCCACAGATATTGCTGCACCGGAATGAGCCTTCAAACCAAGGGTCCGAATCAGCCTCTTCCGAGGAACCTTGAAGCTGTCCGTAGTTGAAAGAATCCATAACCTCATCACGTTGATCGCATGGTATTTCCTTCTGCTCCTTCCCGCAATAGCATGTCGACAAAAGAGGAACCTCGCAAGCTCCACAGAGCCCGGGGTGACAGGTCTGCTCGCAGAAGTGCTCTCCACATGGGAGTAGATCGCCACAGACCTCTTCGCAGCTGAAGCCTTTGCCGTACTCAGTCTCACTGCAGCGTTTGGTCGAGGTATGCTTACCACAATAGCAAGTCTGGGAAGGCCCCATCAATGTGCATGGTGGACAAGGTCCCGCATGGCACATCAATGAACACGGATGTGGGCAGGTAGCGCGAGGCTTGGAACATGTCTGTCCACAAGTATGGGGAGGCAGTCCGGGAATAGGTTTCGGGTCGATCTCCTTTTTGCACCAGCAGCGATCCGGTCCGGGCTTCTCGACCAGTTGCGAGTTGCAGCCGGGACACCTCCAAGTCAACGGCTGGTCAGCGTTTTGCTCCTGCTGCTCCGCATTCTTTTCCTGATTGGCGTGCCATTTCTTAACGCAGGACAGATGGGTGACAGTCCAGCAAACGGAGCACGACCAGATCCGAGTATTGCGCGTTAGCTCATTTGTGCATATTACGCATTCGTACAGTCCGTTGGCAATATCCTCGTGGATTCGAGTGGTCAAGTCAGGTGCCGAAGACTTGGAGGCAGTTGGTGGCGCAGGACGATGCTCCCTTTGGGGTCTCGCGCGGGCAGCTCTTGGTTGTTGGGTTGGAACTGCAAGTGGTTGACCGGGAACAAAAGCGGGAGCATCGGCGCTTAACCCGGCGCCCGATTCATTGCCATGTTCTTCAGCAGCGGGCGGAGCCGCCACCGTCCCTGGAGGTGGTGCACGTCCTCGGTGAGATACCACGATCGATCGTTGAGCAGATGAGACTCCTCTCCCGCGCCGAGGACCACCTTCTCCACCTCCTCGCCTTCTTCGTCCTCCTCCTTCCCTTGAAGGTCCTGACGGCGCATCCGGTGGGGGTACGTTTACACTCGCCGTTTCCGTGGGGTTCCTTGAGGGTTCGGCTAGTTGCGCTGGTTGAGCTGTTTCGCCACCAGTGTTTGGTCGCTCGGAGCCTTGGTGATGACCTCTCCGTGGCCTGCCTCCACGTCCTCTGCCTCTGCCTCTACCTCCCCTGCCTCCCCTACCAGAACCGCCTTGAGGGGTAGCGGTTTGAACGTCCGCCATGGTGATGTTTGAATCCGCTAGTCCTTGGGAATTCGACGTCACTGCGATGGTGGAAGGTTCGTTGCGACTGTGTGCTGGGTGATGAGCCGGCGAAAAAAAATGGGTAGTGTTGTATGCGCTTTTTGAAATACAGCGTCTTCGGATAGTGAAAGCAAAAGAAAGAAAACTGGGCTCAAGTGCACCCAAAGTGCAAGGTCAGGATGAACTTGCAAAAGTGCAAACGGGAAACCGTCTCGGGAGCGAGAAAGTATTTCAGTAGGCACGATTGAGAAGGTGTAGTATCGCGCTTTTTAAAGCAAGCCGCAGCCGGGGCAAAACCTCCACTTGGTGAGCCTAGACTGTGAAGTGAAGCCTTTGAAGTTTTGGAGAAGACGTGGACGGGTACGGTCAGATTACTAACTGGGACAGAAATGGTATTGTTGGTGGCGTTTCCGACTTCCGTGCATTCTTCGCCTGTCGTTGCTGTCGCGCCCCACTAAAAGAGGGCTGCGGAAATGTAATTTCCAATTCAGTTTCCACGCAGGCCAAGCAGGAAGGAGCTCGCCACTATGAGTCACGATTAATCATCCTAGAATCATCCACCTTCCACTTACCTCTACATTACGATAACGGCTTCTTGACCTTCCACTTTTATCTTTTTGTACAGCCTAGTCCAGGCAGAACTATTCACCGTGACGGTAAATACATCGTGAACCTTTACGAGATGGCTTTGCGACTGTATTAAACCGAGGCGCTGCGCATGTACCTTACAGGGCCTGATATGTATGTCGGGTTGATGCTTGTTTGCAAAATGTTCAACGCCGGGAAACAGTCAGGAGAGCCGACTGTACACGTTCTAAGGTTTCTGCGGGGTGGATAGGTGGTAGAAATTGAGATACAACTGCCTATCACCACGATTTTCTGCCATTGACATAGAGCAATCATTTTATCATGGAGCATCCGAGAATGTGTAACCTCCACTTTTTTTTCGCTCCTCATCCTTGCCACTGGAGGGGGATTCGTGTTTGCTGAAGTCATCCAACTCCAGCAGTAGACCCGTGGAACCCAACATTGAATCTTGAGCTCCGGAAACGCGGTCACTCAGGTTCAGCATGTCCGGAGTGGACCCCGGGTCCGACACCCGCATTCCGGCCCGGCCCCGTAACACCCGCTTCGGAACGGAGATCCACTCGAGCGGGGAACCGGAGGGTGTGTGGGCCCATGTGCGCGGATCAGGAGAAACTCCGTTCTGTGGTTTTAACATGTGTGACCACCAGCCAACGAAATACTTTCATCACGGAGGCATAGGCACACAGTAGGCCGGACCAGTGAAAGGTGCCGCACTCAATGCGTGGTCATCGCTGCCCTGGCATATTGGCAGGTCCATCACCCTTTGTGCATGACTTTCCGGTTCTTGCCAGCCATGTAATTGGACGGCGACTCAAGACGATGCACACAGTTGTGTAGAAGAAGCAAGCACAGCGATACAGTGGGGACTGATCGTGCATTGAGGCTGTCGGATTTGGGGGGTTTGGGAGGCACAAAGGCCTGGATGGCTTGCCTGGTTTGTCAACACAAGTAGTGGCGCGCATGATTCAGTCCATTTGATTTGTGCCAGGTGCCCGTGGTCATCTGTCCCTTCATCTTCCCAGCATGTGTTATGCTTTCACCGCTCGACCTTCAGGAGAAAACATATGCTTGCTTGAAAATCGTGATTAGGGGAAGACAGGCATTGAGTGGATGTACGGATTTTGCATGTACATATTGTAGGGACTCGTCACAAGCCGGTAATCCACATTGGTGATGGATTGGTTGATGGGAGAAGTTGACGCACGTTTTCTCCCCTTGCCTCGACGGTTGAATGGTTTCACATCAACTGGGCAGGCCCGTTGACAATGTAAATCGATAAAATGCCCCAGATCGAAGGCCTTGATGGCATCCCGAGCGTGATAATGGAACAATACCGTACGGACCACCGTACGGACCGTCGGACCTAACAGATTGTACATGGTATGTACTATCGAACTTGGCATCCGAAAGGGGTGTTGGTGAAAGGGGTGCAAAAGCGCTAACTGATATCATGTCGCCCTCGACACTGGGGATACCGGCGTGTCCCCCTATAAACAAGTGTCAAAAGAAGATATATTAAAGAGGATATGCGCAGGCGCCTCTTCAGCCGCGTTTCCTCTACTTCCCTGCCATCAGCCGTCGTACCATATGGTCGGCCCATTGGCGATCCCCTATCGTCCCTTGTTTCTCAAACACCATCCATTATCACAACCACGGCAACGAGTGCTCACCTGACGCCTGGTGATACGAATGGCGCCAACGGAAAAGCTGTCTCTCAAAAGTAAGTACGTACCTCTGGGCTGGTCGAGATAGCCGAGACGGGTCTGAATTCCAGGCTGTTATTGGCATCCTTCTGGGTCAAGTGTTGCTTCGAACGTGAAGGTCGCTTGACCCGTTTCTCCGAGTGATGATCAACCCTGATTGAGAGGCGATGGTCGTTTGAACCGGCAAGCGGTTCCAACCCACGTCCGTGATAGTTGAAGATCCGCCACCCCCAAATGAAAAGCCAAACTCCGAGGAGAGCTGCGGTTTCGGGAGGCCGAAGTGTGCGAATAAAGTCAAGCTTTTTCAACTGGGTCCTGTTAGGGGTCTGTTGGCCCCTAGGGAGAAATCATGCTGCCAGTCATTCTGTCGACAGCGCGCTAACACCTCGGGGACAACCAGGCCGGGGCGTGGCAGTGGAGGCTTCGCTTACGCCGTACCGGTACCGGCACTAGGCCCAGGTGAGCGTCGATCGGGCTTTCCGTCCTTTCAGGGTTTTCACATTGACGGCTTTCAGTTGGCCCAGTTGCGGCTTCCGGCTTTCTGACTGCGAGGGCGCGCAAGAGCGACGGCGGCGGCGGAGGAGGAGGAACTGAAGTGGAAGGTGGTGTGCGACCTGACTGTGCGGATGTTCATGGGTTTGCTTTGATGAATGATGGCTGCTTTTTGATGGCAGGATGGGCGCTCCACTGACCATCATGGGCCAGTATCGGGCCATTTGATTGGTGCATCCGACGCGTCGCTGCCGGGTAAAGACCCCGCCTCCTCCACTCTCCCCACTCTGGTTCGCCGGCTGGGATTCCTCCACCAGTCCTCCTGCCTCCCGGTACTGTCAGACTGTCAGGTCAGACAGGTACCATCACTCAGCTACAGCACCAGGCTACCTCTTTAGGTTTTTATTGCCCGTTCGTGCCATTCCCTTCATCACAAGCACATCGCTGCACCATTCATCACTCACGATTCAAACTTCCAGGTTCATCTTGACCATAGTTGGCCATTCACATTCACAGGTGCAGTGGCCATCGTTTGCCCACTGAGCGCACTGCACTCGACGCATCGACCAGCATTATAAAGTCTTGTCACTTGCATTGCCCTGGCCATTGGGTACGGGCTAGCTTCCAGAACTCCTCTCGTCCCAGCTCTCCCAGCTGCATCGGCCCTGTCCATTTCAGGTTCTGATCCTGTCATCTCCATTCGCCATCCGCTTCTGCCAGTTGCAGTTGCAGGTGCCTGACCCTTGAAAAGGTTCCAGGTCGTTGCGGTTGCCGTGCCGCAGCAAATAAACCACCTCCGCCCGCCGCCTTCTTTTCCCAAAAAGTTTCCTATTCTCTTTCTCACTGAGCACAGAAACTCAGTCTCTTACCGTCACGTCAACAGAATCATCCCCCCCTGTGCGACACAGGCGTGGATTCACCGTCTCAAAGCTCGCTCGCAGGCATTGTCGCGAGCACGGCACCTACCGTCAGGGCTTTCCATTGACGGGTACCGGATACATCGCCGGATACATCGCCGGATACTGGAGACTGGAGACTGGATACCCCATCCCCATCCCAGTGACCGAGACCAGATCCAGGTCACCTAGCCCGCCAGGGACCTCAGTCCAGGCCAAGAAAGAAAACCACACCCTCGAACCCGACCCCGACCCTGACCCGGTCCCAAAGCATTGTTGTCTCGGAGGAAAAGACAAGGATATCTGGTCTGCTGTGCCCAGTGCAGTGTGTTGCGACAGCCTCCCGGGTTCGGAAATCACAGAAATACCTGTTGTATTTCGCTCACGTCTTCCGTATTCTATCCTTTTCTGCGCCAGTCCATGATTTCTGTGTCGAGGTAACAACAGGTCGGGTTTCGAGAGAGCATCGACTGCCACGCCCATCACCATGGAACCCGTCCCAGAGACCGAGCGAATGGAGGAGTTCCGCCCCTCTCCTCTTCCCAGTTTGAGGGTCAACACACCCGAGTTCGACTACTTGCGCAAGCCGCCCACCCTTCGCCGATCAACCGACCCCTCTCCAGCATCCCCCACCTCGCCATCTTGGTCAACTCCCACGCTTCCATATCGCCCTCGCGCCTCCTCGCCGCTGTCTACGCTTCATGTCAGGTCGAGGTCAGCAGTAAACCTAGCACCACCCATGGCGCGCACTCAGTCTATGCCCGGCGTCAACGGATCCGGCCATCTTCTCTTCTCACCACATATCCGACCACAAAGCCCTGCTCAGTCGCCGAGCCGGGTCCGTCCTCTGCGCAAGCCAGTCGACGAAGTTTTCCCTTCCTCGCCAACTCGCGTCTCGGTCCATGACCATGAAAGGCAGCTTTCCGAGAGAAACAGCTCGCCAAACCTAACCCTTGGGTCAACATCCACAGCAACTTCAACGGCCCGACTACGAAGACCTTCTTCGCCTTTACGACTTGTTCATCATGCCAGCACCACATCGTTGTCATCCATACCATCAACTCCTTCTTCAGTCGCATCGTCGCCATCTTACCGAGCTTACGACTCATTTTCCAGCAACTACTACACAACCTCCATGCCTTCAACACCCACTTCCATGAGATCCAGGAGCCCCAGTATTTCTAGTCTTGAAACCATCCCAGACACCCCAGATGCCGAGGAGGCCGCTTTGGAAGCCGAGAGAATTGCGCAGCTGAAGGCCGCAGCGGAGGCGGCGGAAGGTGGCGGTGATGCCAAAAGCAAAGCGAGTGCGGATGCTTTGTCGCGAGGCAGGACGCTAGGGTTTGGTTCCAGAGACAAGCGGAAGCGGTGGAGTGTCTGCGGTGCCGAGAGGAGGCAGGATCTCGATTTGGAGACTATCTGGGAGGATTAAACCTTTCGGACCTGTTGGTGTGTCTCTCTTGGTCTGGTACAGTACCAAGAAACGACGTCCATAACAGCAGCGACATCCAGGCAGGCAGATACGCCCGGCGAATCCGATCTGGGTACGAGGACGAGGTTTATCTTCTTTGCATAAAGGGCGGCGGCTTTTTTCCAGTCTTTTCTCCTTTTTACCAAGCATATCGGCATCGAATTCTTTCAACCATTGGGAAATATTGGCGGCGTTTGGCGGTGGGGATGGAATTATTCCTTTCGATACCCTCTCTGACATGGGTATCCGACAGTTCAAGGACGCCTATGGCAGCAGCCGTTTTTGTGCGTTGGGTAAAGCAAAGCACCTTGCGATGAATGTGGTGGGGGTTTCGTGTTCAGCCATCATCATGAATGAGGTCAATCTGTCGTTTTCATCACGGGTTTCTTCTTTTTCTTTCGCTCGTTTCGTTTAGCGACTATTGGTTGGGGGCTTGGAATGGACTTGGACTGTATGTTACCATCGGATTCTCCGCGGCTTTAAGGAGTCGGTCATAAGCGCTCTATAGGATTCGCTTAGTTCTATTCATATCATCTTCAAACTGCAATGACTTTCGTTGATGAATGTGCTTCTTGCTGCGTCATGACTTATCCACTATATTACCTATGCTTGCTCAATCGACAATTGACTCCTTTGATATGTAGCGATACTGTACGGGTACGGTGGACCTGCTATTACTGATGAGACAGACCAGCTTCTGCTTTGGTCATAGAACAGTTGAAAGGGGCATGAACTAGTGGAAATTGGGCATGTTCCCCTATTTCATCCCATGTGATCCTTTCCGTATCACTCTTTCTTCACATCAGCCTCTCCTCACCGATTATAACACTTCATGTCCTCAAAATCCTGACCCATTGCTTAATCGCTAAATAGACCGGATACTCCCTTCAATATAATAACGGCTTGTGAAGTTCTTGTCAAAGTATCAAACCTCAAAGCGGGTTTGTGCTGGCTCCGGTAACACTATTTTTACCATCTTTCATTATAGAAACTAGGTATTTCAGTGATACATGGACAGTACATGAGGATGATTGTATGATCATTAGAGACCTTGAGGTTTTTGTTTATTTGAACATACGGTTTGGTGAATATCTTTACCACGCTTGTGATACTTCTCATAGACATAATCTCAGACCTCAGTCAAAGGGTATCCTCCTCAAACTCTCCCCCTGTCCCCTCTTCCTCATCTCCTCCGCCGCCGCCAGACTACTCGGCACCTTGATACCGCAGCAATCGCCCCAGCCAGTCGGCTGATGCACATGCCTCTTTCCATCGCTATCGTCGTACACCTCCACCTCGCCGCCCTCCTCCTCATTCTCCTCACTGCCCAAAGCGTTGGGATCTTGCTCACTCATACCCTCCGCCGCAGGAATCAGCGACCCAAACAGGAAGTGTTGCATAACCGGCAACTTCTTCAACACCTCAGACACAAACATCCTCCTCATCCCGCCCTCAATCTTCTCCCAGTTTTTGGCACTACTGATATCGTCCAGCATCGGACTATGCCACCTCAGCCCTTTGACCGTCTTGGTACTGTTCACAAACGCCACCTGACCAAGATACAGGAAATCATGACCAAACTCTTCGAGGGTCAGCTCCTGGTGGATCGCCCGCGGCGTGATAAAGTGGTGATGCAGCAGCTGGCTGGCCCCAAACAGGAACGGCAGGAACTGGTAGTCGTCCAGTCCCCACACGCCGTGCGAGCCCGCTGGCTCGAGGTAGTACGTCATTTGGATCAGGCGCATGACTTCCAGGTAGCGGGCGAAGACGCAAAGCACGAGGGCTTTGAAGTCCGATTGTTCGAGGACCGAGAGCTGGTACAGGCACAAAAGCCACATCATGAAGTTGAGCTCGTGGCCCGAGCCGTAGTCGATGCGCGTGCGGTTGCCGAAGGACTGGTTGAGGTAGGCTGAGGCTTCGGTGACGGCCGCTTCTGGAAGTTTCCCTCCCAAAAAGGCGGCGTGCCATTGCTGACCGCGCTGCTTGACCTTGTCGAGAAAGAGGCGGAAGGTCTTATTGCCGAAGCGAGAGCCACCCTGGTCGTCTGGTGGCGACTCCTTGCACAGCGCTTCGGTCTCGTCGAGGATGCGGAGGATGGTCTTCACGGGCTCGCTGAGGTCGGAGTCCTTGATGGCGGAGATGGGCGTGTCGACTACGGATTCGGAAAGGGAGAAGACGAAGGAGAGGATGAGACTGTAGGTGGGCGAGGCCAGGAAGAGCTCGTGGTCTTTCCGGAGAAGAATCCGTCGGACGGGCGTCCGGAACTCCAGGGTCGACGGATCTGGGCGGGGAGGGAGGGCGGGGGTTTCTGGTACCGGAGTCGGGTTCGATGGTTCTTGCCTCCGTCGCCGGGGCTCTAGTTTGGGAATGCGGTCTCGTAGATTCGGGATGCCCTGGCCGGCTTTGGAGATGGGTTGTCCTGGGGCTGCTGGCGATCCTTGGCCGGTGCCTGTGCCTGGCCTTCCTGTTATCGCTGATGTATCCATGATAGGTGAAAGCTGGGTGTTCTAAGCAGTGTGAGAGTGGGCTTCTTCGTCGTCAGTATTGCAGTTGACTGTACTCGTTGTTTTAGATGCGATGACTGATGATGGAAGCTGGGGATATTGGTTCCGTGATGTAGGTGGGAGGTTACAAGTGTAGATGTTGGAAGGGAAGTTTAGTGACGGGCAATCCCCTGAATGCTGGGAGCATCTACCCCGCCGTAGAGCCATCGTGGGGCAGGCAAAGTGCTGACGGCGGAAGGCGTAATGGCGTTCTTTGGCGGGGCGGGGCCGTTCGCGACTTCGTTCCACTGGCTGGGCTGGGCTGCAGCTTCCTGAAAGCTTGGCAGGCACGCTGGGCCCGCCGCTGGGAAGGAACGGAGTGGGGTCATCTCAAAAGCTAGCGCCGGGCTGCAGATCCCGTCGTGGAGGAACGACCCGCCTTCAACATCCCGCCTTCAAAACTTCACTCGCGCCGCAGAAGCAACATCACTCACAACTTGACCTCAGCCGCCGTCCGTCACAACTAAACTTCAAGCCCCGCCTACCCTCACACCGACCCAGATACCACTCACATCATGACCACTGCGGCACCCGAAGCGTCCCTCAACGCCCTTCCCCGGGCGGATGGATCGGCCAGATACTCGTATGCTGGGTACACGGTCACGGCCTCAGTCAATGGACCCATTGAGGCTCAGCGCCGGGATGAACACGCTTATGAGGCTCACGTTGATGTTATCGTACGACCCGCTGCTGGGGTAGGAGGTGAGAACATCATAATGGCACCACCACTTGGAAAGGGACCATATCTCACCTACTTCGCTTTTCTTTATAGGAACACGAGAGCGCCATCTGGAATCCATCCTGCAGTCCTCTCTTTCTCAAATCATCCTCGTCAAGAACTTCCCCCGCTCCGTCATTCAGATTGTTCTTCAAATTGAGAGCATACCTGAAAATGCTTACGTCAACACAAAGCTGGTGCAGGCCAGTTTGGTAAGAAACTCGAGCCTTTTTCTCCTCCTGCCAGTAGGCTATAGCTAATCCTGGCAACAGAACCTCCCCATAATCCCGGCCTTGTTCCAGACTGCCGTTCTCGCTCTCTTGTCGGCTACCGTGCCAATGAAGGCAACCGCCACGTCCACGGTCGTTGCTGTGGTATCCGAAGACGGTTCGAAGAAGATTGTGGCCGATCCCTCTCCCAAGGATATCGGAGAGGCCACCTCGCTACACGTCCTTGCTTTTACCTCCCACGACGAACTTCTTCTTTCAGAAAGCGAAGGCGACTTCACCGTCAAGGAGTGGGATGACGTGTACGAAAGGGCCCAAACGATTTGCTGCCAGTCTGCCTCAAAGCAGGCAGATATCGATATGATGCTTGATGGTGATACGTCCGGTCCAGATATGCGCCATTTCCTTCGGTCGGCGCTGGAGACCAAGGTAGCATCCGACCTCTACTGGAAGTGAAGCTACATTCGGTCTTGGACTGTCTGCTCGCATCTCGTGCGTTTCAAAAGCTGAAGGGTTGAGCATTCGGCTCGTGGTGTTTCCGGAATGAGAACCCATAGGCCTTTTCGCCGGTTGACGGGACAAGTGCAGCTTGCAATGCGACTCGAGAATCCTTGACGCCGTGGAAAAAAGCCAGTCTGGACGGATACGAACCAAACGCATTCAAAAGATAACCGCTCCCCTCTCGGCACAATTACACATCACTCGGCAAAGCGGAGGTTGTGATCGCGATGGATATCATTCAACGCAGCGGAGTGGATAACAATCCTAAGTGAGATTTTACTTGGATTGCGCACGGGTTCCTTTGACGAAACTATCGCCGCTTCAAACGCACAAGAGGTGGGTCCGACATAGGGGTTATGTTTGGAATATTCTCAGGCCAGGGCCAGACCCCTGTTTCATGTCGCCTTTCCAGGCACTCCAAACTGTGACATTGGGCACTACGGTCTTGGTGTCCCTGGTGTGCCTGAAAAACCAATCGACAATATTGAAACGGAGATAATGAGTGCTTCAATATGGCACTGGGGTTGTGGGAGCTATCCAATCCGGATGATGGGAAATATCGAACTTGACCATATCGCAGCCACGCAGCTGTGAGCCTCGAGATGATGGTTTGGTGCCGCTGCATTGGGCTTTTCAAGAACGACTACTCTTCGCCTCCGTGCGAGTCAGGCCTAGTCCTATGCAACACACAATTTTCAGTCCCATTCCGACTTCTTGACCATGGTTGTGCTCGCCTTTTCTTTGGCTGTCTACGCGGCTTGAACGGCATCAATGCGCCATGGCATTGTCTGATTCCGGCGGGTCAAACAGGGCTTCACGGAACACCACATGGGGTCCTGTCATGAAGGTGTGCAGTGTACTATGCAGTAAGTTTGTGCAGTGAGAATAGCGAAACGAAAGCGCTTGTGTTGTCATGCAGATGCTGAATACCGCAAAGGAATACTGATTGATGCAGAAACGATCTCTGGTACCTTGCGCCCTGGGCCGTCAGCGTCGGCAACCTGTGCCGTGAGATGCTGTCTGAGCGGCCGCGCTAGCGCCTGTACCCCGGACGTTCGCCTCCAAAACCCCAGCCGCACCAGGATACATGAGACGTAACTTACACCTCGAGTCCAGTGTACCATGCTCTGGACGTGATGCGAGGGGAGGGGAACTGATTAGAAGCTTCGAGTTATGCCAGAATATCCTCGAGGACGCCTCTGTCACGAGCACTGGGAACATCCAGAGATTGGACAAGCTGAAGGCACTATCACAGCGTGCTGCATCCATATTCTGCCGATACATCGTCCCGTCTTGACACACCTACTTCCGCGTTTCGATACCCGCCATTGCAGCTCTATAATGCTGTAGCCCAAAAGAAACTGTCACAAGAACCTCCTCGGACTTGAAATCCCAAAATAGGATAGCTATAGTACACACATGCGTGTGGCGTACACATTCCGGATAGCCTAGGAGCTCCAAATCCACCCCCTTGCCGCACCCCGAATACGTCGAACAGCTCCATCCCGATCTCACAGATTGTGACCCGCCGAAACGTCTACCACTACCTATCACCGGCGCCCCGCTCCTCTCCCGGACTTGTCTTGTGGTATTAAATCACAAGCACGACTGATGTTCGTTTTTTGCCTTCATTGTCTGCTCTTCATTCGTGTGCATATTTGCTACTTTCGCTGTCTATACCCTTATTTCAAGAACTTCCATTCTTTCTGCCTCAGGAGGCAGCTACATTGTCAGAACTCTGGTAGTTCTCACTGTCCTATCTCTATCACTTCTTTTAATATCTCTTCTCTTCACACTCCTTCGTTGGACGCCCAGACGAGTCCAGGTTATTTGACGGTCCAATCAGTGCCCTAATCACGTCGAATAACGATCACGGCATAAGACTATCATAGCGTTGGACCTCCTTTTCGGCAAAACTTCTCTTGGGCAGATATATAAGCGGCGTCTCTACAGCACACACTGTGACCCGTTCCCAACGACAAGCGATTCCTTTCACTCTCCAAAGCCATACACAAGGCCACGTGCATATCACTGGTCACGATCCCACAGCGATTTGTGCCAATTGCTCTCGGCATTGTCAGCACAAAACCACAGCAGGAACACTGTCACACCGGGATCACATACCCGCACCCAACTAGGAGGACTGTTGGCACCTGCATATCAAAACCAGGTACTTTTGCCCTTTCACTTTCTCTGCTGTCTCGGTCTTTCTCTCACATTAAGCGCCATGTTGGCTACAGCTTTGGGAACATAGAGTCTGGACGAGTTCTGACTAGGGAACCCTGGAAACCAACGGACCCGCTAACTGCTCGTTTCCAAACTTACCAGATTTGCCTCTTGTCTTTGACCCCTCCTGGCCCATTGTGTAAATCGATAGCACAATCACATTGTAGCGGATTACAAAGCCAAGTTTGCAGCGAAACCCGAGACGCGAGACAACCACCGCCGTTGTTTGATCTTTTTCCAAACACTCTGTACTTGCTCGTGTTTGCGTCCAGGCACAGATATCTCGCTGGTAACATATCAGCTTAACTATCTCAGTGACGTCGCAATCAGATCTTGAGGGCACCTTAACCAAGTCGTTCGCAGGCCTAATCGACTCACCACTCGCGATTCGTTGCAGCGCCCCATCTCGCCGTAGTGCATTCACCGTTGCACCGAGAAGATTGCATTGTAGCAGGTCGCATCTCACAAAGACCTTTGTCCTGGTTCCGTGCAATCCGATAAGTCAATCGGAACTCCAACGTCCCCAATCTTTGGTGACTCTTTACCCCATACTCAACCCTACAATCGCAGGGGTTAACCGGGCGTTTTCCCAGTGCGGCCTTTCACCAGCTACTCGCGATCTCGAATCATTCACCATTCGACCGGGTTCTTTTCCAGCAAGTGAGCTGAGCCGGCGCATTTCGTACCTGGCTACCGCACAAAGAACTGGCTAAACTCGGGCTGCGGCAAAGCAAAGCGGACGATCTACCGAAAATAGACAACGGTATCTTCCACGGTAGCACCTGCACTAGAGACAGCTCCCACTTCCCACCATCGATCGATCCACCCAACATGCCGTTCTCTAGCAGAGACCCCCCTGTCAACATGCCGCTGCCGGCCCCAATCTTGTCGCCCACAGCGATCCACCCAGCGCTGAGCGATTCGGGCACCTCGCCTGCGCCTGGGAGCGGGAGTGCTGGGGCTTCTCATCCCAACAATCCGTCCGCCCATCTGAAACATCCCTCGGACTCTCACCCACCATCCTCTCACCCACACCCGCTCCTCCTCCCGCTCCCACGCACCCGCCCGTCGTTCGCATCCTTGGATCAGTGTGCCTCCGATGGACTTACCAAGGCACGCTTCTCCGATGATGCTGACCGCCCAAAGAGTTCTAATGCAGCTCTAGACCTAGGACGTGCGTCAGCCTTGGATTGCGCGATCTCCGACGCAGATACCGCAGCTGGAACCCCCAATCTCCGACATGACGGCCTGGACTCCGTGACACCCAGACAGACTCCCAAACCTGCATTCGCTTCTCCCCTTTTCTCTTTAGATACCCCAGTGCAGGCGGACTACAACTCGGTGCGAACCGCGCACTCTCCCGCTTCGGCCTCAGCCTCCACCTTCGCTCACCCGCAACCACCACACGTTCCTGGACATAAGAAGAACGCCCTGTCGATCGAGTCTGTGCCCCGGCAGACGATTATGAAAGCATTGGCCTCGGTGGCCCGCAACAACAGACCTCAGCCTCTCTCTCTTTCCGGCATGCTGTCCGCACACAACATGCCTCAGGACGGCGACAACCGTCCCTCCACTTCGTCGTCGCAGAAGCTGTGCGACGCCCTCAACGGCATCGCCCTATCCGGCAGCACTTCGCTACAGTCACCATGCTTCTACCACAACCGCTTCGATGACGCGGTCGACATCGACAAGGTTCTGGAGGAGATCAAGAACGATGAGTGGATGTCGCATTCCCGTCTTGTCCAGACGGCCACAGGTGTACGAGAAGTGTCCAAGCAGCTTCAGCGACGGCCCATTCGACGAGCCGTCAAGAATGTCATGATTGTCACCAAGGCCCGCGACAACCAACTGGTTGTCCTCACCCGTGAACTAGCCCTCTGGCTTCTCCGGACCCCCCGTTATGGCTCCGACCTCGGAGTAAACGTCTACGTCGACGCCAAGCTTCGAAACTCAAAACGATTCAACGCTGCGAGCATTACCGACGAGAACCCTCGCTTCAAGACCATGCTCAAATATTGGTCGCCAGATCTTTGCTGGAGTCAGCCCGAAAAGTTCGATTTGGTGCTCACTCTAGGCGGTGATGGCACCGTCCTCTTCACATCCTGGCTATTCCAGCGCATTGTCCCGCCAGTACTATCATTCAGCTTGGGGAGCCTGGGCTTTTTGACCAATTTCGAATTCGAGAGATACAAGGATCACCTAAATCGCGTCATGGGTGACGAGGGGATGCGCGTCAACCTGCGCATGCGCTTCACATGCACGGTGTACAGAGATGGACCACTCGGACACGAAATGGAAGAAGGCGAGCAGTTCGAAGTGCTCAACGAGTTGGTCATTGACCGAGGGCCGTCGCCTTATGTGTCCAACCTTGAACTATATGGTGACAACGAGCTGTTGACCGTCGTCCAGGCGGACGGTTGCATCTTTTCTACTCCTACAGGTAAGTCTAGCCACATAAGCACAGCCAAAGCAGCCTCTGAAAACGCAATAAGAGACCTAGCACTAACGTGATTCTCCCAACCAGGCTCAACAGCCTACTCCCTCTCCGCCGGCGGCTCCCTCGTCCACCCCGACATTCCCGCCATCCTACTCACGCCCATCTGCCCACACACGCTCTCCTTCCGACCCATGGTCCTCTCCGACACCATGCTCCTCCGCGTCTCCATCCCGCGGAACAGCCGCGCGACCGCCTACTGCGCATTCGACGGCAAAGGTCGCGTGGAGCTCCGCCAGGGTGATCACGTCACCATCACTGCCTCCCAATACCCCTTCCCCACAGTCGTCCGCGCCGACGCCGAGTGGTTCGACAGCGTCTCTAGAACATTGCGGTGGAACACGCGCGGCGCCATGCAAAAGGCCTTTGACGCTTCCTCGGGAGGGACGGGAAGCGATGCGGGTGGGGAACAAGAGGAGGAAGGGTGGGATATTGATACCGATTCGGCTTGTTATGCGAGCGAGGAGGGGAGCGTGAGTGCGAGTCCGTTGAGGAGGCAGATGAGTCTTTTGGGGATGTAAAGGACGGCCACCGATTTTCTTTTGGATACTGAGTGAGGGGGTTGTTGGATTCGTTGGAAACATGCAATGTGTTTCAGAGAAGCATAAGCGATAGATTTCTTGCTATTTATTGCATAACGCGGGGACGGGATATCCTGAAGGAAGGCGATAGAACAGGAAGAGAAGTAGGAAAGAGACGGAGGGAGCATTAAGAGGTGGATCATGGATGGGTGGAAGTTACTACATCACGAACGAGCAAGTGGATAGTTGGAAACTCAATCGCATTGGTAGGAAGGAACACATAAACGGAGGGATTAAGGGGAACGAAGGAAGGGCATGGGCTGAATCACAGGCAGTACGCGCCGAACGTGTGTGTGCACTTTGGAAAGATATCTTTTTGGAAAGGCCTTGGATTTTACAAACTGGCGTCTATACGGAGTTTTTAGTTAGGAATTGTTTTCCTTTTTGGCTAAATACGAAAATGAGTGGATGGAACAACCATATCCCCCTGAACAATGAACCCCGGTGATTACTGTGATTCCGGTACTTGATACCCAGATCGCGTAGGTATGCATTTTGATACGCCACATGCGTTAATCATCTGGGTGTTATTTGTAGTTGTTCACTGGGTGTCGTTGAGCCCCCCCTTTACGTTTTGGGAAGTTTGTTTACACCACTCATGCAAGCTAACGAACAACAGCCAATGCCTACGTCACCGTGATCGCCCAGGCATGATTTGTGCATGTGTACCTATATTTACACTACTTCATTCTGCCGACCTTATCTTTACTGCTACACTACATTATCAAGCACATTTGCTGGTACGATGTCTCAATGGTTTACAACAACTTCAAATCGGTTTGCTACCTCGTCCCCTCAGACCGGTCAGAGAGTCTCTATATATATAGGACTGAGTACGAGTACCGACAAGTAACGGCAGCCCATCCCGCTAATCAGACGGCGATTTTGTAGCCCTGACGCGTATATGGTATGTATGGGTACAACAAATAGTACAGCTTCCCTTCCCTCCCTTCCCTGTGTTCTTTGACTAGCTGGGTAGATTTGTCATATCGCATAAGCCAAACAAGAGCCCTGTTATTTTGATCTGCCGTCAAACGCCGGTTGCGTGGTATATAGCGGAAGCCGAGGTATCGTTGACAATAACTGACAGATATAATATAGCACAAAGGAGCCAGATAAGACCGCTAATATCCCACTACGCCTATAAGCGCCCGAAGCAAATCCGCGTTCAGTATCGACTTGATAGTGCTGCACTTCCCGACGACTGCCCAAACCTTCAGGCGTCAAACGCTGTCCATCCAGACCTCATCACCGCCAATTCCCCTGACTCAACGAAAGCAATCCAGCAACAGCATCCGCATCCCCCTTCTTGCTCGGACTGACTTCCCCACGCATAAACCGCTCGACCTCATCAAGACCATCATCTTCAAAAGGAGGAGCACGGCGGGAAGCAGTCGGGCTGTTGTGATTCGGCGTCGCAAAGTCTTCGTAGATCCTCAGCTCAGAAGCTCCTCCGCCGCGTTTGTCTCCTCCTCCGCGGTACTGCCCCCTACCACCGCCATAAAAAGGGGCAGTGTTGGCACGGTTGCCGGATAACAAAAACGACGGGCTCGACTCTATTAGGGCATGACGGGCCGGTGTTCGGCGGGGATTCGTCGTTGTTGTCTTTTCGTAATTTGATGACGACAAGGGACCGGAGGGGAGCAGTCGTCGGTTCGTTGGCCGAATGGCGGAGGAAGGTTGGTGGTAGGAGAAGCGGGGGTTTCCGTTCTCGTCTGGACTCCAGTTCTCTTTGTCCGACTCGTTGCCTTGTGGGGAGATGAACAAGGAGGAGGACTTGGGTTTGGTGTAACTGAAATCCGCTGTGTCTGCTGCAAGGGATTGTCTCTTTCCAGCCCAAATGTTGTTGTTGTTGGGCGTCTCTAGCCTTCCCGTGGCGCTCAGCCCTTTCGTCAGCCGGGGTTTCTTGGTCGAACTGTCTGCCCGGGGGGTCATTCCGCTGATGCTGGCGTTGCGCTTGTTGCTCCTGCTCGGTTGCAACGGGCTGCCTCCGCCGGCGGTGCTCGAACTCGTCGATCGCAGCAGACTAATAGCTGCGATTGCTGAGCCCCGGCTCTCGTGCTTGGCTTGCACCGTCAGTGCGTCTTCGCGGTTCTCCGCGTCACAAGCGAACTCCCAGGCATGAACGTCGCGCGACCTCCCGCGCGTGAGGCGAGGCAGCAATGGGGCAGCGCTTTGAGACGAGGGAAGACTGTTAGTAATGGTGGAGATGGGTGGTAAAGTGACTGGTGATTCACTGGGGCCACGGTGGTAGCTGGGCCGGCATGCCGAGTCGAACGATTGCAGCTCTGATGGTGGGAGGCTGGCAGGATTTTGTGGCGGCGAGGTGACGACTTCTGCCTTGCCGTCCAGACCCGTCGACAGGCGCGGACGAAGCGCAGAGGTCGAAGACGAACATGATGAAGGGGGGAAGTTGTTGAAGGAATCATCTCCTCGGTTGAAACTGATAGGCGTTGATAGGACGTGGGAGTGGGCTGGGTGGTTCCATCGGTTGGACAGATAGCCAACCGAGCTTGGCAAATGCTGAGACATTAGGAGGGAGTCGTCGTCACCGGCGTGTCTTTGCTTTTGGGCGGGAGTCGCGTATACAGGGTGGGGCATGCTTTGTTGCTCCTCTTGAGGTTGAGTTTGCGGTTCTGGTAGTGGTAGAGTGTCCTCCTGGAGCGTGTCTTCGTGGTTCTGCTCGGTCTCGTGGTGGTCAAGTCTGCTAGGCGAGGCAACCTCCCGAGGCGAGGAGTATTCCTGTTCTAAACTTAAAACAGCTTGGATGGGCGATGTATGCTCCGGCTCGGACGTATACACGGGAAGGGTGTTGTCCGAGGACAGTATTTGCATACCGCCGTACCGAAGCGCGGCTATCTCCTGAGGGGACAGGGGACGTGATTTCCTGCGATCGTTTTGTCGGCGGTTTTGGAACCAAATCTAGCATGCGCGTTAGCTTAGCTCAGTTACACGTGGTGAATCCATTGGTGGTGACGCGATGGCTAACCTGAACTTCTTTTTCATTTAACGAGACGCGGTTCACGATGTCTTGGCGCGCTGCCTTGTCGGGTTTGGGGTTCGCATTGTAGGCTGCCTCGAGTATGGCCTTGTCTTTTGCTCTGGGATTGGCAGTTCGGTTAGTCCCGCGTGTTGTCGCAAAGATGGGATGGAAGAGCTCGGCAGCCGGCCTCCAAGCCGGTTGGAACCAAACTTACGTAGTTCGTTTTCTCTTCCCCTTTGGATGTCTCTCCGCCTCTCCGGACGGCTGTGACGAGAGCTGCGGTGCTGGAGTTTCCGATTCTCTCAGCAATGGGAGATCTAAGACTTCGGTTTGGCTGGTGCTCTGGGCGAGCTCTTCATGTTCCTCCTCGTGGGCGAGGTCAGGGACAGCGCGGGAAAGCTGGGGAGAGGGCGTGGAGGGTGTTGGGGCGAGAGTGTCCATTTCGGTTGGCGGGTGCAGGCCAAAATAAAGATAGTAAATCGGATTAATGCATGCTCCTGCTGGGAAACTGTTCGCTGGTCTGCGTCACGCCGGTGACTTCGTATGGTTTTGGGTTCAATGGCGTCGGTATAGGTATGTTATCCAAAAGCAACGAAACAACGTAAAGAGTAATACAATAGTCCCACTGGGTATAAGACGAGAAGACGTGTCCCAAAGAAAGGGTATATACCAGAAAGCGACGTGTGGACAATTTGGAAAATTGTAAGGTAGGTAGGATGCAGCTAGGAGCGCAGAAAGGCGGGCAATGGCAGATGCGTAAGGGGGCTAGGTACTTGACGTACCGGTAGAGGGGAACGGTTATGGGGAATCTTCAACGAACCGCGTCTTCAACGCGGCATGTCGTGTGTTCATCCGAAATAGGAAATTAAGTGAGCCGGGGGTTAGGGTTATAGGCCCAACCCGAAGCGCCCCCTGGTCGCTAGCCGTTTATTTTTTTCCCCAGTCTCGCGCTTCACGCCAAGGGACTTCGGCGCTAGTTATAAAGTGCATATCAGATCAAATCTGCCCGATCCTGGACAGTTTTACGCGACTCTTTTAATTCGACGCGCCTTTCCCCCGTGTCCGTTGTCCGGTTCAGCGTGTCCTTGCACTTTCACATCGGCCCCTACGACAAAGTTGTCCCAAAACTCGAACTTCCATTGTGCAGTTAACACCATGTAGCTGGCAGTATCGTGAACCCCAAACCCGTCATTACTTCCAATGCATATGCTCCAATGAAACCAGTGAGCAGTGATGCTCTTTGTCAAACCCAGCACCCGTCAGTTGTCCCAACTGGAATATGCGGAAACCTAAACCAATCCGTAGATGGTATCCCAACCAGAAACAAAAAAAAAATTTAAAAAAATCAAAAAAATCAAAAAAAAATCATGGACACCTACACCTATGGGTAGGAGTTCATGTCTCCCCCGAGATATCAAACCCCAACTAAGTCCCAACACCAGCGGCAGTAAAAATCTCCGCCATGGCAAGCAACCAATAAATCCTCCGTGAATTTGCGACCTGCCGCCTACCCCCAGTTTCCCATCTGTCCCCTCTACGCTCCACCCTCACCACCATCAACACAACCATCAACATCAGCAAACAACTCCCCCAACCCATTCCTCAACGCCCTGACCTTATCAGCAGTGGCTCTCCGTTCCCTCTCCAACTCTTCGATCCTCGCCCTCAGCTCAGCCTCCTTGGCTTCCTTAGCCTTGAGCGCCGCCCTCGTCATGTCGCGACCGCGCTCGACGCCGCGCATGCGTAAAGCGTACGTGTTGAGCTTGTCGCGGATGACTTGACGGGTTGCGTCGGAGACTTGTTTCTCGTTTGAGAGGAGGTTGAGGATAGAGGTGGTGATTTCGTAGTCGTCGCCTAGCCCAACGCTCGTGGTGGTGGTGAGTCTACCGCCTATGGGACTGTGACCTAAGGTCTGGCTGGGAGTTGTCGCCGCCGTCCTTGTTGTTGATGATGGTGGTGGTGGCCCCCTGGTATCGGAGAACTTGACGCGTTTGGCTGCGCCAGGTTCGGACGCCGCGGTTGCGGTGTTCCCTCGTGAAGTTGGGGTTAGCATAGATGCAGAGACATCGTATGTCCGCTGCGGGTTCGGGGTGCGGGTGCCGAGGTGCTGTTGCATCGCCGCCGTTGTGTTGCCCATTCGGGCTTGGGATGAGGCCGGCGCCGGTAATGGGACATTGTTCCCTCTGTGTTGTTGTTGTTGACTCGGACGGGGAGGACTCGAGTCTACGATTTGAACCAGCTGCCTTTCCACGTCCGACTCAAGTTCGCCGTACTCCTCCTCCTCTACCGTAGTCGCCGCTGCCGCCGGGCGCTTCCTCCCGGGGGACTTCACCGCCGATAACCCGCGTTCTTCGTCGTCCATGTCTTCTTCCTTCACCTTCACACTGTCCATGTCGTCGTCAACCGGAGTTGGATCTTCATAGTAGTCGGAATAAGGACAGTCGGCAAAACCCCAACCTTCACCATAAGGAGGAAACCAAGGAAGTCTAGGCATCACCTCTCTCAAGTCCGGCACGTACTCGGACCGCTGTACTGGCCTCAAAGCGGCCTCCCTTTCACGTAGTTCCGCCATCTCCGCCCAAAGAAAGAAGCCGCACTGGCCAGGGATCGCCCCAAGGTCCCGGGGCTCTCGACACGTGTAGAAAAACCTGCCCTGATTGGGACCTTCCTTCTTGACGTGAAGTCGGATTGCTGGTTGCGGCCCATTTATACAACTGCCTATTATGTGCAAAGAGAGGTGTCAGTGAGCATGCGTTGACAAGTTTGCGGGAGTTGGGATTCACTACTCACAGTACCACCTTCCTTGTTCTTTGTTAAAGAATCCGGGATAAGGATTCTTGAAGAATCCGTTACCTCTCCCCATGGTATGGTATAGCCACCTCACGCTACACCCTCTTCTTACCCCGGGTACCGGTCTTTGAACTTTGGGGGGGGCTGGATGCCCCCGGATACCTGTTCTCAATTTGCTCAGGTCTCTCGATGGACGTCACCTCATATGTCGTCCTCCTGGTGAAAATACCTCGTCAGCCTGTGAGCGACGTTGGGAGATTGAGTCGCAATGATTCAGAGAGGAATATAGCGGCCGTTTGAATATAGGTAGTTAAGACGGCCGATCTTTCTTTCCCGGTGTTCTGAAACAAACGATCAACAAAGGTCATTGTCAAGATAAAGTGAAGAACGGTGACGCAACCAAGAACTTGACTGGCATGTGCATGAGCCGCATCAAAGAGCACCTCGTCGCTTCTTCGGCCAGTTAGCTGTTAGGTACGAGCGAAGCCTGCGCAGTGTGGTCTGTATTAACAGTTGCTTTACACTAACAGGCTTACCCCGCCTCTATAAGCTCCCGCTGTAGGCTCTGCAGGAAGGTGCAACCGTACAGCCACGTGCGCCTATTAGAGCTGACGGAAATCAGGGGCAAGCCCCACCGTTCCCGTCTTTCAGCGATGTTTCTTCTTTGGTCTAGACCTCTGACAACAAACGGTACATGCCTCACAAATATAATTCACGGTCATCATCTGTGAGAATGAACTGGCATAAGGAGGGATTAGGTCCAAGAATTATCTTTTAGCAACTATTACTATGGTATAGTACAGTATAATCAACCATCAAACAAACCGAAAGCTCCGCGGAAACTAAGGTACAAAAGGAAGTTAAGAACAAGGTGAAGAAAAACTGAAATCGTGGGTATAATTTTGAAAATGATGAAAGAATATGGAACAAAACGGGGCGCGTGTGAGTTCCAACGGAAACACGCCTGTCAAAGGGGATGGAAATGAAGGGGGATGATGATACGGAAGACAGACCCAAAGGTCCAACCATCAGATCTCATAATAATAATCCTCATCCAGCCCCTCCCGACTAGGCACCTGACCAGCGCCCGGAACCGGTCCATTATCGGCCGCCTCAGCCCTAACATTAAGCAGACGTATCTTGAGACCGTACTCGCTCACCAGCGTAACGAGCTTGTTAGTCTCGGCCGTGATGGGCGCCTGGTTGAGGAGCATAAGCAGACCGTCCAGCCACTCCGAGGCCAGACTATGGTTGAGAGGATGGAGCGTCAGGATCGGCTGCTCCTTGGTCTTGCCTGCAGCAGCCAAACTGGCCAGCTCCGGCGAGAAGTTCTCGGAGAGGCTGTAGATCGTGATTTTTGTCGTCGACTTAGCCGTCGCCTGCGCGGCAGAATTCGCGTCCTTGGTGAGACTTGTTAGGCTTGAGGACGCCTGGCTTCCGGTCTCTCCTCCTGCTGCGGCGTCGTCCGCATTGGAGACGTTTGACACCACGGAGCTGATGGAGAGCAAATCAATCTTCTCCGTCAAAGCTTCTAGACCGGGATCATGTGCTGTCTGCTCTGCGAAGTCGGCGTAGTGAAGATATCGCCTGTTGTGCGAGAGTTTGGCGAACCGCCAAGGCTGGGACAGCCGGCTACCCTTATCTTGCCCGGTTTTGAGGCTTTCTGACCTAGAGTGGTTTGAGCGATGAGGCTGGGGCTTGGAAAACCACGAGCCCTGCAAGAGACAGCGGATACGCTGCTCTTTGACGAACTGCAGTGCTTCGTGCTTGAGTTCTTCGCGAACCTGGAAGAGATGGGGACCCCACTGATCCTCAAATGAGAGCTCTAGGAGATCCATCTGTAACTCTCGTAGTCTTCCAGAATCATACTCGTGCAGATCATCTTCAACCTCCAGTACGTCCTTGCTTCTACTGGCCTGCCCAACCACTTGATCGATCAAAATCCGAACTAGCTCTGCCACCTTGTCGAAGTCATATCGAGTCGCCCCAGTCGCCTTCCACATCCGGAAGAAGGCATGAAGTCCAGCGGTATGCAGTCGTGACCATTGAAGCAACAGTGGGCGGAAGAGTTTGTCGTGTGCTTTGCCGCCCCCATCGATAAGCTGGTAGTAGCCACCGTTCCTGATATCGTCCAGATCGCATTGCTCAACCTCAAAGTGTTCATACAGAATCATAGTCACGGCCAAACTAGCTCGCGCCACGGGGCACCGTTCGTTGAGCGGCCTGCTGGACTGCTCGAGCAGCAGCTTCTGGAAGCCATCCTCGTTTTTGCGCACGTAGTCCGTCAGGTCCATCATGCCCAGGAAGCCGGCCACTTCGAACTCGGATGCGGGTGACTCTGTCTCGAAGCCCAATCTTCTCCACTTCTCGGGGTTATGTCGTCGGCTTGATTTCCTCCCTGCTGCAGTCTCACCGCCGGTTTCCTTCTCTCCTTCTTCCCTGGCTACAACTGTCGCGGCCGTTGATGGTCTCCCCGTGGGGGACAAAGTCGTCATGCCTCCGTTGGCCTGCCGTCTCTCCGGTGCGCTCGCAAGATGTAAGCCCTTCAGCGCTCTCCTGTGCTCTGGCCGCTCCAAGTCCACCCTTACCCCTCTCCATTTCCGAAGCAGGACCTTGGTCAGGGTCTGGAACTCAAGTAATGGGTGCGCCAGATCCTGCAAAGACGAGCTCTGCATGAGATTGTACACCGCCTTGATCAATCCCAGGTCCTGGAGCTTCTTGATAAACTTGGACCACTCCTCACCAGGAGGCACTGTCCCCTTTGAGCTCGACACCAGCAAGGTAGGTCCATTGTCGTTGGATACCGCATCCCGTATGAGCGCGTTGATCAGCATCAAGGCATTGGCGCAGAGGGCGTGGTCCGCCGATTGCAACTGCATGATGACCAGTTCGAAGAACTGCGGGTACACCGCGACCGCAGGCTTGAGCGCCCTAAAACCAAAGGTGCCTGGCGTGCGTGGCGTGCCTCCGTGGGCCGTCGATTGCGAATGGCTGACTAGGCCGACCAAGATGGACATGGCGCCCCGTAGGATGTTGACGAGCGGGTTGGTAACAATAAGCTCGACCACGCGCTCGACAAGCTCTCCCGCATTGGGGCCCTCGAAGATATCCCAGCCCATGTCCACCTCGAGTAGTCGACTCAAGCTCTGCAGCGCATATGCCAATGTGTTTCCGCCGGTGGTCATAATGAGGCGGCGTAGGACCACGAGGCCGCCCGAGGCGATGAAGACATCGGCGAAAGCTGGGTCGTTGATCGACGACTGGAGCTTGAACACGGCCATCTTGCGCGCGGCATCCTCGTCACTAGCGAGGCGCGACAGCAGCGCCGGTATATCGGCCTGATCCATCGTGGGCAATACAGATTTTCTGGTACCGGCGGCAACCGCGAATGGTTCGGTTAGGCGATTGGCGTGTGTATCGATCGCGGTCGGCTTCACGACGTCGTGGAACACTGGGTCCCGTCGTCGGGGATACTCGAGGGCTTCGATGCCGATGCTGTAAGTCGTGGTGCCAAAACAGAGGTGATTGATAGGTCGCGACGTGCCAGGCTCTGATCCAAACGTTAGAAGAGGGCAAAGGTCATGAAGAGGTCATGTTTACCGGACTGGGATGAAGCTCCAGTTCTTGAACACTTTCACAATCCAGCTGGAACTGGAGTCTTGAGGTTTGCGCGTTGCGATGTTGGTTGGGAATGGCCTGCCACTCGGGATTGTCCAGGACGTTACAGCGGAGTGCCCCTGTGGGTCGTCGGGTGGGTACCGGTAATGGGAGCCACTTCTGCAAGGGGCGCTAAACTGCACCCTTTTAGGGGCGACCCCCTCCTGCGGGACGGGAGCATGTGGATCGACCACGAACCACGGCAACTTGGGGATGGAAGTCACCTACCATGTCACCCCCTGATGAAGACGGGACTAAACAACGGCATGGCATCACTGGACACTTCATTAGGTTATACATTTCGTCTCTTTAGCGTTGATTAACCGTTTAAATGTATAGTAAACCGGACCGAGATAACAAAAAAACAAGTGTGGGTTGAAAGAAACTTCTGACATCTTTTTTACTTCCCAATTCCTTTCTGTCCTCATCCTGTCCATACGCCTGCCGTTTGTATCATATGCTCCAGACGCAATTTCCGCAAGAACTAACGTTAAAAACCCACGTGTGATCTTGCGGCAAACGGTACTTCCTCCCGGACCCAGCTGGCCGGTAAGATCTCTCTTCAGACGAAGCGCAAGTAACAGGATGCGGACCGCAATCAAAGATTTCTCCAACGAAGCTGACTATGTTATCAAGGACCGTTAGAAGTCTTTTATTGTGAGATGGTAGCACTTGTAGATCGTCAATGCAAATTGTACTGCAAAGAAGGTATCATTGCTGGCCAAAGTATCCTACGTAGTGGCAAGTTATTCGATACGCCCTAATTATCCCCAATCATCCCTTCAGACCTAGCCAAACTAAGCCACCGTTTAGTCAACGCAGACTCCTTCCAAACGACACAGGAGAAGTACATAACCAGATCAAGCACCATCGCGGCTAGGGGATCTAGCGCCCTTGCTCAGGAAGCTCCGCCTTAGACTAGAAGACTTGGGGCTCTGGTCGGGGCTAAGTGCACTAGATGGGTCCTGGGCACTCTCAGACGGAGCGAACCCGCTCTTGAGGTACACTGTTCCGCTTCCAACCTTCAGCGCCTTTTCTTGTCCGGAGTTCGACTCGTCAACAAAGTAGACGCTCTCTCCCAGATGATCATCGCTTCCAAAGGTGTGATGCTCCTTGGCCTCAATCTTGAACTGCGAGTCAGGCGTGCACTGGATATTGAAGGTTTCGTCGAATTTGACAGTGCCGCTCGAGGACTTGCGGTGCTTGGTCTTGCCAACGGCCTTTGACTTCCCATCCTTCATTTGTGTAATCATGACGTACACATCTGTAGAAGGAGGATACCCAGAAGCAGAGACAACCGTAAAAGAGGCCGTCCCTGATGATGCTCCAGGGAACATGGCGCTACGAACAGAGGATGCACCCACACTCATTGTCCGCGCGTGATGGAGCTCGTTGGCCGAAGAGCCGTCAGCTTCTGTAATAGCTTCCGATCGCTTCAGGCCCGAAGCAGCCTCTGGCGCATTAGTGACGATGGTAGGAAGCTCGACCGAACTATTGGTGCTATCCGAATCATCGTCCCTCTTGGTGTTACTGCGGAAGCCACGCTTGATAAAGGAGGCGCCCTTGCCAACACCGTGCCCAACGGCACCAACGACCGCGGCGCCACCCTTCCGAGGTACGCCTGCGACACCTGTAACGAGCTTGCCGGGGACAGCAAATGTGCCAACCAGTGTTGACGTTCCTTGTCTGGTTCTGGTGACATAGTCGGGGCGGAAAAGGAGGCGAAGGCGGAGCACGCCCGACTTGCCGTCGAGAGTAAGCCGTACTTCTTGTGCTCTAAAGGGCTCGAGCTGACCGAGGTTGATGTCCGCAGCACCAAGGAAGTCGGGCTTATCGGCAAAGTCCCAATCCCACACAGTAGCCTTGAAGGTGGCTGCGATGCGGCTTGGAACCGGCACTTCGAAGAACTCGTTCCAGGTGGGATTCAACGTCTTCTTCACGGTCTTGGACTTAAACACCTCCTGACCGTTGAACTCGAACTTGACATAAGGGTCGCTCTTGCCGTTAGAGTCGGCAGACGGAAGGTTCTGGGCATCCAAAACATCGACGCGAAGATGGCCCATGTTGTTGATGCTCTCACTGGGGTCGAGCTGCATCCGGACTGGAACGTACTTAAGGCTAACCTTGATCGAGTAGACCTTGCCATCCTCATTCTTGAGTTTCAGGGTAGTTGGGTTGTTCTGTATTGTGACTGTTAGCCATGGTCAAGAATTTGAATTAGCCCGCTTGCGATGAGACTTACAAGGCATTGCTTGAGGGTGTCAAGGGTGTTTCCTGACAGGCGAGCAAGCGTGTTCTCCTTGCCATTATCCTCCTGCTTTTCGGACCGCTCATTGATCTTGATTGTCAGCTTCGAGAATTCTAGCTCACGAATGAAGCAATCGCCAATCTCATCAAAAGTGTGCGTCTTCGTCCTTGAGGTCGAGGAGACATAAGACGGGAAAGCATAATCATCAACGCAAACCTCAACGCGGCATTGGCTCTTCGGGAGTTCGGCCTCCATGAGCTTGAAGATGATCAGACCGGATTCATACTGCAGCAGTTCCTGTGGGTTGAGGCGAAGCTTGGGCGGCTCCTTCTCGTCCCTGGATTTCCTCGAAGGCGCGATAGAAGTGGGAGTGACCGGCGTCTTGGGTGTAATAGGTCTCGAAGCCCCGCCATTCTCTGGCTTGATGCTGTCGGTTCTCTCCAGAGTGGAGGAGAACTTGCCAGCATCGGAGGATCTCGGAACATCCAAGGACTGCTTAGGCTCAGAGGACTGGTCGCTCTGTTCGTCCTTTTCATCATCCTCCGGATCAGCAACGTTGAGGCAAGGGTAGAAAGCAACCGTGTACGAGAGAACACCCTTGGCAACGCCCTTTCCGTGCATGCGCAGACCATCCTGATGAAGATCCTTCTTCTCATGAACCAGCCATTCACCAGTCTCGGGGTCCTTGTGCATGTAATCACCGGCGAAGATCTCGGTAAGGCCTAGACTCCTGTCTCTGCCCATGTTCTCGGCGTCCATAACGTCGAGCTGGAGGCGCTCCTTGGGAGAATGAACCGGAATGTAGAGAACTTCGTCAAAGTCGGGGTCGAGGTTGTTCTTGTGAGTGACAGTGCGACCACATTCGATACCAGACAGCAGAACTCGGACATATGGATCAGACTTGCCGAGCGCTTCCACGTTGCGTAGGGACCTGCCATTGATGAAGTGCAAGCGCAAGACACCGGCCGGCGTGGTGTAGCCGCCAGTGCTTCCAGCAGCACCAGAAATGGCAACCGGCTTCCACTGGGCCATCATCTTCACCCGACCAGTCTTGGCACCAGCGAGGTTGTACCAGTCCTGGCCCTTGGCCATGAGCTCAAGCATATCATCTAGCTTAATCTGGTATGTGCCCAGAAGTTGATCTCCGGCAATATCGCGATCATCCTTCAGGGCAACACCAAGCTTAGCGTGCTTGCGGTTCGTAATCAAGATTTCCTTTGAGCCGTTGGGCCAGACAGGTTGGTTTGTGCGCTTCATCGTCTTCGTCTTGTGCACCTCCTTGCCGTTGAGTAGAAGCATTGCGTAGGGGTTGAGCTGGCCAACCATGCTCTTTGATGCGTCGAGTTCCTTGGCTTGTTCAACAGTGAAGCTCAGAATACCAGTGTTTGACTCCGGGGGAGGTTCCACAGTGCCATCGGGAAGCTTAGTCTCCTCAAGCACGGGGAAGAAACGGATATCACAGGACACAGCGCCACGAGCCTTGCCATCGTACTTAAGCTCGAGTCTCTCGTTCTCAAACTCGTTGAGCTCTTCCAAATTCTCGAGAGGGAAGGAGGCGACACCAAGCTTCTTGTCTTTTCTGAAATCGTTGAAGTCAAAAACATCGATATCGAGGGAGTCGTTGAAAGAGGAGATAATGATATAATGCGTTTCGTTCCAGCGAGGATTGTCGTTCTCCTTGATGACCTTGGTTTGCGCAAGAGGCTGCCTCTTGCTGAGGGAAAGGACGGCATAGGGATCAGGGGTTCCAGAAAACTTGTCGGGGTTCTTGAGGCCTTGCGCACCATGCAAAGTGATAGCAACCACACCAATGGCTCGGTCGACGGGTGTACCAGCGAGCATCTTCGCCACCTCGATGGGGAAGACATTGGGCGCGTACATCATTGGTGCCAACGTAGCGTGAATCATCTCCTGGATGAAGCTCTCAAGACCGGGGATGAAGTTGATGTCAAAACCGAAGGTCTCACCTCCGAGAGGCTTGCAAACGTAATCGATCTTGGGTCTCTCCAAGAAGCACATTTCCACCTTCTCGATGTGAGGGAACGCCATCTGGAACTTGATTTTGAGGCGCATCAGACCAGAAAAGGACATGTCCTCAACGATAACATCGAGACCCTTGCTAATCATGGCTTTTCCAACTCGGATCTCCAGGACAATCTTGGGGTTAATCTTGTTCTGGAGTTGGCGTGCAGTCATGTCGGCGGTATCATTGGGGGTGAAGCTGAACATCCAATCCATGATGACGACCTCATCTTCGGCCTTGGGATAGGTCTTGACGTGCTCCATACGAGGCGACTTGGAGCCCAAAGTGAAAGTCTTCAACTTCAAGCTGTCGAGGAAAGCGGGGGTAGACATGCTGAGAACCTGGTCGACAGAGTTGACGACGGTCTGGGCGAGGACGGGCTGGTAGATGGGCCAGAACTTGACAAGGAATGAGTTAATCCATTCGACGGATTCGTTATCGGTTTCCAGTTTCTTGAGGCCTAGCTCCCGCGTAATATCGTCTCGGAAGTTTCGGCGCACCCGGCGAATAGAGGTTCTGTAATAAGTCGAGCAGCAAGCCATGATTATGAAGACCCAACCAAGGCCGCCTCCCAACACTGCTACTAGCCAAGATGAGAGGCAGGCGAAAACAATGACGGCCACGTTATGGTACCATTCTATGAGATTACATGTTAGAAAGCTAGCACACCGAAAGCATATCGTTTGGCCTTTTGCTTACCCCCAAAGTAGTTCTCGGAAAGGTTCGATTCTACCCATGTTGCGTGGTCCAGCAAATCCTGTTCTTCTTCGGGGTCTTTGGGCCAGCCGAACCTCGGAGCCCAGCCGACCTTCTTAATCAAATCGGCTTCAATTTGTTCAGGGGTACGGTCATCCTCGATGACCTTTCCATCGGCAGTGGTCGGGAGGTCGAGGGCGCCGGCCTTTGAGGGTGGGGGAAGGTCGACATCGGCCTTGGTTCCATCGTCGAGGTCGGAAACAATAGCTAATCCTTTCGGTCGCCGAAGGCCATCTGGAATTGCCTGTAAAGGTGTCAGGTAGGAGCAGTAATGATGTTGCTTGAGGGCTAGGGACGTACCTCTCTGGCTTGTGCTGCCTTCTCCGCTGCGCTGGCATTGGGGTCGAAGGTGAAGGCAGTGATGCCGAGCTGCTGGCTGTCGGCAACGATCTTCTTCTCGGCGTTTTCGGCCGTGACACTGCTGTTGGGATCCTGTGCAGCTTCAATTGCGCCCTGTTGCTTCAGCTCGTGTGCTGATTGCTGGGTTGCCATTGTGTCTGACGAGAAAGCAGCGTCAGCAGCCTGACTTGTAGCGTCGCTGTCGTTGTATATGCTCGAAATTCCGTTTGTGTAGTCAATTTGTCTGAGCTATCGAGAGGTGTCGTCGATATAAAGCTGGAGGTCCCGTCAGAAAGGCGCAACCCTACTGTCCAGGACAGATGGCGTCACCGGTCGAGGACGATTGGCGCTGGAGAAATCGAGTGGCTGCAGGTGCAGTGGCCGGGCAGCCGAAGCAATAATGGATGAAACCTATAGGGGTGTAGAGAGCGGGAGAAAGTGCAAAAAGATGTTGGTTAGAAGAGAGGGGGGTAACAAGGAAACCCAACCGGTCTCCTTGGAAGGGTGTTACAGCCAAGGTACACAGAAGTTGGACCTGTGCTCCCGTGAGTAACTGAATGTTTGGAAAAGGGCGGAACGGAGACGGGAGACCGGAGAAGAAGAGAGGGAAATAAAAAAAAACACTAGCGGACCGGAGTGACGAGGCAGCAAATGCTTTTTAGGATGGAAGCCGCACAACCCCCAGCTGGGAAATGGCTGAAAAGGGTCGAACGCAGCTCAAGTGTGGAGGTATCCAAGGCTCGGGATGGGTCCTGCTCGTGTGCTGCTCGTGCTGGCGCAAGCTGCTGTTGCTCTCCACGGCCCGGGCCTCTCCACGCAGCCTCCCAACTCCTATTGGCCGCGTCTTGGCGTTCTGGAACTGGAGATGCCAGCTAGAAGGGGCATCCTGGGCGCTCTGTCAACCTCTTGAGGAGAGCTTCACGCTTTGCTTCCATCTTCACATTTCACACTGCTTCGAATCTGGCGATGTGGTAGCCAGCCAGCTGGGAAACGATCAAACGCTACGTCAGAAGGTCGAGCTCCGCTCCCGTCGAATGAGGTCCACACAGGCAAGGCACGGCGGGGAATGGTACCGAAGTGGGAGCTTCTGCGAGGTGTGATTGGAAGCGGGCTGGGCGGCGGGTTGCGACTTGGGGGGAAGAAGTGCAACGCTCCCGTCAAAATTTGGAGATGCGCTCCAAGACTCCCAGCTTGTCTCGCTTGCGTGGCTTCATCGTCGTGTACCTGGCTAGAGCCTAGAGGTAGCCCAAGCCTCAATTAGCCCAAATTATGTACTCTCATTTTCTCTCGTCTAGATCCCCCAACATCTCCGAGGAATTTTATCGGCGTCTGTGTTAGCCCGAGTGTTATCACATTTTGGCATTACTCGCAAAAACATGGGAGCTTCCAGGTTATAATGGCGGTGCTAAGAGCTTCAGGTACTGGAGGTACGTACCCCGCAGATCCCAGTCCACTTATCGCCGCGCTTGCACTTGCCAGCTGAAATGTGCATACTCTAGGCGTGACTTGCTCAACAGGATCGCCAAAGCGATCAGGGAACGGTGAAGCGCGGACAGGTTCACGGCACAAATCAAAGTTCGGCAAGCAAAAACAACAGAGATATAATACGGACAAGTATGCTTTGTCGATTTCCAAAAGTGCGTGCTGCTGTAGCACCGTCAAGATGCGTCATGTCAGTTTCCGAGACTCCCTACCGGCCACAGAGTATCATCCATATTTGTCATCTCAAGTACACTAGGTACCTGCACCTGCACCTCTGTCGAGTCCAGACAACCCGACTTCGACGCCGAATTGACCCGGTAATCACATTTACATAACAGTTATCTCCGGAACGACCATGAAACCGCTCTATCTACCGCTTTTTCTCACTCGATACGGTTTCAATCAAACCAATCCTATTACTGGATCGTTCCCAAGAAATCCTGCGACCCGCATCAACTCATCAGCAGATTGGTCGAAGCCAGATATACCCGGCGCTATACCTAGTTGAGTGAAGTTGAGTGAAACCGTATCGAGTGAGAAAAAGCGGTACTTCACCACCAAGGCTCTTCAATGTCTCAATTTGCTTCTTCAACTATGCAGCAGATCGGACTTCATCACCACTCCAGCGTGGGAAAATCCACGGCCTTTACCCCTCATCAGGAGGCCGCCGCATCGACAAATCGGGTGGGTTCACTACCTAATAAGCGGATCCTTGTCGCAAATCTCCCAGCGCAGGGGTCTCAAAAGTACCAATTCAGCGCAGTTCGAGAAAGACTGATGAAGAGTTCCCCTTTCTTTCCAACATGTGAACAAAGATAACTTCTCTGCATCATGCCACCCGTCCAACGAGGCCACCACTGCAACAAACCTCACGCGACAATTAACAGATGGCTTGATTTATCTCGGCGCCTATCACCCAACTTGATATCACAATTTTGAGACCGGCCTGCACCCACGGGTCTGGCCACACAAAGACCATTCATTCATTCATTGACTGTTGGAATCGTCAAGATCGGTGTTGGTTGCCCGATAGCCAAACAACTTCAGAACCGGGACCCGTCACAAAGGTGATTGGATGATAACCTCACTTTTGGGTAGGCCACGTTCACCTTTCCAACAAAGTTTAACGCAGGGAGATTCAGCCGTGCTGCACAGAAACGCAACTACTCCACGTGTGAGGTTGGACGAACTCTTACCAATGGTTGCCCGCAACCGAGCCATCTCTCTTCAGTCTTCAGATACCCAACACTGCTTGCGTACCCTGGATCAGCAGTTAGGCCTCAAGGATAACCGGAGACGGCAAACCCTTCTGATTGACCGTCATTGAGCAAGTTGTCTGGTGGCTAGAAGCAATCCATTTCCGTTGTGACTTTGACACCTTGGTGGCATTTGTTCTCGACCGAAAGCTTGGGCGTGTCGTTGTTACAATGTTTCGTGTCCGGATCTTGTGTCGTACCCCCAATCTCCCCACCCGTACCCGACCGATACGGATCTAGCGCCGGGTTCACCGGCTTTCGGTTCGCTGTGACTGACTGACGACCGGCCAGCTGTCCCGTGGAAGCATCGCCGATGTCAGCAACCGATGTCGTGTCTCGAGGTTGCCGGTCACCGGATCTGCCATGAGATTCCGGTGCCGATGAGTTTTTAGACGGAAACCTGTAGATGTTTGAATAGAAACGGAGGATGGCAGACAAGTAGAATGATTCTAGGCGTTAAGCCAGGACAGGATTGCGCAGCAAACTCACAATGTCAAACTATACGTTCGTCAAACTTCTGACTTGCCCATGGATGCAATGCATTCGATGAAATTCAAAGATGAAATATGCAGTATGGCGAGGTACGGCCACTTCATCCGTAACAACTTCTGGACGATGCCATGTGTTGTCGTTGATGTTCCACGACAAGCCACAACCACTTGTCAGCTCATAGAACACGCAGCCGTTGATTGGTCATAACTTTAGTCAGCCACACCTATGTGGCGAAAGGTAGACGCGACTGAGGCGACGCGGCTGGGTTCAGTTTTCCACGGCGGATTCAATTCACCTGGCATGCGACAACGCCAACCAACTCTCAAATCTACAACATCGTAGTATCTAGTCCAATCCGCGACTGGGACTATCCATCGCTTGCGACAACTGCCATTCCATCAACAATATTCGCCAAAACCTTTCCGTAGACGCAAGCCAAACGTCTGACGCACGAAACAACGAAAGAACACCCCGACATTCATCATCTGAGCAGGCTGAACAACCGACTCGACTCTCGCCATCTCCCCGCATTTCCTCCCGACGACGGACTATCGCAATCCGAGTCCTCCTAGTCTACCCAACACATCACCCATCATCCACCACACCCAGCCCCGCCATCGCAGCGAGATAGACAAACCGACAACATGGCCAACTTCCTCGCCTCCATCTTCGGCACCGAGCAAGACAAAGTCAACTGCTCCTTCTACTACAAGATCGGCGCCTGCCGGCACGGCGACCGGTGCTCCCGCAAACACGTGAAACCTTCTTACTCGCAAACGATCCTGATGCCGAACCTGTACCACAACCCGGCCTTCGACCCCAAGAACCGGATGAACGCGTCGCAGCTGCAGAACCACTTCGACGCCTTCTACGAGGACATCTGGTGCGAGATGTGCAAGTACGGCGAGCTCGAGGAGCTGGTGGTCTGCGACAACAACAACGACCACCTGATCGGCAACGTGTACGCGCGCTTCAAGTACGAGGACTCGGCGCAGAAGGCTTGTGATGATCTGAACTCTCGCTGGTACGCTGCCAGGCCGATTTACTGCGAACTGAGTCCTGTGACGGATTTCCGCGAGGCTTGTTGCCGCTTGAATAGCGGCGAGGGCTGTGTCAGGGGCGGGTTCTGTAATTTCATACATCGCAAGAACCCCAGCCCGGAGCTGGAGAGGGAGCTCGAGCTTAGCACCAAGAAGTGGCTCAAGATGAGGCCGCGGAGCCGCAGCCCGACGCGCTCGCCTAGCCCGGAGCCGACTAGGAGACGGTATTAGAAGTTGCGGCGTCTCAAGCGGGCCAGATTGACGGGCGGACGGACGGCGGTGCGAAACATACATGGGGATGTTGTAGTTTGCAACGAGCCCGAGAGAAGAGAAGAGGAGAGAGATGTAGGTACTGGCTCAGTGACCGGCAGTCAACGTCAAGAGGGCGCATCTCACAGTTCGCGCGGATAGAGAGGTGGAAAGAAAACATGGCCATGAATGAGGACATGGGGATATTGATTGCAAGAACAGGCTCGGTCTGTCCCAATTTGCAGAGCTGGGCCAAGGTCATCAAATTAGTACTGGAGTAGGGGCGTTCGCGATTACTACTGGAATGTGATGTTATGGTTTCGGCTATACAACATGAGCCTCATTTCTTGTCTTTTTGTATGTGTATTAACAGTTTAATCAAGGGTTTTCAAATCCTTCCCACTCATCACGGGCCTGTCTGAATAGTGAAACGGTTATATGCTCTGATCCTGACATTGTCAACGTGGTTTTAATGGGGCTTTGAAAACGCTGATCCCATAGTATAAAGGGAGATTTGGCCCTGATTATCACCGTCCCAACCTGATCATCCAAATCCATGCTCCGAGTAGTTTGTTCTACGAATCCGTCTTAATGCTTAACGCTAACAACTACTGTTACTGTAAATAGATATGGTAGAGGGTATCTCATGCTTCAAATCCCAATCGAGAACAGCTTCGAAGCTTATCCTCAGTTCTTCGCGCACACAGTCTCGCAACCTCATCCAGCTCTCCCGTCGTCCCTTACTTCTTTGGTAATCTCGAGCCCTTCACAGGTGCCGGGAGACACAAGGTAAGCTTGTCGCGCTCTGTTTTATCATGTTAGCAAGCTATGAAAAGTAGAAGGAAGTGCTTCTGACAAGGGTGGATGGATAATGGTAGCGTCTGGACTTACCCGCTTCACTATCAAACAAGATGGTAATGTCGTCATGTTCTCCTGGAAGTTCAGGTAGATCGAGACACAGGAATGCCGTGTCTGCAGCCGCCTGTGCGTCGGTGACATTCTGGGGCAAAACTTTGGGCAGGGGAAACTTGGCATCGGCAATCTTGAGCCCGGCCTTGCCGCTTCTGTTGAAAGCCTCAAAGATGTCGGTTCCCTTTAGAGTGAATCCCATGCACTGGCCATGGGCGAAGTTCTCGAAGAAGGTTAACATCTGTGTAACCCCGTCTTGCTGCACGATCTGGATTCGGGTTGATCCTGCTTCCCACTTCTTGTGAATGGGTACCACCATACGGCGGCGAGATATCGCAAATGCGCTAGCAATCCCATCAAAGAGGATTTTGAAGCCGGTGATGGCCGACTCGAAGGCATGGAGTTCCGTGACACTAGGAAACATGTAGGTTCTAATGGTGGGAGACTGTTGCAGGACTTCCAGGCATTCGGCCATCCCCTGAGATAGCTCACGCGGAATCTTTGGATCCGTAACTGCCAGAGTTGCGTCTGCCTGCGGCTGGCGAAACACCATGATACAACTTGGGTTACGTACGTCCAGTCTTAGCCGCAGTTCGCCGGGCGAGACGTTGATCCTGTCGGTAAATGTGCCGTCCTGGAAGTCGTATACCACACGAAGCTTATCAGCAAGAACACATGGTGGCCGGTCACCATCATTGTCGTCATTGATCACCTTGACTCTTTGCCAGCTCAACCCAGCCATCTGCTTGAGACCGTTGTGTGTCGAATCGCCGTATCTTTCAGAGAACCAGATGACCTTCAGCGGCACCTCACAAAAGACCTCTTCAGCCTTTTGTAGTGCTGACCCAATGAGTAGACTATGCATCTGCGACCTTTCTTGCTCGTCCTTGAAGGACAACACCATGCTTCCCTTAAGACGCCCGTTCTCGAATTTCAGGGAAAGGGCAGGATCGTTTGCGTCACTGCGACAGGAGCCAAGCTGGATGAGTGTTTGTGGAGTGTACACTTGATTGACGCCGCTCAGTGTCTTGACCTTTGGTCCTGTGACAACTGCAATGCGATATCCGCGATGGTAGGTTCGTGGCCCGGTTGCCGCGCCTTCTTTCTTAAGGCGCTCAAACAGGGCAAGCTCGCACCCAGGCGTCGCTTCCCTAGGAAACTGTCTGGCCTGTGGGTCATTGTCGACATACTGAAAGGCGCGGAGAGTTGATCTGAATAAGCACTTCTCGTCTGGCTTCGCGTAAAGGCTCGAATGGACCTTTGCGCTGAACTCGTACATGCTTCGCAGCGTTTTGAAGCTACTTTGCGAGCATTGGATGACCAGTGCAAACCCTCGGGGTAATCTTACATCGAGGGTGAGTGTTTCTGGGCGCCATCGTACGTCCTCCCACACGGGACCCAGGCCTTTGTTACCAGATATCCTAAGCTGAACAGAATCGTTTTGGCTTGCGATGACGAACATGATATCCGCTTGTATCTGTGGCCTCAATATGGATAAGAAACACGGAAAGTGAAGTCTCTGCGATTCTCTCCCTTGTTCCATTAAGAATGCCTCGATGCGGAAACGCCCAAAGGAGAAGAAGTTGTCAGAATCACCCAATGGAAGTGCGTCTAGCATCCCAATCCCAGGCTGGTGCTGCTGCGTTGAAGCGAGCGCTGAACTCGAGGACCCCCAAAGAAGGGAGATGATGTCCTGGGTCAAGGAAGGATATTCTATCCATATCGACCTGTCTATCGCTTGAGGTAGGAGGGCTTCCTCGGGTGGCATGAAACCGTTCCTCTGCATTGATCCGGCCAATTTTCGCAGGTTGGACGCAAGAACCTTTCGCACCTCTTCTACCTCCGCATCTACCAGGGTGGATGTGCTGTTAGAAACCTCCGGAACCATCTTTTCTGATAACCAATACGCTTTGGCAAGGTCTGCATGAGCTTGTTGTTTAGCCAAGCTATTTCTCTGCTCAGCTTCGAGACCCGCCGGCCGTTCGCGAACAGCATTTTCCAGGGCCATTCGGCCAGTGAGGAACCACCACAACGCTGCCCTTACGAGCTGTCCAGGTGTCGATGACAGCAATGGTCGCACACTCTCGGAGTGTAGACGAAATAGCTCGAAGAGATGGGTACTCCGGGTAGCAAAAGTACTCAGGGCATCGTCTAATGCGCTCTGGTCATGGTTCCATGCTGGGGTTGGTGTTTGTTGCGCTGCAATTGGTGAGAAACTCTCACCCTCCAAGGACCGTCCCGACGATCTAAATGATCCAAACTGGTTGACGAAGCTGGTGGGTGGACTTTGTTCTAGACCAGGTGTCAGACCGGGTGTCGGTAGCGGGCTCAGCTGCGGTTGCATATGCAGCGGAGAGTGTTGTGTCTCTGGCGCTAGAGCCCCATTCCGTGGCAGTTTCAGAGCCCGAGGCGAGTCAACACTATATGTCTGAGGAGAGCGAGGAGCTTGGGCTGGTATGGGAGAAGGGCCGAGCCTGGACTGGGGTGAAGTTGGAATTGTGGGCTGACCAAGGGATTCCGGTTGTGATGACTGGTACAGTTGAGGAGGGTGAATATCTCTTGGAGACTCGGTATATTGTCCTCGACTCATTGAATTGGTGGCCGAATGTGGTGGCCTCTCGGAAGATCGAGTAGCTTGCGAGGATATGCTTGCCGAGCGGACTGCATTGGCAAAGGCCTGTCCCTCTGCTTCCCGCATCTCGGCTTGATGCAGCTCAATGAACGAACGGCGCTTCTCGTCTGGATTGGTTGCTGGGTTGCCTCTTGGCCTGGCCTGGGGACTGTTTCCTTCTGCTAGCTCTTGCTCCCCGGTACCGAGTATACTCGAGAACCCAGTTTGTGTACGTCGCAATGGTCCTGGCATAAATGAAGGATCGCTCTTTTGTGCTGCACCCGGTGGCCCAGTAGGTCTTCCACCCCCATCCAGGGGCCTAGCAGGCGCAGTTGTGTTCGGGGGCGTGGGTGGCATGGCTTTCTTCCTTTTCGCGATCTCGACCGTGGGAACATCGCACTCGTCGCCGCCATGTCCAATAACCTCGGGGTACGCGTCGGTAAACTTGACGTTCAGGCCTTTATTTTTGCGGACTCGTGGGCTGTGTGAGCGTGCTCGGATAGCCATATCATGTCGAGGGTCGGTGGGAGTCTGCACATTTAGAGAGTTGGGATATCGGGTACTGCCGGCAGTCTTGGTGTCGAGCTTTGCAAGCGTGGGAGGCCCTGGATGGGCAACTTGCAACGTATCTGATGAGCCGCGAAAGAAATCATTCAGATCTCCAGACGCTCCCGTGTTGTCGTGAGAAGGCTTCCGGTCACGGTCGCGGTGGAGGTCTTCCTTCACCCGACCAAAGAGCTTCCCCATTATGCGGCCCCTTTTGGTACCCCGGCCATCCTCCTGCACCGAGATAATTGGCGGTTCGTTCTCCATTTTGTGAATCGATTGTCGTGTGTAGCTGTGTATTCGAGGCGCGTCATGGGGCCCCGAGCTTCCTATAGACGTTATAGCGACAGTAGGCGCGGACCGAGCCCGTTCAGGGTCGAGTATGGGAACTTTGTTGTCATGCACACCCGACGCCGTAATGCGACCAAGGAACCGGCGGGGCTTGGACCTCGACAAAGTGATTATGGCGAAGGAACAACTGAGGGTTCGGGCTGCCGAGAGAGGGTGCGGCAAGGTAGGTAGGCCCTAGGCAGTGGTGATGTTCGGAGGAGACCCGGGTAACTAAATAGAAGCGGAAGGTAAGCAAGATGGCAGGACGGTGGATGGTGGATGGGTGGATGAGTGTTGTTGTTGGTGGCCGTATAGGTGCCCGGTGTTCAAGGTTCCAGCTATGTACGCAGACAGCCACTGCGGTGGCCCCGAGTAGGTTGTCGTAACGGTGCGGTCGTTGGGATGGGATGACAGCAGCAGGTGCAAGCCGGGCGCCGGACAGGCTAAGTGCTGCAACCTACCTGCAACCTGGCGCTGCTGCCCGCAGCAGGCAGGAGAGGCGGGGCAGATCAGTCAGGGGAATCGGGAGTCAAGCAGGGCAATCCTGCTTGCCAGCAGACAGGAGGACCGACGAGAGAGCTGTGATCGTCTTACATTCGTGGACCAAGCGAGGACAAACTGGAGTCCTGGATTGCGGCAGTGCCTTGGCTGGAGCGCTGACGGTTGCAGATGTTCGGTGGACAGGTCTGCGCCTGGATTATAATGGAGGGAGATGGCGGGCCTGGCCCGGGATGACTGACCTCCAAGTACGAAGTAAGCTCGTAAAGGTAACGATAGCTCTAACTGTAAAGAGGTTCCGTCGACGGGGGGACTGCTAACAATGTCTCTGTAGGGAAACGTGTCACACGACAGCCCGATATGACCGCGGAAAACCGTTTGTTGTGGGGGATTGAACAGTTGAGAGAAAGCACAAGTCCAAGCAAGGGACGAATTGAACCGAGTGAACACGCAGAACAATCGGCCGTCGTTAACGTGAACTGAACCTGAAATGGATATCGCCCGGGCAAGAACCTCGCATCTGCACCGGTGTTGGTTATCATAGTGCCGTACTAGCGGGTCCTGCTCCTTTAGCTAAACTCGCATTCAAGGCCCGGATCCGTCCCCTCTCCCCTGATGGCGTCACGCATCATCTTCCTCAACGGGCAATGAGCCTCGAGGTGTAGCATTCTCGATAGTCGATTTTCGTGTTTCAGGGTTCGCGAAGGGTCGCGAATGGTCGCGGATTGACACTCCCTCTCCAGTGAGGAGCACCCAGTCTCCACTATTTACGCTTCAAGGGTTTCTGACGGGAGCTTGGCACGTTGGCAGCAGCAACCCGCCCTGGAGGGCCACTGCCAGTTTCGTTATTTCAGGGGCAGACCCAGGTTGTGTTTCCAAGCAGCCGGCCTTCGCCTATCTGGGCCGGCCGAGGTTGCAGGTTTCCGTCGAGTCCCCCTTTCCACCTTGGAGTCGTTCTCGAACCTGGAAGGGATTTTGGAGGCTAAAGCAATCTTTTCCAAGCGCCGGCCTCCTCGGCCGTAGAACCAGCAACATGATCCGTGCAACGTCCTCCATGGCTGCGGTCCCGGGCCGGAGACAAGTGATCCCCCTTCAAGTCAAATGACAGCCCGTCGATAGAGTTTCCTAAACAAGGGCCGTACCAAAAGTGTGGTAGTCAACTTTGCTGGTGCATCCATTGCGTGGTACCATACCCGCTAAGAGGTAGCACGTGTCGGCCACGATACGGTCGGGCTTCTAGTCGGGGTCGGATAAACCTGGAAGTCTATTCATATCACAAAACCGAAGGGCGGCATCATATCTGTGGATCATCTTGAGTGCACAATCAAAAGAGCTAGAGCCATATTGATGCCTCCAGATGCCCGAAATACCTACCTTGATTCTGTAACGCGACTCAACCAGAGCATAACATGTACCGGATCTCCAAACCCGGGCGGCCTTCCCTTGTGTTGTTGAGGAAAAGCGACTCCGCAGCCTGGCTGCTGTCAGTTGCCAGGTGATGGACGGACAGCCAAAGAAGCATCGCCAAGAATGTCTAAGCCACAATATTGTTTACCGATTAGGCAACTCATGGAGGGCATCGTGAAGCCATTGCGATTGCGGCCATGAGCTTTTTGGTCACTGGAACTCATATTTGCAGTGAAATATGGGTAGACATGCATGATAGTGACTAAAATCGAAGTAGAGGCATGGAATCGGTCAGTATTGCATTGCGACGTATAGGACTTATACATACGACTAGTTAGTGACAGGCACACAAGCTAGGTAGTGGCCCATAACACCATATCTTTGCCGGAGAGCGACACCGGCGGAAGGTAAGGTGATTGTTGCTCATGGTATTATCAGACTTGGATCTTGTTGTCGTGAAGCATATAGAGAGCTCATCGCTGAATGGCCAGTCCCTGGAGAAAGGGAGGAGCTGGGCTGGGCTGGGGTTGGGTCACCCACGTCATTTATTCAGGTCCCCCTCCATCGCCCTCCGCCCTCCATGTCAGGCTGCCCCGCCCCGTTCAGGCCGGCTTCGCGCTTTGGGAAACTTACGAATCCCGCCATCTGCCGGTGTCTGCCCCATCGTCGCCTGGAGCTTCCCAAATCCCAACATCCGTCTACCCCGGGCCGTCATCGATCCACGCAGGCATTCCATTTCCCTAGGTCCCAACAGTCCCGCCGCAACTCGTGGGAAGAAGGGGAAGTGAGTGGGAATTCCCAACCCCTAAAGCTCTGTACATACCCGATACCACCCTGCCTAAAAAGTTCCCGGACAACCTAAGAGCACTTGCATTTGCATTTGCACTTCCCTTGCATCTCCCTTCCTCCTACGGACCCCGCGTCGACCTGTACAATTTATACATACCTTAGAGGTAGTCTACCCGCCCGTGATACCTCTACCGCCTCAAAACGCGCTTCTTCTTCGTCGCCTCACTCTGCCACGGCACCGAACCGTAGAGCTGCAACAAGATGATGGGCCTTGTATCTGGTCGCCGTAGGGCTACATCTACTACCAGTGAGTCGCTGAGATGCTGCGCTGAACGCATCGACCCCCGGGCGCAAATCGTCCTTGTCTGTTGCTAACATGCGCTTGTCTTCCCGTCTAGGTAGTAGATCTTCTGGTGATGCCAACCAGGATGTCGCCGAGGACGATACCACCGTTGTTGAGCCCGACCAGGGGAACGGTCCGTCGACCCTTTAACCTGACAAGCGACCGCCATCCCGTTCACTGTTGCTGACCTTCTCGCCAGTCCTGTCGCACATCATCTCGCAGCTCAGACCCGGCGCCGATCTTAGCAGAGTCGTCTTGCCAACCTTCATCCTCGAACCGCGCAGCATGTTGGAACGGATAACAAAGTAGGGCTTGGTCAACCTTGGTTTCCATGGGCAGCGGACTGAACATACCTGCTGACCGACTGCTGCAGTTTCATGTGCCATCCCGAGATGCTCCTACCCATTCCCGAAATCGACGACCCGGTACAGAGATTCGTGGCTGTAGTTAAGTTCTACCTAAGTGGCTGGCATATCCGCCCTCCGTAAGAGACCCGGTTCCGGCATAGCGGCAGCTTGCGCCGTAGCTTGTGACCATGTTTGCTGATATTTCTATAGAGGAGTCAAGAAACCACTGAACCCCGTCCTTGGTGAGATTTTCACCTGCTACTGGGACTTCCCCGACAAGACGCGAGGCTACTACGTCTCCGAGCAAACATCACACCACCCTCCCAAGTCGAGTTACTTCTACATGGTTCCGGGCCATAACATCAGGGTTGATGGCACACTCAAGCCCCGAAGCAAGTTCCTGGGCAACTCTGCCGCGAGTATGATGGAGGGTATCGCAATCTTGAGTCTTCTGAATCGAGGCAAGGATCCTCAGAGGGGAGAGCGATAGTGAGTACACCCACCCTGGGAGTGCTCCGAAATCCACTTACTCATTGCGTGCGCTTTAGTATTATCACTCAGCCCAACATGTACGCAAGAGGAATATTGTTTGGCAAGATGAAATATGAGTTGGGAGACCACAGTTATGTGCGCTGCCCCGAACTCGACCTTGTGGCCGATGTCGAGTTCAAGACGAAGGGCTGGGTCAGCGGTACCTACAATGCCATTGGTGGAACCATTCGGAGGGAAAGTACCGGCGAGATTCTCTACGAGCTGTCGGGTCTATGGAGCGAAGAGATGTACCTGCGAGATGTAAAGGTAGGTTATACATACAAAGCCCATACCGGCAGCGAGCTAACAGAAGAAACAGACTGGGCACAAAGAGATGTTCTTCAACGCTTTGCGCGCAAAGGCTAGCCCTCCGATTGCACGCCCGATCGAAGAGCAAGAAGAACGGGAATCACAGAAGCTTTGGGCTGCGACAGCCAAGGCGGTCAAGGAACGAAACCACGAACTGGCCACCATTGAGAAGACCAAAATCGAAGACCAACAGCGCGAGGAGGCCGCCAAGCGGATTAATGACGGCGTGGAATGGCATCCGCGCCTTTTCCGGATGGTTAGGGGAGGCCCTGGCGGCTCTGAGGAGGGCGAAGAGGATCTCGAGTGGATCATCAACGCAACAATGTCAGTGAACGATAACATGAAGTTCCTCATGGCGAAGGCTAATGAATCACAGAGACGGAGATACACCAGAGAAGCAGGCTGAGCAGATCATGGCGATTTATCCCATTGTGAAAGGCCAGCGGTTCGTCGAAAAGAATCCCATCCCCCCTCGATCTCCCATAGCGAGTCCCAGTAAAGAGGCTCATTCTCCCGTCATAACGGCAGACCACGAAAAGCTGGATCACGAAGAAGCTGGTGCGGAAAAGGAGCCGGTAGACACAGCGCCAAAGGTGCACCCGCCATTGGATCCTTCCCATGAAAGCACCACGGAGATCCAAACGCTTCTTGTCGCTACGGGTACCGTCGCTAAAGAGGGACCTCTGATCGATTTCCACGAAGACATGGCAAAGGACTTGCCGGCTATCAAGAAGGTCGACACGGGCGACTCGCATGACGAGTTTGTGGATGCGCAAAATTAATAGTCTTGTCGGTTTGCATAAAAACCAACTGACATCTTAATGGTTGTGCTGTGGGATAACGTGTAGTTTCTCGAAGATACCTCTGAACACTTGCATATTTGCTTTCCCTTTTCTTGAAATGGCGTGTGCCTGATTTACGCTCTCGGGTCATATATAGGTCCGCAAACTCCTACCTCTGCTCTGACACCGAGGATAGGTAATACGAACTTGGTCAACCAATTCGAAACAACCTATTTCCAATTATAACGCGGAAGAAAATCTTTCATGCCAGTTTCTTTAATTTCGTGCATAGTTTTACAACAGCCGTGAGAGTGACCATGAAGTGACTGATGTTGTCTTCCGCCAACAAGCCCGGACACCTTTATCGGCACCTAAATCTTCATTTTATGTCCTATGAGAGGTATTGACGCCACTGGGTGTTGACCATTTCACTGCCAGACTGATTACAGGCGGTATGAAATCAACGTGAAGGGGACAATTTTTTGATGAAACAACATTGCGATTGGATTTTCCGGGGTTCATCGGTCCCGTCCCGGTCCAGAGGGATCCACTTTACCGGCGCCGTCCGGATCCCGTCCCGGCCGTACCGTCCGTCTGCCCCACCCCGAACCGGCGGTCATCACCTTATCCCCATCGATACTGTGACCGGCGGGGTCGGCACAAACCTCCGACCGGAGGAACACTGATACTGCATCATTGTTCTGTTGGTGTGTGTCTAAAAGCCCTACTATTAGCCATTAACATTCCCTCGGCTCCAACTCACGTGGGCCCGGCAGGCCGGGCGGCCGGGCTCCCCCACACTGTAATCACAGCCGCAACCAAACACACCCCCCTCCCCCCACGCTGTAACCTCAAAACAGACTTGGGGGTGTCCGGGACTCCAGCTTTAACACCCTGGCTCCCTGTGAGCCTGGCACTGGCTCTCTTAATCGGGAACCCCAAGTCACATGTAAGTCACCGAGGTGACTAAGCGTTCTCTTCGTTTCTATTGGTGAGATTGGGTCACTGGTTGGTCACCCACCCATCAGCCGAGCTTACCGAACAAGTTCCGTAAAATATTACGTTGATGGATTTGGAAGGGGAATTTGGGATGTGACAAAGAGGCTAGGTATCTATCTGGGATCTTATCAGATTGGGATATGCCTAGTGTAGCCAGCCCGGCATTGACTAAAAAGCCTTGAGTAACACAGGTCGATACAAAATGCCATGCATGCCATGTCATGTCGAAATTTTAACATATGATGATACTAGGGAGAAGGAAGAAGGAAAAAAATCGCTGAACTGAGCTTAGCAGAAACTGTGATGGAATGGAATGGAATGGCCACATGTCGTGCCTTTATCGAAAATTGCAATGAAGTGGATGAAGTGCGAGAATCGTGTGACGCTTACACTTAACAATTTCCTCGCACCTCGCACTCAGAAGATGACACCAAGCACCAAATAAAGCTTGTGAAGGTGATACAGCATCGCTTCGTTCCGGAACCTCTTTCTGGTCTGTGATAGACAAGACTACATGTTGCGTGAAGTTGTACAGTAATTGGGAAATTGGTTACCATTATTCTTTTTTGTTTTGCTTTGTTTGGATTTGGTGGTAGACGCAAGTTGGAGGTTAATTCATTCTAAAGGAAAAGGGTGGTAGGTGTCCAGGTCTCACTCCGGTCTTGTCCAGAATTTGATAAATTCATACAATGAGGGGACAAAAGTGTGACCCAAACAAAGCCTTGTCCAGTTCGCAGAGAGGATAAGCTCGCAAAGGAACTCTTGAAGCTGCCCTGTGAAACAGTGATTGAGGTTATTGATTTATATAAACCATTTAGCAACGTATCACAAAAAACCATGCATACATACCTATGATCCATTTGGCTACCTATATTTCTATTCCCATTTCTGCTCAATGTGTCCTCCGTGCTACAGCATTGACCCACAGGGTATCGTTTGCTTCAGTTTTCTTCCAATGCTTGACTGGTAAGCTCAAGTGCGAGAAAATGTGAACACGCTATGAGGGGACCAGCACAACACTCCCACATAGTGGACAAGTTGTATCCCCAGCCCCGGGAGTTGGGAGAGGACAGAGAACCTGGAAGTTTCCGATCTAACCAAGCTCGAACCGTTGACCGTGTTTTTTGGTTTAGTTCTCTGATTTGGATCAGCGCATGACTCGTTGGGGCGCAAAACAGTAGGTCCAAGAACAAAAGGAGTTGGGCACAAAATTCGTTGCCGGTAGCTCGGAGATTGCGGGAATCAGCAAGTTAGGTCAGTAAGAAATAAATGAAGTAAGAAATACCTGATGACAAACATAGTGTGTTTGAAGTTACCTTGCGAAAAGGCTTTCCAGAATATTTGTACTTGGGGGTTGTGGTGCGGTTCAGTGGTGGGACCTTTCCTCAACCCCCTCTCATAAAAGAGGGGGAAATTTTTGTCTGGGACAAACTTTTAATCTGGGACAATCTGAAATGTTAGGATGCACTATAGAAAAGTGTTAGTGGACAGGGTGCAACAATAACAACCACATCCACTATTTTTCTAAAATTCTAGACAAATTCGGGAAGTAAGAAGAGGGTATAAGAAAGGCTCCCTCAAAATTACAAAAAATTATCTTTTAAAGTGGGCGAACGGTGGCTTCCGGACTTTGCATCGACACCAAACATCGCTACTTTGGTATCGCGAAACCGCCGAGCTAAACTACGCTTCAACGACAAAGAGGTATGCAACTTAAAGATATCTCAACAACGACCCGACCAAAATGGATGCAATTTTGGGAACACCTCCATTAGAGCCTTCTCATTCTCCCCAAATTTTGCCAGATTTTTAGAAAACAGTGGTGGAGTTGAATACTTGTTGCATCTCTCCCACTAACAATTTTCGATGGTGCATCCTAACATTTCAGATTGTCCCAGATTAAAAGTTTGTCCCAGACAAAAATTTCCCCCTCTTTTATGAGAGGGGGTTGACAAAAGGTTCCCAAGCCGCCCACCCAACCCCCAAGTACCACCTCTTCGAACCAGGCCCCCCGTCTCTTCGCCGTATTTGAATGCCTGAAACAAGCAACACAATGGTGGTATAGAGCTACACTACCCAATTTAGACGGGGCAACGGGGAATGGCAACAAGCACAACGAAGCAGATCCAAAGACCGAGATCCAAGGTTGGAAGACCAAGAACTTTGAACGCTGAATATGACCGAAACATGCCTGCTTTCACATCGCCAGCTAGATGGGGTATTATACAAAAAAATATGCCAGCCCAGGTATTATCATCCGGGGGATAAACTCGGTGTCCATCGATCAGTGCGTGACGGTAACATCCGTTAAAAAAACAAAAGGGTGATAAAGCCCAAAAAGGAGGTATCGTTGAAAACCCAAATCTACCCAGGCGTGCGCGCAGGCGGGAAACCCTTCCCCTCCCGCGCTTGATTTCCTCAGTTTTCCACATTCGCTCATCCAAGGCCCCATAAATCCCGAGTTCTATGCATGCCAAAAAAAACAAAAACAAAAACAGAAACCAAAAAGTCGCTCGTAGAAGTAATTTCGTTGCGTGGTCGCATAATTCGACATCGACATCTTTTGTAAAATTATTCCGAGGTCGAGCCCGCCTTCTCTCGCGGGTCCTCCTCTTCATGGTGTGGGAATTCGGACATGTTGGCTCCGTGGCGAGAGCTGCTCAACAGGTCCTGATGCCCTTCGATGCCGTGCTGAGGAACGATGATGTCGCCGTCTTGCCTCTGCTCTTTCTCTGCTGGTGTCCATGCCAGGTAATCGCGGCGAACCTGTTGAATATATTGTTAGCTGATGAAAGTCAATAAAAGAATAACCCGAATCAAACGTACCTCAACGTAGTCGTAAGCAAACTCGCCGTGCTGGTCATCATCCATGCCCAGGAGCTCGGCTTCTTCGGAAGCGCGGAGGTGTAGACCTGGGATCATGTCAACGGCCTTGGCGAGGAGAGCAGACATGACGAAAGAATATCCCATAGTGGCGCAAACGTAGGCGATCTGAATGTACAACTGCTTATAGTTGTGGTTGATAAAGCCGCCGGGGATTTCCTGGTTGACGCCATCCAAGCCAATGATGTAATCCGCAGCAAAGAAACCGTTGAAGATCAGACCCACAACGCCTCCAAGAGCGTGTTCAGCGAATATATCGAGAGCGTCATCGATGCCGATCATGAACTTGATCTTAGTGCCGAAGTTACAAACGACTCCAGTAACGACTCCGAGAATGATGCTGGCCCAGGGAGGGATATAACCGGAAGCGGGAGTAGCGGCGACGAGACCCGAGATGGTACCGGAACACCAGCCGACGAGCGACCACTTCTTGGCCAGGCGGTAATCGAGAAGGGTCCAGGTCACGGCCGCAAACACGGCCGTGAGACACGAGTTCCAGCACGCCATGGCGGCACGAAGGTTGGCGCCGAAAGCAGATCCGCCGTTGAAGCCGAGCCAGCCGAACCAGAGGAAGACGGTACCGATGGTAATCAGGGAGATGTTGTGAGGACGGAAGTTGAGCATCATCTTCTCGTTACGTCGGCCGAGAACCCAAGAATAAGCTAGAGCCGAGACACCGGATCCAATCTCGACGGGACCACCACCAGCATAATCCATCACTCCGTACTTGAAGGCCCAACCGTTGACATTCCAAGCCCAGCAGGCGAGAGGGCAGTAGACCAGTGTTGCCCAGATAAAGATGAAGACCATTGCCGGGACAACGCGACCACGTTCGGCGGTGGCTCCAACAACGAGGGCTGCGGTTACGCCGAGGAATTGCATCTGTCATGTCGGGGTTAGATAAACATACCCCTGAATCGCCAAGACCAGGCCCTTGGCTGAACTGTTTGAGATGAATTGAAAGTGTCTTACCTGGTAGAAAGCATAGAGGAGCTCAGGGATGAGTTGAGAGCCGGGAGAAGGTGCACCGAGTGTGTTCATGAGACCAAAGTGTCGAAGGTTGCCGATGAAGCCGTTGGTCGCTGTGCTGCTGAGCGCCAATGAGTAACCCCAGAAGTACCATTGAAACATGACGACACTGGAGGACATCATGCACACCCATATGAGTGATAGAGCCGACTTTCTACGGGCAAGGCCGGAGTAGAGGAAGGCGACGCCCGGGATCATGATGAGGACCATGCATGATGCAATCAGAATAAAAGCCTGGTCGCCTGATTGGAACCATTGGTTGAGGTTTTCGGAGGCTGGTGATGATGGAACTTGTCAGTGAATGTCGAAGGCATTGGGTGGCTGTCGTCGAGCTCCGGAGAGGACTCACCGGAATCACCGCCGTTGGGCGTGGTGCCATTGAAAGGGGTAGGGGCCCCGAACCATGAATACGACATGGCTGCGGCAGGCTGGTGGAGTGCCTGCCGGAGGCTACGGGGGCGGAAGGGATGAGGAAACGATGACGATCGCGGAGTCGGGGTCGGGGTCAGAGTCGGGATCGGGACGGTGATGACGGCGATAGGCGGTGAATCCGGGTTTTATTATACTGTAGGAAACTGGACGTAATAGGAGAGAGACTTGGAACACGGCGCTTCGGTAGTAGGTATTGGTATTAAGGGACGGGCCGTGTGTGGAAAGGAGGTCCGTCGTGGGTTGAAGAGTAGATTTTTTTTTGTGTCTCAGACTCCTTTCAGTGAGAAGACGGGGAGGTTGAGGAGCGAAGCCGGTGTTTAGGTGGCCGAAGAAGGAGGGCGGGACGAGGCACGGTCTATATAAGAGACGAGAGGTGAAAGGTCGATAAAAGCGATGGGCGTGTGGGCAAAGAAGTGGGATCCATCCGGGTGCAGCATGCAGCATGTTGATACCAGAGTGGGGAGGAGCGACCCGAAGGCCCATCGAGTCCCATCGAGTCCCATCTGACGCAGCCCGCGCAGGGTATGGATCGCAACTTGTCCAAGTTAGTGTCTTGAAGAAGGACGGCAGGCACCCTCCCCACAACTCTGCCTCTGCACGCCGAAGGCGGACTCGCCTACACTAGCGCATACTCAGCACTCCTCTTGTCTGTTTAGCTCTGTTACCTTGCTCTGCCACCGCGATCAGGAACGGCGCAAGGGTGTTTTTATAGGATTCCATCAATTGGTCTCGAATTGATACCTAGGAGGTTCCTTCGAGTCGCGTGGGCTTGATGCGCATCTGTGAATTCTCTCCTCCAGTCCACCTGTTTACTATCGTCTACTAACCCGTCCATGTCTCTTCTCCAGAATCCAGTTCGTCTCAATTCGCGCCGTCCAGTCCGATTCCCGTCGAAGCGACCCGTCGGTAACCTCGACCACCTCGGATAAGGTACTTGTGTACGCAGTACGTGGGATGGGGGTTCCATGCCAGACAATTGCCCGCCCACGCCGCCCCAAACAGCTAGTGGGAGCCGTAATGGCTGTCATGGGCTGGCTTCGCCAATCCGCGGCTGTCCCTCGATTTGTGGTGTGGGTAATCCCCTGCTCTTCTCTTCCCACTCCCACTCTATTTGCATGGATGGGACAAAAAAATGTGGCGAGATGTGCCGTTCGCGAACCTAGGATATCTTTGCTTGCCAATGCCTTTTTGGACGCCAGAAAGGGGGTTGAAAACGGGATTGGGGAATGCTGTCAATTACACAGTCATGGCCGGCTGCCCGGAGAGCCTCAAAAGCAACCATCAGATGACACAGGCACCAACAACTTTAACTTCGGACGGGACGTTATCTCTTGAGGCAAAAAAATCCACATGAAAAATTGCGCACACACGTCGACGTAGTGTAATTCAGTGGTACTATGTATAGGTTTTGAACATGTGGAGGGCTTCAGCCCAGGTGGCTAAATTCTCCTGACTCCTAGAGCAGGCGTGGACCGAAAAGAAGATTGGCTGATTCACAAAGCGTTCCACACTCACTTACCTGAACAAATATGTCAAAACATGTCTTCTACAGCAAGGGTTGTTTTGTATTCCATGCACGCGTGGGCACAGCCGCGGCGTGCTTAATGGACTTGCATTGTACCTTATCTCTTTCATTATGGCAGAACCGTACCGCCTTGCCTTGCATTTACTTATGATGGCTTGATATGTACATTGAAATGTCCGTTAGCGCAAGACTTTTCGCTGATCAACATTTTGATTTCGAACTCGCTACATGTGCTCCGAGGTTTGAAAAGATTGAGCGATCCCATGATTTTGCCTTATCTTTCGGCCGTGATTCGCAGACAATCTTGATACACAATCCACTGATAGGGAGTTCGGGAGTTCGTTTGAAATCGTAAAAGAACTTTGTTCCTGACCAGGTAGAGCCTGCTTTCGTGAAGCTTACAAGTGGGTTGTCGTCCCAACTCAGCCAATGATAATGCAGATGTAGTACAGGGGGGACAAGGGCCCTACTCCGAGAATGTGCGGTGCTGCGCTACCAGCATGCCTCCGCCCTCCATGCCTTGCCGTACCTCCGCTGTCCCGAACCCATTCTGGGGCGGCCCATTGGGGAAAATGAGCCTGTGAAATTCAAGGTCTCTCTTTTTGTGACTCTTTGACTTGCGGGCTGACTGCCGTTGTCTCACGATTTACGTGCGGTTCGTAGTGTGGGGATTGGGTTTTGAGAGGTACGTATTTTGCGATTCACACAACCTTGAAACCCCCAAACTGCTCAATGTACTCAAATGTACCCAATGAATGCAGGGACACTGTCAATTAGACAGCCAATGCCCGTGATGTGATGGAACGCTCTCGCCCGACAACGGAGTGAAGATCAGGCAGAGCAGCGGCCCATATGCTTTCTTGGGATCTTCACACATCCAATGTTCCAATGTTGCGTTATCTTGTCGATTTCAGGGCCTCTTGTTCTGGGCTGCCAAGAAACAAGACATGAGACACAGCAGCATCGAGCTGGTCAACCGATTTCACGATCCTTCAGGTCCTACCTTACCGCGTACACGTGTGCTTGCTCCGCTTGCTTCTAGTTCCATTCCGTGCATGCATCATTGGAAGCTCCCATACAGACAAGTGTGCAATTAACGGTCACGGCTATCCTGGCCAATCTGATCGTTATACCCAGACTATCGTTACTCCAAGTAGTGCCAAGGGCGCCAAGGCAGGCTCAGGGCAGGTCCAGGGTACTTGGGTGCAGAAAATTGGTGGTCCAGGTACGGTCAGGAGGTGAGTTGGTGATGTTTCAAGTCTACCACCTAACGGGTATAACGATCACCATACTAAACTGAGGCCGGATTTTGATCGTAATCCCAATAGCTAATATATCGTTATACTGCTGAAAGCTCCATACTCCATACAAATGGAACGGTGGCGGCGGAACTGAATGTTATATATCGCATCGTTGATTGCTGACTTGACTGTAGTTGGTGATATCATCGAGGTCCCTGAGCCCAGCCTTTGCGGGGAAGCTCCGAACACCCTTGGCCACAGATGCTGTAGACAACAACACTATGACATTTGCAATTCCTGGGGACCCGTTACCTGATAGCTCGCTCTCGATATGGCTAGCTGACGCAGATAAGCAGTTGTATATAAAAGGGCGTCGATGTCCTCCAAGAGGTTCGTATCTGGAGACTATCCTCCTGCTCACAGCCGTCCATACTGGTGCCTCTGGGCTAAAGCATACGCGGCCGAATCGAGACAAAGCCAACTCACGTTAATGATCCCAATCAGCACCTGAAGCCGAATTCAGAATCGACCGAGACCCGACCGAGCTGGACGTCTATTCGTCTAACGCGGTGGTATAATGGAAGATATTGGGTGGCCTTGGTACCGATGAGGCGGTGCGGCAGGCTCTGTTCTTCGATCCCCTCCAGATGGGAACACAAACTCCGACCAGGCGCATTGCCCCACGCACAAGTCGAGACCCCGCGAAACCGAACATCCATTAAGACACCTGGGGTAGTTCTGGGTCATTCGAACGCCAATTGGATGCAATGGGATATAATACGACTTCCCCCAGCTTCCGTCGTGTGTTCCTGGAGGTTCCGTGGTGTCGATTTTGGATTTCTTTCGTGGAAACGAGTGGCGTGCTGCACCCCAGATGACGGAACTTGCGAACAAAAGAAGGCACGACGTTGGGAGGCTTTCACAGGCCACACCCCCTGGCCACGCCCATCCTGCACCCCTGTTCTTGGCTCCAGAGCTTAACAGCTTGATTACCGAGCGGCCCCCTGCCGGTCCAGGCGCAGGGGTCCCAGGCAGCCAAGCACGCCAAGAGATAGGCCTTATCAGGAAATGGGGACCAATGAGAAGCCAGAGTGTTGCAGAAAGGTTTCTGTCAACGCTTCCAGGTTCGGACAGATTCGGCGACGGCTAGCCTCCTTCGGGCTCCGCTCTCGCGGCAGGCCCCACCTCCCTCTTCCGGTTTTACACGATGGCCGGATGCCTGCTCTTTTCACCTTTTCACCGGCTCGGTTGCTTAGTTTTATCTTGGACCTCGAACCTCGACCCTCTTTCGATCCATCTTCCGCGTCACTCAACCACACTGACACCCTCATCTCCAGCCGCAGCCGCAGCCGCTACACCTTTTTACAGTCCCCATGGCACGAGACCTTCTCCATGGCGGCGATCCTATCCACTCGCTGTCCACATCTTCAGTCCACCTCGAGAAGGCAAAACTCCACAGGCTCCTTGGGTCGAGAAAAAAACTGCGTCGGCGATAGGCTCCGTTCTGGTACGGACTTGCGAGCGGAAAGCCGAGGCCAGCCATTGAATAATACTGCGTAAGGTGTTGGCGAGTCGAGACTCGCAGCATTCGGGCCGCTGCAAACCGCCTGGATCTCAAGGGTGACTGATAGGAAAATTGGGTGCAGTTTCAACGGCTTTTCTCTCCAGGATGGGGCGGTCCTCATAATGCCATTGTGTGTGTGTGGATGTTGTAGTGTGTGTATTCGATATTGGTGATGCACAAGAGAGGAAACACGGCACATGTCAATCATTTGTCAACGCCGCTGATGACGTTGACTAACGACTGTCAGAACCACTGCCGAGACCCCGTCGGTTGCCAATCCCGCCCGAGGAGTGCCGCCCGCGCCCGCCGCCGGGACTGGGAGTCAAAGTTGCATCAGCCATCTTGGCGGCGAAAAAGAAAATTGGAAAAAGAACACACGACGAACATCCTTCTCCAACGTCGGTTCCTCCTCACGGAGCACCAGTTCGCCCAGCCATGCGCCGGGGCAACTTCCATTGCATCACCGCCCAACGAAAGCCGGTGGGCCCCTTTCATCTTTCACCCACTCTCCCACTTTCCGCAAGTTGCCAAGAAGCCTTGGAAAATCCACTTCGATGCCTCTTTGATTCAAGGATCTCGTTGATGAAGGTCATCATCAGCCTTATCTGCAAAGGCAGCTGAGAAATCCAGAAGGTAGAGGTACGTACACATTTGCCGGCAATGGAAGCTGACGAACTCCAGACTCCAAACTTCCCAAAATAAGGAAGGGCGGGAAGAGGTACCTGGTGGAAGTACCTCCGAGAGACTACACTACAACAGGGCCCAGGCATCTTCCAAACCACCGGAATGGGGGCCGCCCAACCTCAATCGCAAAATGAACTGACGAGCCTCATCGAGTGCAAAAGGAGATCATGCAACGCTTCCAACTAAAGTCGGGGAAAGCGCCCACTTATCAGTAGGTGAACAATGGCGGTGATGCGTTGTTGTGTTCTACCGGAAACCTGGAGAACACACCAAAAACATCACAAGACAGGTGTCAAAAGCCTCCACATTTGCACCTAGTGAGCACCTAGCATGACCATGGACCGTGACGCTACTCCTTAGTTCAAACCTCCTTAGTTCAAACTTCAAAGAAAAGACGGACCGAAAAGACACGGAAATGCCACCGCAATTTGATGACGACTTCGTTAGAGACGACCGTTCCCCGGAGTCTTTCTTCCACGATATCAGATACTATGGCCATACTTGACGCTTTACCCCTATTTCAATGGTAAACAGAAAGACCGGCATATGTCACACATACCGACAAAGAATTTTGATACAACTTATTTCAGAAAAGATGGAATGAGATTGAAGCAATTGTTCAAGAAAGTCCGACAGAGATAATGCCACATTTCCAGGAACACCTTTGTCACTGCGAAGCGCATGTTGAGTGAGAAACGTATGTAGATGGTTTCACAAAGGTAAATGCATCGCAGCGCATGACTGTCTTAAACCATCGGAATCAAGCTCGTTAAGATATGAACATAGATTCACTACCCTTGTCATCGAGACATCTATTGCGAACAAAACTTTCAAGTTTGAAACGAGCTAAGGTAGATCTAGTATAGAAACTTTTACCGTTTGCAGGAGGTAGACCAAAATGCCTTCCACGCTTAGATGTTTTCTCTCGCACGACATGCACTCCTCGTCCAGTCTTTAGATCATCACTCATGAAAATGCATCATCCATCCCAAAGCAGGAGGCCAACAAAGAGCCCCTTCTTAGGGGCTCATTACCGGCTCCTCATGGGCTTCCCTGACGAACATCCCTTACGGATTCCCCCCCTCAGCAAAGCAAACCTCCGTATACCTCGCCAACCCCGGCATCTTCTCCTGCACCTTCAAGAAAGTCTTAAACTCGCACCACCCATCCACCCTTTCCGCATCACACTCCGGATGGCTCCACCCCAACGGAACCGTCCGTTGATTCAGCACAAAATGGACATACTTCGTCTCCTCTCCCTCATCCTCATACCCCGAGCGATCCGCCTTCACCGGCTTCGGCGTCTTAATAATCTCAATATCCAAGCGGGCGCCAAAAGGCGTAATCTGCGACACCGTAAAATTGTGTTCGCCCGGGTAAGCGTCAGTAGGGAGGTCCTGCTCGAATTGGGTTAACCCAAAAGCGGCGAGGATGGAGACGATGTTGGTGTCGTGCGAGAAGTCGAGGTACAGCGACTGGTTGAGCGGGAAGGTGACGGTGTTGTTGTCGAGGGTCACGTTGAGCTGGGTTTCGGAGTAGGGGATGGTGTGGTTTTGGAGGCGGGCGAGGACTTCTTGCTGGAAGCCGATGCCGACGGCGCGGCCGGTCTCGGAGCCGAAGGCGTTGTTGCCGTAGAATTGGAGGTCGTGGGAGTAGCCGAAGCCGATCCATTCTTCGTAGGTGAAGAGGGAGCAGAAGCGGCTGTAGCCGTTGGCAACCTACGGGAGATGTGAGTTTGAGATGAGACGACTGGCAGGAAGATGGTGACGGTTGACTTACGGTGTCGTAGGCGCACATGGTCTGGGCGGCATAAGTGTCATCGACTGTCCAGTTATAGCCCGTAACGAGCTTGGAGAAACGTTCAGTAGCTAAGCATGAGAGAGTTAGTTTTGTGCAACGTCTAACTCCGGTCAGTTATGGTCCAGAGTCCACGTACCATTCTGCAAGTAGTTGCCGACCCAGATATTCTGGGCCTTAGATCCAAGACCGTCTTGGCTTTCATTGGGGCAGTTCATATAGCCCGCCAAGGAGTTGTTAAATTTGGAGCCCTCAATGATGACTTCAAGGGTGACGTTGTTGGGCCTATACAAAATCAGAATCTACGTCCTACTGTTCGCAATCGAATACCCAGTCTGGGCTGTGGAGAGAGGAGACAGATTACATACCATTCCAGACCGAACATACCAGCCAAGAAGTTCTCAGCAGACTTCATCATGCGGTCCTGGGTCTATATTTCCCTAGTTAGCACCCAACTCTACAACTTGTCTTCACGGACAGCCAAATAAGAGGCACGCATACCGTCGTACGAGCGATGATCTTGGTCTCGGGGTCATAAAGTGACGAATACATGTAAGCGTGCAGGACACCAGAGTCGAACAGTTCCTGGCGGCCTTTGGGGACGAGAATCTCGGTGCCCATCTGATACTTCCAGTTGTTCAGGAACTCGAGTTCACCCGTAGCGTTGAACTTGCCAGTCGCATTGGCAAGGCGGGCACCGAAAGACTCCACGTTTGAGCCTCCAGTGGGATACCGAGAGCCATGGCGAGAAACCATCTAAATCACAAAGAATGATGGTCAGCACTGGTTACGGTACTCCGGGTGTCAACATTACTCTCTAGAGGTAATTGCACTTACCTGAAGCCAAATAATCTCGGCGCCCTCAGGCAGCGGCCATTCATCCACGCCAAATCCAGTCGAGGGCGTATAAGGCGTCAGAAACCCCATCATGCCGAAAATGCTCAGGTTGCCCGGGTGCCAGCCCTGAACCGGCACCTGTGTCTGCAGCGGCGCATTGGGCACGTAGGTAGCAGCATGGTCAAAGGTTCTCGTCTGGGCCATAAAGGGCGCCTTGCCCGTGGCCGTCTTTCCAACCCACGGGCCTGGGCTGGTGTTAAAGTAGTCGGGTACCGTGGACGTGGACTTGCATGGACAGTCATCCGAAGAAGAAGAAGACTGGTATTCTCGGGCTTGGACCGGTGCCTGCGGGGTGGAGGGTTCGGACGGACGCGGTTTGATGCCGAACAAGGTGCCGTTGCACGCAAGCATGTTGAACGCAAAGAAGACGGCGAGCGAGACGGCGCACGAGGCCAGGAGAACAGACAGCTTGCGCTTCAGGCGCTGCCCGGGACTGGGTTGCGTGCCATGAGCAAGGAGCGGGCGTGATAGCAGCTCTTCCTTCTCAGATAGGCCAACGGGCTCGTAGCTTGGTGCTTGAGGGTTGGTCGGGGAACCCATCTTGACGGTTGTCTATGCGCCCCTGGGTGGTTCGAATGGCGGACGACCGAGGAGTGTCGAACCTGGACTTGCGCGGCGAAGGAGGGTCAGCATTTAAATGGCACTGCTGGAAACAACATCCCGGCTTGTTTGACGGATTAAATGGCACGGCTGGGAACAAGATCCCGGCTTGTTTGACGGAAAAGATGCCCGGAGAATGAACGGCGGTGACGTGTACAGGAGGTTGACCGGCTACGTAGTACCCGACCATGAGGGGACGGCATATAGTCGCACCGTGACCATGTTACTCCCAGCTGGTCGCTTAGCGGTGCGCTAGAGGATCGCAGTAAACAAATGGAAGGTGGTGAGGACCGATGATAGGCAATAAAACGGCAATTGGGATGGCGGTGGAGGATCTGTTAGAGTGAAATGGGACGAAAGGGGACAAATTCGTGCTGATAGAGCTGCAGAGGTAGAATTAAGGTTGAGCTTGCCGGCAGACGGTTGCCAAGTGCTAACTACAGTTCCCACACTCAAGCACCTTGACAGTTTCATGAGCTGACCACAACTTTTTGGCAAACGGACCATCGAAACGAAAAGAACAAGACTTCATTTGCCCATATCTCCATCAAATGAGGAGATGAAAGAAAAATGATTGTAGATTCAACATCAGCGTGCTTGAGACTATCAAGAGAGTACTCTTTCTGATGATATAATTGAGTTTTTTTGATTTTCGTCTTTCGTTTCGATGGTCCGTTAGTCAAAAAGTTGTGGTCAGCTCAATTCTCGGGAAGTCTTGGCAACTGTCAAGGTGCTTGAGTGTGGAAGTACCTACGGTCGCGAGCCAATCGTATTACACGGACCGGCCGACCCCGCACCGGGCCTGGACGATCACGGTCCTGCAAAGTGCCGAATCGCCGGATTGCCAGCCATCTTCATAGTGCCGTTGGACACTGGCTTCCACGTTTGTAAGGTGGTAGTTGTGCCAACTTGAAGAGCCTCACATGAGCCTCAAAACAGGTTGGTGTAGCCGGTAAAGGGCGCTTTCCCCAGAGATGATACATGATTTGGGGAGGATATGGATATACAGGCGGACTTATACGTTGTTTCCAGAGAGTAAGCGAAGTTGCGAAATAGAGGCTCACAATTTCAATGTCTGTATAGACTATAGGTAGTATATATTGTCGCTTTGTGACATAAGCATGTCCAACCCCCGCACCCAGGCTTCAACTTTATGGACGCTTTGTAATACTCAACCGCTCCTATTTTCGGTTTAAAAGGCTTCTACACCCGCTTCTGTTCAAACAACGAGTAGGTCTTCGTCGTCCTTTGATTTCATAATGATATATGTTAAAATCGTATGGTCCAGATAATGTAGTACCAGCCTCCATTTCTTCAACGCCGGTTCTTGGCTTTCGTCGCCCTCTCCGTGCAACGAGATACAGTCTGTTCTTGGGTCAGGCATAGGGGAAATGGCAATGCCATGGAGAGTACACCACGGACGCATTCGTTTGTCCTCTTCTGACCGGCGCGGCAAAACCATCTCCACGCGGAATCCGCGACGTACTGGGGCACCGTAAAAAAGCTTTGCCGTCTTCGTTAGACGTAATAAGGCAACGCGGCCGCAGAGTGATCCGAGGACCACGAGGTTGAGCTCTGGTACGTGGAGAAGCATACCGATTCGCTGCGAGTAGTCTCGGTGAAGGTCATATGGTGACTGATGCCGGTTAAGGTGGTTGTAATGCGGGAGAACTTGCCTACAAAGCACAGGCGTACCCTGGGGATCCATGTGTAGCAAGCAGACATCTGTCGAAGAGGTAAGAAGTATGGACATATTCTTCGTCGCATAGCGCGAAAAGAAATCGCAGTAGCTGAACGGTACCGCAGGGGTAGGCCAGCGCGAATATCGTTCGCGTCTAAGGCTTGATGCATCTGGAACATGCGCAAATCTCGGAACGATGAACTGAGCCAGATGGATGCCATCGTGGGTATCATCCAGGTACGCCGGGGGAGCCTGACGAGGCCGGGGAAGTTCAGCGTTCAAGATCATAGACCGCCGGTCGGTAGGCCCAAAATTAACGTTGGTCCATGGCCTAGCCGCATCTGAAATCTCCGTCTCTTCGTCCGCCCCGCTTTCTTCATCCAAATCTTCCTCAATAGGGAATCCAGCGATTCGTCTCGGGTCGAGGAATGAAGGACTATGGGGCGCGGGAATGGAATATGAGAGAGGATTTGCCAGATCCCTCACATGGGAAAGGCTGTGGGTTGTGTCCAGCCAAAATTGCGCACTGCGCAATGTCCCACCTGACAGCTCCTCAGGCGGAAGACCTAGGCACTCGTGCAAAGACGCTGTTTGCTTGAAGCAGCTATCAGGCAAAACCATGACACCCCAACCGATACTGGGATCCTTGAAGTCAGTCAAAACAACTCAGCCGAGAAGGACAAGAACATGGGTACATGGGAGCATCGTTGCACACTCACTTTGATGGCGTAACATAGTTCATCTTGGACGTCTCATGCATGATATCAACTGCAGGATATCCTAATCGCCATATGTCAAGGAACCATGTCCTCAGCCTTATGTCTTGAGCGACCACGTACTCCGCACAACCTTGCTCGTCATCACAGAAGGATATGTTCGGAATGTTGCTTCCACGAGCATCAAGAGGTAAGATAATCTTCCACGTCCTAGTTCGAGTCCGGAAGTCTCTCTCCAGGCCAAGAGCTGTCTGGCCGGGCCAGATCTGGGGAGACGGATCTAAATAGGGTGTAGGATCATCTTTCAAATTATGAGGTCGATTCTGGCGGAGCGCAAAAGCAAAAACCGTGACTTCTGCCTTGTTGGAGCTTACAGCAAGTAGGCGTGATTCTTGATGGATCGCAAGCCCCCAGGCAGATTCGCCCACATTTTCATGAAAAAACTCTTTAGGTACCAATGAGCGGGGAGGAGGTCTGCCTTTAGCTTCCCTTTGTCGACTCGTTGATAGGATGTAGTGGGCAATTGTGTGCGTGTAGTAGGCTCCGACATCGCCATCATCAAAGGCAAAAAAGAGAACTTCCAGGTGGCCCAAATTTCCGATCATAAGGTGGTTGATCTGGTGGCCGAACGACTGGTCGATGGCCGGTCTGACGGGCCATTCAGTCTTCAGTTTCTTGGGTTTAAGCACCAAACAGGGCCGAGGAAGAATGTTCGGGACCTTCCGGGGGATGAAGACGTGTATCTTGTTTTGATAAGATGCGAAATAAAGCTGCGTCTCCTGTTAGCGGGCGCATTCCAACTATCACCAAGTGGCCGATATACGCACGTTGTATTTCTGTGACAGAGCAGTCAGATTCAACCGCAACCTCTGAGCTCGTGGAAACCTCTGCTGCCCCTGCTCTCGCCCCCCTTCCTCCTGTTGCTGGAGCTGCTGTTGTTGGAGCAGTTGCTGTCCCTGTTGCTGGATCTGCTGGAACTGTTGCTGAAGCTGCTGGAACTGCTGTTGCTGTTGCTGGCTCTGCTGTTGCAGCAATTGTAGCTGGGCCAAAAGATCATCAGGTACCCCCGGCGCCTGCAACCCTATCGGTATTTGTGGTGGCGGCGTGGGAGACATAGTTGTCGCCAACTGGGCCCATGGCGCCACGATATCAGGAGTCCAATCAGGAGTCACCCCCAAACCCAAGTCCTGTTCATTGAGTTCGATACTATCCATCTCATCAGATAATTCATCCTCCGTGTTGTCGTCAGTTGATGACAAGACGTCGTCATCTATATCGAAACTATGCCACGGCTCGTAAACAAAACTTCTGATGTCTGGGCCGACGTCTGCGCCGAACTGTCCAATGTCTGATATTAGCACACAGATGGCAAAAGCTTGAAGAAAGTCCCGGTGCCCGTGCCGTTACGCAAGAATCCCAGGAGGGTTGTTCACAACTTACCCTGCTTTCTGCGGTCTGGACATGGCAGATGCGGTCAACACTGAGGAAGTCTATGGAGGAACGAAAGGCGCCATCCCCCTCGTTACCGTCTTCGCCACCGTCCGAGCTGAGATATGGCCGTGGAGTGTCGATATGCGTATACGGCTCCATCATGGGCTAATGTTAAAGTTGATGCTTCTGATATGTGACGGATTCATTAAGCATCACCAGTTCGCGTTGATGATGACGAAGAGAATGATGGGAGAGGTAGAAAATGGCCGTGCTGACGATGAAAAGTATGATGTGAGAGGACGATGATATTCGAACATGGCAGCCACGTTGGAGAAGCCTCAGTTGTTGAAGTCGACACGGACTGAGGTGGACCTCGCGTGGCCCATAAGGGAAAATAAAAGCACTCAGGCGATAGATAGTGCAGCACACTCGAAGGTAATTGCGAGCCGTTGAGTGTTGATGCAGGAGGGGGGGGGGGGAAGTCTACTAGGCAAGATGCTTGCAGTGAGAGTTTCGTTTGTGCAAGTTGGTGCAAGCTGAATGTCCGAAGCTGGAATCACAATTTGAAAGCAAAATGGGCCTGAGCTACCGGATGCTGATTGTCGTCACCGGTGCGGGTGAAGATGTCGTGCGCAGTGTGGGAAGGTGAAAGCGTGATTTGGTGAGATGCAGGGGACCAGAGTACCAAGAGTGCTAACAGCGGGAAGCTACTACAGGCGCTAGGTATAGTGGAGCTTGGATTGATCAGGCGAGCCGTATGTTAACAGGCCAGGTAGCTCCTGCCTTGGTTTGCCGGAGACCTAGGTGGGCGAAGCGGGGTACTTGCCCTGTGGTGGCCGCGAAACTCCCTGGTACTTTCCGAGCTCCCGTCTACGCCGGAGTGTGCACTTCAACTTTTCACGGGCCGGGCACGTACAACTCGGGACCTGATCTCCGGCGTGTTTGGGACAGCCAGACAAAATTAATAGCAGTCTTCGGCACGAGGCAACAAACATGAATACAGCACATATGACCAGAGAGCAACTGCAGATATGTTCGCTTTTCCCATCGGGCTACGCTGCACTTTCTATCCTTTCCACCTAACGCCATGATAAACACTCCCAAAGCATAAGGTATCGACAACCCGTCGTCATCTATCCGGGCAAACCCGACATCGACATCGACATCGACATCGGCATCACTGTCTCATAAGCTCCGTCATGTCCTTCATGCGGTAATCCAGCACCGGCGTAACCCAGTCATCTTCAACGAGCGAGTATGATTCCCTCTCGTTGTCCTTCGGCTTGCGCGGGTTAATGGCCCAATATCCAAAGTCGGCATCGATCTCCTTAAGGTACCGCAGGAGATTCTGCCAATAGTTCGCATCACCGATGCCAGGACGGTCGGGCGCCCCAAACTCTCCAATCCAAACAGGCGCCAGCTTCTCTTCCACCAGATATCCCCAGTTCTTACGCATGGCCTTCACGAAGGAAGAGTATGTGCGCTTCGAATACCGCCCTCCCATGCTCCCCCAACCGCTCCACGAGTAGACGTGCGCCGAATATACCACTTTATTCTCCACGTCGAGCTCGACCGGCCGACGTCTCACGCCCGTCAGGTCGTTCCCGGACTCGGTCCCGCCCACGACAATCAGCCAGTCCGGGTTCATCCTGAGCAAGGCGTTGCCTGCCCGCTCTGCCGCAGCGGCCCATTTCTCCCACGGCATGGTGCCCCAGAGCCCGCGCACCTCGTTACGCAGGTCAGCCCCTATAACCAGCGGATTGTCGACAAAGCGGACCATCACCGTCTCCCAGTGCTCGACCCACTGCGCCTCCGTCTGCCGTACCCGGCACAGCCCGCCAGGAAGGTAATCGTTTGCCCAGCCGGCATCGCACGGGTCAGCGCCGCAGCACCACGTCGCCGTGGTGATGTGGTTGTTGACGATGACAGCCAGCCCGGCGTCCGTCAAGGCGGTTACCGTCGCCTCAAACACGTCCAGGGCGCGCTTCCCCACCAGGTCCCGGTTCGCTGCCAAGAGATGCGCCGGGACTTCCGGGTTGAACATGACCATCTCGTCGCTGTACGGCATGCGCACGCTGTTGAAGCCAAGCGAGCGGATCATGCTGGCAATGACGTCGCGGTGCTGCACGTCTAGCCCACCGGGAATGAAGAGCTCGTCGCTGGCGCCGTACCAGTTGATTGACGAGAGCTTGAAGCGCTCGCCATTCTGGTCGACGATGTCCCGCCCCTTGGTCCGCAAAGGGAGCTTGTATCCGGGCGAGGACAGGAAGGTCTCGTTGGCTGGTGGGGAGAGTGGTCGTTGGCTAAAGTCGATGGAGCTGTTGTCTGGTGTCCAGGGCTTGCTTAAGGCTGCTTCGGCTTTCCACAAGTAGTGGAGGAAGGAGCCCAGCAGCAGAATTGAAATCAAGATAATCATGCGAACGGCTTTAGTCTTTGACGGAAGTGATGTAAGTAGGCGTCGGCGGGCGCAAGAAACGGGAGTGGTGAAAGCGGTACAGGTGGTGGATGAGGTGTGGTTGGATAGTGGAAGCACGAGGCGGCGACCGCTGTGCCAGCCACCGGTACCAATACCAGTGCCATTATTTCGGGGTTCGGGTTCGGGTTCTTTCGGCATCGTCTGACTAGTTTGCTATCTCTGCTGCAGATGTGAGCCGTCAAAAGTCAGGTCCGTGGCCATGTTTGCCCCCTATACATAAACCAAACGAAGAAAGCCGATATTTATGGATATCCTCTATCCAACTGATATAGCGAAGGACAGTTTTCATGACGGTTCCTCTCTGACAAAAGTGTCCGATCATGGGCGATGCTGACACGAAGATGCTGACAAGGCAAGGTATGGAAAACTTGTTTATGAATGCTGCCTACTGAATATCAACAGACTTGATTGGCCAAACGAAACGAACGGCATTAAAGCGGCATTAATACACTAAATCCGGACACAACGGAAAGCTGAGCGAAGAGCCGAACGGATTCACTCTGCGTCACAGCGACCCAAACCCACGGATTCTGAATAAAGGTTCAAGAGAAGCAAGGCAATCCCGGTTTAGGGCAACTGTGACCGGACATTATCAGGAGCTCCTTACTCTACTCATGCCCTCCGTTCCATTTCTCGAAGTTGCTGAGTGGGATCAGTTACCTACAGGTAGTTTGTGGCATGGAAGCCATGGAACTCCTCTTCACCCGGAGGCAACTGAAGGGGTGGTGACTCTTGTCACCAACTTCCAGGTTGGGAACCATCATGCGTACGGTGAGAAAGAGCGAGGTTGGCGTGTATATCTGACTAAGCGGAATCTCTTCCGAATGCATCACTCAACGGCATCTTCGGACTTCGGGCTTTCCGTTTGCCAAGCACATCATCGAAAGAGACCGCCGGGGTGGTGACGTTGTCCGTGATCCAGAACTTTTTTTTTTGCTGACTGCAGTCAGTGACTGACTGCAGTCAGAATCGTGATCTGTTTCCCACTCCGACGATTTGTACGGGTTTCTGACTGTAGTCAGCTAAAATCAGGGTTCTGGATCACGCTCTTACACATCCCAACCATACATACCTCTACCGGGATCCATTTCTGGGACCGGCCCGCCCGATGATCCACTGACCCAACGACTTCCGGGGGCCCCGCACGTCCCGTTCCGTCTCCGTTCTTTCCGTTCCCCGCCGAGGGTTGGGCATGTCTTGCTCCACCCGGAAGATCTATCTTGGGCCTTGGAGTGTCTCAACGTGAGCATTGATTACCGGGACTAACTTTCAATGATTGATATCGCTGTATCCTCAGTATCATGCCTCGTTCTCAACTAGCATCTGGTGAGGTTCACGAGAGGACGTGGGTATGACACGAGGAAATGGTCGAGCAATATCATTCCGCTTCATCCGCTGTCAGCATGACGGTGATGAAGTTATATTGACCGTATACGAAGTTCCATCGACCGAACTGAGCTTGCCATTGGTCCATTACCGGACTTTCGTGTATGCAGGGCGTAAGCTTTGAAAACTTACCTCGCCGCCTTTGCACAGCTTTGGCGTCGTGGCGAATTCCGAGGGTTTCTTGGGTCAGTGAGAGCTAATATGACGACCAAATTCATTTTGCATGTGCATAGGGATGGGATGAATAGCTCACGTAGTTGGGGATACAAGAGACAAGGTACGTAAACATGTGTGTGGGAGTGAATTAGTAGGGTCATTTTACTTTGTTAAAATTCATTGAACAGAAATGGTATCATTTTCCCTTCGCTCAACCTTGCACATTAATACACCCGTCATCATTAATCTCATATCCTGTTCATTCCCAGAGGTTGTTGACCATACCCTCCTTGTCCCTGCCCATACGGACTCTCCTCCGGCAGCGGAGAAGCTCTAGCGTACGTATCTCTTGCGTCCCATGTCACCGTTGGTGGCGGTGACTGTGGTGGGCGAGGGCTCGAGAAAGACCTTGTTGGCGCGTGGTAGCGTGCCGTGCTGCCGAAGTAATCGGGGGTTCGGCGGCCCGAGTGGGTGCCGGTGTCGTGGTGGTTGCGAGGTCCCGGCGAAGCTGTGCCCCCTCCGGGAGCATTATTCCTGGACAGGGAAGGGCTGCGGTAGCCACCGCCGCCGCCGCTACCACCGATGGGCGACCTCATGTTGTACGTGCTGTACGCGTTGTACGTGGGCGAAATCGGAGTCACTGCGGAGGGTGTTACTGAGTCGTCCATCGTTTTCCCGGAGTTTTCCCGGGACAGCATCTCGTACGAACGTGTGTCTTTCTTGAGATCGTCCATCCGTGCATCGACGGAGACGAATTCTCGCTTGTTCCGGTGAGGAACCGTCATTAGGAGGTCGCGCCATCCCATCACCATCGACCATCGACCGAGGAGGAGCAAAAGCCACAAGCCGTTTATCTAGCACATTGTATATCTGGTTAGCATGTTCTATAATCGCTTGGTAACAAACATGGTGGTTGGTAGCTTTACCGAGAGAAGCAGTAGAACTGCGCCAACAGTGGGCATGTCGACCACCAGTGGACCGGCCTTGTCCAAGCACTTGTTCTTGTCACCAGCCATCATCATAAGGCAGGCAGTCCATTCCACGGCAGTGCTTGGGTCCCTCCTAACGGCCTCAACCGTGTTGTCCTGGAAAACAAAGACGACCGAGAAAAGGACGACGTCGGTAACGATAATAAGAACAATGGCAATTCCCCTCCATTGAAGCTGGATGACTCGGCGTACACGTCTGTATGCCTGTTTGGGCGTCATGGTTCGGATGCTGTTGGTGTAAGAAGGCAAGTTCGAGTTTTCGGTGGAGGCGCTGTTGTCGGCAAGCGATGCGAGGTAGACCTTGATGCAATAACCAAACGTCGCAAACTGAATGAAGATGGTGAGTCCGGCAAAGATCAGCATAGGGATCCAAAGGTCAGCCAAGCTGTTCTCGTGGTTGATATGACAGGTCGACCCAAAGCGGAAAGAAACACCACTGAAAACAAGGGCCATGATGATTCCGATAATGGGGATTCCCCAGCCGGTAGCCTGGGAGAACCACATAAAGTTACGTCCGACAACAACCTGCCAGCAGATTTGCAGATGCAATGATAGCGAGCGCAAAAACACCCACATCACTCCTCCCCAACCTCCAAAGATCAAGAATGCGCCAGATACTCCGCAAGGTGAGTTGGTTTGCATCGAATTGGGCGTGATCGCATCATAGCATTCATCTGGCTGAGCGGCAAGAGGTATCACGAAACCGAGCTGTAAAGTATGTCAACGCCTTGAAATCCCACTGGGCAGCAGGGGATAAGCAGCCAAATACTTACATTCATAAACAGAACCGCCGTGGTCAAGCACAGACTTAGATAATGTCTGGAAGTCTTTTCGACGGGCAGGATGATCCAGGACAAAAGAAGAAAAACACAGCAGGCGGTGCCAGCAACTGCGACCCATTGTGCCACCTCTCCCAGGGTATTGAATTCGTCCGGATAGGCCCAATCGGTCATGGGGCAAGGCAGGCAGCAGCTAAGCCCTTTGGCTACCTCCTGGCATAACCTTCCATCCACAACTGGTCGTATGTTAGTTAGCAGCGACACTCGTGATGATGAGGTTCCAGTTCCAGTGACTTACACCCCCCATCGTCAAAAAGCGCCTCGGCCAGAAATGGCGGAGGACAAAGGTTCGTCGCGTTGGCCATCGTGTAGGATCCTTCGAAGCTGCGTCCCTGGACTTTATCGTAGAACGACTTGTGAACCCTCCTGGCTCTGGGAATCGGCCGCTACCCGTTGATGTGCTTCAGCTCCCTCCAAGGAAGGCCGCGCTCCGGTACTGGCCAAATATGTATGGGACGGCTTGTTTGTGGTCTAGATAGTCGACGCGTGACCCCGACAAGAGCTAACAAAAGCGATCGAGGTGAAAGTCGTCGTCGTGGCGTAGGAAAGTAATAGTATGTCGTCGAGAAAATACCCTAGGCCCAGATGGAATAGGGTGGAGACAATGGCAGATGATAGGTTGATAGAAAGGAGTGTTCGGGGACGTGGTCTACCGGCAAAGCTAAATCGAACACCAAACACGGGGTATAGTGAGTATAGAAGGAAATATAATACACTGAAAAGATGATATCACTGAATTGCAAGGTAGGGAGTGTATCAGCATGAGCGATCAAGCACTCATGATGTGCAAAAGAGGGGACGGGGACCAAAAAGAGAACTTTCAGAAAACGAGCACCATGTGGATGGCAGTGGGTGGTAGCACCCATATGTACGGGCAACTGGGCCGAGATGGTGTGCCTTCTCTTTTCTGTTTTGCCTTTCGGCCCTCTTTGGGGTTTCTGAGGTGGTGTTGGATGTGGTCCCCTCTTCTGTAGGACACCATCAAGCCCGCACGCCATGCTCAGTCAGGCAAGACAGAGGGCTTTCTGGGCTCTGTGACCAGGGCCAGAGTGGAGCGGAAAACATGGGAACGGGGGCCCTTATCATTGGGGACTAGGCCGATGGTACGGCCATGCCCATTCAGCGTGCAGTGTTGTACCATGCGGTTGCATCCAGTCCTTGCTTTGGCGATCTTAACCAATTATGGCGAAGCATTGAGGACCACTGTTGCCAAGAGTGCAAGGTGGTGCGGGGACATATCCCAGATTGCACGCCGCCTGAGGTAGGATCAGAATGGAAAGCGAGGTTGAGAGCAGTCCAAGCGCACTCTGGACCATCTGATTTGGGGTTCCTTGTGGTTCGCTTGTGATCCCGTAAGGAGGCGATGTTTCCTGTTGATGGGACCAGGCCCAGGAGGCCGGGGTCCAGTCACAGTGGAGGGTAGGGACCGGCCGGGGGCAACGACGGGCGCCCTGGGGAACGCCAAGTGCTGACGATGTCGCATCCATGTTCCTGACTGTGTGGTTTGTTGAAGAGACGGTTCAGGGGCGTCACCAGAAGAGCCATTCAGAGGAGTTGACGAGTTGGGATA